ATTTCACCCTCTGAAAATACACGCAGTCAAGGTGAATGAGAGTGTGTGTTATTAATATTTCCCTGGAAGATGATTTATATGTCGTGAAAAAAAGCAGAGAGAGAGCGAGAGAGAGTTGAATTTCCCGAGGAGCGTGAAAAGTGTGCGGAGAATGTCAACCATTAAATGTTGGGCTCCATAAAATTCACGTCGCAGGATTAATTGCAAAATTAAATTGGGGTGTGATTTAATGTGTTCCGAGCGCTGAAATGATGTGAAGGTGTTCAATTTATCGCATTTGGCGCGGAAAGTACGCCAATTGAATTATTCCATCACATGTCCTGGAAACACCGATAATCCTTCTGTCGAATACCACAAATCAATATCTTCATTAGCTCTCATGGGGACTCATGTCACCTGGCGCGCTTCTGCTGGAGTCTAGGCTGCTCATTTGCATGTCAAAGCGGTGGCGCACCATTTTCACCCGTGGAAAAGCACGGCGAAATGTCTCACGTACGAGCGAAACGTTTCACGCCTCGCCGAGATTAAGTTGTACATGGAATTTGCATGCGACATAGCTCAAATACGTCATTTGCTACGCATTCTTCCACCTCGACGGCACAAGTGCCAAATGAGAGTGGAGTTTGGGCTGGAAGCTGCGCCATAAATCCATGGGAGAATTCAATTAGGACTCGGTATTCGACAGGTGGTCAGCGCCCATCATTGTTCGCACGACCGCGGTCACTTTGCAGTAATTGATTGAGAGCCGCCGTGGCATAACAATGTGGTCAGTGGGTGGAAAAATGCAAACACCCACAAAATCATTTTCCCACTGAGTGACATTTCGCAGAAAATCCACACTGAGCGTTGGCAATTTGAATATTACTCCTCCGAGAGATAATTATATAGGAATAAATTAGAACAATTCCCGTGATTGAGTTCGCCATAATTGATAAATAGACAGCAAAGTTTTCTGGAAAACACACGCGAATCCACTTAATTATTCATTTAAATTTAAATTATAATTCTCAGGGGGCAGAAATGTGGCAAAGGAAAAGGCGCATCGCACAAATTCAATTGCTGGCAAGAATATTTTTCATGAATATTTATGGGGAAAATCATCATGACACAATTCAATTATCACCTCGCGATGTTTAGACTTTTATACAAGTTTTGGAGTCTCTGTCCTGCCAATTAGCCGTCGTGAAATGGATCTGGAGTGTCGCAATTGTGGGAGAAAAAATCATGCCGAAAAGTAGTGATCAACCCAATTAAGCGATGTGAGAAATTCCGCAAACAAGAGAACATGAAGGAGCGCTTCAACCACAAGCACAGCAAAGTTATTTTCATTAATTACTCCATAAATTTCCAGCGAAGTGGGGAATGGAGGGAGTGAAGACAGTGAAAACTTTCATTTGCACTCTGGTACAAAGTGGATTACAAAGCTTTCAAAGCACTGACCAAACTATGACCAAGCTTTCCGTTTACGTGCTGAAAATGTCTACAGTGGCTGTCTTTTGAATAAGACTCGCTGGGATTCGAAAGCATTTGAATTTTTAAAATACATTCTAGAGCGATGAATCTTCATATTCAAACGCTGGGTTATAAATACTCACGTGTTGTTGCTCTTTGGGGGGTCTTTGGCTATTTGTTGGGCGGAAAGAACACCGAAATTGCGAGAATTAAGTTAATCTCTATAAGTAGTCCCTCAATTCGTGCCATTTCAGCTCTAACGCTTTTGGGTCACCGCCATTTTCGCGTTGGGTTTCTGCGGGAGTCAAAGGAAAATATTGGATTTCCAGAGCTTAAATTGTCGCATCGCTGGAAGGAAGACACAACAGTGTGGGAAATAAGTGGGAAAATGCCATATTGCATGGAGTGAAAGCTCAGAAGCACGGGTTTATTGACAATAAAGCGCGGGGGTGGAAAATATTCCTACTCAATTGACTTATTGATCCACCCAGCTGTCGACCGAGACATGAATATTTCATTCCGCCCATATCAACAAATTATTTGTTTTTCATTTTAACACAATCCACACGCACATCGCGAGTTGAGCCATTAATTGGACAATTTTGCCAGCGAGCAAATGTGACGTTGCATGTTGGAATTCTTGTACATTGGCGCTCCAATATACACGCTCATTTGTGGCATTTTCGCCGTGCGGAAATACATGAATGAAGGACAAATTTCAATAGACTATTTGGCGCAACTTGTTGAGGCGCGAGCTTTCGGAAGCTCCCAAATGGAGCGTCAAGTGGCAATTTTGGGTGGGAAGTGCGCCGAAGAGGGTGTTTTGAGTGCGATTTAGGCGAGGGAAAACAATTCAGCGCGCGAGAGTTAATTATGGGAAGAGACTCCGCGCCAGATACTCCAGCGCCCACGCGCCCGGGCTCACCTGCGACGCCATGCCAACGGGCATCGGAGACGGTGACGCGTGAGGAGTCCCTGACGAGGCCCTGACCTCTTTCAACGGCTGGAAAATAGGTTATTTGGTCATTGCCGTGTGGGAGGCGCGCTCGTCAGAGACTCCAATGCATCATTGCGCAAAGCGAACCTCCCCAGCGCCCTTCAAGCCCGGCGCTCCCACTTTCTGGAGCTCGTCGCCCCAGCAACCCAACCACGCATCCCCGCAGTTCAGGGTCCCTCAATCCCCCAGAACACCTTGACAATTAAGTGGCAGCTCGACGCATTTTCCCGCACTTTCTCGAGCCTTCGGCGGGGAATTTCCAGGAGCCGAGAGTCCCTCGATTTATTGACTTCGTGCACATGAAAAACCTGTTGATGGCGCGCGATTTCGCTGAGTCACAAGCACAAACACGGGTCGCCAGAATTATGGGGGGAATAATTTTATGGGCCTCCCGAGGAAATTCTGGGGCTTCAACCATTTTTACTCGCCTCATTAATTCTCTATCTGATGAACTGCTGAGTTCATAGGGAAGTCAATAGGAGAGCGCGGGGCGCAAATACGCGTTTATAGTAATTCACCTCAATTTACAGCATTCCCCAAGCTATTGACAGATTGAAATTAAAAATAAACATGACTCAATTATTCAGGAAGAATTTCAATCCCGTTTTTCCGTTGATAAACCCAATTTGACAAGCATTTCCTCTCCTTTTTTGCTCGCGAATTAACATCAAAGGCATTTTCCATGGAGAAAATTATATTTCGCAACTTTATGGCCATAAAAATTGCGCCTCAATTAATTCCACTCATTCTCGGTGTTTTCTTTTAATCATGGAAATTGAATTTGATTCTTTCGCCGGCCTTATCTGCACAATTATCACGCAGCATTGCGTTTGTGTCACCCAATTGAGGGGCGGCGCGAATTGGAAAACAAAGGGACACCCTTGAATAATTTATATCCAACGGACTCTCGAGGTGAAAAGAATTCGCGGGGGCTGTTGAGGGACATTTTGGCGCTCCGTCACGGGAATGGAGACGCAAAGATGGGCGGAAAGTGATAGCGTGAAAGTTTCTCGCATTTCTTCGCACTTTTTCCACCCACTAATCCTCTGCGCCCACCCCCGCCGATTGGCCACAGCAGTGAAGGGGGCGAAAGTGAAAGGTGGAACATTTAAATTTGCATAAGTAAAGCTCCTCTTTTTCCATCGCGATAGCGCATTATAATGCGGAGTTGTCTTATTTCCGAGAAAGATGAATTGTTCTTCGGCTGTCGCATGTCCTCGAGCCAAGGCAGGAAGTTGTTCTCGTCTGACTGTGAAAAATAACGCTCGTGTGTGAGATGAATGCCAAATAATCAGTAATTGTAGCGTTTTTGCTCCACTTGTATTAACGCACTGACGATTCTTTTGAAGTTTTCCGCGAACTCTTCGACGCTTTGATAACGAACGTTCTTCTGCGTCCCGCGTTTTTATTCAATAACAATCACGATAGGATGTTCAATTTCCTCCCCTGAACACACACACACACACGTCGCTCTCAATCCGCGAATGACAACGCGTGAGCTGTGTTATTTTTGCCACAACTCTGTGCCGTCGACAAAGAAACTCTTGTGAAAGACCTGCGATTATTTGTACAGCATTTTGAATACAAATTCATACATTTTGACAAGCTTTCGCTCCTCCATCATACACACACAACAAAATGCAAAAGGAAAAATGGTTCTGTGCATATTTATGAAAATTCTCTCCGTCTGATTTCCCAGTCGATTTTTTTTTACTCCCTCAGACCCGCGCCAAAAACTTTCGATGAATTCCCGCGATAAAAGAAAAAGAGAAACATGATTTGTCGGATGGGCTTCCGTTCTGAATTCGTTATCAATATTCCTGCCCAAGTTCTGAATCAATTTCACGTGCAAAAGCACACAAAAAGGGCCGCAGGCTGAAGGGCGCGGTTCGATTGAATTTTAAATTCTGTTATTTAAACCAGACCTCCCAACCAAATCGCCTCCCGAAAGTCAAACGCTCACGCAAGCTTCCCGTGTATTCTGGAGAAGAATTCAATTATTCATCAGCAAAATGAAAAATCATTGGCCATTTCATAAATTATGCGCCACCTAATCATTTCCATTCGCCTCTCACTCTCGCCCTTTTAATTTTGTCCTCAGGACACACAATCTGTCTATGGCCGTGTGTAGATGGGTTGCGCCTAAACCCGAGGCGAAAGGTTGACCTTAATCACGCTTCAGCCATTTTGGGATTAGCTCGATGCCTTTTGCTATTCATAGTATTCAGTGGCGAATTGCTTCATCAAGAGCATCCGCAGGCAAACTTGGGATCATTTTCAAAAGGTTGGAAAGCAACTATTCAAAGTGATTTCTCATAACATTTTTAATCATAAGTGTGTCCCAGATTTACTAGAGAAAGGAGTAAATGAAAACTCATCATTGAAGCACAGAAAATCTTGAATGCAACGAGAAATTGCGTGAATCACAAATTGCTTGTATATTTTCCGTTTCTCAATTGGAGAATCACATTGCTGATAATTTAGGGAGGTTTTCCGAAGAGGTGGATTGTTGTCTGCAGTCGATCACGAGTCCTGACGAGTCCGGAAGGCTTTAGTTTCCGCCGCCGGCGCCTCCGCCAATGCCGTAGTGCAGCGGATGCTCGGCGTGGCCCTCGGTCTTGACGATGGCGTGGAAGCCGGTCTTGGGGTCGGACGTGTACTCCACGATGCGCTTCGTGCCGTCGGCGTCGTGCAGCCAGTAGCCGCCCTTCACCTCGTCGTGGTGGCGGTGCTCCCAGGCCTCCTTGTGGTCGCCTGTCTTGGGGTCCTTCACGCCGTACTTGTACTCGTAGCTGGGAATGTGCTGCGGAGAGAAGCCCTTAGACTCGCCCTCACAGGGATGCGGGAAACTGACTTACCCAGTCTTCCTTGATGGGATGGAAGTCGTCGTGGCGCATCGTGTGGCTGATCGGCGTCCAGGCTTCAGCGACAATGCCGGCGGCAATGAAGAGAGCGAACACGATGAGGAACTTCATTCTGCGTCTGGAGAACTGACTTTTCTTCTTTTCCTGTTGACTGCTCGAAGGCACTTGGATGACTGGATGGTTTGCACTGGTTGCCGGACAGCTTAAATACTCGCTGGCCGGCAGTGCGGTGAAGAAAGTGAACCATTCACTCAGAAAAACGATGGTCGATTGCTAAGTTGAATTATTGTGCAATTGTTATTACTGTTAAATTCTTAACCTTTTTGCATCGACAGTAGTTTTGTCATTTATCGCAAATCCCCTCCGAAACATGAAGTGAAAACTGTCAAACTGTTTCCCTATGCATTTCGTGAGCCTATCAAAGTTCCTGCAGAGCTTTTCACAGCGTAATCTGCATCAGAAACACCTGATATTGTTGCCAGGACTTTAATCAATACTCCACGGCGGACGCGCAGCGAACTTAATCTCTCGCTGCTCACCGCATTATGGAAAAGCTCAGCTTACATGGAGCTTTAGCCCTATCTGGGCTCCTCTGGCGCCCATATGTTGTGCCTGTGGCACATTCTCATGGGAGTCACAGGATTTTTCGCCATCAGATTTTATTATTTACATTCATTATTATTGTTATTAATGTGTGGGTGTGTGTGTGTGTGTGGATTTTGCATACGAAGAGAATTTATTACTTTCCTCCCCGTAAATATGGTTGCCTTTTCGGGGGCGGCACTGAACCTCACCCTTCGCGGCAGAACTTTGGGGACACACGGAGAGAATACGACAAAGAACGTGGATGGATGATGCTATTTTGAGAAACAGACCACAACTTTGTCTCTCGTGGCATTTTGAAGCCTAATTTATGCGAAAATATAATGTTTCTATCAGTCCACGCTATTGAGGGTGGTGAATTTTCCATGTAATATTTACATTTCCCCAGAGATTTTGCATTATTTCCAACGAGGAAAATGTCACACAAGCCGCCCCGGGGATGATATCAATTTCACACTGTTGCCCACGGTGCGGATTGACAAAGAGGAATTCTTTTGTGTAGACTTTTCTCTAATGTTGTGGCGTCTGCACTTTGTGCTCTGTATAGTGAAAATCCTCGTACAAATGCAAAAGTTTCCGGGCGAAATGACGAACTTTCCCATGTGATCGGCTTATGGCCCAATAAAATCCTCAATTAGGATATACATCTTGTATTATATTCGTCCACCTGGATGGGCGCTGAGGTGGGCGCCACCCCGCAGACAAGCCTGTCACAGAGCTCATTTCAATGTCATTCCACTCCCGATCCTCCCGCGAGGGTGGCTCATGGGGAAAAGTTCCTGTTGCTCCACGGCCGGCAGTCCGTCTCGCTCTGGCTGCCGCGCAGAGGCGCCGCGGGGGTGCTTCTGACGTGAGACGGGAACAGAGAACCCCACCACAGAATCCAGGGGCCGCTCGGAGATGCTTTAGTTTAGTACAGCCCCAAAAGCTCCCTCGCGGCACGCTGTTGATGTTCAGTCTGCTGCACGGTCTCCAGTCGCTCGCACGCATCTCCGCGCTCCGACCTTAGCCAAAGAAGAGACTCTCCAGCCCAGAAGCTCTCTTTCTCTCACACTGAGGGAAAAGCAGCAGCGAAAGCTCGCTCGCAGACGCATTTCCAGTCGAAGCGTCACTGGGTCTGCAACAGGTACGCGGCAGCAAGAGTGTGTGGCAATATTCTGTGTCAAGGTGAATCCGGGAGCCCAGAGACAGTCCCCAAGGAGAGAGAGAGCAAAAGCACCCCCAGACAGTGCGTGGAATTTCAAGAGTTCCGTGAAGAGTCCATCCATTTAATTACCCACCATTCGCCACGTAATTGATTACTCTTTTGGGCGAGTGTCGAAATCTGTTTTGATTCACTGCAAATTAAATTAACCGTGATACTCCGCAAAACTACCTGAAGAAAGTGGCTTCGTCCCTTCGCCAGAGGATTGCCAAAGTGATTTTTCATGACGGACTCTCTAAACTAATTTTAATCATTCTTTCAACCCTTTTGTTGTGCCCACACGAGCAGAAGGGATAATCGATATCCTCTGTCTCTGGAAAGGCATTCGAGATTTCATTTTTCCAGAGAGATTTGTGACTTTAAAGCTCTGTCAAAGCTTGCCGAGCCTAAGTGTAAAAAATTAGTCAAGGTTACAACCAACAGGGAAGCAACTATCCCTTTTTTCCATTTGGATTTAAATGTCTTTTCATCCCAATCGAAACGACAGCAAATTGCAATATTAGACACTCGCTTTCGCGATTTTAATTCTCTTCATTCCTTCAAGATGATGGAAATTTGTTTAGTGGCTCAAAGTGAGGTGTCGATAGAATATATTAATTATTTTTCTGAATATTTTATGAAAAACGAATTAGAAAGATGAAATACAGCACAATAAATCACTTTATAAAGTATTCTCAGTGGAAAGTTGGAAAATAAGTCTTTCGAAAAGATGAAAACTATGTAATGAAGAGTATGAAAAATTTGCTGAGAAAATGATTTTGGCTTCTTTGACGAGATTTTAAAACTTTTACAACCCTTCAGGCTTCTACTAAAGTTTCTTAGACAAACAGTTCGCATAATTGAAAAATAAGAGAATAATTCTGTTTAGCGCGAAAAGAAGATTGAGAGATTGAAATTCCATTTGAAAGTGTAAAACCTGAAAGAATTATTGTCAAAACTGTATATATCGTTATTTTTTCGGAAATCAAATTCCTTTTTCCCACCCTCGCACCATATTTCAACCATCAAAATTCACGAATTTATCAAGGAAAAACCTCCCTCGTCACAAAATTTCAGCGCCACACAATCAGCAATATCGAAATTCTTCACCTGATCCACGCAGGAAAGCCATTTGTGACTCTTTTTCAATGTCCCGAGAGGGTCGATGGGGCTCACAATTTGAGGTATTCCGAGCTGCGGGGGTGATAAAAATTCCACAAGTGGGGTGTGTATTCCTGACTCCTGAGAGATTTGACTTGTTGCCCCCTCAATTCATTTCCCACAAAGTGGCGCACAATTCAATTTTCACTCCAACAATGGTGATATTTTTCCTCAAATGCTCCAAAAACTCCCTAGTTTTTGGGCGAGTGGGAGAAATTCAATATTTCACAGAATTGCCTGGGCGCGATGCGTGTGTGTGTGTGTGTGCCAGAAATCAGGGTGTTTTTCTTGTGTAAGAAAAATTGTCTGTTCAGACACTTTTGGTCTCTTCCACTTTGCATGCTTCGGGCTCGCGAAATGCGCGGAGTAATTTCATTAAAACTTCCTTCAACGTCACGGGCAACCACCCGCCTAAACAATTCAATCAATTATTTGTCTAAGCTGCGCCCAGGACCGGCCGAGGGGCGGCCAGAGGAATAATATTTGCAAAAAGCGATTGAAAGATTAGCGAAAGCTTAAACGACGGACTTTGTTATCTCGTCATCTGCCTCTTCTTAATTTTCCTCTCGCAAACATGGCCCCAGCCCAAAGTGTTGGCTTTCACTCCGATGAAATTTTATATTGAGCGCCACCCCGCCCCTTCGCGGAAGGCCCAAAACTTCACGTGATGCTCTTGGCATAGGAGATTTCCCTAAAGGAAAATACCAAAAAACGTTTTGGCACTGAAGAGAGACACTTTCCGTGCTCAAGCCTGTGCAAAGTGGGATTCTGACGTACTTTAGAAAGGTTTACAGTTAGTTTTCTTTTTACTTTAGAGGGAGAAAATAAATTAGGAAGGTTTTTTTTTTCAAATGATTTCCAAGAATTTGTAAAGTAGGCGGAGAAAAGGCGTGGGTGTGGCCTAATTCAGCCAATAGAGAACTTTCTTGAGCGACATTTGAAGTTTATCGCGCTCGTTTTCAACTACCTCTGAATCTTCCATCACTCTTAATCGAACGCCATTAATTTGTTCTTCTCAGTATCTCGTGAAGACATTAACTGTGAATTTGGATAATGATGGCATGAGAGCCAAAAAAGTTTCGTCTTTCACCTCCGAGCACAAAAGCAGAGTCACTTCGCGTGTCAGTTGTGCTTCATTTTGTATTCATAAATTCCAGGACTTTCTGGAAGACTCTTTTGCTCCCCCAGCCTTTTCAGGTGGAAAAATCCATCTCAGACGAACTTTCATCTTCCACAAAATTTTCCACCATTTTTGGCGTAATTTTTTTTTTCTCCCTCCGCACGCTCGAGAGTCTTCTCGCTAAAAAGCTCTCCAACTCGCTAAGCTTCCGCAGTTAATTATTCACGGGGCTTGAGAAAGAAAAGTCAAGTCCTTGGAGAGACTTTAAGGCACTGTAGCTTTAATCACTTGTCTCGTGTGAGTGGCAATTTTACACATGCTTTCATCCACTCACACCACGAGCGCTCGCAACCTTTCAATTGAGTGGGGATGTGATAAAAAATTAAGGGCGCACATTTCCGCCGAAAGAGGTCCTTTATCTCCCCATGAGAATGCCTGCACACCTTCGGCAGGCGGCACACAATATAATCCTTCCCGGGCAATAGATTATAATCCAATATAAAATTTATTTCACCACGTTCTTCGCGGCATCGCGACGGAGGTGCCTCATAAATAAAACGATCATTTTCAATAATCAAAAATCGCTCCGCCGAAGTATTCTCGCTATTGGAATTCATTATGAGCGATAATAGAGATGTAAATTGGCGAAACGAGCTTCCGAAGCAAATTGATTTTCCACTCCCGCGCCAGCGGAAAAGCCTCCCGGGCACGCAGAAGAGGTGTCTGCTGGTGATTTGCCTGGCATTGAATAAAAAATGAAAAAAAAACACCCCCACAAAACCCAACCGAAATTGCGTGTGTGGATTCTTGCAGTGGTGATTAAATCTCTCAAATGAATTGCGCGCCCACAAATGCGATGGCATTCAGGGAATGGAATTCATCACTCTTAATGTCAATTCATCCACCCTCTCATCCGAAATGCTCCAATTGCATACACCCAGCATAAAGGGAGGATGCCGTACACTCCCGAGGGTTGATTAATTAAAATTCATGGAAATGACTGGGAGAAGCTCCCGGATGGGGGCTTTGGCTCCGCACAGGTTTCTTCACCTTTGCTCTGCAAAGTGCCACAAAGTAGCATGTCGAAGGGTTGCGTTGTGCTCTTGATTTCTCAATTAAACTGAGAGCTTTATTTGCCTATTCAGGTATACCGAGCAAGTGATTCACTTACAAATGACAGAGCTTTGGAATTATGAGTGGAAAAATGTTCTTTCTATGGGACAAATAAGACCCAATTGACACTAAAGGGTTAAGCTTCCAGTGATATCGTTGAAGATAAGCCATGAAAGTGAGCAAATATTGTGACAGTCTACAAAAGTGACAGGAAAATGTAAAAAAAACCCCTTTGTGACAGGGTTCAGAAAAATGGAAAACTTCCAGGAAAGCTCAGTAATTGTGATTGCAGAAAATTGCATAAGAAAGACTGAGAAATTTCTTTCCAATGAGAATTATCAGGAAAACAGATACATTTTTCCACCCTTTCCCTCAATGTCTCTGTCTGTCTTTCTCTCTGGGCTTTTGAAACGAGAACTGTGATGGGAAGAGAGGACAAAACGATGGCAAAGCACTCCTTCATTATACCTGGGGAGTCGCTATAATTGGATTGCTGTTGATTTTGCCAGCCGTGCGACGAAATATGAAATGTCTGCTCACATTGTAAATTAATATATCGTTCGCCATTGTGAAGAAGGGTATTTTGCTCTCTCTCTCTTTGCCTCTTAGTATTAAATTAATTAAAATTACACGACATTCGCCGGTGCAATTGCGGCGTGTTTGTGTTTTCATCGTGCAAAGGCGCTCTCGAGTGCATCGTCTGCCGTGGAGAATTGAATTTGATGATGGCGCAAGAGGATGTGCTGTGGAAATAGTGTGTGATCGTGGCGGGCGAGGGCGCTACGTGGGGGTCAAGTGGCTGGCCGGAAGGATCAGTGTTTGAGAAAACAGTTGTGATAATATGCCTGCAGCGACGATGTTCTCAAAGTTCAAAAGTGGCACAGCTGCTCCACAGAATCCAATCGACAGCAATCCCATATCGCAATATTTCGAAATTGGCCGACAAACAGCAGCAGCTGGACCGGAATTGGTGTGGAAAATATATGAGGCTTACAAGAAATCCGACGGCAAGGTAATTTCAATTTCAATCCCATTTCCATTCAGCCACACCTCCAGTGCCCGCCCCAAAGCCGCAAAACTTTGAAGGCACCAATTTATTTCTTCACGCCACCGTAAATATTTGGAATGTGTATTTTACTTTTATGCCTTCGCCGTGTCTATTTTTTTCTCCTTCTGTGCTCTCCATTAAAAAAGGAAAAAGGAAAAAGAACGAGGAAGCGCAACTCCCCAAACGGAGCCGGACTATTAATCCACGCCAAGTCAATAACCGAATCACGCCAAATGGAAGTCACTGACAATCCTTTTTGCCCTGCAAATTCATCATCATTTGCAATAATTGAAATGTTCATATACATAATTCATTTCGTCATTTCCATCGTTCGCCATCATGGATTCTGTTTCATTGAACTTCACTCACTTTCGCATCACTGAATATTTCAGTGAATTTTGCATAATTAAAAAAAAATCAGTCGAAACGTTTATTGGTTCATTTTAATTACAAAATTTCATATAAGCAGATATAAATTGGTTGCACACGGAACTTTGATGTTTTCCCCTCAAGATCATTCGATATTAGAGTCAAAGATTGCGCCTTCGCTTGGTAAGATCTCAGTATTTCATCGATTTCGCATACGAAATGTCGTATCTGAGCAGATACATGACCTTTGATTCTGAAACCGATAAAAATATATCATCTCAGCTTGACTTGGCTCAGGTTAAGCTGCGTTTAAGGATTTTGAAAGCAACCCTGTTGCGAAACCCAGCGCTTTTTGTTGTTCAAAATGTCGATGATTTTTGCAAAATAAATTGAGAAAAGCATAGCGTTTGCTTATCTACATTTTTATTGCGAGTGTTCCGTGATAAAACGCAGCCTAAAGCCTTCATCACCTCTGTTTTCATGCATGGCATTCATGCAATAAATTTGCAACAATACTTTAGTAATTTTCAATAGGCATCCCACGAGTGAACAAAGCGCGAGGGTGGTTTTTATACTGTATGGCGGAATGTACAACTTTGCGTCAACAAAGGCCCGCTCGTGGGTGGGGAGGGTGTTCCCCATTTTGCCTTTCACCTGGAAACCAGGGACGTACAATGGAGTGGTTAATTGTACGTTGAGTTTCTCAATTCAGTGACGCCGTGAGTTTATCACACGTAATAGCAGCTCTCCATTGAAGAGGAGCACTTTTATCTATATATTGACTCAATTTCAGGATGGAAATTCCGCCCCTCGAGGGGACGAAATCTTATTTACTCCTCTCATGTTGGCTGTTATTTACACAATAGGCACATGAAACACCTCATAAATAATTGATTCAGTGCGCCTTTTCTTTCATAGCGAAATCCAATATTTCTCTGCTTTCCTGCCTTCTGAGCGGCGCGTGGGCGGATGAAAGGAAGCGTGCAATGGGAAGGAAAATCCTTCCGTCGGACACTGGGCGCAATTAAATGACCGTGACACATTTTCCGCACATCAATTGCCGATTTCTCAGGCGAGCAAAGATGCCCAACGTTGGAGACTTCATCCAACTGGCGAGCGGCAATTCAAACTGTTGCGCATCATTGATTTCCACCCCCCCTAAAAACGGGCGGCAAACACACACAGAAGGCAAAGCCATCGCCGAGCGATTATCGGCGGGAAAAATTCAATTTTGGCTCCATTCCAGGGACGAAAATACGGCAAAGCGCCGCAGAGAGTGAATTTAATTTAATCACATATTGATTTTAATCGAATGTGAAAATCAGAAAAGCTGTCAATTGCTGCACAACATTCAACAGTTACACTCCAATTTAATGACTCGCTCACGCTACATTTGGCGCAAATTTTCCACACTCTGTGCAGCAATATTTGCCATTGCCAGCAAAAGCGACACGGCGAATTAATCTTCTGCAAGGAACATGCAGCAAATCCTTTGCATTTCAGCTCCTTCCACCATGCGATTCGAGGGGGAAAATTGCTTATCGATTGAGCATGATTTTCAATTGAAGTTTCTTAACCAAAGCCATAAGTTAGAAATTTCTGAGGGCTCTCGAATCCACTTTATACAATTTCATTAATAAAGTTAAAATTGAAAGGTGTTGCATCTGATGCCAAAGCGGATTTTCTTCTTTAGTTGAATACCAATCTTGATACGAATTGAAATGCAACAAGGAGATGAATAATTATGGAAATTTATGGCTCCAAAGTACCAATTAGAAATGTGACAAAGCACATTGTATAGTTAAACAAGCAAATCCTTTGTTTACCATTTAAACGGTCATAACAGAGCATAAAGACACCTTCCAGTCAATGCGAAAGCTCGGAAAGCTCGTATTTCAGCTCAATTCTGCTAAATTTTAAGCAGATCTTAAACAAAGAGGTGAAAAATGAGAAAATATTCGATCTGTTAATGTGAATGACAATATTAAATTCTCATCTCTGGGGCTCAGCTGACCGACAGTGAAGGACAGAATGTCATTCGTCACGGCAATCTAATTAGATTATTACGCACAAACCTCTCCATAACATCTGGGTGAGCTTTTTTTTTATTTTTCACGCAGTGTTGTCGAATCAATTATTCAATTCTTATGGCTCGTGCAGAGGGAAAAACTCATCCGGAACAGCTTCCAAGACACAAACGAGTGTCGTGGCATTATTTGTGGATGGCATGAAAAATATTTCGGGATTAAGAGGCCTCGTCATGGGTGCGAATTAATAATAAATGGCCGGATAATATGTTCACAGGGATAAATGGCTCTTTGGGGGCATGCTAGGCCATTCGCAGTTGAGGTGAGCTGAATTTGCCGCCTCTGCGGAAGCAATACCACTTGGAGTTAATTTAATTTCATTCTCTCGAGCCGGGGAAAAAATCACTCCTTCACGGCGGCATGACTTGGCGCTTTATGCTCGAGCTTCAGTCCATTGCAATGGCACTTCTTCTCACCGGGAGTCCTGAGCAATTGTGTCTGACGTGGGGGCTTTTTTGCGTGATCCCACGAGACTCGGCGTAACTCATGCTGAGTGGCATGAGAGGCGAAGGAATGCCATGCGGAAGACTGTGTCAAATAAACTTCCCTCGAGGCTCTCTGGAGTGGTTTAATGGCGAAGGTGATAAAACACAATGAAACTTCTCCCTTTGTCCAATTAATTAGTCTGTAATTAGAATTATTCTGCACACAGGCAAGTGGCTGTGAATTTCTGGTGACCTCCTTTGCCGCCCCTTTTTTCGTGGCGCCGAGCCATTTATTGAGGAGCCGCGAAGGTGTGTCTTATCACTTCCATATCGTGTCAGTGGGAAATTCTATTCCATCCTCAAACACTAATTTGATTTGCTACATTATTTGAAATTTAGATTACTCACGAAATATCGTGATGTTGCAAAAGGCGCCGTAACTTCGCTCTTTTTCGGTCAAAGCTCTCGCGAGCTCCGCCCTTTCGCGCCGCGATTGCATCCAAAGTGGAGTTTAAGGTGTTGTTTATATGCAACAAGACGATTGTAGGTTAGGGAAAGAAATATTCATACTCTATGTTGAACATCTTTAATAAAAAATAGCAATCGAAATTATCTCTCAGCGCGATAATTGCAAACAAATTCATTGCCCTATTTTACAAGTTTTATAGCATGTCTTGCTGTGGAATCTTGCTGTGGAATGCATGGAAATTCATTTACTGGAATTTTCAATTGAAATTTCACAGCATTTTGTATATAATTACATCAACCAGAGAGCAAAATATTTGCTGACCTTCTGAGAAATAGCATAATTTGGAATTTGTGCAATTTGCACAAAAAATTACCGTGTGCAGCATCGAAATTGCTCACTCGACTGGCACAAAAATACCTTTGCAACATGGTTGATGGGAAAAAAAAATAGATGAGGCAATGCGGATTTCCCCGTCAATTTTCTCCGCTCAAATTGATATAAATTAAAATTTTAATAGGGTTTGCCCAGCATTAATATTCAAGCGGATTTGACCGTTTGTTTAGCGGAGAAACTCCGAGTTCTCTCATCACTAATGCACAAGGCTTTCAAGAGCGCACTCATTAAGTAATTACCTTTTCCACACATTGATATCATTTCAAAAGGAGTGCAAATTATGAGCTTTTCGTGCTCAAACAGACTTCATTATATATCGTCGTTATTTATTTAAAGTCGCGTCTGACTATTTAAAAAACAACCCGTGCATTAATTATTGAGTGGGAGGAAAAGTTAGTGAGCTCTGCCCGATGTTTTCACTAATGAAATTTATCTCAGGAGAATTTTCCCCCCTCCCGGAAGTGCCCGAAATTGCGTCGCCCGTGAACTTTTCCATCACGCGACGCTCCTGATAAGATAGCGTGAAGTGGGGTAAAGTAGGTCATCACTGTAGCTCAATGTATTCACATAACTTGTTGCTGATCGATGGCCTCGTGGGTGGAGCATGAGAGAAATCCCCGAGGCATCCAGGGGAGGCATTTCGGTGTGGGCGGATGGATTTTTCAAACACCCGTGGGCGCTCATAAACTTCCATGTTATTTCCAAATAGACAAGAGCACCTCGTCCTCCCATCAATAGCTGGCTGATATTCTCGCTGGCAGAAAGTGAGATTCCCTCCTGCAAACTTTGCATTTTCCCCACCCCGGAGAACTTTGACCTCAGACGGAGTGGGCGAACTCGATGTAATTAGCACTAAAATAATTGTTTGTCGCATGCAAATAGAATGGGGAAGTGGAGGCAATTGGGTTGATCCACCACTTGTTGAGTGCCACGCAATGAAAATGCTCACAAAAAGCCATGGAGAGCGACACTTGAGTTCATTTTCACCTCCAAGAGGACAACAATTCTGTCCATCATTCACCACTTTGCCCGAAATTAGACCCATTAGCGCCACAAAAGCTAGTAATTTTTGTCCTTTGTCATCCGTGGTCACGTCATGGCTCATCTTCGGCCGAATTTCAGTGCATTTACCGCACTTATTGAGCTTCCAATACTGAATGGTTTGAATTTCGCATGGCCAAAGGGTGTATAATTGGGATGCCTGGCTGAATGGGGATGCAATATAATCGAAGAGTGGAGCAATTGAAGTGCACCTAATTGGCTGTTATTGGATATTCTCGTTGCAGGAGTGCTCAATATTCCTGTTTGAGAAGCGATGTGCGGAGAAGCTGCACAAGCCGAAGCGCAAGGAGACGGTCACGGAGCTTCTGCGGGCCTCCGTAAAGCAACTGGAGCGATATCGCCATCCGAAGATGCTGCAAGTCATCCATCCTGTGGAGGAGTGTGGCGACACATTGGCCTTCGCCACCGAACCAATACTCGCCAGTTTGGCCAATGTGCTGGCTTTTCAGGTGAGATCAACCACCCATTCATCTCAATAACCCCCCGCCCAAGTGAAAGCTCAGGTGCGCCGCACACCAAAAGCTCTCACAGCGGGCAAAACTTCCGCTGGCCCTCATTGACAATCCACCCCCACAGCGCAGTGAATGAAGTAGCTGACATAAAAAATAAATTAACCCAGATGGTAATAAAAAAGAAAAAGTATTTGAAACTTTCTCCGGGGGGTGGAGAAGGAGCTAAAAGGAGCATTGACAACAGGCAAACTTTTCGCATCATCCCCCAAAGTCAATTTGCCCATCATCGGAGAGATTCCCCAACGTTTTTCTTCCATTCAACTCCCCAGTGATCTCGCTTTTTGCGCCACTCTCTCTCTGGAATCCTCCCCTAATTCACACTTAGCAGGACCGCCGATCCCGCATCGACGCGGGGGCGCTCAATTGGCAGCAAAAGGGTGGAAAGTGCGCGAGAAAGAGAGATGCGCGTGATAATTGAATGAAAATGCTCAGCAAATTGTCCAAAATACTCCTAAACACAAGAAATAAGATCAAAAACACAGAAAATACTACACAATATTGGTGTCAGAAGTGGGATAGATCATGAGAAAGTCTTCCAATGAAGCTGCAATGTCGCAATTAATCTGAATCTCCTCATGTTCATTTCTCTCTAATGTTGTCATCTTATTAGACTCATTTGATTCAGCGTTGTCTTCTGTACTCTTCTTTCAGTCCTCTCTAAATTACTTCTCTCTCTCTTGTTATTCTTGGTATAATTTCACGCTCCGCAATTTGAAACTTGACTCAAGATATGTTGGAAAAGATCGTATTGAGTCTCACGAAATCATTATATTATCCACCCCTGACTGGTCTTTGACGATAGACTCACCACCATCTTCGCAGTATTAAGCGATTTTGTGTGTTTCAGCGAAAGAAATTGACACTGGGCGGAAAAAGTTATGACAACATTTGAGAAATCTACATACAGAGAAACCATAGAATGTTTTGGGGTGGTGAAAATTTCAGCTGTGCAGAACAGCAACTTTACATTCCCAAATGGCACCGCCGATGGCGCTTGTTTTTCCTCCATCAAATGATGAAGAAAAATGTCTCTGAGGGTGGCAAAACTAATTCATGACTGTAAAATGTGTTCACCCACGCGCACCACCCCAATATAGAAAAGTTTCGCCAAAGTGGAAAAGTTAACTTATTAATGTGAGTCTTTCTCTAGTTTATTTTTCGTGTGTAAAGTGCTGGTCGTTTTTTTTTGTCGCCCTCTGCGTGAATCATTAGAATGACTGTTTGCAAATCCCATAGAACTGCTCAAACACACACACACACCCGCATGCTGAGGAAGAGCAAACAATAAACATTGCCCCCGTCCCTTCGGTGCAGATACTTTTGTAATTAAACGAGACACGTAACAAACACAAAACGGAGTGTAATTAGCTTCTCCATCTGTCCCAAAATGTGTGTGTGTGAACACAGAATTTCTTGGCAATTCCGTCAGGAGCTCAGTCACCTGGAAAGCCCCGAGGAATTGAGGCAATGTCGATGGGAATGTTCCTGGTGAAAATATCAGAAATTTTATGCACATTCGTGCTTAAACGCCGGGAACGCTCGGTTCTCGACTTGAAACATTTCCACTCACGGCGCGAATCCTAATTAACCCATCTCGATTTCTTGCGTATCAAATATCTCGTCAAGTGTATTTCAAGAAGCAAATACTTTTCCACCCACATTGAAATTGATACGCACTCACATCTGCACGCCTCCACTCGGAATAGCTCATCAATCTCTCTATTTGCTTTCGTCAAAATAATATGAATACGTCGTCGGCGAAGTTGATATTCTCCCGCCAAGGGCGGCAATGGTGTGGGTGGCACTTGAGAACATCCAACAAATCACTGCACTTCCAAAGCCCTTTTCCAACCCACGCGCCTTTGCTGGCTTTATGGTCAAAGCTCAGGGTGTGGTGAAGTCTCTTAATGTGTCCCCCCGCAGAAGTCTATCAGCGCTGGGAAATCGCTTTTCACGACTCAATAAAAGAAAATCCCTCACCCAGGACAATGAGGCGAACCCCGGAGAGATAAGACTTGATGAGCTCACCTGACAAACACAGGCGCTTCATGTCTGAAAGCCCGCACTAAATAAATGCCATTAACTTTCTCACCGACTAAAGTACCTGCATTTAAAGGGCTTTTAAGCTGAGGCGGTGGAAAGTTTTACCGTCGGATTTATTATGTGTCTTACAATAAAGCGATAATGTACTCAAGTTTCTGCATCAATTTTTTACCTAATTAATTGATAATTGCACAAGGAGCTTTCCATTCATGCAAAACTTTCCCACCGGAGGGAAAAGCTATTGCCCTCTCCGCCCTCAAATGCTATTAAGCGGATGAGTTTCGGAGAAGTTTCCCATCATCTCCCGGTGTCGTGGCTTTTCAGAACAGCTCAAACGGAGGAGTGAAATCTTCAAGTTTATGAAATGTTAAGCGATTGAATTATGCGATGCGAGAATCTCTCAGATTCATGCCAAACTATAAACATCAACAATGAACTTTTCAAATAGTTTTCAAAATTTTATTAACATCAAATGTACGATGTTCTGGTGGGAGAAGACCTCACATCTGCCAAAGAGAGAGAGAGAACTACATAAAGCAATTGTTCAGCAAGTTTATTGTTAGAGTGGAGGTTCTAAAAAATTGCACATCTTGCATCTCGAGGACAAACTTCTTGGCAAAGCACTCGCTCAACTGTTGCGCGAAACTATCTCACGAGCGAATGAATGAGCTACTCTCCCTCTCTCTCCCTCTGTTGCAGAAATCAAATTTAGATTCCCCTTTTGGAAAGGAAAATGGAATTGAGAATATGTATTCCGTCTGAGTTCAAAATCTATCCGGAGAAAATCCAACAGGAGTGAAAATCCTCAGTAGAGGATCAATAGTATATCAAGTTATGTCGTTGCTTTCATCGCCCATTGCTGTAAATTCAGTTTATCCACTGTGAGGCAAAGGAAGGTGAAGATTTTTCTTAAGGTCTTCTTGCAAAACGAACACGATAAAATTTGTTGATAAATTTAAGTGTTCAATAAGGTTTTATTACCAAAAAGATACCATAAACGTTGTGTATTCCACTTATTACAACACCCCGAAAAGGTCACGATAAAATACAATTTTGCAGATACGTCAGTGGGTGATGCATGCGACCACAGGTTACAAGAATAGATTAAAATTGTGTAAATCTTCAAATTCACCCTTCGCCCCCCGCGCCCTGAAAAACAGATTTAACGTGCTTCTGAGAGACTAAGCAGGAGGGAGAAAATTGGGGTGGTTTAGGGCCAATTGATAGGAATCAGCAATACCGAGGGCGTGTATACTTCTTATGTGATGATAATAAAATTCCCAAACCATCTCTCTTCCCTCTCTCTGTCCAGGAGTCGGGCGGCGGCATCACGGGACCACCGAGCACTGGAGCCTCGCAGGTCACCCCACCGCCGGGTGCAGCACCAAAAGCCCCGCACGCCAAGGAGTATCGATTTCTCGATATTGAACTGAAATATGGAATATTACAGGTAACATTTTCCATCTCACATGGCAATTTTGATCGCCCAAGTCCGTACATGCTAACGCAATAAAAGTCAATTCAAAGGAAGACTACAAATCCCAATATCGCCACCCAAATCCTCGCCCGACGCTCGCCCCATCGTAAATTTATATAAATGGCATCGGATATTTGTGTGATTACCTTAAGTGCTCACAGGCTGTGATGAGATACACAAAATCGATAGGAAATTACACACTCTGGATCGACAGACAACAATTATCGCGCCACCGCGACTTTCTCACTCAGAGATTTTAACTGATTGAAAAATGTCACAATCGAGTGTAAGTTCGAGAGCGAACAACACCCTCGTCGCGAAGTTCCTCCAGCCACAACTTTTAGTCATTTGACATGGCAAAATTGAGTGTGGCACAGAGTTGAGGGGAAAACTTTCGGCAAAGTTGATTAAGTGTGTTTGTCTTAGAGAATCAACTAAATCAAAATGTGGCGGAAAATTAGCGACTTGCGATAAATGCCGCTTTACACTGACTCTCACATTAAAGTGATGTGCTCAAGAGGGGAATTTACGAGGTGGCAACACTTTAGCGTATTATTTCAATCTCAAAATTGCAATTGAAAAGAGGAATAAGTGTGGAAAACTTGTGGAAATGTGCAGACAATAGTCTTTGTGGGGACTTAAACTTGTCTGTGGGCGGAGTTTCCGGATGGGCGGAGCTTAATAACCTCAGTGATGAAGCATCTGAAGAGTCCTAAATCCCAGCCGAGCTCAGAGACATGTGACAAAGGCGCTGCCACAACTTTCCGTGGCATCTTCTCACAGGGAGGAAATTGGCAAGAAACCCGGGGTGTTTTGTGGGTGTGAAATTTAAAATGAATCGTCAACCTGGAGTGTCCCTAATCCTCAATTTCATCCCCACATACCAATTATTATTCCACGTAGGATGAAAAGTTGTGGCCACTGAAGCCTTAGATAGTGAGAAAAGGATTTCTTCTGAGTGATGTGCTGAATTTAAAACGCTCTCTAAACATACATATATATATATATATTTCCAGATCATCGAGGCCTTGTCATTTCTTCACTATTCTGGCCATGTGATACACAAAAATGTCTGTCCCTCATCAATTCTGGTGACAAAGAAGGGAACGTGGAAGTTGGCGGGCCTGGAGTTCATTGGTGAGTTTGTGACTGTGCAAGAAGTTCAATGGACAATCTGAGCGCCTTTTCACTTGCAGAGCACGTCACTGAGTCAGATGCAGTTGAACCGATTATTTGTCAACCGTGGAGTTCGAGGCAGTCGAAGATGATGCAGCCAAATCTGGACTTTATGGGTGAGAGAGTTGTGAAGGAGCATCTCAAGTGGAGAAGTGAATTGAACGTGATTAACCCCTTTTGCAGCTCCTGAAATTCAAATCCGCTCAAGTTGCAGCATTCTCAGTGATATGTTCTCATTAGGAATGGTGATTTGTGCAATATTCAATCACGGTCGACCACTAATTCAAGCAAATAACTCCACTTCAGCGTATTTAAAGCAATTAGAACTGGTGAGTGAAAATCACATAATATTATCGATATCCACTGAGCATTAATTCCCCATTGAGCTCCACAAATTAAATCAATCCTATATTCGAATGGCTCTGCTCGTCAATGTGCAAATCGCATCAGCAAAATTTCATATAATAGCATTTCATGGAAAATCCTTGATGAGGATCTAGCTAGAAAAGAAAGTCATTAACGAGGAAATTCGCATTGTAAGTCATGCAGTTTGGCAAATGGAGTTCTCTGAGTGAAATTAGTTCACAGTTTTACGATTATCCTCACAACTTATTAAAACCATTAATGGCCACTAACCATAAATCCCTTGCGGTCGTTCTCGCCCACATTTCCCGTCCGGGACTCGAGCTGTGCAACCTCTCATCCATGAATTATTTCATTTGTAATTTATGCAAAAGTTCTCCGATGAATTGTCGAGATATCTCATGTGAAATTTAATGAGGACGTTTTCACCTTCTCTCACGAAAATCCCTTTTTGCCGCTTTTCATGTACCAAAAATGTATTCGTCGACATTATCAGCAAATACGCTAAATGAATGGCTTTAATATGTTCTCACGCTTTTGAGCTGGATTGCAAAGTGATCGATTTAATGTGGAAACGTGAGATTAGGGAGCTTTTGTACGTTTCTCCGTTTGATCAATTAGAGATCATTTGTTGTGGCAAAAGAAAAACACTTTTTAAGTATAAAGGCTTCTTATAAACAAACTCTTCAAACGTCCTTTGAACTCCAATAATAAGTGTTTTCACGAAGCTTTTCCTGACTTGCCAATTAGTTTACAGGAAGCTTTGTCGAAGATGATCTCGAATATATCGCACTTCTCGATTATCCTAATTAATTAACTTTTAATTGGACTCACGCGAAATGGCCAAAGCTCCTTCAGGTGTGCTGAAATGGCGGCGAGCTTAAATATTTCCCACTCGCAATAACCATGCCAGACTAAATGGTAATTACAGGCGAGTCATTTTCCATTTGCTCTCTTTTATTTTAATTATCCTCCTTCCTGCACGAGCGCAATTTCACCCCACTTGGCGGGGGGATAATTCTGCAAATAATTAGCGTGGGCGAGTCAAATGGAAAAGTGCACAACAAATCCCCAATCATTGTCCCACTGAGAGAATTGAATTTGTCCGAGAGCACAACCGAAAATGGATTTAATTATAGTGAGAGCGCATGATGTTCAGTGATTGGACGACGAGCAGTGCTTTTCACCGCTGGATTTATTCGCCAAAGCATCGACTAATCTCGTATTAGTGCAAATAGATGATTCTGCTTCTGATGGATTTATAGCCCGATGAAATAAATTGATGGTGATTTATTGCTGAGACATGCACCAACTATTACCATTTATCACCACCTGGGCAAATAAGAGTGGCTTCTAAGCACCTTTCTGCGGAATTGCACATCCATTGATCATTTCTCACCTCAGCTGAAGAAAAAAAACACACTCGCAATGTCATCCAAATCAATTTCAGAGAGCTTTTCATGTGAAGCAAAAAGCTCATATATTCTATGAATTATTTTTCACAATTTACGAGCAATCGCACTTTCTTGATAACAAAAAAAATGGTGCAATTTCCTCTCGTGTTATGGGAGAAAAGTCTGCAAAATGCGCAAAGCTTGCAACAAATTAGCGCGCTTTTAACAATTTCCGTCCCACTTTCCCTAATGCGCCTTGCCTTTCGCCACCTATCGTGGAGTTTTATTCTGATGATGGAAAAAAGCAATTTTCACCATATTATAAATCACTTTGTAATGCTCTTTGCCTTCCAGTTGGACGATGGTGTGCACAACATGCTTCCGCGCGTTCCAATTCCACTGCAAGAAGCAACATCTCGGCTCGTGAGCAAGGAACCCACCGCTCGACCGACCGCTCAACTCCTTCAGCTGATCAAATATTTCGCGTAAGTGGAGATTAGGCACTCATTGTCTCAAAGACAGTCCTCAATTCCACTCCATTTCACCCTCTAGCAAATATCCTGTCAATTCTCTCCTCCTGTTTGTCATTCGCCTTTGTCGAGTCACACAATTTCCTTCCTCTCGCCCTGCCGCTTATCCTGTTGCACACACTGTGAATCTGGCACAATTTGATATACTGTTTATGCATCTGATAATGCGTGCAATCAAGTGCAGATTTGAATAAGGAAACCTCGAGAATTCCACTCCAATCTTCCATCTCAATGGTCAAACATGCTTCTGGTTCTGGGCGTCTAATTATGCTCAATATGAAAATTCCACAAACACAATATTCGAATGCTCGCCCGAATGCCTAAGAATTTTTTTTTTCTCTGTTTGATCCTTAATGGAAATTCCACTGTAATTATTCTAAGCCGCCTGACAAACAAGCGCCTGAAAGTCAATCACTTGAATACTATAAATTTTCCACACAATATCTTTAAAAAGCTCTCGCTGCTCATGTGAATAATAATCTGTGCCACGCGCTGAGTTGAAGAGTTTATTTTTGCTCTGAGGAAATCAATATTTTGCTATTCGCATTTATTCAAAATAAACATCAAACGAAGTGTATTCGACAAATGTGACTTTCCAAATTCCTCTGCTGATGGTGCTAAAATATAACTCATTTGGGCGTATTTTATCCGCTTTACTTTGGAAATTGCATTAAATGTGTAAATTAATTTCTCCTGTATCTCACTCAATTGCGCCACATCATTGAAAAGGTTGAAATTCAATTAATTTCCATTTTATTCACCGTATTGCTGATGAATTGAAGGACAAATTATCATTTTATAGTTCATGTATGCTATACAGGATTATAATTTAACAAGATAATTGAACTTAATATGCTGAAAATATAGCGAAAATTCACGCAATCAAACAAAATTGACACAATTAGGACGTAAAAATTAAGTAAAAATCAATGATTATGAAATTTCAGAGACGAATTTCACCTTATTCTGTTCAGATACTCGTAATTTATGTTCCTGATCTCGCTTCATCGCGTTCAATTCACAGTCGAGTTGAGATTCTGTTTTGGCGCCAGCTGAGGAAGATGATGCAATTTTTGCCAGAGCATGAGAATTTTCAATATCCCGTGCTAATGGCATTGCTTAGGCGGTTGTTATGGCGCAGCTTAATGAACATGGAAGGCTTCATTGCCACATACGAGTGCGGTTTGTCTGCGTGTGAGGGATGTGGCACGAGTGGAGATAAGGATCGTCACAGGCCATGGAGGACGAGGCCTGCCGACCGCAGAGCGGCATGGGAACAGGGTGGCGGAAACTTAAATGACTTTGTCACTCATCTCCCGGAAAACTCACTACCTGACGCCTCTCTCGCTCCATCCGGACCAGAGGAGGATGTCGATAAATTTCCCTGTGTGACTCTCACACGAGCACCACATGTTGTATCTTTTTTCCCTCCCCCCACGAAAAACATATTTAACTGAAGAACATAATTTTGTCATTACCATTAGACACAATGCCATCACATTAAGCTCATTATCCTCAATCTCACCAGACAGCAAAACATCCCGGCAAGTCAACATCTGAGGCTTGTCAAAGAGATATTTTCCCCCTGGGATTAATTGATTCCCATCACTGGCCTCGCATCGAAAGTCATCTCGCCATGAGAATTAATTTACTCAAGAAATATTGCTTTGGTGCAAATTGGATGATGAGAGAATATTGAATTACTTGTGAGGGAGATTTGGGATTTGCTGATGCCACAAATGTAACGATTTCCCGGTACGAAAATGAGAGAGAGAGAGATTTATCAGGCGGTGGAATTGATATGGATTTCCCGCCGGATATTGCAAAAAAGCATGGGGAAAAACCCTGACACATTTCATAATGAGTGTTCATGTCGAACATGCAGTTTGCGCTGGGGGTGTAAAAAACTACCTCAACTTATCCAATTAATTAGCTCAGCAGCGCAGAAGAGAAATTAATTTTCCTTTAAACTCTATCTCGTGCCATTAATTAAGACCACCCACGCGGGATTTTTCTGCATTTATTGCGCCAGCACACACAGATAAGCTGAGAAGCGCGCGCGTTAAATTGAAAATTATCACTCAAATTGCCAGGACGCGAGGAAAGCTGTGGAGAGCATTAAATTCCTCCAGCAAGAGTAGCGCGCGTGTCGGAGAGTTTTCCTCAGCAAAGATGCACTCATGAATGTGTGTTTTCATGTGTTTCAGCGATCCCGCAGTCCATGCCCTCCAGTTTCTCGATGTGATAAACATGAAGGATTCGCCGCAGAAGGTGAACTTCTACCGGACAACACTCAAAGACGTCCTTCCCTACATTCCCAGGGTGAGTTTTGCGCTCAGCTTCGCACTGACTTTCGCCTGACAATTGCCTCTCTGTTTGGCCACAGAAATTGTGGTGGCAGCACGTCTGGCCCTCCCTTCAGCCCGACCTCAAGACGCAGGACTCTCTGGCAGCCGTCCTGCAGCCCATCCTCGTGCTGGTGCAGGAATCTACCGTCGAGGAGTACGAGGAAACTATTCTGCCCATTTTTCGGTATGACACACACACTTCCGCAACTTTTCCCCATAAATATTCCTAGTCCACTCTTCGCCTCAGGAAAAGTTAAACTTGTGGAATTCCACACGAGAAATATTGAGGCAAACATTCCATGAATTTATGAGATTTCTGCATTAGAAGAATATAAACTTGGGCAGGTGAAATATTTTTTCTTGAATACAGCCAATGAATGCTTAGAATTTACTGACAAGTTCATTTCGCTGACCAATGAAAATTTATAGATGTTTAATCCGAATTCGAACTACTTTTCGTTAGTAAAGCTAAATTAAAATTTATTTTCATAACTCTTCACGTTTCTTTACCAAAGTACTTCATTTTTTCATGAGCACGCAACCTCAATTAAAAGTATTTGAAGCAGAAATTCCAGCACTAAAACTCGGTCAGAGTCGCTTCTGCACCTCATTTTTATATCATCATAATCATGGAGAATTCCCGCTGGAACTTCTCCGGCAATAGTTGTAGGAAATTGATTGAATGCATGCTGTAGAGGAAGTTTGATCCTCTTATTTGTGAGATATATGTTCTCACACCGATACTCGATTGCCACGGTTGAGGAAGGAGCTGCAAAAGGTGTATTATGCCAAAGCACTGAGAGAGTAATGAATTATTAAATCCGGTCAGCAGTGTATTGTGGCAATTTCTAAGCCCAATTCAAAGTGTATTTGCGACAGATTTCCTTCTGTCACCGGACAAACTTTTCCCGCATGAATTAATGTGGAAAAGACGAGAGATTGGGAGTCTATGAAAAGTTGTGCGCGGGGAAAAATTTGCATGTCTAATGTGGAGAAAGTTAAGTGTTTTCTCACACTCTTCGACCAGCTTCCTCTTCGTGTCGCCTAAAACTGTCCAAGCCACGGTGACGCTGCTGGAGAATTTGCATTTAATTCTGCTGAAGACGTCCCGCGACGAGATCCGCCTCGAGATCCTCCCGCTCCTCTTCAATGCCTTCGAGAGCACCACAATTCAGGTGCAGGTGAGTCTCGAGTGTAACTTTTGATTGATATTCCGTCGCAAATTGCTTTTCAATTAAAACTTGCGCCAGAACGCCGCCCTCGTGGCTGTCATCAATGTGTACGAGTATCTGGACGAGATGGCCATCAGGCGGATGATCCTGCCCAAGATGAAGCTTGTTTTCGAGAAGAACCAGAGTGACCTTAAGATTATGGCGAATGTGCTGCAGTGCATTGAGAAAATCTTCGACAAGCTGGACAAGTCGCAGATCATCGACGAAGTCCTCCCGCTGCTGTGGGAGGTGCGCCTCTCCGATCCCGAGATAATCCTGCGTGTTGTGCGTGAGTATCAAATTTATGTGACCATTGTTCTGTCAAGTGTCCTCGCTCATATCAGAGGAAGTCGACAGGATGGGAGACCGGGGAAAAACTAACGAACTGGAAAAATGCTCCTGAAGAAAAATTGACAAGGGATTTTCATTCTCTCTCCGCACCCCATCTCCTTATCTTCCCTCCACTCCTCCTCATCAGAGATAAGGCAGAAAATCGCACGAGCGACTTTCATAATTTCAAGGGAGATTTGTCGCCTTGCCAATCACCAGAATGCCAAAAAATACCCCCAAGATCTAACCCTGTGCGCTTCGCTCGCAACACTTTAAAAAGCTCCAACTGACAGGGGACCGAAACCGCTGTTCGTGACACATTTTCATCAGGCACATTTTTCCACTGTCGACAATTCAAAATGATTGAAATTAATTGCCATAATTTATTTTTATGTGATTCCCTCACTTGTTAAACGAAAAGCCTCACACACAAAACTTTATCTCGCACTGCAAAGCCAATATGTTATGTGCATTGCCACGCTCATGTGCGGGAAATTGCAAAAACGCCACAGCTTAAAACAAATAATAAATTTTCACTCGTGACATTTGTGGATTCGCTCCCAGAGAGAGAGAGAGAAAAAAATACTGCGGTGACACGGAAATGCCTCGGCAGGAAAATCCACGACATTCTTTTTGGGGTGGATTTTCTGTCCCCCAAACGTCAGTGAAGTAAATCCAATCAACGGCCCCAAAGATATCGAGAGGCTATTATTGCAAACAATAAGAGTCCACTTGTAGCGCTCGGACTTCTATTAATAGCGAACACTACTCCCGATAAGTCCAGTGTTTGTCTCTTGATCCATTGAGTCAGTGGTGATTTCCGACCAGTGTAGCATTTCCTTATGCCCTCCCACCCTCGCTCCGCCACCCACACGAGCGGGGTGCGATTCTGAACGCTCCGGGAATTGCGGAATATTTTCACACGTCTTCCGAATAGTTCGCACAGGCTTTTATGCCCTCTATTTGACCAAGAATCTCTCTGTTATTGCAACTATTCTCCGCATTTTTCTCTAAATATCACATTTCATTGACCATGAACTTATGTTATTGACTTGAATGTCATCACAAATAATAAAAAAAAGAAATTGTTCGAAGTTTTCTCGCTTCTGGATTTTAAAGACTAGGAATTTTCAGTTAAAACCACTTCGTGGATACAGAAAAAGTGAAAAATGCAACGTGTTTTCTTCTCATGCTGTATTGAGACTTGAAAAGCAATTTTGACCTTAGAATTTCACATCTTCGTGACATTTTCAATCTTAATTTTGCCATTTGCAAACTCCAGAGCTTATTTTTCCCCGGTTATATAAAAATCAAAAACCGGTGATTTTTATATGATTTCCTCTCAAAGAGCGTGCAAATGAGAAAAGCTTGTTTTTGTGAGTGCTGAAAATTACCTTTCTACCATGTTTAAATAGGCGTGTTGACGAACAAAGAGCATTACAGGGATTTTTGGAGCGACAAAATGTGGATTTTATCGCAAAAATTCACGCTCACCATTAATTAACGAAATTCCGTATATAAATGAATTGACGGGAAATTGATTTTTCTCCATGTGGGAAAAAAATTGCCATTTTCAATTTATTTTCCAACGAGAGTGGCGCGCGAATAATGGATATTGTGTAAATTAATTTGCTTCTACATAGTTTGGATATTTTGGGACGCTTCTTTTATGATCGAAGATCGCCTCATCAATTTAGTGGCGAACAGGCCATTTGTAGGGGGAAATTTATGATTGTTTCTCATCACTCTTCCATCTCAATTATGCCCTTTTTATTGGGCGCACTTGCTGCTCCACAAATTTATGTCACAATTAAGGTAAGAGACGTCCCGAGTCCGTGAGGCAAACAACCTGAAAATTGGACAAATGACAGACGTAGAAAAAAATCGATTACGCCGCCTCCCAGTGAAATTTTCCGGGGGCCCATCTTCAATCAATTACGTGCGAGAGAGCGGGCGGAGAGTGGGTGGGCGCCCCCAACTGTGTATCATCTTTATTGTCTATTCTTTTCCCTGTCATTCGCCCCGGTCCACCCACGAGAAATGATCTCATATTTCAGGAAGGTGGTGAGAGGCCGGCAAATCCCACTCATAAAACCACGGACATGGCGGAAAATATTTATTCTAGTGAAAAAATATTTATGTTGAGGAAGATAATAGTCGGGAGGAAGTGAGCGCCCATTTTCCTTGTGCCGTCAGACGCCAAGGAGCGCGCCCAGGAAGACGAGGAGGAAGAGGATAATTGAGGAAGGGTTGAGAAATGTGTCGATTAGTTTCATTACATCACGTTTTGCGCTTCAGTCCACCTTTTTTCCACGCAAAAGCCCCTCACTTGTGTAGCCTGGCAAAGCTCCCTTCGTGAAATTACATATTTTATCTAGACAACTCCATCCTTTGACTACACTTTTTCCCTTTGTCCTCTGCCCAACACCTCGCTGTGAGGGACACGATGGCCAAAATAACAACTCTTTCGCCCATGACTTTGAAGCATTGGGAAAAAAAGGAGGGAAAAGTGAGATTTGGGGTGGATTAAAAAAGCGTGCTCTCGCTATGATGATACGAGGTAATGAAAGTGCTGTGCAAATAAAAGGGAGAACATTACTTCAAATGAAAAATTTACACGAAATTCCACGAGGAATTCTTTCTTGCTTTTTCCATCAATTTTCACATTGAGACATGCATAAAAATCGTGCACGTTTCAACAGTGAATTCAACACTCAATCGCTGAATTTTCGCATGAATACCAAACTGCAAATAGTCGATGAAAAATTATTCAAATTCAACACTTTACTCTTTCATGATGTAAGACTTTAGTGGAAGGACTAGAAGTCTTTTTCTCGTCTACTTTTCATCACTCAACATGGCCAAACGACGGAAATTGAAGCGGAACATTTCAATCAAGACTATTTTTCCAACACATCTTATTCAAATACATTTCTAATTTTGGCACTAGAACTTGATTCACAGTTCATACTATCGTATTCCTGTCTGAAACTACCCCACTCTCCCCTAACTCTGAAGATGTGAATCTTGAAGTTGTGCTGGTAATCTCTGAGGACGTCTTGCAATATGTAAAGTTTCCCTTTGGCAATAAAATTCACGTCTGCGCCCATTTATAGTGTCACCCGACGAGGAGTTGTGTAAAATCAGCAGTGTGACACAAGTTATGTGAAAGGCGAGCGAACTTAAAATGATATTCATGCTGAAACTTTGGTCCTCAACTTGGCGACATTCAAAATCAACGACAAAAGACCCTCCAATTGTCTCGACGGCGCGGGGACATTTTGCGCCCACCGGAATTGTGCTGAGGAGAAGCTTCAGAAATGACTCTCAACTTTTGCCAGCGTCACTAATGAACACTACATGGAAAATCACAAGCCTAGGGCGCAAAGAGGTGGCAAATGAGGGAAGAAAAATCCCCAGTAAATTGAGGTAATTACAGGTATTACCCAGGTGAAAGCCGTGGCGAAAGAAGTCTGATGAGGACTTTTGAGAGTGAAAAATCACAGAACAAGGGCCACAAATTACTGCTGATGAAAGTGACGACGATGGGGAGCATCTTTTCGTGCTAATTTGAATAAATCAGGCAAACGGAAGTGTCCTCCAGTCGTCTGTCCTGCTGGAGATGCTATAATATCCCCCTTTGCAGACGGAGAAAATGAGAATGCAGAGGAGGAAAAAATCTCACTCTTTTCTCTTCTTCTTCTTCTCCCTTCCTAATGGACGATGAGAAGTTTCGAGAGCTTTTGATGCTGTATAGCTTAGGAAAATTCGCTCATGAATGACGTCTACGTGGAAATTTGCTGAGCTTTCAGTTTTTACAGCGACAGCAAAAGGGAACGAAAGCCTTCGAATGAAATTTAATGAGTAAATAAAAGTGGTACTTTCACCGTCCGAAACGACGCCCACCATTTGGTTAACATTGCATCTTGATTTGCTCGACTGTCGTTCATGGATTATTAAAAAAGCCTCCTAACAAGAATGGGTTTCACTCACATTTTTGATGTCTCCAAAGTCATTTGCTTGTCTGTACTTAAGTTGAGGGTGTATTTATAGAATGGCGCTCAAGGCGGAATGGGAAAGAGGCCACAAAATTTGCATGGGAAATTCCTTCGACACTCCACAGGGGATACTTTTCTTCGTATATCCTAATTTTAGCTGTGGAAAATTCAAAAACCCACTAAATTCGCTCCGGGCCATTCGGAAAAATCAATCAAAAGCGCCGCGCACAACTTTGCTGCCATGCCGGAAATTCCATTGATAAATCACATCGAGATGTTTTTTTTTTTGGAAAATCTTGTGTATCGAATATTTCTGCAAAATATTTGGATTATGAGTGCGGGAATGCATAGTTTTTTTTCTCTCATCTCCTTGTTTACCATTCGCCAGAACATATTTCACAAAATATTCCCAGCGTCAATATTATTCAAACATTTCCACGCATGGCAGAAATATTTTCATGTTGTCAGAGCTTAACATAAAATTTAGATTAATTGCAAAAGTTTACATTTTCCCTGGCGGCTCTAGTTTTGAATTTTGACTACTGATTATGTGCAACCAGTTGCAAATGGACAATGAAGCGATAAATGCCCGAGGCAGCAATTTTCGCCAACTGATTCACCCGCACGTAGTGCAGATTGATCCAATAAATAACATCACACGCCACGCTTAGCTGAAAAAGCTCCGCAGCTGAGGCTCAGCGGCGGCTCGGACATCATCATCAGGAGCAATGACGCACTCACTAAACACAAATCGATGGCACAGACAAGGATCTATTTTTGGTGCGACGAATGTCACAGTGTGTATACTATGGCCGCACGGCCACATTATTATTATGTATTTGCAATCAATCAAGCAGTTGGTGGAGCTTTTAGAACAACCGCACAACAACCAGGCGCCTCCACCGAGCGTCATGTGGTCACACTGTGAGATCCAATTATAAGACGACGCTGGGAAGATGGCGGGGAGACCTTCGGTGCTCACCGGAGGGATTTTTTACCATCCACTGTCAGCACAGGGGACAGGTGGTGCGGGGGAGCGCGTAATTGGGTTCTGATTTCAAATTGAATAAATTAAATACACATAATTTAGTGGAATCACTTTGGGTGGCGTCGTTCGTCAATGGAAACATGACACGCAGATTTGTCAAGGCACGTCTCATTGAGTCCTCCCACTTCTCGTCTTGTGCTTTGTCTCGCCCTCCGAGCGTAGGAATACAATATTGTCGAGGCCCGAGGCGCAGGAATCGAACGTGTCACTCGACCAGTGAATCTGTCAGCAAATTTTAATGATGTTCCTCAATCACGGAAAATTGTTTTCTATCCCAGTAAAGAAATCAGTTTACCGATGAAAATAATCTGTCAGCTCACGATGAAGTGAGTGTGTTTAGCACTGGAAAAGTTTCAGCGCTTTTCTCAGCAAATTCTCACGGATGTCGTTAGAGTTTGAATTGGAGAATGTGAACAGGAAAAAACTTCGTGAGATACAAGAAAACACATTCTCAGAGATAAAATACACCTGCTGAGCTTGCAAATGATGAAAAACCAACAACTTCTAGCTTTTACTAATAATTAAAGCTCTTTGAGATAAGAGAATCTTTCCACAAGTCTAAAACGGTGACTGAAATCAAGAGAGAAGAACACAAAATCTCCTCTCTTCTCTGTACAGCATGACACATTAAAATACTGTGAACAGTATTCAGTTTCTCCCCAGAGTTCGTCAATTGACTCATTACATTTTCTCAGAGGCACTTTTTCCCCCTGATCGTCCCTGGAGGAAGCGTGGGGAGCTCCTCGTCTCGCCGCAATGCTCCCAGCAGGAGCAATAAGCAGAGATTAACATGTGGTAAACCGTACAATGAAGATAAATGACATGACATGGAAGATTTTAACATACGCACTTCATCGAGGCAAATTGCCTTCGCATGCAATTGAGAAGTGTGTGATGGATAAGATCTCATGGATTTGCTTTATTAGGCCAGAGAATAGATAATTCTAAGAAAGATAAATGCTGCAGTGTTGCCAAAAAGCCCCGTCAAATAAATCATCTTGTTAACCTGAGCAAAAACACTATGAAAATTTAATCCCTAATAAATTGAGCTTTGGTTTTTCACTCAGTGCTTGATGGCCAAACATTGGGCGCATAACCTAAATATGCGATTCTGGGGTAAATTTATACTGAAAATCATCACTTTGTATTTTATGTTTGGGGAATTCATGAGACGAACGAGGAAGTGAAGTGTTGAAGCTGTGATTCATTAAAATGGCAGATGGAATTGTGTCGAAAGCTCTGTTCAGGCACTGCGCGTCCGCACAGAGTCCCTTTTCATGAGCAATGAATTGAAAATGGGACAAGAGTTTTCCCTCTGGGGCATTTTTGGCACAGAAGGTCCCCCCCAATGTTTCCCAAGGATGCGCATATATTTTGAATGCCGAGCTCTGGAATTATTGTTGGACAATTCTCAAGCTTAAAAATTTAAGGTTCTCTCCGGAATATTTGACTTTCAATTCCTCGATTCGCACACCCCTTGACATGAACTCAGCGACAAAGATCTCATGAAAATCCCATATGTAGAAGGGTTGTGTGATAAATATTTAAGGATTGCTCATGTTTCTGACAATTCCTTTCTTCCCTTCTTTTATTCAGACATCTACAGAATAATGCTGAGCGACAAGAAGTACGGACTGTCCGTGAATATTATGGCCACCAGAGTGATGCCGTCTCTGCTTCCGCAGACCGTCAATCCCTCGCTCAATCTCGAGCAGTTCACCATCTTGCTGGAAGTGAGCATCTTCGCACAGGAGACGCGCGCGCTGGGAGAACACTAACTGTCCGCTGATTGCAGGTGTTGCAGGAGATGCTGGATCACATTGATCGGCAGCAGCGCAACAAGCTGAAGCTGGACAATCTGTCCATTCCATCTCCGGAGCGTCACAGACCACTGCGACACCAGTTCTCCTCGGACAATATGCATGTGCCGCCCTTCAACATCCCCAATTTGCGCATCGACCAACGAAAGACCTCCAGCGCCGAGGACATGGCACGAAAGAATTCAACAGGTATGCGCAAATCCCTTTCCCATGGCCAGCGGCAGATAATTTGGATATTACGCACAAGCATGGAAATGTTTTCGCCAAGAAGCGCCCCCCCAAGTCCGCCGCCTTATCTGTGGCCTGGGCGAAATGAAATTAATCCCTTTGAATCATCACAGCTCGTCTCGCACAGTGCGAACGCAAACTAGTGGTGCGGAAAAGGTTAAGGGATGAATATAGAGATTTTAAGGAGATTAACTTATTCAACACTAGACAGAACATCGCGGCAATCCTGCTGATGTTGCAGACAAATGTTTCTCAATTCCTTATGAAAATCATTCCGTGATAATCCTGGGATTTTTCCTTCAACATTTTATCTGTTTAGAAAAAATTCCCCGAAAGTCTCAACTTGGATTTGTGACTAAATTGAGCAATAATTATGTAGAAAAAACTCTATGTTTACACTTAATCAGAACACAAAAGGGTTCCAAAGATCTTCAAATATTCGCTAGTGCGCAGTTTCAAGTGCTTTCTGCAACAAAAATGCCTGGGATCACATCTCATCTAATCGGGTTAACGTCTTGCCACTTGATATACAGTAATTGTACACACACTCAGAAAGGCTTTCGCCACACTTGTAGTCTTTCGGCACTAAAATATTCCGACCCGTGGCTGGTTTGCGAAAGGTGAGAGTGTCGAAAATCTGCGGAAAATGTCTTTGAAGCATGATAACTGGGGGTTTTAGTGTCGATCTTGTCGTCGTAAAACATCCTAATCTCTGTCTGTCTATGCAATTAACAGGACTTTTCACTCTCATAAAATTTCCCCAGAAAAATCAAATGCCATCAGCATGAGATTTACGACCGCCACTTCCCTCCGGAGCGTATGCGTGTGTGTGTGTGTGTGTGTTTGGGCTGCAAACCACCCCGGAGAATATTTTATATTTATTAATTTGAACCCTCCGAATGCTGACATCGTAAAAAGCTCTCCTCGTGCGCGAATGGAAATTTTTCTCGCGCATGAAGATTCATGCAACAGGAGTGCACTTTTGCGGGATGTTTTGATGGATGGCTTGAATTAAATTCGGAGCACGGCGCAGATGAGACTCTCCTCAGGATCCGCGTGTGTGTGTCGTGAGGATGTGTGAAATGGCATTCGCGGAATTACCACCTTGTTGTGTCATGTTCCCGTGCGTTATTGCCACTAAAAAGTGGGCTGGTGGCGGGTGTGGGTGGGCGCACGCCCAACAATTCCAATCCTCAATGTCTCGCAACACACTGACACAATGTGGGTGGGTGACTCTTGAATTGAAGCATGTTTACCAAGAGCAAAATGAAATTTAAGAGTCTCTCCTCCGCCTTTGGTGAACACGAGGAAACACTGAAAAGCTCATGTTTATCTCCATATGAAAATTTTATCTCCCATGTGAATTGAATTCCTGCTTATTTGACAAGCTCATGTTTTAGAGAGGCTTCGCCCCAAACCACTTTATAGCATGTGGAAGACGTGGATTTCCACTTTCGATCCGTCGCGAACTGGAATTCATTTGCAATGACTCGAGGTGGATGGCTTTTCACTCTCGCAAGAGCGTACGGAAAAAATTTAATTAAGATTAGATGAAAGACCGACTGTGAACCCCGTCTTTGCACAGACAAACTATGGACGGAGAACTCTCACCGCATTCACAGCTAATCTTCACACCATCTCACCTTGTGCGCTCCAATCAATTGCTTCATTGCCTCGATTGCTTGACCTCAGCTGAACCCCACAAACTCCCATCCATTCATGCAAATTTCTGAGGTCGAAGGTGACTTAACCGCACAAATCAAGCACTCATCCATTGAATCCAATTAGCCAATCTTCCATATGCTCCAGCTGTCATTTTGACAGTGTTTTCTCTGTCAGTGTCAAATTTTAAATTCGAATTCTAACATATCGCGCTACGTGTATTTCTATGTGAAAATTGTGAAGTGCGACTTTGCAAATATTTACTCTCAATGCCACTCAAAAGGTTTTTGTGTGAGCGCGCTTTGGCAAGTCAAACTTCCTAATCCACATAGTAACGAGGATTTCCCGGGGAATTTTCGCGCTCCGTGATTGACAGGGATATTTGTGCAAAATTTATGCAGCTGCCATGCAAATTTATCGGCACATTTAAATATTCGAGTTCAGGGATTTAGAGACACATCTAATCGATTCACCCGCAGCGCTATGAAAATAATATCTATAATTCCATGCGTGGGAATCACGATGGGCGTGCGATGAAGTTCTTGCGAGAGGAAGTGACGAAGTTAATGTATAAATCTCTTCCACGTTGTTTGCCATAATGCGTCTCATATGAAATGTGATTTTCCCCAATCTACATACACGAGAAGAGGGTATTTTTCACTTCCTGACGCCTCATCTTCTGAGTGGGTGGTTTTAGTGAGTCAACCTCCATGAGGCGCGCCGAGCAGACTTGAGACATTTGTCTAGAGGGTGGCGGACAACAATTTAATTGCCAAAATAATACATATATAAAACCCTTTTTTGGGGGAGCAATTTTCCCCACTCGACGCGCAAGAATGTGCCGTGCGATGCCTCAAAAGGAGCCGTCTTCGCAATGACGATGGCGCAAACAAATGGCACGACATTCATCACACACACTCCGCATCCGAGAGACGAGGAGATACTAAGCCATGGCAAGAGCCACCCTCCCAATCCACCTTGAATGTGCCTAATTTAAATTCAGATAGTATTAAGATCAAGTTAATTTACCCTTTCCGATGCGAAACATCCTTATAATTATTTATACATTCATTTTGATACAATCCATCTCCCTTTTCTGCTCGTGCCCGAGTTGAGAAAGTGTCTAGATCGGATCCGCGCGCGCCTCTTCAGCCCCTCAACTCCCGATCGCAATGTCTGCATTGCGACCCGAGAGACTCAAAGTATCGCTAAGTGGTTCAGTGCCGCGCTTTTTTCCGCTGGGGGATGAAGTTGAGAATGAAGCAGACAGCAACTCTCGGGGTGAAATCATAAATGATTCACTCCTCGTCACCCTCACTTCGCAACTCCGCCCTCGCGAGTGTGTTGTGTGCCACCGCCAAACCCCACATTTGGCTTTTCCCACCTCAAGCTCGCCTCCCAATCAGCCCACCGGCAATAAGACAGTCTGATGATGCTATCGGGAATTTCGAGCTCGCGCCAATTATTAAAAACGCCGCGGAGAAGCGAGCTGATAGATTTAACCTTTTCACACCGCGTGATCTTGGCAGGTATTGGCAATTTTGCTCGCCGAAAACCAAATATCGCTTTTATGTAAGGCATTGTTAACACGTATCCGCCATTTAGGCTCCAATCAAGTGTTCTCTTTGCCAATAAACTTGTCGTTCAAACTTAGAAATGAACATAACTCTAATTCATATACATGTATTTGAAATTTGCCTCCGCTTCGAGAGAGAATTAGCCATCAAAACGAGTAAAAAAAGGGATAAAATGCCAGTTTTTTCGTGACATATCGCATTAGAGATTGCTTTGAGCATGAAGAGTAAACAAACCGCAGGAAAACTCATTTTCTAAGCTAATAGCCGTTAATTTCATTTACGTAAGAAGCGGAGGTAGAAATTCAAATAAGACACGCGTCGCATTTTTCCCCAAAATTAAGTCATGTGCTAAACCCGAAAATCTCCTCGAGAACCATGCGGCATTTCCGATGATGCTCTCCAATTATGCTTCTACAAGATTCATCCATAATTCCGCAGAGTGAATTTATTTGTGCTCCACAAACTGGATTTTCGCATGAATAGATGGCAATATTGATTATCATAGAATTCGTGCAGCGAGTAAATACGTGATATTAAATAAATATTTAATATCTCTCAGTGAATATCCATGGAATATATTCGGTGAAAAATGCAACTTGAGATATCTGTGCGCATCTCTTTGATATTCGAGGATTTTCTCTCCAACAAATAGGGATGTTAAAGTGGAAACTGCATCAAAAACAAGCTGCAAAATTCACAACTTATGTCTTGTTCACGGATTTTCCGCTCGTCTTTCATCATGTGGAAAATTCTGGGAAAGCTCTATGATTAAACATTACAGAGAGCACAAGTCATTGGAAAATCATAACACATTAAATGTAAAAATTAAAAATGCAGAAACATGTTTTCAAAGAGCGCAACCTTGACTCCCAGATTGTACACATTTGCAAAGTCTTAATTACGAGAATTCACTGATTCGCGAGGATTTCTTCCGCTGCAGTTGCCTTGGGAGCTCCTCGCCCCAATTAATTAAGTGCCAAGGGGAGGTCGAGGCTGAGATAAGTTCCCCCAGAGACGTGGTCAGTTTGAATTCAAATGCTGTGGCGCACTCGAGGCACTTTGGCCTGAATTATTTCGCCGTTTAGAAGAAAACATTCCACTCGAGACGGGAAATTTAATGCCAACACTCGGGATCTCGGCCGAACATGCAAGCGCATGGAAATAATTTTAGTTTTCCACCCTTCGTGGCAAAAGTTTCGCCCCACCAAATAATTCGCAATAGGGCGGTATAATTCTGTGCATGATAGCAGTCCATAAGACGAGGGAGTAACTTTGGGCTGTCTTAGTTCTATATGGGGTCCTGTTTGTGCTTTCTAACTCTCCCAATTAGCTCCTAACACTCTACTCGGAATTTTATGGTACAACAGTTACAACCTATGGAAAATGTTCCCAAACGACCACAAATTTTCCCTCCACAGTCATTCCTAATTGCCAGTCTGAAATATAAACTGAGAACTCTCAACAATAACTGAGTTTATCAATGAACTTCTCGACATCAGAAAGTCATCTTCGATACAAACGAGATAAACACATAACGAACATCAAAACTTCTGGATATTCGGGAATACAATATCTAGGAAACTCGTGTTTAAAATCCCATGTTTGAATTTTCGTTTTCACTAAACGAAAATACAGAAACGACTTTTCGAGTCGAATGTCCGCATTAACATGGTAAAATCTGAGTTAAATCTACGCTACAGACCCTAAAAGGTTGACTTTAAACCTCACTTGCACTATATTCTCCTCCAGGATCAGGCATGCTAGGCGGATGGTGGTTCGGTGGCTCCCCCTCTTCGCCGGACAGCAACTTCCTTCGCGTGGCGAATGCGTTCCCGAACCGCCGCCTGTCGGACAACACGCTAATGACGCCCAAGATCCGCATCGCGCCATCCTGCGCCTCGTCGCCGGGCGGCACTCCCGGCGGCGGCCTGCCCATTCGGCGCCACTCCAGCATTGGACCACAGGAGCGCCGCAGCTCCGCCATCAATCTCTCCCCACCGACTGTAAGTATCGTCGCGGCGGCCGCGCAGGCCGTCAGCGCTCTCTTCATTCCAACACTCACGACATCTCTCATCCCATTTTTGTCTGTCGAGTGCTACCCCACAGAGGGCCTGTCATTCGTAGTCTTTCCGCGCTCACGCTGATTTTGATCGATCCACAAGGTGGAAGTTCACATCGCCTGTATATTTGAGCATTTCTCTTAGTTTTGCCACGCTTAGGATAGAATTTGCGTAAAATTGTAATTTGAAAAATTTTTAGGTGATCTCTAGAGATCGGCACACTTTGCCTTAGACACACTGTAATCTTCCACTAGACATTTTATTTTAGCTGAAATTAAAGTGACTCTCTTCTCCTATGTAAAAAAAAATCACTAGACAGCTCGAGTATATTGGTTTATTTATTTTGCCAAAGTGCCGCCAGACTGTATTCACTATACACACCGTTAGGATGAAGACATCAACCTAGAACGCTTATGTAACATGCTATATAGAAGCTTCCGTCCACATAACTTTAAGCTCCTCTTCCAGGTGGTAGTGAAATAGTTTAGACGGCTTCCACACTGCAGCACAGGAAGAATTTCAGGGCACAAGACTAAATAGCGCATTGTTTAAGCAAATCTTTAGGAGAGAGAAAAAGCTGTGTGTGTACTTCATTGACATCATTTGTGCTCCTCGTTCCTCATCTCTACCCATTTTATTTATAATAATACACAATATCTCTTACCAAATAGAGTCATAGCTGAGTAAAGAAGTATAAAATATGATGAAAAATTGTGTCACAATGTAGGGCATTGGCTTCAGCGCTCGTGGAGGCTCCGGCTCGAGCCTTTCAGTGCCTTCCTCCTCTGCTTATGTAGTAAGTTTTTCATTTTCTAACCGTCATACCCATTTTTCATTCTCAACCACCCCCCAAACCATCCCCACATTGCTGAAGCTCTCACACCACGAGGCAGCTCCAGCGACACATTATCAATGTTCTTTGATGGATTCATTTTATATCGTTCTTTGGCGTTGTTTCACTGTTCAACTGTGTGCCTTTCAATGGTCTTCGTCGTCATTTCCATGTTTAATCGTCTTGTTAACACGCATTTATCACCTCATAATTGATTGCAGTGAGACAAATTTGTGCATTTTGCCCATTTCAAATGCTAAACACTAAATCAAGAGAAACAGAGTAATTAAAATGATTTTCAAATGAAATCGCGGTAAAACTACAATTTCCTGATATAATCAATAACTTTACCGTGCAATAAATCATGTCTCTAGTGATGATAAATGAACTCTTAATGTTTCCCTCGAACTTATCTTGTGAACTATCGTCAAATTCTCACACTCACAAGGCACGGACAAAAAAAAAGGTGGGAAATGGCAAAAGGCAATTAAAAAGGCGACCCGAAGAAATTGAATAGCAAGAAATATATATTTCCTAATTAAGACAGTGGCGCTATTGTTTTATGTGACACATTAAGCAATTTGCATTAATTAAGGAGGGGCCAAGGGAGACTCGAAAGTTTCGGCACAAAGGCAACACACCAAGGGTTCACTTTTGATGGGCAAACACCAAAAATTTAACCCCATTCATTAATGCCATTTCCCTGTTTGCTTGCGATGTGGGGAGAAGAATATTTTGTACTTCATTCGTATTCGCCCCAGCATCTCGCTCGTGTTGTACTGTGCCCTCATTAGCACACGGACAAGAAAAATTGTTGGCCTGTGTGGGTGGGTGTGAGTAAACATCTGCGAGCATCAGGAAAATTCCTTGTGATGATAAATTGGATTGTGCGATAGTGAGAGGGCATTTGCGCTGAGAAAACACCCAAGCATTGTCATCGTATATATTGACTGTCTCAATCTGTGCCTAATGTACTCCTGTGCAGTGTCTCTCTGTCAATTCGCGCTGGAAGTAGTTAGTAGAAAAATCTGTTGTTCCCACCCCCGCTATTATCACCCATAAAAAGTCACATCATCACTTCGTCTCATCTCAGAGTGTATTTGCATAATTAATTAAACCATATGCTGTCCATATGTATTCACTACGGCGCACAGCAAAATGCAAGTGAGATTGCGGAGTAAATATGCTTGAGCACTTCATCTACATGACAAATTTATACAATTTCGGCAGCTTGAGTGGCGGAGATGGCGAAAAGGCAAAATCAGAAAGATTACCAGTGTATCTTACACTAATACTTTCCAAGCAAACTCATGGGGAACTTTGAGCAATTTCAAATTATAAACTCCCGCTGAGGAATGAGGCGAACCATCATCTTTCAAGGGGAACACCACAAATGGCATTAAAGATGGGGCGGAAAGTGACGAGAAAATCCCTGAGCCCCGTCTCATGTGCAATTTATGTGAGCATATGCGAAGGAGGACTGCCTCCAATAAATTGTTTCCTCCAAATCCTCTTGCGCGTCATATCGCAGACATGTGATTTTCATTAAATATTTCACGACAGCGCCAAATCACATATAGACTTTCACTTTGTCCCACGGAGCTTTCAAAATCCCGTATCGAGAGAATGGGATTTCAATTGAATAATTTCTCCTATTTGAGATTCCACGGGCGAAAAGGAAAAGCAAAACAATCCGCTGGGATTTTGTGTGTCTTAATTTCTGCACTTGCAGAATTTTAATGATTTGCCCCACTCGCGCAGAACACATCATTAAATAAAGCTCAGCGGGATAAGCATGAGAAAGAGGGTTTTAAATATTTTAAGAAAATCTACAGATTTTCTTTCACGGACGAACTTTAAAAGCGCCTTTCACTGAGCTTCTCATCAGTGCTACTGGAAAAAAGTCTTTATTCTGCATTACAAATTCTCCATGAAGTTTGCTTTGCACTAAGTGCATTCCGTAAGCAGTTTTCTTTCAGTTGTCAGATTGTGTAATATTGCACAGAAAATCCTGCCCAATAATAAGCTCCGTCTGCAAATAATTAAAATCCAGTGGCTGAGAACAGCCCGAAAATTTGTCTACAAAGCCTTTTACACTCCTAAGGAGAAATTGATGGGGGCGGAGCTTCCAAGTAGGCGGAGCATCAAACAATTTTCGTTTCTGCATACAAACATTTATCAATGAAATCAGATTTATGCAGCGCTGTTGCCACAATTTCCCCACCACTCAGACTGGCCCCCAAAAAAAGGAGAAAAGTAAATTGCAATAAATCTCCGGACAGTGAATGAGAATTTCAATCTTGATTGCATTTGGCGTAGAATAAAGTCGAAAGCGGAGCTTTCCATTGTCTTGCGACGTGATTCAGGGCCTGACAGTGGATTTCACGCGGATGGAAAATTCATTTCGAGCGCCTGATAAAACTTTCATATTTCAATCTTTGGCATTTTGCTGTGCGCTGAAATTGAAATAGACACGGGGTGAAGTGTATGTGGCTCCGAAGGAGCGCAAAAGCTGGCAGCTGATACATCGTGCGCATTAATAATTGTTGTATGTCACACAGTCTGAAGAAGGAAAAGCACTGTGGTGTTAAAGCTATTTTGGGGATTGTGTGTTCGATGGTGTTAATTTCTGTTGCCTCCCCCCAAACCCCACCCCCCGTTCATAAATGGTATTTCCACCTCGGCAGAAGAGATGCGATTTCTTGAATTCTATATTCGATGTGTGTGAGTGTTTTCATGGCCTCAATTTATTATTATTGAGAAAAAAAAACGATGAGAGAGAAAAGCGTTCATTGCAAAATGCTACTGAAAAAGCTTCTTTCTTCCTCTCGCAGCTTGCACGGAGCATGATCGTGAGTACAATTTAATTGAAAGACAACAATCACAGGGTTTAAATATGACTTTTATGTTGCTCTTGAGTTGTGCCAACATTACTTTTCATTTATTTGCCCTCTCTGTTCTTCCGTTAACTATGCCTCTCTTGCCTCTTTTTATCCGTATTCCAATTGATTTTACATATACAATTATAACGTTGAGAGAGTTGTTGGCAGAATATCTGTATCTGTTGCAATGGTGCTCCTCATTTTCATGCCATTTCGAACATTCATCCTACATTCTTTGTGGCTCTCATGTTCACAGTCAACAGTAGACAGTGGGTTTGCATAACGAACTCCTTTGTAGCCATATTTGCAGCCGCATTGATTCGATATCTAATTACAATCTCTTCTTCCCAACCCTTCTGCGTGTCCCTCTTCTCAACAGGGCGGATCCATGCCGAACACGTCGAGCAGTGTGCCCTTCCTGCTCTCCTCCAGCATGCAGTCCATCCGCTCGCGGAGACCATCCACCTGCTTGTCGTCCGGGCCGCTGGGCTCTGGATCCGGCCTCCTGCAGCAACTCGGCTCGGGCATGGTAAGGCAACTGACCACTGGTTACGGTTCCGGTGCCGCGAGTCCGGTACAACACGGCCCGTTCAACGGCAACCACAATCGAACGAATTATGTTCGCAAGTGTCCGTCACTCAATATCACATTTACCAATTGATAATCAGCCAATGCATCGCTATTCTCTTGCCGTGTAACGAGCTAACTCTGAACCGGACAAAAGACATAGGCAGATTGCATTTACAAGCGACTTTGAAACATTTTTCTTGAAAGAAGAATAGAGAAAACGAGAGACGAATGAAATTTTAGAGAGAAAAATTGATGAGCGAGAGAAGCTACAAAAGAATATTTTCCTTTAAACAAGTTGAGCCTTTTTGTGATAATTATGTTTGATGAAAGTGTTGTGGCGAGAGAGAATGTTTCGGTTGAGGCGCATTCCCCTGGGCAAAGGTCGACAAACACTGCTTCCCCCCCCAAAAAGCACCCCTTTCTCTGCGATATCTTGAGGATTAACTGTGACATTCCTGTCGACCTCCAGTGAATAATTTACTTGATTCTCCAAGTTGTGAGTAAACTCTACTTGAATTGCCGTAGGGAAAAGAGAGGCTTCTTTGGCCACTCAAATCTCTCATCAGACTTTCTTATCTATCGCAAATGAGAAAGCTTCGATCTCTTGAATTATTCAATCTAAGTGAACCAAAATTTACGCAATTTTTAACTTTTTTCGCTATAAATCTGAATTTCTTCTCTAAAAATTTCCTATTATTTGAAAGAACTCATAAAAAATTATTGAAAATCTATGTTAAATAGTCTCGCCTTTCCCTACATTTCATTCAAAAAGGCAAACTGAAGGTTATTCAAAATTTTCTAAAGAAAGATCAAAATAAGTTTTCGTGTGGAATTTTCGACAGATCGCGTAATGTATTAAAAGATTAGATGACAAAACACGTGCCTTCACATATTAGAAGAAGAATAAAAAAAAATTAGAATAGAACACAAGGATAGAAAGACATGAAGAGTATAATAAGAGAATGAGCACTCGGTGAAATGAATTTGGAATGGTGGGGAAAGGATGAAGTTTAAAGTTCACTTTTTTTCAAAATGATCCTCCCTTTGATGAAGAGGAAATGTAAGTAAAACCCTCCTTTTGAATTTATCTCTATCATCAAAGCCATTATCTGTCCTCATCCTTTGCTCTATCTATAGAGGAAATATTTGCATTTTGCTGCATTTGTGGAAGCATTCAGAGGCGAAATAATGAATTTTCTGCCACTCATTCATTCTCTCTTTCACCCTCTTTTATCGCGCTCACTCTCTCTCGCTTCCGGCTTCTGCTTTTAGTCAAAAACCACTTTTCACTCACTTTCGCATTAATTCTTCTGCAGTACAAAAGGACATGACGAAGTGCAAACAGCGTTGAATAGTGTTTAGATTGCTTTTCCAAACTATCGACCTTCGCCCAGTATTTTGGCCATGCAAGCAAAGCGCGCAATTGAAAGCATCACTTCATCATTAATGCTTCTTCTTCTCTCACCAAGAAATATATTAACTCAACATCACACGAGAACAGAAGGACAATTTCATACATAATTACTTGGAAAAGGCTTTGTTTTCACATTCCTTTCACTGAGAGAAACAAAAAACAGAATAAAAAATTGGATTGACCTTTGAGAGAGAGAAAGATAATAATAATAATAAAAAAACACGAAATTGGTGGAGAATTTTGAGAGAAAGGAAAACTCGATAAACATTGTTGAACATTGTTGAAATAACTATACAGGATTGTTAAAATTGAATGACTGACACATGCTGATCACTTCTTGTACATATTTTAAATTAATTTTAGATTGTACAGAACAGAAATTTGAGCTTCATACCAATTTAGTTGAACGAATTATTTTATCTGAATAATTTTCATGGAATTATTTACTTTTTGTTACCACAATAAAAACCCCCCAAAATTTTACGTCATATCACTATAACTATATATAATGATATATTTTTCAAATTCGTCAAATCACAGAGGCGAAAATGCGACCAGTTGTAGCAAAAAAAGAATCATTATTTTTTGAAAAAAAAAAGTTTTTAGAAACACGCTGATGATTAACTAGAAAAGTAATAGATGAAACACATTTTCACTTATAGAAATGAAAACAGATAAAAGAAATCAATGTATAATTTATTTGTATAATTGGCAGACTTTCTTATAGTCATCGTAGTTCTTATTTTCCATCTTTTATTGGCATAACAATTATTTCTGTAAATGCTCACAAACATATTTTTTTTCAGTCATATTCAACTGGATAAAGTAACTTTTCTTTCACGATTTATTTCTTCTCTCATAAATTGCACGCTTTCTGTCCATATGTCTTTAGTTTTTATTTACTGCATCACACTTTCCTACATGAATTCCCTCTTCATTCATGTCAACAGACATTTCATATTTTGTAGTTTCTGTTCTTTATATTATTTCAAAACTCAAAATTTTAGCAATAAATGCTCAAAAGCTATTATAGAATTCAGAAATCTTGCTCGAAATATATATCACAAATTAGCTTTATTTTCTGAGCAAGAGTTTCACTCTCTTTTCATTTACCAACAAAACAGTAGAGTTAGTGGCGATTCTCGTAGCTTTAATTGGACTAGTGGCAACATTTTGCTTTATTTATAGTTGAAAACGTAGTTTTGTAGTCATATTTTGCTCATTTCTTTATTCAGTCGAAATTATTAGAATTACTTTAGCGGGAGATTTTACCATCTCTTGTCACATGAACAATCAATGCTCAATGAAACTTTACAAAACTCATAACCACAGATTCTTCACAATATTGCGTATTAATAGAAACAGACACAAAAAGAAGCCACGGAAAGATGTTGTCTTACATCGCTGTCAAAAGGATTGAATATCAAGCAGCAATTGAAAAAGAAAATTGGAAATGAGAGCTCTAAAAAGCAGCGTAAAGAAGAAAATACTTACAAGCCCCGCCCACTCGAAAGCTCCGCCTTCTATATTAATTCTAGCGTGATTTATGCTCCATGAAGCAACTCATTAGACCACGCTTATCCACTCCTTCCAGTGTGACACGAAAGAGGATCGAAAAAATTCCCGCTAAAGTAATGAAACTGAAATTATAGACATTATAATCTCTACACAGAAGAAATGACATTCTCATAATCTATTCTCTTTATTTATCTCTTTCTTTCTACGATATTTTTTTTCTTCTAACATCTCTTGTAAAACTCTTTTTCTGTATATAATCTGTAAGCAAAAATTCTTAAATTTACACACTCTAGCTTAGAGGTGAGAACAAGTTAAAAAAAAGAATGCTAGAAATGATGTGCAGAAAATTTTCATATCCAAAAAAAAAAAAAGTTTTCTTTTGGCGCTTGTGCGGCGTTTAAGAAATGAAAATTTTTTGCGTCGCGTCACCTAACCAAGTGATTTTTTTCCTATTTTAATTTTGCAGTACCAGCTGTTCTCCGGTCGAACATAAAATGTTTTCCCACCCCCTTCGTGAACATGTGAACACTCATACGATCACACACTGAGCGCTTATCACGGTTATCACGTGCGTTTGAGATGCCGACGCGCCACAAAAATGCTCTATGTTCTGGTATGGACAGTCGGGGTGTCACTCTGTCTCCCTGACTCGAAATCATTCTATGAATTTAATGCAATCAGCAGCGGAAATGATAACGTACAGCAGAAGTGAAACATAATTTTAGTGTAGTGAAAGAGGAGATAATATGACAACTCTCTGTGTGTTCTGTTGACATTCTCTGGAATTTTTGTCTCTATAGTTTTCCATACTAAATTTTCCCAATATTGCTTGTCACTCATTCGCATAGGAAAGAGATAATGCGAGGAAAATGAAAAAAAAACATGAATGAGGCAATTTCCCAACCCATTTTCCTCCTGCTGCACTCAGGCGAATCATAGTGAAATACAATGTGAATTAAAAAAGTCAAGGGCCAAATGGTGAAGGCATGAGGAAAATATAAAAGTATTCAAGTAAATAAGAAAGGAAGAAATATATGATAAAATCATGAAAATTGACTATTTTTCTCTTCAAACACATAGAAAAGTAAGGCAATAAAGAATAAGAAGCATCCTTCAAAGAGGATTCACAAATTGAAATTTATACACATTGCAGCAAAGAAGAAGTAACACCTCCACTGCAAGATATGCAATACTTGGATTTCTATCTAATCTATATTACTCTAGTCTAGAGCAATAATTATTACACTTTAATTAATCTACTTTTTTCATCCTGCTATCATTTCCTCACACATTCGCCCAGTCGACGTTTTTGCACATGTAAAATCTTCACACGAGCTTCCTTCTCACTCCTTTCAGGAGCAGAAAATCCATTTTTATCAAGAAAAAAAAACCTTATTTTAAGAACATATTCAATTGACAGATTTTAAAGTGTCTTATATGAATTTATATTGCATCGACAGACAAATGAAAATATACTTATTCACCAAGGAAAACATGTGCACAATGGCAACTGGGTCAATTCTTACTCTGTCCTTTTTGCAAAACTCAAACAAGAGCTAGAGAAAGCAGTCTTTTGGAAACGTTTATATCCACGTAAAATTTTGCATTCATAATCACCTGATTTTCCTTATTTATACTTCTCACTCTCTCTCCTGAGTTTCCCTCACCGCTATTTTCTCTGTCTTCTCTTTGGATATGTATTAATCTCAAATTCCATCAACTCTCATTTTTCCTCATTTTGGAGCAAAAGATTTCTCAAAAAAGATCTCACACTCAAATGTGTGAGAAATGTACCAGAATTTCAAGTTATATTTTTGTCCTCAACCAAAAAAAACAAACTGTTTTTTCACCCTTCCTGACAATATTTATCTGTTTTTCATTTATGCAAAATAAACAAAAAAAACTATATTATAAAAGAGAAACTTTACAATTTCGAAGTTCTTCGAGAAATTCTGGTAATTATACAAATACTTAGACAAGAATTACAACATAAACTTTAAAAATTAAAGAAAGAAAGAAAAAAAACCGTGAAAACTCCTTTTGTGAAGAGAAATTTATAATATATTCCATTAAGTGTGCAAACATTTCATAAGAGATAAGATGATATTCCATATATAGAGAGAATATTTCACAGAAATCTATATAATTGTTATAAAGTGTTTAAAAGAAAGATGAATACATATATATATATATATATTTTAGGGTAAAGTGAAGATATAGATTTTTGAAATATGAGGAATATATTGCAAGTTGAAGGGAGTTTTAGCAAACGGGGCCGGATTCCCGTTGATTTTAACCCTCACGCTGGTCGTGATATTTAGATAATTTTCAATTATTCATATCAATTTAAAGGAAAGATATAAAACATAATTTTGTCACATAAAGAAAATTCTTGTTTTTATTAATTATAGCTGCCACTCATCTTAATGAAGAAGTAAAGAGATAGAATGTAATTTGAAAATATTAAGATAAGTAATATTGAAAAAAAAAGTCACAAACTTGTGAATTTATCTTTGAATATTTAAAAAAAAAAATGGATTGGAAAGAGAATAATTCATATAAATTTTATTGTGTGTGTGTATTCATAAATCAAATAATATGTGAACTCTGTCAGCAAAACTCCGGTTTTCAATGACTTCTTAAAAATATTATAAACACAAGAAATAGATGTAACGGACAATGGAAACAATGCTACAAAAGTATTTTGAAATAAACACAGAAATATTTACAAATATACCAAAAGAAGAAGAAGAAAGGATTGTGAGAAGGAAATGTACATTGTATTCACATCAAAAAGGCGTATAAATCAAAAAGGATCTATCTCAATGTTTAAAGAAGAAAAAAAAAACTAATTTATGAATAAAAATTTACAACACAAAAAAACTAAAGTAATGGATAAATCTTAAGAGAAAAAAATCGTAACATTCAATGTCAATTTTTGCGTGAATCAAAGTCTATTTATATGAATGAGAAATAGAACATTTTAAAACTTGTATAGAAAGCATCTCTAACTGACAATCGATTGAATTTTTAAACTAAATATTCTAGAGAAGTGACATCAAATAACTTAAGTATTAATTCACCTTCTAATTGGATACTTCAATATACTTGAAAACCTTTCACACTCAAGAAACTACCGTAGAATTACCAGTAAAACAAATATTCATCTTTTTACACTTTTTACTATTTACATAGGCTTTTAAATTCACTCGATATAACTTTTCATATCACTCAAAATATCTTTTTTCACCTTCTCAAGCGTCACAACCCGTTAAGAAATCGTCCGAGAACATATTCTCAAAGTAATTGTAAAAATTCCCCTGTATTTCGGAGGTTTGTTCAGTGCCATGGCGTCGTAACAGTCAATCAGATTTAGGCCACGCCCATTAGAATGCCCCGCCCAGAAACTCATTCCCATTCCCACAATTCCGCAAGATTTATCCACAAATTGCACAGCTTGGCACTGCGAACTCTCTCAACTCCCAAATCCAGAAGTGTACATTTAGGCAGAAGGATAGGCGATAAGATTTTGTTGTCTGTTGCTCAATGTAAAGTGTGGTAGTGAGATAAGTAACAATGTAATAATCATGCAGTATAATGTTCAAGGAGAGAATAAGTAATCTCTAGGAGTATAATTTTAATTTTAGCGGTTACATTTAGAGGCTCAAGAGCATGTTAACATTAGATAGATAGGAATGCCCAACGACAATCTGAAACGTAGCGCTGCACAATCGGGGCCGAGATCTCACTTGAAATATCAGCCGAGAACTCAGCTGCTGCACGTAGGAATGTAAATAGATATTGTAAATCCACCCCAACTCCCCCCAAATCTTCGTCCCCCCGTCCAGCAGAACCACCTCTCACTTGCTCTCACTCTCTCGTTGTGACTCTGTAGTTCGCGTGTTAGGCGATTAGGAGCGTAAAGCCATTAATGATAAACTTGTATGATATAATGGGTAAAAAAAAACATAGTGAGAATTATACCTCGTTATCTTCACCGACTCTTCTCCGCCACGTGCGGAGATCTTCTCGACTGACTACTCTAGAAATCCATACTGTTAACTGTATAACTTATTCAAGGCGTATTTGTATAATTCAACCTTTCTTACATAAGCTAGCCATTTCTTACACTGTACATTTTTTGGACATAACGTCGTAGTTTGTAGCTAAGTACCAAGAATAACTCCTCTGAGAAAGGGAAACTTACGCGACTTACTAAATATCATTAAACTTATAAGCTAAGGCATCGGGTGGATTCTAAGGAGTGTGTGCGAAAGGGATATTTTTGATGAACAGCAGTAGTGAAGAAGGTCACTTCAAAGTGTTGAACAACAAAGTAAAACTATTCGGTCTCCATTGTTCGATTTTAAGGAAAAAAAAAATTTAATCATTGTAAATTGGATCCAAATATGTAAGAATCTATAATAGTGAATAAGAATAATGAAAATATTACTCTCTCACTTGTCTTTCATTCCCTCCAACACTTCCGGTGGCATCTGAAACAGATTCAGGCTCGAATCCCTCAAATTCAACTCATTCTGCAGAAGATGCTGCGCATCATCGTTACCTTCCGGCTCCAATTGCCTTCTATTCTTCATCAACTCCTGCAGTTGCTTCAGCCTCTCGTTAGACTCTTCCGAGTTCACCTCTTCCATCAATTCCTGCAACAATTCACCCATTCGAAATTGGTTAAATTTATGGAAAAGTTGCATAGAATGAAGACTGCATTAAAAAGTTATGAGTTTTCAGCAAGAAAAATGTTTAACAGATAAAAAGTAACTTCCTATCAAGTTTTTGCCACAATTTCATCTAAATTTTACGCTCTTCAATCATCCTCCGAAGTTAAAGTGATACTTAGAAGCGATAAATTGCTTGCAACTCACATTAAACGCCTCACGGAGGACAATCAGCGAGCTCTCCTCGAGAGCAGAAGCGGGCTGTCCCATGCTGAGATTGTGGAGAAACAGGTAGAGATTCCTCACGTTCAGCGACGTCTGATCTTGCATCTCAGGAAGTGGATAAATCTCATGAATTCCCTTCAGAATGATGGAAAGTTCGAAATTGCTGAGGTTCTTTCCGTTCTCTGCGCTCGCCAGCTTCGCATAAGTGTCCATGGAAGTCAGCAAAGGATCTTTGATAATCTCCGGCAACTTCTCCTGAACATACTTCGACATTTCCGTCACAGCATTTGCCAACTGACTGGAAGTCTTCGTGTCTCTGATGTTCTTCAGGCAATCCTTGGAGCAATTCGAGGACAGCAGGCGAGTGTAAAGCTGCTTCCTCAAGTACTTCGTGTTCAGGATCTCATCGCAGCCCGTCAGAGTCTTTCTGATTCTGTTTTGCCGTGGCTGTTTCATCCTGTACTTCCTCTCCTTCTTGTTCATTTCACAGCCTTTCGCCAATTTCACAGACTTCAGTGCACTGAAAGAAAAAGAAGCGACACTGTAAAGAGTCACAGTATTCAATATGTTGTCAAATTGAACAAAGAAAGACCAATTCTCAAATCAAAGACACATTTGACGGGTGAACTCTGCCTAAAACTAAGCCAATTCCGATGGGATTTGCGTGAAAAACCACCGGGCGCCTCCACTGTGTTTATGTGGAAAGATGGCGCGAAAGAGAAACATTCTGACCTAAAAATAGCCATGAGAAAAATGCGCATCGCGACGTGAACAACTTCCAGAGAGACACGCGAAAGAGACGACACGAGAGCGAGAGTGAGCCATTCAATGCACGAATTGAAGCCACTGCCACAAATTAATTAATTCCACATCGACTGAATGCCTCGGCATATTTTGCAACATGCCTTTTCACTCTTCAGTTGGCCACGTTCGCGCCAATATTGCAGGTCTTTTATCGCGCACACCCACTGCAAATCATCCGGGCGCGACAGTGCCGGGCGCTTGTGTTCATCCCAATCTCCCCAATACCACTGCACGGGCCAAATCGTGAGCAGATTCTCCTCCAGTCGCGTCTCGGCACGTCCAAAGCCGCTCAGACACTCTCGCAGCGCGTCTTGGGCAAACACTGTGTGCGGGGAAATTGAGTGCGCGATACTTGCCGAAACACGTGAAACAGGTATGCAAGAAGTTGGCCAGCTTCCCTGCCCCAGAAAGCCTCCTTGTCGCGACAAAGAGGTCTTATCTCAGTCGAGGAAGACATTCAGCCACGGCGTGAGTGACTCAAAGCGCGCATGAATCGTCAGATCAAGGCGATTTTCACTCCATTCTCTGTGCCGATTAAGAAGCTTGCGCGCTGTGGAAAGATCACATACGTTTTTGTTGTTTTCTCCATCGCCAGTTTTTTTTTCTGCTGCATTCGAAATAAAAGTGATTCTCAGTGGTAGATTATAGCAGGTAATAAACACTAAATCAATCAACAATGCAGTGAGCGAAGCAATATACAAATGCCGGTAGTCAGTGGTGTAGTTTGAATCATCAGTGATAGATTAATTTGTTTCGGAGAGAGGAAAGTGTGCTCAAAGTAATGATTTTCTTAGCTAAAATCACAACTGAATTCATGCCTATCAAACAATGATTTTCATGCCTTTCTCTCTGCTTTTCCTCAATTAAAATTGATCCAAAATCCACATTTCCGCATCCATTAACAATATTTTAAATATAGACCGCAAGAGGCGCTGCTGCTTGAAATTGAGTTCAAATTTGTGCTTTTTCCAACATGTGTGTTAAAACACATGGCAATAAATAGATGGAAAAAAATGCTCTCAAATATTTTGTGCTGAGAACAATTTTACAGTGTACATTTCTGGCAAAGCTTCAGCATAAGAGCGCGATTCTTAGCAGTGCACTTGAGTGACTTGAGCACACAATGCATTTGCCAAAGGGCATCGGCAGATATGGTGTATCAGTGCGTAAAAACTGTCGCACTTCTCACCGTATAACTAGTCTTTGTCTCTGGTGACGCATGAAATTTCTCTGCCAAATATTTGAGCAGTGATTTGGAATCTCGGGCAGGGCGGGCGTGAGTCCAGCAGACAAACCCTTGGTCATCCACAGTGCGACGCGAGTGTCCGTGGGGAGCGATTGCTAACAGTGTGCTCTCCTCCGCAGAGCGACCATGAAGCTGCTGCTGAAGGTACATCGGCGCGAGTCTGACAACAGACGAAGATCTGTTCTGAATTTCAATGCAAATCACACACATCCGACACCCGTGGACACGTCCTCCAAGTACTCTACGAGCTCGTCAGGTGAGACGCTGGGTGTTTTCACGTGAGATTAATTGGCTAATTGATTGCCGTGCCACTTTCAGCCCCCCACAAGTCGCAGCGCCTCCCCTACTCGCTGATTCTGCTCGTGCTGCTGGGCTGCGCCTTCGGCCTCACCTACGTCTTCCACCGGCTGCTGCAGGAGGAGCAGGTGCCGCCGCGCTGACTCCCGAGTGCCATCAATTAGCCAACTTTATCGTGATATTCCCTCGGATATTGGCCCACATAGGAAGTGGCCTCTGTTCGGCGCTCTTCTTTTTCTACCTAAGGTGACCAACTCACCTTCCTTTTACCACTTAAGCTCATTGGCAGGGAGAATAAAGATGTGAAAATACACCTCGTGCGCCTTTGTCCTCATCCCAGTTGAGAGACTGACATGAGTGGATTCTGGACTGTATCAGCGACTCACTCAGGCATCCACATCTAATCAATTTATACTTACTTGTATTTATTTATTTCGCGTGTTTAATTTTGCGAGAGAGGAAAAAAAGTAAACACACTGACCAACGCACACATGCTAGAGAAACTCTGCGTTAACCTGTTGCCCCGCACTGCCAATGTGTGTCCATCAACTATGTAAAATATATACTCATTTGTAATTTCCAGCGAGCTCACTTAACACATGAGTGGAGCTCAGGGCAAACACTGACTGGTTTTCCCACATTCACGACGTCATGATCTCTCATGGATCACCAGTAATACTCTGCGCAACATCGCAGCCACTCTCGATCGACTGTCGACCCGAAGATTTGCAGTGGCATCGAGAAAATAAGATTTCAGCTCATTTAACTATATCAAAAGCATGCATTTTTCCTCAGCATTGTCAACTGCTGAAATCTTTATGGATTGTTTCCAACTTTGCTGCATAAGAATTGTACATATAACTGATAAATGGTCCTATTTTTCTGATTATGACCACACACATATGATTTAGTGACTTGTTGTTAGATTTTCCTTACAATTCTCCTCTGAAGCAATCAGAGAAACTGACTTGAAGCTTGAATATGAACGCACAATCGATAGAGGGACTTTCCCTAACTGAGAAGAGTGCAGCAAATCATTGTAATTCCATGTGGCAAACAATCAAGAAAATGGCACAATAAAACTCTTATCGTCGAGTGTGAGTGATAAGAATCTAAATAAGGATCGGAAGTGCAGGAGAATCACTTGATATCTGAGCTAATTCTGCAATTGAAGTATCCAATGCACCACCCAAAGCCCGCGCCCCACCTGAGTCGCCGGCAGCGAGGAGAGATTGTGGACTCCCACTCCAGGCCTGGCTGAGTCTGTTGGAGTCTCTGAGCTACTCAGTGTATTTGTGTCACTCGCCAAGATTCCTCCGGCGCGCAATTTAGCAAATTCATCCATTTTCCACTGTGACTTTCCCCAATCTAGGACTTTTCCCACAAGATTTGTGCCAAATCCAGTGATTGTGAGAAGGATTCAGTGCAATTCCAGGAAGAATTTCAAGCTGAGAGAAGTGTTCATGACGACCCAACCTTGGAAAACAGTGACGAATTATTGACTCTTTTTGCTTCTTCTGAGTGCCACACAAAATCCGCGTAACCGGAAAAGAGTCGCGACAAAGTGTGTGACAGAAAAATAGTGTTTTATGTGACAAGAGAGCAATTCTCATCTCTCGCGCGCCAGAAGATTGAGTGCAATTGAGATTCCTTATCAGCTTGATTATGCTCAGTCAATGTCCCCGCGCCATCGCGTCCAGGCACTGAGAATGCGAAGAGGATGCTCGTCACGGAGATGCCGCCCAACAGCGCCCGAGAGCAAGGCCACCTGACCGCCGACGATGCCAAGCCCAACATCACCATCGAGTCGCTGTCCGAGAGCGACGCCTCCAGCGTGGCGTCGGACAGCAGCGACGAGTACAGCGAGGCGACGGACAACCCCAAGCTCGGCGGCCGCGCGCGCTCGTACGCGCTGGGCGCCATGAGCCAGGTGGACAGGATAGGCGCCAACGGGGTCCTAGTCATCGACGACGAGCTGCAGGTGCAGAAGAGCGACCGGCCGCCCGCGATCGAGTCCGTGGCGGTGTCCAACTCCTCGGACATCACATTCGGCAACAAGACCTTCATCAACGGGCCCGTGACCATCAAGCAGTTCATCAAAGAGAGCCAACCGCAGTCGCCGCAAGGACAGGACAATCCCGCCTTCGAGGGCAGCAGCAGATCGCTTGACGGTGAGTTGTGCCAGCAAATTTCCCATGATTGTCGATGATTGCAAGCGATTCTCGGAACAGAGATTTCACGGTTGTACTGATAATGTCCATATTGCCGTGGGTAAAGTGCATTCATTTCCGCCTCAGTCTCAAATTAAATATCTTATCAAGCAGGAAGTGCGCATCGAGAAAGAACTTTCATTATTTTCTGCAGATAATCTGAACACTTTCGAGTCTCTTCAATTGGAAGACACTAATTAAAAGGCCTTTCCCAAGAATTCATGTAAATAGGAAATATTGCCAGTGATTTGCTAGACATTTTATTTCAACTTATTGTTGCGTCATTAATCACATTGAGAACAATTAAACATCGTAACAATCTTTTCTCTTGTTAATGACATAAATTGTCGTAAGAGAAGCAAAATTCTAAGCGAAAAAAAAGTCTAACAAAAGAAATTAAACTATTCAACTCGCTGATTAAATTGTACCACTCGAATATGATTCACTCTCTTATGAATTGCTGATTGAAAAGCATTAATTCAATCGCATTCGCGAGTATTTAGGCAACAAAAAAAGCTTTTAGCTTTCCCAGAATTAGAGTGAAATGAATTAAAATAGTCACAATGCACGGAATAAAGTTCACAAATTAAATAAAATTAGTTCTGACGATACAATTTGCGCACTTTTCCCTTAAATCTCCTAAAACCACCATTTTCGCGGTCTGAAGAATTTCAACACTTAAACACCCAAAAATTCACATAAACTAGAGAGCAATTATCTAAAATTATCTGTAGTTTGACGAGTTTGACTTTTTCCACTCACAGTTTCATGAGTAAATAACGTGAAAACATCTGTTTTTGCATGATTAATCATACAAAATGAATTGAGCTCAGCTCGGCAAAAATATTTGCCAAACCTGCCCAAATTCCTAAGCATCAGAAAATGTCACTGACTTATTGATTGGGCGTCTTTTGCAGCCAGCAACACGCCTGATGACTTCACGTACAAGAAGATCTTGAGATACCGAACGTGGATTCTCCTGGGAGCGACGCTCATCTTCGCTCTGGTGGGAATCGTGTGCCTGACAGTGTTCTTCGCCACGGCCGAGGATCCGCCAAAACAAGGTGATGGAGATGATTCTCGGAAGAATATCCCAATACCGTCCACAATAGGTATCATCATGCGCGCCACTCACGCACACAGAAATCTTTACTTTCCCTCTGCACAACTTCCTTTGGCACACACTTAAGTCCTCGCGATGGTTAATGCTGGACTGTGTTTCTAGGGAACGATTTGCTGCCTCCAGGCAATGAGACGCTGAGACTCGTGTCACGCAGCGAATGGATCGCTCAGCCGCCAAATGAAGAAGGCGTCGATCTCACGCTGCCCACGAACCGCGTGATCATCGCTCACACAGCCACTGAAGATTGCACTTCTCAGGTCAGTTTGATTCGTTTGATTCGATTCGTTCAAGAGACGCTCAATTTTGCCACTTATATTCAAAGCAACTCTATATGAAAAAGTCGTCAGCAATTCACTGATAAACTGTAAAATGCGATAATGCAAATATTCACAGTGATTTACAATTGACTAAGTGTTTGTTTAACCTTCTCAAAATCATTTAATGCATTAATTCCACACATTAATAGATGGCAAATTTGTGTTGTAACATCAATTTGTGGCATAGAATTTCAGAAAATGATGTTAGAAATATGAATTTCTTGTACAAAACGCTTTGAAAAGAAGGTATTTTCTCCGTGTTAGCAAAATATGTTGTTTCTGGCTAATCGATGAACTTGCGAATACAGCGTGTATTTTGTTCTTGAAAAGAAAGGCGCATCAATATTTGTGTAGAGTCTGTAATAAAGACTGGCGCAACTGGGAAAAGCAAAACTCACGTACATTGAAGAACAATAAAAGTCTCCTGCTTTTTTTTCTCATTCAGAAGCGAACAGAGTGAATGACTAAAGCATGAGTAATGCAGTGAATGATGATAAAAATCAATTCCAAACACCGCCAAGGCTTTAAATAGTATAAATTCTAATTCCAACAATAACTATCTCCAATTATGAGAAATGTTTTAATCATCCTAACAAGTGAAAATTCATTAGGAAAACTATGCAAGAAGTGATAATCAACAGAAATCCATGTGAATCACTCTCAATTTCTCGGGAATTCTTGAAAATACTTAAGTAAATAAATAATGGCATGGAAATTTTGATAAAGGCGCACTCAAAGAAATTTCGCCACAATAAAAATGTAAAAGAAAAAAAGAAAACATGATAAGAGAACGAGCTCTCGGCAAAAGAAAACCCGCAACAACATGCTAAATATTTAAAGTGCGAAGAGAGGCAAATTCGGGTCGAGATTTCTGGATGATGATTTTATTATGAATGCCCAGATAAAGTATCACAAAAATTTCGGGCATTTTGCCCTCGTCTTGATTATTTGCTGGCGATCGGAAGCTCTGAACTTGTGCTCTTGGCTTGCAGGCAAGCTGCGTCTATCGCGTGCGCTTCATCCAGACGTTCCACATGGAGTCACGCGGCTGGGATGACATCGGCTACAATTTCCTGGTGGGCGGCGACGGCTCGGCGTACGAGGGACGCGGCTGGGACAAGGTGGGCGCACACACGAAGGGCTTCAACGTGGACAGCATCTGCATCGCCTTCATCGGGACCTTCGTGAAGGTCACGCCGCCGGAGCGGCAGCTGGTGGCCGCCCAGAAGGTGATCGAGTGGGGCGTGCGGACGGGCAAGCTGAGCAAGGACTACAAACTGTTCGGCCACCGGCAGCTCATCCCCACCGAGAGCCCGGGCGCCGCTCTCTACCAAATCATCAAGACATGGCCCCACTGGTCCGAGGACCCCTCATGACTCGCTGGCACTGTGCAACGTCATCCTAGGCTGTAGAGATCGCGGCTAGGCAGTAAATGCACTCTCCCGATCACTCCTTTCGTACCTCTTCTCCTCCATCATTCGCGCAGTCACGTCGTCCGGCAGCCAGCTTACAGCCTCAGTCAGCACCTCGAACTCCTCCCTCAGACGGTGCTGCTCCTGCAGGAAGTCCTTCACCAGGTCCACAAACTCCGTCTGCTCAACAGCAAACTTCTCCGGATTCAGCACATCCACGAGCTCTTTCGCGTTCTGCTGCGCGGTCCGATTGTTCAGATCCAGGTCGATGGCTTTCAGGGCTTTCACCATCTCACTCGCCAGACGATTCCACTCCTTTTTCTCCGCTCTGACCAGCTTCATGTAATTTTCGTCCCTCGAATTCAGGGAGCCGCCGTTCACAACATCTGCAAAGCATCAGCATTCTCTCACTGAATCTCAGCAAATACACCAATATTTCCACCACAACTCACCGTTCAGCAGTGTGAAGAGACTCCGTCTGCGTTTCTCTCCCGGCGCAGCGGATTTTTCAGCACTTTCCACCTGATTTTCCATGGTTTTCCAACGGTCCTCTGAGCGACGCGATTTCAAGCAAAACTTTTGACAGCGCACAAGCTTCGCGAAAATACCTTCTGGCGCTGCAATCGCCCAAATTCCCCATAAAAACATTTCCTTCGTCTGACATGTCCATCGATACCCGAAAGAGTTCTGTAATTCCTCTTCAATTTCATATTGATTTGGTGTTAATTTCACACAAAATCGATTCTGAGTGATACATTGCAGATATAGCGGAAGCTGTAGAAGCACATATTTGACAATTTCACGGAAAGATGAGAGACAACGAAGCAGAATATTCGAAAAATTCAATCGACAGTCCGTCCGAATGTCCGTAGATTGCCTTACTGGGATCATCGGATTGTAAACATACGCGCGCGCGCCGTGTAATTTTTACACCTTTTGTCAGCTGTTCGTGGCAATTTCACGCGATCCGCGGTCTTGTGTCTTTCCACGGGAGTGGGGCTTTTCGGGCGGCGAAGATGCCACCTGAGACAAGGTCAATGGCCACACCAATAGATCTGAAAAGGTCAACTCACCACTGATCTCCAGAAAGTCGCGTAAAAACGCCACGGAATTGGTGTCACGGCAGTTCCGTTGTTTTCCAGCGTCGCGCTTGTTTTTCCGCCTCTCATGCACACAATCGCAGCATATTGTGCTATCAAGCGGAGATAAGAAGTGAAAAACTCTTCTATTCTCGCGTAGTTTGTGAACAACAGTCGAAAGTGAATCGTCACCGGAATTAGACGCGTCCGCCACACAAATCACAAACAGCGCGCGCTTATCACAGGCAGAGAAGCGAGAAGTTCCACGATTAGCTGAGACGAGTGAATTCCGCGAAAAGTTGTTGATATTTGCGATAAAACACGTGTAAATAAATTAATTCTGCCGTGTGTGCAGCAAACAAAGGTCAACAGCAATTGACATGAGCGACGAAGGTGCGTTCGTGCCCGTTCGCGAGGCGATCGGCTCGGAGGAGGCGCTCAATTTGAAATCCTTCTTCGCCAACGAATTCAACAGGGAGCCCCAGTTTTACGTGAGAGTGCCCGGAAGGTAATCAATGCACCAGGAGTGTCGTCTATTCGCTGATCCGTCGCCTTTCGCAGGGTGAACATCATCGGGGAGCACATTGACTACTGCGGCTACCCCGTTCTGCCGATGGCCATCGAGAAGAACATCATACTGGCCGTGGCGACGACTGAGGACGGCATTCTGCAGCTGAAGAATGCCCAGAACGTGCTCTACAAGCCGTTCAAGTGCTCCATCGACTCCTTCAAGTGAGCTCTTCAGAGTTTTTTTTTGCCTAAACTATCTTCCCAAACCATGTCATCTTATCTTAAGTTTGCTGAACTTTCCAATGTCGAATTGATGATAAACTTGTGATTTATTGACGGGAGCGCTAATCAGGTCAATTGCTTCAATTGCAGGATCGAGCAGTCGGAGGGGAAGCGACCGGAATGGTACAATTACTTCCTCTGTGGCGTACGCGGCGCGCTGGAGGAGATCTTGGCCAGCGGAGGACAGCCCAAGGGTCTCATGGTGGCCGTGAGCGGCAGCATTCCGCCGGCTTCCGGCCTTTCCAGCTCCAGCGCTCTCGTGAGCGCCGCCTGCCTGGCCACGATGCACGCCAATGGCCAGCCACTGCAGAAGCAACTCCTGGCCACCATCTCAGCCACCAGCGAGCGCCACATCGGCACCCAAGGCGGCGGCATGGACCAGGCGATATCATTCCTCGCGCGTCCGGGCTGCGCGCAGTTCATCGAGTGGAATCCCTTGACCGCCACGCCGGTGAACCTGCCGCCGCAGGCGCTCTTCCTCATCGCCAACAGTCTCACGGAGGCCAACAAGGCCGCGACGTCGGACTTCAACCAGAGAGTGGTCGAGTGCCGCCTTGGCTGTCGCCTCCTGGCCAAGATGTCCGGCCGCACTGACTGGCGGGAGGTTCTGCAGTTCGCTCATCTGCAGAAGCTGCTCGGCTACTCGCTGGACGAGATGGAGTCGCTGGCCGAGGAGTGTCTCTCGCGCGAGGTCTACTCGCGCGCCGATCTGCTGGCGGAATTCCAGGTGGACGCGACGGAGTTCGAGGAGTGTCTGCTCACGCCAAACACCCGCTCATCGCAGCTCTTCCGGCTGCGCCAGAGGGCTCTGCACGTCTTTCAGGAGGCCAACAGGGTGATGAAGTTCCGCCAGGCCGCGCAGCTGGGCGACATCGACAGCCTAGGAGAGCTCATGAGGGCGTCCCACGAGAGCCTGCGCGTGCAGTACGAGTGCTCGCACCAGAACCTGAACGATCTCGTGGCGGCGACAGCGCGCGCGGGCGCCAGCGGGCGGCTCACGGGCGCCGGCTGGGGCGGATGCATTGTGGCGCTGTGCCACTCGATCGACCAGTGCGACGGCGCGATGCAGGAGCTGCGAAAGTACTTCGCCCAGCGCGCGGAGGCGGAAGGACGCCGCTTTGAGGATCTAGTCTTCATCACGAATCCCCAGCGCGGAGCTGAGGTGTTCCTCAACTAGCCAGTCTACACTTATCTGTACGTTTATCATGCATTTACCCACTGATATAAATATTCCCAGAGGCAATTGTGGGGACTTTTCCGTTCGTGGATTCTCACTGGAAGAATCCATTGATTACGCTCGGTCAACAATGTTCAAATTCGTCAATTACTCCCAGTCCGCGGGCGCAGATCACAGATGGCGCGCTGGTGTCGCTGGCTGTCAAAACAGTGGAATTCAAGGGGCACTTTTTTGTGAGAATGAGGGAAACTTTGGGTGCTGCAAACCTGCATAAACATCCATAGGCGCTGCACAAATTCACCTCCGACGTAGTCCAATAGACCTAATATTCTAGAATGACGACATATTCCGAGGATAGCGAAGGTGCGTGAGAGCGAGCAGGGCAATAACATCCCTCTAGCTAGGTTATGTTTACACCCCCATTGTTCGGGCTCCCGCACTGTCTCCCGTCTGTCTTGCAGGGAAATTTATTCCGGCCTCCCAGCGACCCGACGGCACGTGGCGGAAGGCGCGCCGGGTGAAGGACGGCTACGTGCCGCAGGAGGAAGTGCCTCTGTACGAGAGCAAAGGGAAGATATTCGCCAAGAAGCCCCTCTTGCCCGTGGGCATGTGTCCCGTGGTGGCGCAGAAGGCGCGCGAGCAGCGCGAGCGTGAGCAGAAGAAGCAGCAGCAGCAGAGCATCCCCGGCCTCCTGGTGCTGAACAAGTCCACGGGCGCCAAGGCGAAACCGCACAGCGCACCCAAGAAGCCCCCCGAGAAGAAGACCAGCCCGCCAGTCACCAGCACCGCCCTGGAGGACGCCACGCGGCAGCTGGGCGACGTGCAGCTCGAGGATCCGGCCAAGAAGCTGAAGAAGCTGCGGCGGAAAGTGCGCGAAATCGAGGTGATCGAGGCGAAGCTGAAGTCCGGCGAGCTGAAGAACCCGGAGAAGGATCAGCTGGACAAGGTGGCGCGCAAGGCGGACATCGTGCGGGAGATCGCCAAGCTGGAGGCGAGCTGCGCCCAATAGTGCGCCGCACACGCGCGCGTCCGGGAGAGCAAGCAAGGGCTGTGGACCATCGTTGTTCCCCTCTTCTGGCGGTTCATTTTCCCTCCCCAAGTGTTTGTTTTCGACGACCCACCCCGCGATTTGGTACAAAGCCTCTCTCTGTCCTCGCCCATCTCACCGTCTGCATTTCATCGTGTATAGAAAGAATTCAGTCTAGCCATTTGTACGTTCGTCTTAAGTTCCCCGCGAGTAAGTTAAGGTCCTGAGATGGTTCAACTGTTGAGCACCCCCGCAAAACACACACACAACACACACAGCATCAGTCTAGAGACTCGCGAGCGAGTCGAATGTGATTTTTCCGACTTATAGCATTGATTCTCCACCCCCAGAAAAGTACGAGAAACTTCTAGTGGATAGAATTATAATAAAGATCTTTAAGAGATAATCCGAATGTATATTTCTTGTCGAGCGTCAGCAGAAAATTTCGCTTAGGACAAACATTTAGCAAAAAAAAGGACACACCTGACGCACAATAGTAATATCGCCAATATCCTCTTACATCGCGATCTCCTCAATCTCGCCAGCCTTCATTTCCGGCAACTCAGCTATCTTGCGCATCTTCGTTGCCCTGTATTTGCTGAAGACTGACTTAAATTGCGAATTTGGCGCTTCCAACACGAGCTTCGCCAAGTCTTTGGTCACCTCCTGCAGCTCCTCCTCGCTGTATTTGGAGTAGTGCTGAAGCGTTGGTGTCCACACGCCCTCAGTCGACGGGCGAATCAGTCTCAGAGACAAATAAATAGCAGCAGCCGCAATCTGAAAGCCACAACAATCGATTACTTCAATTAACTAGAATGCTTAAGCTTGGCACAACTGCCCAAAAACCGACGCAAAAGAGACTCACCAGCGACGGGCGCACGTGAACCATGCTGTACTCGATAGTGGCGAGCTCCAGGAAATACTTGGCGGCGCAGTGGATGATCTCGTCTGCGCGCGCGGCCTTGGAGAAGCGACGCAGGAAGTGGATGGGCAGCGGACGGCAGAGATTGAACTTGAGCTTGCGCAGGAGCGTCTCCTCCATCTGCCTCACCTGGCGATCCGTGTACGCGTTGTCGGAGATGTGCACTAAGTCGTAGATGGAGGGCGGCAGCACCTCCTCATATTTGCTGGCCACAAATAACGCCGCGATGCCCACCAGCTGCAGCGTCTTGCGCGAGAGATTCTTGGACAGCTGCAGCTGCCTGTCCACGAGCGCCACGGTCATGAAGTACGTCTCCGGCACGAGGTGGAACTGGCAGTGCACCTCGTTCAGCCAGTCCATCAGCACCGCCCGCATGCGCGGCTTCAGGTCCGTGTGGTTGGCCATGTAGGCCTCGTGCACAGGAAAGCGCTCCTCCAAGCTGTACAAATAGTCGTAGATGTCGTTCGCGTACTCGGGAATGTGCAGCACGTTTTCTTGATCCTCGGCGTCGATGTCGATTACCTGACTCATGAGGTAGCTCGAGTGGCTCTGCTGGCGTCGCTCCTTCGCTGGTGCCTCCTTGAAGTCGCTCTCCGGCTGCGCCAGAGGAGCTTTCTTCGGCGGACTCTTCACCACGCTCTTCTCCGCCGCCGCGGAAACCTTCTTCACCACCACCTTCTTCGGCTCCGCCTTCACGGCCACGTCTGTCTTCTTCCAACGTGTGTCGACTCGCGGCTTCACATCCTTCAGATCCACCTTCCTGAACACAGTTAAAAAAAAAGACCGTTAAATCGCCCTCCGGACGCCTCTTCTGCCGCCCCTCGTGAACTCACTTTGTGCCCGTCGTTAAGCTCGTCACTCGATTGCCCAGCTCTCCCAGGACAGCACGCCTGGTCACTCTGCCACTCACTTCATTCTTCCCGATCGCCTTCACGGCCAATTTCTCCGATTGATTCTGGGAAACAATAGAACACCGTTATCCCAAGCCACTTTTCCCACTGAATTTCACGACAAAACCCCGCAAAAATCCCACAAATCTACTCACCGACTCCTCCGCAGCACACCCGAGCGCCCCTCTGCCCACACAGCAGCCCAGGAAATTGAGTATTTTCCGGGAAAAACGGGGCCCCGCGGGCAGAGAAGTCTCCCTCACATTCCGCCCTTCCCCATGTACTTTCGCCCCATATTCCTTGTGAAATTCATCACTCACCTCGTCCACCTTCACGGTGCGCTTCCTCGTGGCCATGGTATCCGGAAAAGTGCAGTAAAATGTCGAAAATAGAAAATCCAAGCGCAGAAAATTCAACACTGCAAACAGCCGTTAGCGAGTCAAACAAATTATGCGCTGTGATTGGCCGAGAGCCGCTCGGCTTCGGCGATCGTGGACCGGTCGAAGGCGTTCGTGCGTAATCGGATTAGACCACCTGAAATCACATAACCTCAACACTCGAGATTTCTGCAGAAAATACCGATTTTCCAGGAAAATCAACACAACAGTATACACCGTAAGATGTAATGATCATTGGAGAATACCAATCTGTCCTCAGGAGCTGTGATAAACCCATACATCACCCAGAAATGTACTTACGAATTGTCAGTATTCTCTGCAAAATTACAGCTCTCAGAGATTATTCCTTCAGCTCCTGAAGCTATTCACACGAGAATTGCCACTCTCTCTCTACAAATTAGTTAAATTTCTCAAATAAAGATCCGTAATTTGTCGGTAAAGCGAACAAATGGAAAATCTCCAACGGTTTTTCTCAAATGTTTTCAGGCCCTCTGTGATCTCGTGTGTGAATTATAAAACATTTCGACGAGATTGTTTTTATTTCGAGGGATTCCCAAATTTTACATTCGCTACTGGGTTGGCATTCTGAGTGGTTGTCAGACATTTTGCCGCGCAAAAATTTTGCCAAATTTAACGCTTATCTGGAGGATCTGCGGCTTTTTCGACGACGTGACTGTGGAAAATTGAAGGATGATCCTTAAGGACCCAACAACTGACGGGCAGAATGGGCAAGGCATCCCAGGATGCTCTCACGATGCGACGCTTGGTTGCCAGTTGGATGGCGACGCCGTGATGGGCGCTAAAGATGGCGGAGGTACGTTCTTGCTGATTAGCGGGAGTGATAAGAAGAATCTTTGTGAGATATCACCTTTTGCGGTTGAGAGAGAGCTCAACGTTTTCGGGGAGGTGACGGAGATCATCAGGAGAGCGGATGGCAAGCTTTTGGTTGAGGCAGCTAGTCGTGAACAAGCGGATAAGTTGGCTGAATTAACCTCAATTGCGGATCATGAGGTATCAGTTTCTCTGGATGTTCGTATGAACACATGCAAAGCTATTATCCGAGATGAAGACATGATACATTGGAGTCAGGAGGAGATGCTAGAGAATCTCGCTAGCCAGGGCGTGATTGCCATTAAGAACATCAAATCGCGTCGCAGATTCGCCCGTGGAGCTGCTGCTCAGAATGGAGATAAAGAGAGTGAGTCGGGATGGTATCCTACTCCTCTGTTTATAGTCACCTTTGACCTGCCGAGTCGCCCTCCTTTCCTTAAAGTGGGGTATGTGAAGATTGAGACTCGTGACTACATTCCGGACCCGATTCGATGCTTCCAATGCCAGCAATTTGGACATTTTCGGACTTCCTGCAAGAATGCGGCGATTTGTGTGCGTTGTTCGGAGACGGAGCATCGCCCTAATCCCTGTAAGTCGGGGGTTAGATGTGTGAATTGTGGAGGCCCACATTTTGCGTCACACCGTGTGTGCCCGGTGTATCAGGAGCAGTTTGAGATCCAGAGGATTGCGGCCACTTTTCGGATTCCGTTTAGCACCGCCAGGAGGATCTTTAAGAGCTATACGGGAAATCAACTTACGATGGCGGAGAGGATCGCAAAAGGGATGAACTTTGCGTACCCCCTAGAGACTTCGGGGGCAAGTTGCCGATGCACGTGTTCGTGCATGCGTTGCAAGCCAGAGTTGATGCGTCAATCTTTTGGACCTGCACCTGCGAGTGGCAATAATCCGTCGGGATTGATCAGTGGAGGTGAGGATTTGATTACTCCACTCGTGTCTAAGCCGTCATCGCTGACGTCATCGATTGCGGAACTACACTCGGTCTCCAGTTTGGAGGTATCCAGTATGGAGGTGGACCAAGATTGTGTGAGCGTGGTGGAGGAGGGTCAGAAGATGGAGCGCTCTGACATGGAGGAAGAGAGTAGCAGCCGAGTCGATAAGGTGCGTGACAAGAAGCTGAAGCGCAAAATACGTATTGGAGTGAGCGCCCCTGAGAAAGCCAGCAAGATGTCGAAACATGGGAAGAAGAAGACATCCGAGACTGCGAAGGACAGGAAGGACAAGAGGCCCACGGCCAAGGCAACCTCCTGCCAGGACAATGCAGGAGAGGAGGACCCAGGAAGAGAAGAGGACACCTTTTCAAGCAACGATATTAGGGACATAATTGGAGTGAAGTAAGCGTATCTTTTTTTATTAATTCTTGATTAGCCTTTTTAGCCTTTTTCCTCATTTCAATATGAAAGTAGTTCAATGGAATATTAACGGCTTCTTTAACAATTTTAATGATCTTAAACTAATTGCTGTAAATTTAGATCCCGACTTTATTTTATTGCAAGAGACCCACCTCAAATGTTCTGATTCTCCCTCTTTCAGGGGATACAGTATTGTTTCCAACAAAGACCTTTTCGACGTTGCACGTGGTGGTGCAGCGATTTTAGTCAGGGAAGGCATTAACTTCTCAGAGATCACACTGTTTGATGAAATTGATGCGGTTGCGATTGGTTGTCGCGTGGGGGGGAGAGATCTTGCTCTGTGCTCAATCTATCTGAACCCAAGATATTATTCAATAGCGAATGAAGTTGAAAAGGTATTTGATGGTCTGCCCTCTCATGCGTTGGTGTTGGGAGACTTAAATGCTCATAATACAATGTGGGGATGTGACAGTACCAATGTCAAAGGTAGGCAAGTTGAAGAGATTTTGTTGGATAGGAACATGGCAATCTTAAATACTGGAACCCATACTTATCTTCATCCTGGGTATGGGAGCACCTCAGCGATAGACTTATCTATTTGCACTGCGTCTCTTTTGCCGATTCTCAATTGGAAGGTGTTCGATGACTCATATAGCAGTGACCACTGGCCTATATTGATAGAAACAGTGACTGCTGACTGTAGTAGATCCCAAAGAGTTAAGTGGCAGGAAGAGTCAGCAGATTGGGAGTTGTTTCACAATGCTGGTCTAGGGAAATTTGATTTACAAGAGGAATTATCTATTGAAGAGGCTGTAGAACATTTTAACTGTGTTGTGGATGGTATGGCTTTGTGTAGTATGAAAAGGTCGAATGAGTTTCTGAAGAGAAGAAGGGTACCTTGGTGGAATGATGCCATCAAAAGAGCGATTAATGAAAGAAAGAAAATGTTCAGAAGATTCTCTAAATGTCCCACTTCAGATAATTTGCTTAAACTTAAAGAGAAACAAAAATCAGTAAAAGAATTGATCAGCTCCTCCAAGAGGGAAAGCTGGAGGGAGTTTGTAAGTGGTATTAAACAGGATATGCCGCCAAAGGTTATGTGGGACAGGATACGTAAAATTAAGGGTGCATACTCTTCACCAAGAATTAATGAAATCATTCCGGAGGGCTCTGGGCATTGTTTCTCTTCTGAAAAGGATATCTCTGAACAGCTTGCTATCTGCTTCGAAAAGAATTCAAGTGATTGTGGTTTTTCTGAGCAGCAAATGATGCAAAAGCAGGCATTGGATAGCTACAGAACTGCTTCAACAGTGAGTTATCCAGCCGCTTTGGATGATGTTTTCTCTCTCGAGGAGTTAGAGTCGGCATTGCGTACTTTACATGGAAGATCATCAGGACCGGATGGGATTTCGTACGGAATGATCCGTCACCTTCCTCCGGGAGCGTATAGGTATCTTCTTCACATTTATAATAGAGTATTTGAGTCAGGATGCTTCCCGAAAATCTGGAAAACTGCTAATGTGATTCCAATTCTTAAACCAGGCAAAGATCCAACAAGTCCTCTTAGTTATAGGCCCATCTCCTTGTTAAGTTGTGTGGGAAAGCTTCTTGAAAAGATGGTGGCGAGAAGGTTGAATTGGTGGTTGGAGAGTATGGAGCTATTATCTCCAATGCAATCTGGTTTCAGGAGAGATAGAGGCACGATGGATAATTTAGGTTTTATTCAACACTTTGTTGCCAACAACTTAAACAATTCGCGACATGTCACGTTGGTGAACTTTGATATTGAGAAGGCCTATGAAAGAGTGTGGAGGAGAGTCATCATTAATAAACTTATGGATTGGGGCTTGGGTGGCAAGATGTTAAACTATATTGTAGATTTCTTGGAGGATAGAATGTGTAGGGTGCTGGTGGGTAATACACCATCATCGGAGTTCTCCCAGATTAACGGGACTCCAACTGGTAGTGTTCTTTCAGTGTCTTTGTTTTTGATTGCGATCAATGGTTTGTCGGAATCCCTTTTGGAGTCAGGTGTGGATGTTCAACACTGTTTGTATGCGGATGACTTGACCATTATGGCTTCTGGTCAGGACCAGGAGTCGCTTGAACTCAAGTTGCAAAGCTCATTTCGGGTTATCGAGTCTTGGGCTACAGAGTATGGTTTTAGGTTCTCTCCTCAGAAGACCAAAGCCTTGCATATTTGTAGGAAACGCTATTGCCGTCCTATGAATCTATCTCTAGGAGATTCCCCTATTGAAAATGTGTCACATATGAAAATTTTAGGAGTCTTGTTTGACAAGGCTTTCAACTTTCGGAAACATATTAGAGAACTCAAATTAAACTGCCAAAAACGACTCAATATCATCAAGACTTTGGCTAGTACAGAATGGGGAGCGGAGAGAGATCAACTGCTGAAGGTTCATCAGGCTCTTGTTTGTGGAAGGCTGGATTACGGTGTAATAGCGTATGGTTGTGCAAGCCAGACGGAGTTGAAGAAGTTGGATGCAGTATATCATTGTGGTATTCGTTTGGCAACGGGTGCTTTCAGATCTTCCCCTGTGGTTAGCATTCTTGTGGAGGCGGGGTTCAGCTCTCTTTTCACTCGTCGGGAATTACTGAAGGTGAGATATTGGGATAAGGTGAAGGACGCTACTGGTTTTTATAATTCAATGAATAATGGTTACAAGGAAGGGGGAAGAGTCAATTCCTGGGTGAGAGGAGCAATTAGATGGCATGAGGAGAGAGGGACGCCGGTTCACAGAGTGCTGAGCTTCTATGGTGTTGAACCGGGCTGGAGATTTGATTCATCATGTGTGGACCTTTCTCTTAAGGCTCATTGGGGCAATAAATCCTCCCAATTCTGTTCTGATTATCTTGATGAAAAGTTGGCGAGCTTGGAAGATTATCAAAAAGTTTATGTTGTTGGTAAAAAATTCAAAGGCAAGGCTGGTGTAGGAGTTTTTGTTCAAAGTAGAAATATAGTTGCGGAATTGAAGGTCAGTGATATGCTAACCACCTACAGTTTAGAGGCAATATCAGTGCACAATGCTTGTAAGTTTGCGTTAGGGTTTCAGAAAGCTGTGATCATTTCTAACTCAGCTCCAATCTTGGAACATCTAAGGGAGAGTTACGGATCGAACCCTTCGTTGGCCCTTATCAGAGATCTTCTGATAAGGAATCCCAATAGAGTGAGGTTCATTTGGGATCCGGGTCTTTTGGAGGGGAGCAAGGCTGCCAGTACATTCGCCAAGAATGGAGCTGGAAAGCCTTCTCCCAGGGTTGAAATAGTGAGTAGAGCAGATTTGAAGGTTTGGTGTAATTCGATGTTGAGAGCTCAGGGAGCCAGAGAGTGGAGGAACATCAGTTGTTTGGATAATAAGTTGAGAGAAATAAGTGAAAGGTGCAGATTCAGAAATGTTTTTGAAAACAGAAGGGATCAGGTTGCCTTGACTAGATTAAGAATTGGTCACTGTTACTTTTCACATGGGCATTTAATGTCCCGAGAAACGAGGGACTCCCCCCTGCGTTGCAGCCTCTGCAGCTGTGATCTTTCAGTCAGGCATATTTTAATGGAATGCCCAAAATCGGAGGCATTAAGAGAGTCCCTGCGCGCCACTACATTAGGAGAACTGTTGGGTAGCGTGGAAAGGGCGAAGTTGGAGACTGTACTGCAATTGGTGAGAAGAGAGGGAGGGAGAATCTGAAGAGGTATTTTAATAAGGTCTATTTCTAGTTCTATTTTGTTTTAAACATTTCAGTCGGGGTTTAAATATATAATCATAACAATAAAGCTTTCAATTCTAATTTAAATTCTAACGAATTAACTAATACGCTTACGAGTAGGGTAAAGTAAGAAATTTGTAAGTAGTATGTAAGCAACTGGTTAGTAACGAGTCCGGGAGTGGCGAATGGCAAGAGCCCGCAAGCCACGATAATAAACTATTCATTCATTCATTCCCAAATTTTACTCCTGGACACTGTGAAAATGATTATCTTGACTAGTGCGCTGTACAAAGAGATCCTGCAGCACATCAAGAACTTCCCTGGACTGTCAATTGAGTGCTTCCATCACCTGCATCACTTGTATCCTCATTTCTCTCCGCGAACACTGTGGAGCATCCTGAGTTGGGAGCACAGAGAGAGAATGCCTGAGAATGCCCAGCAAATCAGTGACAACAGCCCGGAGTTGTTGCAGGAGTACGAGAAGAGACTGGAGAGAGACCCATCGTCCGCTTTCGCTCTGCTTGTCATGGCAGCAGAGAAGAAATACTCGCCATACATGCTCTCCCAGGCGCTCATCAAGGAGAAGTTGAAGACTTCCGATGGCAAAGCCAGCAGATTGCTCAACAATCCCTCCAGGATAGCTGATGAGGTGCTCAGGCTGAATGTGCAGCAGTGCATTGAACTGGACAACTTGATGGGGCCCGTTCCGGACGCCTACAGAGACGCGATAGGAGTGTTCTTCGAGGAAATGGTAAGGATTTGTGCTGATTTCTTGATGTTGAGACTCACGAAGTCCTCATTGAAGTTGTACGACACACTGAAGAAGGCGAGGATAGAGTTCCACACGGAGAAAGACCTGCGAAGGATGGGCTTCAGAAAGACTCCGGACGCCAGACTGCTCTCCAGGTGCTTCTATCGAGGGCAGAGGATTCACTGGATCGAGAGCAAGGCGTTCTTCGGCAACAGCCTCAACCACAGCGATGTGTTCAGGCGTCAACTGGCGCCCTATCTGCATGACTTCGGCCCGGGAATTGTCATCTACTGGATGGGCTTCGTCGAAGACATCCTCGACTATGGCCCGGACATTCACGTGCGATGCGACTTTCCCGGTCCTCAAGAGCTCTTTGTGGAGTTCTAGTCAAAGAAATGTGATAAAATGCCTTAATTAAAGTGTGATGAGGGTGTTTTATTCAGTGGTCGCGGGAATAACGCAAGTCATGATGACTTTGTCCTGCACTTTCACCTCGAATTTCACGAGATGCCCTTCGCTGATGCTGCATCTCATGTCAGTGCAGGGAAGCTGACTGTTGGCGAGGAACAGAGCAAGTCTCCTGCTCTCAATTTTGCAGGTGATCTTCTCGGATTCGCCCTGGGCGAAAACATCTTGATTCCTGCAGTGGCACGAGATCTTGGCCATTGGGGACTCCGAGATGAAGGACACCGTGCCGTTTCTCACTGTCTGCACACTCATGACGGTCGAGGACTCCCGCATTGCCTCAATGATGCCCCCGATGCTCCTCACGCCGGGCACGCCGACCGTCATCTCGAAGTCCGGCAAGCTCGGCAGCTGATACTGCAGCCAGTCTCGCCGGGAAACCACCATCACGGGCACATCGTGCGAGATCCGGCGACTCGCCGCAGACGTACTCGACGGGATCTCCATTTCCAGGCACAGACAAGCAATATTCTTGCTCATCAGCTTCAATTTCAGGTATGACGTCTCGCTATTCCTGCTCCCGCTCAGAACACGCACGAGATTGGCCGCCTTCATGATCAGGATAATCGCGTTGTGACTCTCTGACAGCCCATCCATCACGTACTCCGCGAAGAACACCGTCTTCTCCAGGTCACACCACATGGGCAGCGCCGTCTGGGGCGAATCCACGTTCACAGCGACTGCCAGGCGATCCGGAAGGGCGTTGAAGATGACATCCTTGCCGCACTTCGACAGCGTCGTCACGATATCTGAAAGGATTCCTTGTGAATATCATTCCCTGTGACTTCATGGCCGAGCGACTCACTGAAAAAGTCCTTAATTGACAAGGAATCCCTGATAACTGCCCGGAATTTCATGGTTCTGTGAATGTTTGTACTTGTCTGAACACGGCGCGCGGGAACATGACGTCACTCAATCATGCCTCGCTGCGATTGTGAAGCGAATTCCATTGGATTTTTCCGAGGTGTTTCGCAAGCAAAAAGATAATTGAAAAATCTCGTTTTTATCAAAGAAAATCATTTAATCCAGGAATCGGAAACTACTTCATCCACGCCGAGCGGTCGTTGTCCCTCTTGATGGTCTCCAGGAGCTTGGGAATCTCTTCGAGGTTGCTGGAGATGGCCGTGGTGGAGGACTCGATCCACTGCAGCGAGCTCATGTGGGCGTTCAGGATCTTGCCGATCTGTACGATGGGATCGTTGGGGTCGCGCTCCTTGTTGGCCTCGTTCAAGTGCTCAATCACCTCCTTCAGATCCTCGGACATCTGCTTAAGCTGCGTGTCCAGGTTCTCGGCCAGCATGTACGTCTGCGCGCGCTCTCCGTCCACCTGCACCATCTTGGCCAGCTCGCTCTCCAGCGGCTTGATGCACTCTTCTAGTTCCGAGTGCTGCGCCGCGATGATCTCCAGCTCGTGCTCCAGCACTTTCTGCTCCGCCGTCACGCTCTCCACGGACTCGTGCAGGTTCACGATCTTCTTCGCGTTCTCCGTGAGGATCTTATCCCAGGCATTGATCTCCGTGGCTTTGTTGGTGAACACCTTCTCCTGGCCCTCCAGCTCCAGCGTCCACTTGTTTATGCACTCCTCCAGCTGGCACAGGTTCAGCTGCCCGACGGCGCTCTGCTGCGACGAGGCCGTCGTCACGGTGGCCGTGTTGAGATTCACAGCCGCGCCCTGGGTGCTCTGCTGGCCAGGCACCGTGACGCCCGCTTGGGTGGCCGTGGTGGGAATGCGGAAGCCGCTGAAGCTCGCCGTGGTCGCGGCGGGCATCGAGAAGGACAGGCTGGCGCCCGTGGTGGCCGCGGGCGCTGCCGATGGGAGCTGGAAGCCCGCCGCGGCAGGAGCGGCTGCAGTTGTGGCTGCAGACGTGATGACTGGCGTGAATCCCGCGAAGGGAGACGCAGTGCTGCTCGCGGTGCCGATTCCGGACGTTGCGGAGGTGCCAAAGGACAGACTGGCGCCACTGCTTGTCGTCGCAGGTGTGGCGGAGAAGAGGAGTGGCGTGGATTGTGGCTTAAGACCCGCATCGCCTCCTCCTGTGGTGCCAAAAGTTATGGATCCGGGAGCTGTAAAATTGAGGGTTAGATTGCAAAATGTCCTTATTTCTCCCGTCACATTCACTATTTGCACTCACTCGATGGGGAGCCGAATGTGAATCCTGTTCCTCCACTTGGATTGTTCATGATTGTGTTGATTATTTGCTGGGAAATTAAGGAAATTCGCGAAAAACCAGCATCCAAACAAAAGCCCTGCCGAACAACTGACGGCGCGCCGATCACGTGATCTTTCGACCAGTTTCACAACCTCACTTTCGTGCTGGAATTTCTTGCTCAGGAAGAAAATGTTGAAAAGCGTGAAATCCCTCTCGGGATGGTTGCCCCAAGTCAGGGGAATGTGCTACAAGAGTGACTTGAGCCTAGAGAAGCTCTATCCAAAGACCAAGACGAAAATATTCACTCCTTCGTCGCCGGTGAGATAAACAAACATTCCTGGATTGAGTAGAGATTTCAGCTATTTTCTCCCTTGCAGCCTGCGAGATCTGACACGAAATTCAACGGATATATCCCCGTGGAGCAGCTGGAGATCACATACAGCCGCAGCAGCGGTCCCGGCGGTCAGAATGTCAACATGGTAAACACGAAGGTGGATTTGCGGTTCAAGCTGGACTCCGCTTCCTGGATTCCGGAGGGCGTGCGAGCGAAGATGCACGAGAACTTCAAGAGCAGGATTAACAAGGACGGCTATTTCATGGTCAAGAGTGACTTGACGAGGTTTCAGCACATGAATCTGGCGGATGCTCTCGAGAAGCTGCGCAATTTGATCCGGAACCTGGAGAAGGGTGAACATGTGGAGCCCTCAGTGGACGCCCTGATTCGCCAGCGGCGACTGAAGGACAGAGCCAATGCCCAGCGATTGCTGGTGAAGCGAGAGAGATCCCAGATAAAGGCTCAGCGACAGGCGCCCATAGATTTCTGAGCATAGAAAGTACACACTTTGTAATTACAAAAATACATTAGTTCATTTTTGATTGATCGAGATACAAAACATCCTTCCTGGGCGCCCGGAAAAAGGGGGCTCGGAAGGGCTACAGCTAACAACTCAGACTAACAATAGTGGAATTCATGGTGTTTCCTTTGTTGGTCCCAGACAAAGGCAGAACAGAGAGAGAGAGCGAAAGAGAGGGAGAAGTGATGAACAGCTGCCGGAGGAGTTACTTGGTCTCCTCCTGGATGGGCCGACGGAAGAGCAAAATATGTGGCTCTGGGTCGTGAATCATGTAGTGAACCTGCAAGCAACACATTCCCGAATTACAGTCACAATCTTCCCGGTCAAACAAGAAAAAAAAAGCCCGGAAACTCACCCATCCTCGGGACTGCTGCACTCCCAGTGCTCTCCACTCGGTCTCGGACATGAGATGTGTTTTTGGGATGTTCTTGGCCAACTCCTTGGGCAACACGACGTGTCTGAAAGAAGGAAATCACGCGATGAATCCCGCGAGTCTCAGGGCAAAACAAAGCAGCTGCCGGAAAAGAGTGACGAACAAGTTTCTCTTCCCTTTCCTGCTCACTCAGCGCCGCTCCCCACTCACCTGTACTCGAACTCCTTGTCGTAGTACTTGCTGGAGTAGTGGATATCCTTGGCACTCATCTTTTTCCGCAGAAAATGCGATTTTCTCAAGAAAGGACGCGTTTCTCGCCTGCTAAACTGTCACTCCACTTTCAATATGGCCGCTAATTTGAACGAGAGCGCTGTGAGTCGCAAAATTATGGCACACGCCGAAAATCCGGAAAGTGTCAAAACACCACCTGTCAGCTCGCAGAAAAAGCCTTTATTTTTATGTACAGATTACCGATGGCGCGCTTTCTTGGTGGAGCTGCTCTTCTTGTTGGACATGCTCGCCCCCGTCAGTTTGTGCTTCACCCCTGCGCTGTCTTTCGACGTGGAGGTGGTGGGAGTGTGAGGTCGTTCTAGAAACATCAAAAACTCAGTCATATAAGGCTGCGAGTGTCGCGCGACGACTCTACCTGACTGCGAATTGAAATCTCCAGCGAGTCCCTGACTCTTGCCACTGTTGGCCAGGCCATCGTGGGCGGTAGTGGTGTTGTGGTGATTCGAGTTCACCCCTGAGATCTGATTGTCACTCGAGTCCTCGTTATTTGTGGCCGATTCCGACTCACTGTGTCTGTCATTTGGGTCCACGAGTCCGCTGACAGCCTAAAAGATGCGTAAACAACATGTAAATAGATCAAGAAATACCCTTAAGAGATTGCTAGGACACTTACAGCCATGGAAGTGATGGAAGACTTGGAGAAGAGCCTCTCGGCCTCCTTGAATTTGCGATTCCTCTTGTCCGCCTTGGAGTTTGTGGCCTTATTTGTCGTCAAGTATCTGTCCCATCCTCTAATGATGTTCCCATAAAGCTGAGTGTCCTCCAGATATGATCCCTCGAAGGCGTAGATCTGCCTCTCCAAGTTGGCCAGCGTCTCTGAGATTTCCGCTTTGCGTTTTATCAAGTCCGCCAACTCCGCTGTGGTGGACGCCATGATGACTGTTTACACTCACTCTTTTCCTCCTCACGCTGAAACCAAAGCACGCACGACCATTACTGCTGTTGCAAATGAGAGCCAGGCACTCAATCTCCAGAACCTTGTCAGTTATTTTGTGGCAATTTGCCGGGAAATGAGGGAAAATGTGGTTTATTTTGAGGACTCGGCCGGATCAAAACAATGCCAAGTGACACTTTGGCTCTTCTGTTGGCAGCACTGGTTAATGATGACTTTCCGGAATTATCATTGACGGAACGAAATTCCTCATCGGAAGAACAACAAGAAGGAAGAGGTGCTCAAGGGATTTCCGGTGATTGCAGGCGAGTGAATTGGCCAGGAAGGATGTCATGCATGGTGCGCAACCCCTCGGACATCACGCTCTCCATCCCCAATATCGTGGAGACGGATGGAGTGACGCAGTACGAGATAGAGGTGAAAATCGGAGAAGTGTCCTGGCGAGTGTTCCACAGATACCGCGACTTCCAGGAGCTGCACGAGAAGCTCGTGTCCGAGAGGAGTGTGTCGAAGGATCTCCTGCCACCCAAGAAGGTATGTCTGCCCAATTAAGTCACGAGAAGTGCTGAGAAATGGGGATTTTTCAGGTGATCGGCAACAGAAATCCCGCCTTCGTGGAGAAGCGCAAGGCTGGGCTGGAGAAGTACCTTCGGGAGGTGCTGATCTACCTGCAGCTGACGATGCCGCGGGAGTTTGTGGAGTTCCTGCACTTGCACGAGTATGACATCATTCATCTGCTGCACACAATGGCGGAGAGATTCTATCTGGACGGTGACTCAGTGCTCAGCGGCTCGCGCAGTCAGACATTCTCCGTTCTGGAGCTTCACGCCATCAGCGAGCGCCTGAAGCTGCCCTCGGAGGTGTCGGAGAAGAAGTACGACTTCTCGCATGTGCTGGACTTCTGTTCGCAGCTCGAGAGAGTCATCGTGATGCCCAGAAGAGGCGAGAACGCCCTCGAAGGCCGAAGCAGGGCGGATTTGCCGCTGGGAAGCAGCAACATCATTCCGCAGAGTCTCAAGTTCGATATGGTGGCTTTCAAGACGCTACAGGAGATTCAGCTGATCGGCGTGAGTCCGGCGAGCATCGTGAACGCCGCAGCGATCAGGGACAGCCTGAAGACGCTGCATGTGCATCTCACAGACACACAGCGGCTCAGCGACGTCCTGCTCTGTGATGACATCCACAAGACGGCTGTGAGTGATCCGGAAAAGGTGTGGCGAAGTGTCGAAGTGGCCAATTTCTCGGACAACAAGCTCATCGCCATCGACGAGTCCATCAAACTCCTGCCCAAGATCGCCACGCTGACGCTGGACAGGAACGAGCTGACGACCGTGCAGAATCTCAACGCCATGCCCTGCCTCAGTGCGCTGAGTCTCACGGAGAACAAGATCGCGCAGTGCCTGGATTGGCACTTGGAGCTCGGCAATCTCGTGACGCTGATCCTGTCGCAGAACTTCATCCAGAGCCTCGCCGGCTTCCGCAAGATGTACTCCCTGGTCAATCTGGACGTGAGCTGCAATCAGATCGGCGACATCGACGAGGTGGATCATCTCGCGAACTTGCCGTGCATCGAGAATATCAAGCTGACGGGAAATCCCGTGGCGGGAAGCGTGGACTATCGATCGAAGGTGCTGTCGCGGTTCGTGGAGAGGATCGGCGAGATGTGCCTGGACAACGAGAAGGCGTCGCAGAAGGAGGTGGACACCGCTCTAGTATTAGCCGCCCTGAAGATATCCCAGGACAAGATGGACAGCCCGCGCAAGGTGTCCTCGAGTCTCGGCCTCCTGAGGTGATTCTCCGCAGGTATTTCACGCCACTTCTCCGCATGCCGAATAAATGCTGTGCGTCGATGCAATCGACTCGCCAGATGATCCACTTTTCCGTCCGCACGCCGGCAAAAATGCCCAGAGATACGAGGCAGTTCAATGAAATGTTAATGACTAATTCGCATAGTGAGTTTTGTGGGACAAACAATTTCAATTTCGAGAGCGATAACACGAGTGTCTAATCCTCCATTTGAGATGCGCCAGTCACAGTGCGACTCCGCACACTTGGAGTGCGCCTTTGTGTGGCCGAAGGGGTGATTCTGGGCTTTTTCCAAATGGGCTCGTCAAACAGGGAAACTTTCCAGATGCTCAAGATAAGTGCGCAACAAGTAGCGCTGAAAAGTCAACTGTTTGCAGTCAATTGAGACGGAATTTTCACGCTTTGTGCGATTAATCCTTGCAAGGATTCTGGCGGAAAAGGTTATTTTTAACTCTCTTCGGGCTCCAGAGACATTCTCACGCCACGTGATTTGATATCTTTGGCATCTTTTCGTATTCTTATCGTGAATGATTCAACAGAAAAAGAGAGAATTCAGCTTCAGAAACGCTTCATTAGACTTGGAAGAGATGAGAGAAAATGCTTTGATCGATTTTCCATTGAGTTCTTTTACACTTTTTCTATATATAAAGACTTATTAGTAATTCGGAGCAGCTGCTAAACTGTTATTTTCCATATTCAATTATGGAAAATATTCAATTGTTGAAAATTATTCACAATTCTGTCAATTTGCAAAACAATTCCAGTTAGGAAAATGTCTGTAGAATATTAATTTGTTCAGTAAATAATCCCAGAAAGTGTTAATTGGAAAGCAAAATGAATCAAAACTTGTCATAAATCGAGAAATTATATATGTTTTATACTTTTCTGGATCATTTTACTGACCAAACATCTCAAATACCTCAAATACTAAATGTATTTGGGTATTTGATTCAATATTTTGGCCGTAATATTCGCATTCTCTCCTCAATTGACCTTTTTCGGCGCGAGGCTGACGAGGGGTAACATTGAATTCTCAGCTGTTGTGAGGCGATTTTCGCTGGGATTTCCCTTCTGAATCGAGAGCTCACGTGAGATTCCAATCGTGATTGCCTTGCAATATGCCCGCGTGGTGAGCGAGAGGGTCGTCGGGAGAGTTCCTCACTCCATTCGCTTCTGGAGTTCTCCTCCGAAGTTGCGCAGGATTTTCTGCATGCGCACTTAGAGTGTCGGATGCATCGGGACTTTTGACAGAGAGAGGAACGGGATTGATTGGGTCTGGCGAGTGTGTGAAAAATGGTAAATGCCAACAATTGGCAATTGAGGCGCTTGGCGGGAATCGGAATCGCACACGAAGTGAAGTGATGTCGTGTCTCTAATCTCAGCCTGTCTCTCTCTCTTCCCAGTTTTGCTCGGGTATCAAAACATTTATCAGTGAGTCGTGCGCTGTCGGAGACAAACCAAGGCATATTCCAAGTGACTCTCGTGGCGACACAACTCGCCTCAGCGTGCCAAATATCCGTGCCATGTGAAGTGGAGAAGTCCGTCTGGGAACAGTGTGAATAGAGAGAAAGAGAGCATCTTCCTGGGACGCGCGCTCGTGGTCAGTGTCGTGCCTTCAGCAAGTGAGTGGTGATGGTGATTGTCTCATGGGCGCTGGAGTAATTGCCACCGTTTCAGCGCGCTACAGCAAGTCCAGGCATCACAGTTCCCGTCGCTCCAGCGACTGCCACAGTAGCCACCGGCAGGAGTGCCCAGGAGTCCGCAGCCAGAGACACTCAGTGGTGAGTCAATGAATCCCCAGGCGATACGTCTCTCTCTCTCTCTTGCATATCACAGTCATTGCCACAGAACTGATAAAGGCGAAAATTGACTGGAAAGTTACTTTTGAACCCGGGCGATGGCAAAACACAGGAAATCAGTCGCAGAGCCAATGTTCGGCCAGATTCCGCGCGCCCTTTCGCCCTCTCGCCACCCCGCGGGGGCAATTTAATTTTAATTAGGCAACTCGCAATTCATACTTTTCGGCCGCGCAGCGCGTGTCTGTTTACATGTTTTCCCGCGGGATTTTTTCCCTGCGCCACTCTCGGCGCCACAAACATATTTATGCGTGTGCATCAAAATATACTCACAATAATTTGTACAACTCTGGCAAATCGCACACTTTTTTCTCTCTCCGGCTCCATTCACTAGTTGAAACGGGTTCTAATTCGTCACTTGTGACGACTAATTGGGTCAATTTGCTGGCCAGCGCGATGCAAATCTTCTTTTTTTTTGCACATCAATTCGAGAGAGTCTGCAAAATTGCTGACTTTCTTCTTCTGTGGGAATGTCTTATCTGCGGGTCTATAAATAGATGCCTTAGTGTTTACTCGGCAGAACTTTCTTTGCAAAGTGCCACAGTTTTTTTTCTTTCTTTCTTTTATTATTACTATCGGGAGTTGTTAGATTTTGGGAAAGAGACGCTATTTCACTGATAAGTTGCACTGAATTCCCCATTTATTTCCTATTTATCAGGCTACAAGATAAGGTGAGATGATAAGAAATTGATATTGATAGTAATTGGTTGAAAGTGAAGTTTCAAAGCTGGCAATGAAGGTCATTTTACTCTATTCATAATAATTTCTACGATTTCACAATGAATGTTCGAAGTAAGAAAGAATACATAATTTGGATTTATGCAGCAATGCTTGATGTGAATCTTGATTAAAATGATCACAAATAGAGATTTTAGCCATCAAATATTTGATTTTTAACTTTTTAAATAATAAAAACTAAATTATTATCTACAGATTTTAATGCTGGATTACTGAAAAAGAGAAAATCAGAGATTTTTTACTTTAATTTTAGGATTTCGAGTAATTTAAATCGAGAATTTGGTTAAAAACCTTCATTCTTTATAGTTAATGAAGAGATTTTTGCTTATCAGTTCCAATTTTGAATTAACACAAGTTTATTGTACATTTTTTAAACAGTTCTAAATTTTCCTAAAAAAAAATCGAGAATCTATTTGTGATGAAAGGATTGAATGAGTTAAGAAAACATGAATGAATATTGGGAAAATGTCTGTGGCAATAAAGTGATTTTCAATATCTCAAGTTTCATTGAAAGGCGCCAAGATTGAGTTTCCTAGTGGGGAAAATATGTTGAATTGAATGAAAAAAAATCTTGGCTTATCTCTTATGTAAAATGTATATTAGAAAAATCACGTCAAAATTTCATCATTCGCCCTTTTTTGTGCTGAAGATGCAAAGATGCCTTCAATTGCGCGGCGTCTTCAAATGATTCCCCGTCACTTTCATTGCCGCATTTCGTCATGATATTTTTATCAGCAACTCTTGTGACTGTTCATGCGTTGTTTTGCACTTTGGCGTGTGTGAGACATTTCTGCATAATTTGTAATCAAGACGAGAGAGACAATCAATTGATCTGGCATTTGTGCGATGGGGGAAAAATGTCTACAATTTCAGCGCGAGTGTCTCTTTCTCATAACACCCGATCCAGCGAGTGTGAAGGACTTTTGGCGTGCACTTGGCGAAGGTGCGATTTAGTTTCTCACGCGAATGCTGGTTCAGTGCGGAGTGGCTTTTTCTGCGGTTCGGGTGCTTCAGCGCGAACGTGGGGCGAGTCAGTTAAGCTGGGAGCAAACACTCGCCAGAGTGATTTACAATTGGGGAGAAATTATCATGGTGTGGCATTGCCTGCGGGATTAGAGTGGTTTGTTTGACAAAGAGATGGACGCGGAGGTGAAGATTGTGGAGGAGAGTCTGGGCGAGACATCGAGTCAGGTGAAGATAAGGAATCCTTTCAAGTCGCTGCGCTTGCGGAAGAAGGAAGCGACGAGTGAAGAGGGCGCGAAGCCGCTGAAGAAGTCCAAGAAGATCTCGAGGAACTTCGCCCTCCGCAGCGGATTGGGCAGGAGGCGCAAGATTGCCGACAAGCAGTCGACGGAGGGCTCGCGGCAGACGCCCGAAGGGGGCAATCCGCTGACTGATGTCACGTCACTGTCTGATGCAAGTGCCGAGATTGAGACGCAGAAAGCCCCTGAAGTCCCCATCAGTACGGCTTCCAGTGAGCGTATTGAGTTTCTCGACGACGAGAAACCCCACAGAGCGACTGTGGCGGATCGGGTTTCCGTCTTTCAGCAGCACTCCAAGAAGTCCACCTCGACCATTCGATCGCGAATCGCCAAGAGGTTCCACGTCAGCGAGGCGAATTGCATGCAGGAGTCAGAGGAGTCATCCAAGGAGGCGGCAGAGGAGCCCAAGCGGGAGCCCGTGAACTTCGCCGTGGGCAGCGCCGTCACAACTCCGCCCAATCTCGCCCATCTGCGCCACATCACGTCTCTGGAGAGCGACAGCGAGGAGCAGTCCGAGGAGAACTTCCTGCAGCAGCCCAAGAGCAGGAGTCCCTCCGGGGCGTCACTCAGGCGGATCGCCTATGAGCCTCAGGCGTCACAGGACGCCGATACGGAGCCAGAAATGCCAGCGCACGGGGACTTGATTGCGGACAATGTTGGGGTGCTTTTCCCAAGACTCTAGGAGAAATGCTGATTCTATTTGAGTTCTCATTGGTGCTTCTCTTGTGTTTTGCAGACAAATATGACGCCCAGTGGACAGACGAACGCGGGGAAGAAGGAGCATCTCTACAAAATCCTCGTGATCGGCGAGCTGGGCACAGGAAAGACGTCCTTCATCAAGCGCTACGTCCATCAGTTCTTCAGCAACAACTACAGAGCCACAATAGGGGTGGATTTCGCCCTCAAAGTGATACCGTGGGATGAGAACACGATCGTTCGGCTGCAGTTATGGGACATTGCCGGTGAGAAGCTCAAGGATTCTTATAGTGTTTCAGATATTTAAGGACATTAATCACTCTTTTAAGAAGATTTTTGACGCTTTTTCATGTTGAAAATAGGTGAAAATCACTTTAAATTGCAAAACTTTTCATGAGAAATTGTGCGATTTTATCAAAAAGTGATTTTAATAGAATTTTAATGTGTTCTTAAAGGCCAGGAACGCTTCGGGAACATGACGAGAGTGTACTACAAAGAGGCTGTCGGCGCGTTCATCGTGTTCGACGTCACGAGATCAGCCACTTTCGACGCCGTGGCGAAATGGAAGCAGGACTTGGATGCGAAGGTTCAGTTGCCGGACGGAAGCAACATTCCCTGCGTGCTGCTGGCCAACAAAGTGAGTGGCAATCAATGGAAGAGTCAGTGAAATTGAGTGTGATTGACCGTCTCTTTGTGTGCTTTTGCAGTGTGATCAGGAGAAGCAGGGCTTCGTGTGCAACTCGGCGAAGATGGATGAATATGTGCGAGAGAACAAATTCACGGCGTGGTTCGAGACGTCTGCCAAGGAGAACATCAACATTGAGGAGTCAGCAAAAGCGCTGGTGACGAAAATCCTAATCAACGATAAGACAATTGTGGCCGATCCGGCGGACGAGGAGAAGGTCTTGCTCACAAATTCAACCCACTCAGCGTCCAAATCGTGTGCCTGCTGACTTTATCTTGCCCACTTAATATCCTCCCAGAGAACGTCCATTGTGAGATTTAGCAGAAGTCTTTTATTGTCGTCAGAGAGAGTGAAAACATTGCCGCAAAATATTTCCATTTATTGAAAGAGAGAGAAAGAGATTGTCTTATATATTTGAAGAAAGCATGTTTGTATACTACACAAGTACAAAATTATATTAGGAGATGCGCGGAAGGACATTCAATTTTGCGGAGAATGATAGAGAGAGAGTCTATTTTGTCGTTGGAATCTCGTGATTAACAATTTGGCTTTGGATTTATTGGGCTGTTAGGCGAAGAGAGAAACACATTTTTCTATATCTTTATGTGAGAAAATACTCTGTAATATTGTTTTTCACACACACACGAGGGAGTCTTTTGCGAGCCTCTGGACGGGCGAATCAATATTCTGTTTTCTCCATCCAAAGAGCCGGTATTAAAGAAGCTGAGGCAGAATGCCCTCGAAATCGATTGGCTCCGCACACTCGTGCATATCCAAGCATCATTGCAAAAATCGTCCACGAGGCGTTTGAAGTAACCATTTTTTTATATATATAAAATAGCATTTTTATTTATAGCACGTCACACAATACAAGTCTTTTTCTCCAGAAGATGACTTTTTTTTCTGCCGTATTTACCGACATCGCGAACTGAGCAAATGTTTATATATCAGCAAAGAAGAAAGAGAGTAATTAAATTAAGGCTATGTATTAACTTGTCTCACAGCAAATAAAGCATTTTAGAGGAAAAGCCAATGGACTTTTGGTGCTGAAGAAAAGTGGTGCGTTTAGAAAAGCTTCTCGGAATTTCCCCTGTGATTTAAGTGTGTTGAGTGAAGTTTATTGTGTCAGTTTGTATTTAATTAAAGATTTTCTTCGCAATTATGTTGCAAAGCTGCTTCAATTAGAACTTTGTTGCTTTCTTATAACAGAATTGCCATAAAAATGTAAAAAAAAATCTCATAAAACAGCTTATAAAGTGTTGCATTCTTTCAATATTACAAATATACTTATGGGAAAAAATCACGAGTTTTTAGAGTAATAATAAATTCTATATTAATTTTAAACGCTAAAAACGGAAGAAATCCTTTAAACAATTTTATAATTTGTTTAACACATTGCAAAATATTTCAAACGACAGAATAACAGTTTAAGTAGAATTCCAAGATGACTTCACACTTTGTACATTTGTCAATCTTGAAAATTTCCAATTCCACTGAAGAAAATAGGCGTTCTGAAGCCTTAAATTTGATAAAATTGAGCAACATTCATCCTGATTACGCATCAACTATCTTCCACTCGTTACTAAAAACAAAAAACTCGGTCGCGCCGTAAATCCATCTCGTGATCTCGCAATCAAAAGCCAAACACATTCCGTGGAGGAATGTTTGTCCAGAGATCACTTATCTCGCGCCACTTGCACGTCGTGGTGCGATTGAGGCCTATTCAGTGTGTCGCGAGCATGGAAGTGACTCTGCGCTGGCAGGACGTGAGCTACAGCGTTCGTCGCCCGCGCGATTCCTGGTGGCGGCGGCGCAAGAAGTCGCCGGACGTGCGGCACATCCTGGACAACGTGTCTGGCCAGGTGTCCACGGGGAATCTGGTGGCGATTGTGGGCGCGAGTGGAGCCGGCAAAACCACTCTCTTGGCGGCGATCTCGCGGAGAATTCGCGGCAACAAATTGGCGGGAAGATTCACCATCAATGGCCGGGAGATTGAGCGCGAGGAAATGACAAGCATCTCGGGATTTGTGCCACAGAATGATAGTTTGATTAACCAACTGACCATTGAGGAACACCTCACATTCATCGGGCAGCTGAAATACTCCCGAACGATGTCTCAGGATCGCCGGAAGATCACTATTCAGAAGATTCTCACGCAGCTCGGGCTTGGCTCGCTGGCCTCCTCGAGGATCGCCACATTATCCGGCGGGGAGAGGAAGAAACTGAATCTGGCCACAGAACTGCTCGGCGAACCGTCCTTCCTCTTCTGCGATGAACCCACCACAGGTCTGGACAGCTTCAGCGCTTTGCTGGTGATGAAGACCCTGAAGAATCTCTCGGGAACCGACCGAGAGTCAAGGAGCGCGGATGACTTCGAGATGGAAATCGTCAGTTCGGACAAGGAACTCTGGGATGCGCCTTCGAGGATGTTTCCTAAGGGAATCGTCTGCTCGATTCATCAGCCGACTTCTGACATCTTCCTCTGCTTCTCACACATAATCATCCTCCGCGAGGGTCGAGTGGTCTTCCAAGGAACTCCCAGTGAGGCCGAGAGGGACTTTCAGGAAGCTGGCTTCGTGTGTCCTCCGAATTACAATCCCATTGAATTCTACGTGAAGATTGTGGCTGAACAGCCAGAACTTGATCTCTGCCGAGAAGCAGAATCAATAGATAATAAGTCAGAATCCTTTAGAGCAATGGTGGAAAAGGCTCCTCCCGTGTGGATCCTTCAGGTTCTCTATCTTCTGAAGCGATCCTCCATCGTGGCCAAGAGATCGATGAAGGAGGAAATCACACAGAGCGCGATTTATCTCTCCATAAGCGTCATTCTGGTGCTCTTTTACAAGAATGTCGGCGGAACTACTCAAACCTCCATCCAGGACATCTCCGGTCTGTTCTTCACCATCTGCACAGAAGTCATCTTCGCCAAGATCTACGCGGTCATCATGAGTTTCTCTCCTCAGCTGCCACTGATTCGACGCGAAACTGGCGAGAAGCTCTTCGATCTGTCCGCCTTCTACACCGCAACAGCCCTGATGCAGGCAAGCTAGACTTCCTCACTGATATAGCCGAGATCTAACTGCCTTTCTTGCAGATCCCGAGAGCCATCATTGAGGCCTTCCTCTTCCTGGGCATCATCTACGCCGGCGTGGCTTTCTCAGGCGATTTCTGGACCTACTTTGTCATGTCCGTGACCTTCTCCATTGCGTCTGTCGCCTCCATGGCCTATGGCTTCATGATCTCCGGTCTGTGCGTGGACGAGAAGCTGGTCCAGGAGATCTCTGTGCCCTTCGACACCATCTCACTGATCCTGGGCGGCTTCTACCTCAACATCGGCGATCTGCCGTACTTGAAGTTCCTCTCGCTCTTCTTCCTCACCAACGAGGCGATCTCCATTCAGTTCTGGCGCGAAATCGACTACATCGAGTGCTCGGCGACGAGTTGCCTGCGGAACGGCACCGACGTCCTCAATTTCTACTCCTTCGGCATGGACAACGCGACCATCTGGCGAGACTACCTCGTCATGGCGATCTGGTTCGTCGCATCGCACGCCATCGGCTTCCTTGGCCTGCGACACTACGTCCGCAAGGAGGGCTTCTATTGAACACCAGCAGACAAAGACATTCCTCGCATGAGCAGAGATTAACACACAAAAAAAACAATCCAGGTGCTATTATTTTCCATCAATCTCTCTCCTTCCACTTCGTTCTCGCGCTTGTTGAGAAGTGTTAGAAAAACTTTAATACATCATCTTGAGCAGCCACAGCGGAATTGTTATTTACAAAGTGAGCTGCATTCAATGTTGCAGCCGCAGTGTTTCCATATGGATTTAATGTTATTAGTGAGTATATACAGATGTTTGCTATTGATATACTATCGTGACGAGCATCCCACTCAGGGTTGCTCAAACTTAGCACCAGCAAACTTCCTCGACTTATCGATTTTTGAGGCTTTTGAACATCATCCAGTCTGCGCTCGGTTGCCCCAAAAGTTCGACGGTGCAGACGATTTTCTGGCAAGACTATGAACTATCTTAACCCCAGACGAGCAATGCGAAGATTTGCCATTCATTTCCTATGGTTTCCAGTTGAAATACTGCTAAAATATGAGGGATAAAGAGCTTTTTCTAAAATTCATATAAATTATTCTCGCATTTCAGCTGTTTTGAGCAGATTTCGTTTACTTCTGCATTTCTTGCTGAATATTGAGCTGGAAAAGCGTGTAAACTAGCCAAGCCACAATTTGTTTGATTGGTTCTAATCAATAATGTGTCCTAAGTGGAACGAATTTACATATAACATGTCATTTTTGTTTTACACAGAATTAGGTAGATAAATCGCGAGTATTGCTAGAAATTGGGCCTGAAATTTGTGCTTTTCTTAGCAAATTTACGAGCAGGTCTCAAAATTGAGCAAAATGTATTTGCTAAGCGTTTAGCTTTGTTTATCCAATTTTTGAGCATGCAAAAATCACCAGATTTTGACTTTCTTTAGCGAAATCTGACTCTGGCCTGGGTCAGAGTTTGGCCTTGACCACATTTCGGCGATACCAGAAAAGTCATCGAACTTTGCGGTCGACCGAAATATTTTCTCGTCGCTGGTCGTGAAGAAGTGGCAGATAAAAGCTGACCCTGCTGTTTATACCAAACGCTGAGCGCACTTCCAAGCAAGTCTAAGCACATCTCAATATCCGAAGGCATATTTCCATATTTCTGCGCGACAGCAGATGCAGAATTATAATTAGAATTCTGATTGTGTGGAGTGCATTTTGGCGGGAAACGGCGCAGGGATGGAATGCCAATGTCCCTCATCGGGCAGAGGTATTTAGAGGCATTTCGGGCCTGGAGAGGTAAAAGAGTTCCTCACCAGGTAGACGGATTGCTCATGGAAAGAGAGATGGTTTTATGATGCAAATAAAAGGGAGACGAGTGACGTGGTGTGAGTGCAATGAATAGATAGTCGCTCTGCTATTGAATTTGAGGTCTTTTTCCAGAGTTCTCTCACTCCGAGAAATGGGCCGTGGAGGGGAGTCGAAAGAAGAATGACTAAGAAGAACACATTTTACTGGTATATATCAAATACCAACAATTGAAAATGGTGAATGTGTGCCTTATTACCTCGCTATTTTCACAATTTTACTGTTTCTCTCTCTCCCCACTTTTGTGTGTATTTGAGAAAATATTAATCCAAAGTTAGTTGTACTCTCAATACACGCCAGAGAGCAACTATAGTTTGGGCTTTCAGTTCGGAATTATATCACAACCACGGCCATAAACATAATGCCTTCCTAAGCCTCTCTCGCAGCCCGTCTCACTTGCACTCGTCTGGCTTTTTTGGGTAAGTATTTTAAAATAAGCATAGAGTATTACTGCTATGTTTTATGTGTTTAATAATAATTCCAAGTATCGACCGTGTGCCTTTCCCATTCAGGCCGGGTGAGATAGTGGAAGAAGTGTGTGAAGGAGCCACAAATACAGGGAGAAAGAACCCCGACTTGCGCCTCGCATTTAGTCACAGACTAAGAGCTGTGGTAGTCGTGAGCGTTTAGTTGGCGAGACAGCACGCCAAGGGTGAAGTGCCTCGAGACACATATCGTACCATCCCTCTCGCACCAACACGCCGCAACGGGGCGCAGCCAGGACCGCGAGGATCGCAGGACAAGCACCAGGTAGTACTCCTCGGCCCCAGGCTGGCCGTTGATCCGCCAGGCGGCCGATTAGACGGCGCACTTGGGCAGATTATTTTAGACACGCCACATACACAATTTCATATAGAATGGGATGGTAAATTAAACAAATCACACACATTCGCCCCGACTATCGGGGAAAGACAAGAGCCGTGGAATAGAGAGCTGAAAAAATGCCACACAATTGCATTAGTATAGGTTCAATTATTCGTTATTTCATAATCAATTTATATTGTCTCTCTCACATGAACTAATTTTTCCAGCCATGAAGCACGAATATGAGGCGGTGACACGTTTCAAGAAGCGCGAAAGGACGCAGAACTGGACGTTTTCGGAGAAGAAGTTCCTCCTGGACTTGTGCAAGCGCGACATGAGGATTATTGAGAACAAGCGCCTGGACAGCGCTCTCATTGCCCTGAAGAACAGGGCCTGGAAGCTCATCCATCAGCGCTTCGCCGCCACTTTCGGCCCAGACAGGAACTGCAACAGGCTGAAGGAGCAGTTCAGGCGTATGAAGGCGCTCTCGCGCTCCGAGATTCTGGACTACAGCCACAGGATGAGCAGATTCGGACAGGAGGTGGCGGACAGGAAGCGCCCTAGTCCGTTCTCCTTCGAGATCTGGGAGTTCATGCAGGACGCCAAGAAGGTGTGCAAGGCTGAGTGCATGGACAACGTGGACTACTCGAAGATGCACTCGTCGCTGGAGAGAGACGACCTGGACAGCAGCAACAGCAGCAATCAGGACGACGATTCGCTCTGCACCACAATCATGTAAGCCACGAAAGTCCCTCCAAATCTCACCTGGATCTGCTGAGATTTCAGCTGAATTATGAATCTCAAATTGCGAAACGATAATCACGCAAATTTCTTTCACATTTCCAAGTGTTGTAATGATATTATTGAACTTTGGTTATGATTTTTGGTTTAATCCTGATGCTTTTCCAAGTGGAAAAATATCTTTTTCTCAACAGATTATTTATTTATTCTAGTAAAAAGAGTAAAAACGTACAATCATATTTTAAAGGCATTTGATCAAATTTCAAGCTTATCAGTTCGTCATTCTAAGTGTTTCCCTCAGAAATCACTCCTTAACGCGCGCTGGCTATGATTTTCAGGAACAAGACGTCCCACAACATGGACATGTGCGAGGTGCAGATCAAGGAGGAGCCCGGATTGAGCATGGAGTGCCTCAGCGACGACGGGCAGTCGCCCAGACAAGTGGAGCATCAGCTGGACCGCGGCATCCCGGCCAGCGATCTCAGCACCATCGCGGCCACCATCAACACGGTGAATCTCATGGAGAGCGTGATGCCGCGCGACAGGTCCATCCAGACTGAGCAGCAGTTCAACATGCGCGAGTTCTACGAGATGCAGGTGCGCGAGCACACGCTGCGGATGGACATCCTGAAGCTGCAGTTCGAGACGGCGAAGTACAACCGCGACATCGCCAAGCTCAACATGAACCTCACGCTCAAGGCGGTGCACAAGGGCTGAAGTCCAGCCGCTGCACGCGCGAACCCATCAGTATTCTAATGGCATATTTATACCTCAGTTGGCGCCCCGCGAGAGGATTGTCGAGGGCAGCAGAAGAGAATTACCTAAACTGAGCCAATGAAGCGTTCTTCAGTAGACTAAGATTTGAAAATGTAATACGTCGTTATAAGGATTTTAATTTGAACTGAACTAATAAATTGCAAAGAGCAAAAGAGAATTTATTGACCATCTTCAGCCTCTTCTGGCGCTCCTGTCTTCTCGCCTTCGTAGGATTCGAAGATTTCCAGGTCTATTTTCTCATTCAGACGATAGCCAATTATGCTGTGCACATTGCTTCCCTTGAAGGCACGCGAATCGAAGTTCAGCAGAACGTCACACTTGTTCTTGTGCAACTTGAAGGTCACTTGACCAGAGGAAGAGTACCTCTCGAGACCTGCCTGAAGCTCTGGAGCGGCATTTGGCTCTTCCTGCTTCGCTTTCTTCTTCTTTTTAGACTCCTTCTGGGGAGTTTCTTGAGCAGATTCGCATTCTTGTCTGTCTTTCTTTCGCTTCTTCTTCGGTTTCTCCTCTTGGATCACTTCTACACTCTCGATAGTCTCCTGAATGTCCTTTTTCCGTTTCTTCTTGGGCTTCTCTTCCTCAACGGGAGTTTCTTGGTACTCTTCTGCCTCTCGAGTTCGCTTTTTCTTCTTCTTAGAAGACTTCTTTGACTTCTCACATTCATCTCCATCCACAGACGCAGTTTGCTCAAAAGTCTCACTGATTTCCTGACCAGAGGATCCCGCCGCATTCATTTTCTTCTTGAAATACTCAACACTCGACATCTTGGACGTTGTTGTAGTCACTCCATAATTGCTGCTCGACGGTAATTCCTCCTCAGCGACTTCCTCTTTACTCTCCTCCACCTTCAGAGTCTTCCTGCCGAAGATATTGGCCAGATCCTTCTCGCTGTACTGCGACAAATCCTTTCCTTTCGTGAACTTCTTATAATGAACTCTCGCCCGAGACTTCTTAGACTTCTCCTCGAGAGATTCACAATTCCGGGCATCTTCTCCAGCGTCCTCGCTCTTCAAATTATCCAACAGTTTGCTGAATTCGTCCTCATGAGCTGTCCATTGAGTGTCCTTGTCCTGGAATCCCATTCCTGTGCTGGTGTTCTTGTATTTCACCCGAATAAAGTCCTTCGAACCGTCTTCCTTGGCGCCCAGGCCCTTGTCCTTGTTCCAGCCCATCTTCGTGAGCATTCTCATGCCGAAACTATCCTCATTTCCTGGAAAGGAAAAAAGTTAGAGGGATTTTCCTAGGTATTTCGAGTGTTGTTTACCTTCATAGAGAGGCTTTCCACGTGGTTGCAAAACATATGATGTTTGTTTCACCGGTTCCGCTAGCATTTCTCCTGATTTCACCTAACTTTTTGATAAAAATGATTGTCCAGAATCTGATTTGATGTATTTCACATAAATCTGACCAATATCCAACGAGAAAAGGGAGATTTTATGAGTTTTCCGCGTGTTATTGGCTCACTTCAGAAATGAAGTTCCGGAAAACTGACAGTAACAATTGGCTGCACTGTGCGGATCAAAATAGTCGTGTTGTCGAGTTGGAAAGTATTGCAGAAATTTTACTCTTTTTACTAAGATATCAAGCTAAGATCTCTCTAAAATGGTCGATGAAAGCACCAGAAAGACTCTAGCCAGCATTCCCTTGCTGCAAACGCGCGCGGGTCCGCGTGACAAGGAATTGTGGGTGAAAAGGCTGAAGGAAGAGTATCAATCCCTGATAAAGGTGAGAATAAATTCACTAAAAGTCCACAAATATGGCTAATTTCCCACTCTTTTCGTGTTTACAGTATGTGTCCAACAACAAGGATGCTGATCTGGACTGGTTCAGGCTGGAATCTAACAAGGAGGGCACAAAATGGTTCGGGAAGTGCTGGTACATTCACAATCTTCTCAAGTATGAATTCGACGTGGAATTCGATGTGAGTTGTTTGCTTGTAAACATTCTTCACTTTCTCACGGATGAAATTTCCGTAGATTCCCGTGACTTATCCAGCCACAGCCCCTGAAATTGCGCTCCCGGAATTGGACGGAAAGACAGCCAAGATGTACAGAGGAGGGAAGATTTGTCTGACGGATCACTTCAAGCCACTCTGGGCGAGGAATGTGCCCAAATTTGGAATTGCGCACGCAATGGCACTCGGGGTGAGTTGAATTTAGTGATTATCTGCGGAAAATCTCATGTAATTGATCTGAAAACTGAAATTTTCTAGTTGGCTCCCTGGCTCGCTGTCGAAGTGCCAGACTTAATCGAGAAGGGCGTGGTGAAGTACAAGGAGAAGGATGAAAAGTAATTCATCAGCATTTAAAGTATGTTTTCCATGCGATTTATATTGTGAAAATTAATTATATTGCCTGAAAATGCTAAAAACATTCTTTTTGGGAAAAGAGCGCGCTCTGCCTTATCGACAATCTTCCGGAGTGTTTGACAGCCACGTTTTTGGAGCTGTCACAATTCGGGATCATGGCGACGGGTCGTGGAATTTCTAGAGTGTTTAATGCCAATTATTTGCGACTCCTCGCCAATCGCACAGTCTTTTCCGTGCAGAAACGAGAGATTAGTGTGTGTATTGTGTGCCACAGTCAGAATGGTGTGTGTCCGGACGGTGTCCTGGCCGGGAAGCGTGGTGCTAAAGGTGTGTTGCCACCCGGTTACATCATTTTTTCAATTGCGCTGGGAAAGTCTCACGGTGTAATTTGCATTTGCAGGGACCTTCTATCGGGGATTCCACAGCAGCGGCCGCGTGCTGGGCCCCAACTACTATGACATTCTGGGCGTGACCAAGGGCGCCTCGGCAAAGGAGATCAAGAAGGCCTACTATGACTTGGCGAAGAAGTATCATCCGGACACGAACAAGGACGATCCCAATGCCGGCAAGAAGTTCCAGGAGGTCTCAGAGGCGTACGAGGTGCTGAGCGACGACACGAAGCGTCGCGAGTACGACACCTTCGGGCAGACGTCCGAGCAGATGGGCAGAGCCGGTGGCGCCACTCACGGGCCACAGGGCTTCTCGCAGCACTGGCAATTCCGCTCCACCATCGATCCCGAGGAGCTCTTCCGCAAGATCTTCGGCGACGGCGGCTTCCGCACGGGCCAGGACGATTTCGCCGAATCGCAGTTCGGCTTCGGCGCCGCGCAGGAGATCATCGTGAAGCTGTCGTTCGCCCAGGCGGCGCGCGGCGTGCACAAGGACTTGGACGTGAATGTCGTGGACACGTGCCCCAAGTGCAGAGGCTCCCGCTGCGAGCCGGGCACGAAGCCTGGCCGCTGTCAGTACTGCAACGGCACAGGAATGGAAACCATCTCCACCGGGCCCTTCGTGATGCGCTCCACATGCCGCTACTGCCAGGGCACGCGGCAGTACATCAAGTACCCCTGCGTGGAGTGCGAGGCCAAGGGCCAGACGGTGCAGAGACGCAAGATCACAGTGCCTGTGCCGGCGGGTGTTGAGGACGGACAGACGGTGCGCATGAGTGTGGGCAGCAAGGAACTCTTCATCACATTCAGGTGAGCCAATTCTCGTCTGTCCATCGATGGCAGCGCACTGAGTTCTGTCTGATGGCTTTCAGGGTGGAAAAGAGCACGTACTTCCGCCGGGACGGAGCTGATGTGCACACAGATGCAGCCATCTCGCTGTCACAGGCTATTCTGGGCGGCACAATACGCGTCGAGGGCGTGTACGAGGATCAGGTGATACAGATAATGCCCGGCACGTCGTCGCACACGCGCATCTGTCTCTCCAACAAGGGCCTGAAGCGCGTGAACTCCTACGGACACGGACATCACTATGTGAACGTGAAGATCCTCGTGCCGACGAAGCTCAGCGCAGAGCAGAAGGCATTGGTGCAAGCGTACGCGGAGCTGGAGCAGGATACGCCGGGCCAGATCATGGGTGTGACTTTCAAGAAGGACGGTAAGTCCAGTCAAGACTTTGGATGGGAGACATTCACGCAAACGGCTAAAGATGATCCAAAGTACGAGCCTCACGATCGCACGTCCACGCGAGAGTACCGCAATACCCAGACCAAACCCAGTACATATGCACTGCTGGGCTTTGGGTTGGTTATCATATTGGGTCTCAATTATCTGATGCTAAATGATAATCTCATATACAGGCATGATATTCCCGAGGAGTTTCGGCCGGGATTCAATGACAGTGAGAAGAAAACACTGTGAAGAGCGTGGAATTGGGGGAGAGTGAGTAGTGAGTGCAGGGTTTCTCGTCAAATTTGCAAGTATTTGTGATTGATTGGGTGAGTTTAGAGGGAAATTAATGGGGCGGAGCTTATAAATGGGCGGATCTTTAACTGTATTTTTCTCTGTCACGGTCTTCCTAATAAGCCTACTTGTAGAGTATTTTTAATGCAATGAGAAAAGTATCTTACTTTCGGAGAATTCACAATAAAATCACTTTTACCATAAAGAACTCGTTTTTCTTGGAAGTAGGCGGAGTATTCGAGTGGGCGGAGCATTTATTGCTTGGCAATCAAAAAAAGCATAACTTTGAGGAACTTTAAAATGATCTTTTTAAACTTTATTTATTCAATTGAGCAATTTGCCAACTCTAGTCTGATTTGTAGATAATTTCATTATCAAAATTGTTACTCTGACTCTTGTAAATTTGACGATTTTCCCTGCACAAGTCCTCTATTTTTCTGTGAATTTGGCTAAATAGTGACTTTGAATTGTAGATAGAATGCAAAAACACGACGGTATTTCTTGTCTGCGGATGAAATTCAATCGAGAAAGAGAAATAAAAGAATGTTGAGACGTGGCGCGCGAAAAGAGGAAGAAAGAGAATGCACAAAAGAGTGTTTTTCTTGCCAATGGAATATATATGTAGGAAGGAAGTGATTATGTTTGTAGTGAATGAAGTTCCTCTCCACCCCCAACTCCGCACTCTTCGCGGCATTTTTCACTCATTTCCCCATTGTTTGGCGTCCAAGCGTGAAATTCCTTGGGTGGCATCTTCTTCTGCATTGAAAGGCTGCAAGAGAAGAGTGTTGGTGTCAAGGGCGCGCGCCAGAGTTGGCACGAGCGACAATTTCATGGTGTTGTGATCAGAGACGTGGATACAAAGAAAAAAAAACACGCTGTGTCATTACAGGAACCAAAGAAGCGTACTCTGAGCCGCAGAACTTGACGAAGATCGTGCGCGAGGCCCTCGAGAAGCTGAAGGAGTGCCCAAAGGATGATTCCAGCAGCGACAAGGAGCCCTTCAGGGAAGACGCCAAGGCCAAGAAGGAGGCAGAATCTACCACGGACGACGACGTGGCCAAGAGGAGGATTTAGGGCAGAAGGAGGGAGGTGTGCTTAGTCGATAGAGCCATGATGAGAAGGGAGAGGAAGAGAGTAAACTGATGAAGAGGCATTTATTGATTTCATTTTTGCCACTTTTCGGCGAGTCCATGACCGCGACAATGGAAGTGTGGCGAATGCGAGTTTCCGCCCCTTCCGGCACTCTAATAAATGGCCCCCCGGGGGAGGTTTTTGCTGAGCCTTGACATGGTGAAAGATTGCGTTTCAAGCATCAATTTGGGCGGTTTTTGCCCAGGCGATGGGCAGAAGATGCAAATGCGCCGCCACCCTCGATTTGCATTGACTTCAACTTCTCGCGCGCGCGCGACCTTCGCATTGACGGCGAGAGAACATTAATCAGCGCGCTGAGTGACCGTGTTTTGCCAGCTGAGAGCATATTTTCTCAGGCGACGCTGAGCCGATGCTGATCTTGAGAGCTGCGCCCAGTGTTGGCTAGTGACGAGGAAGCGCGATTATGAGCACCTGTGCGGCATTATGCGCTTTCGCTCTCCACTCTGCTGTTGACTCAGAATCCGAAGGAAGCGCGACAATGAGGATTGGAAGCGACTAATGAGACTTTGAACGTCTCTCAGACAATTTATCTTCTCGAGTTTTACACTAATGAATTGAAAAACGCTCCATGAATACAAATTATAGACAATTTCACATTTGCTATCTTGCGATAAGACGGAGTTTAGGATAAAGTGTGTTATCAGAAATGTAATAGCATTTATTGATCTGTGAATTCTTCGCATAAGCAATCAAAAGAATGCTCAAAAAATGGTGTTTTTTTTTCGATTCTATTGCATAAAAATTGATTTGAATTTAATAAAATTCGGCCAAATCTATTCTAAATTGAATAAATTAGCGTGATAACGCTAAGATTTTAGCAGATTTCTACGAATATGTTGATTATTCTAAGGAATTCAGTATCAAGTAAGAGATTTTGCAAGCAGTGTGAAAAGACACGGAATTTTCCACTAAATCATTTGAAAGAAATGAAAGACTTGGCTAAATTACAGCTTTGCGTGCAGCAAAGATTACAGCTTTCTAGGTTTTATTTAGCTAGAATGGCTAGAACAGTCCAAATAAGGATTCGTTTTAATCAGAACAGAATCCTGGAAGGTAGAAAGAGGTAAATTTTTATCAAATTCTTACCATTCGATCAATAAACATTCTTCACCTCCGCATGTTTTATCGACAATAGGGAGTTTTATTGAAAGAATTAGTGTGGCAAAGAGTCCAAACAGTCTCCCAGGTCTTGCCGTATAATTGAGATTAGTGGCGAACAATAGTGAGCATTTGTGCGCGATTAATGGATGCGGAAGCACAGAGTCGCGAGCTTCGAAGCTCCCTCGAAGTGTCGATCGCAGCGTGGGAACTGAGAGTGATAATGACAAGCGCGCATTACTGAGAAATGGGTGTGATCGTCGACTAATCTCTCTCGATCGTCCAAGGAATCATTGATCATCAAAGCTCTCAGTTGCTCTGACTCACGGCCAAATCATGGGCAAAGGCTATCATTTGCTCGTGATTCTAACACGGATTGCGCAAAAGAAGAACAGCGTTTTTATGTTGACTTGTTCGACAATTTTACTGCACGGCGTTTCCGCTCATGAGACATCAACAATCTCCAGGGTGGGGGGGTGGAGAGGGAGGAGAAAAAAGAGTCAAATGAATGGATCTACGATTGATTCACACGGATTTATGGAAGATAGTGTGATTATTGTAAAATTGCCCATAATTTCAACGACATTTTTGCTCCCGCCGCTCAAGTGGCGAGAGCTTAAAAAAAGAGTTTAGAGGTGACAAATTATGTGAATTTCCCAAGAAACATGCGCAAGTCACTCTTAATTGTCTACGGGAATGCTTTTTATGTGTTGTTTTCTTGCATCTCAATTGAGGCGACTTTTCTGTAAATGGCCATCCCATTGACACTGAACTCCTTATAGTAACAAAAATGCTTCACTCAACTGAGGATTCTGACTTTTAGCGGCGATCTTGAGGCTGAGATGTTGTGTGAGAAAGCGCGCGATCATGAATTAATGAGGGGAATAACAATTCTCGCAGACAATTTGACTTGGGCTAATCGAGAATTGAGACGTTATCGCAATTTGTTATGCATTAAATCATGACTTGTCCTATAAAAACCGTAAATATTCATGACATATTTCCAGTGAATCCAGTAAAAAACGACAGTGAAAAAAAAGGTAATCTGGCTACTCAATAAATCCAGACCGACGATGATTGATACTTTTAGACTTTTAGCGTCTCTGGAATGTCTTCCAATTGTTCGTCTCTGCGTGTTGTCTTCTCCATCTTTCGTGACCCAGACCGAAGGAGTGCGCAATTGGCAAATAGAGCGCGCATTTCGGCTGCTGTCCTTCCTCAAGAGCAGAGATAGAATCTGCGGAGCGTCGGGACACACCTGTCCGTGACGCGAATGCCGAGAAGGTGAGCTCCCTTGGCCAGTGATGCCACCAAGAGAGCCAAGGATGGCGGTGTGAAGTGTTTAATGTCTCACTTAATGGCTGTGGCACTTGTGCAATCGCGCGCACAAGAGAGACCATTTAACACGCCGACAAATGGTCGAGGGATGTGTATTAATAACACAATGCGATTGTCATCTTGGTCGCAGTGCGCATAAATTAACCAGATGAGATCTTATCTTGCTGTCCAGGCTTTTTCATCATCTCGCGTTGTCACTTAAAACCACATATAAACACCTCTTTTGTCGCGTTGTCGCAGAAGTTATGGAGCTATTTTCGTATCTTTCCATGGGCTTTTGCACCTTCCGAAGACATCTGGACAATTTTTAAGCCACGCAGGCTTAGAAATGATTCCGTTTAGCAATAAATCAAATCGCTGAAGTTCTTCATTTATTCTCTATTAATTGATTCTTCTAAGTGCACAAAAACTTCTGCAACAACTTCATACAAATTGCGGTTTGCAAAAACGTTCACAGCTATTGTAATTGGGTGTCATGGTGAAATATTATCATAAAAAGCGTATTTGTTTTATTAAATTAGATGTAAAGAGCAAAGCTTTTCCCTCTGGTTAATTAACGTATTGAATTTCATTAATGGAAGAACTCAATTTCCTCGGGTCAGGAAGACAAATTGGCCCCCCGTTCAAATCAATTGCTGAAGAGTACTTTTTGCCCCCCCAACTTGAGGTGTGATAAATTGAAAGTCATCATTTGGTATCCATCGAAAATTTATTCATTTGAGAACTCTGCTCCGCTTCATCGTCGGCTACAATGGGAAATGAGAGAAATACTGCGGATGACGACTAGGCGAGATGCTGGGATTCGTTGTGTGGCGGAGTTAAAGCTTGTCTATCGCGCGAGGAGGCTGAGGATGAGGGTGAGGAGCAGCACGGGGGCGGCGAGGCTGGCGCAGCGGGCGGCGTTGCCGTAGTAGTATCGCCGGTCGCTGCCCAGGCCGCTGTACTGGGGCGTCGTGGTGGGGAAGCCGGCGAAGGAGCCGAAGGCCGTGGTGTCGTAGATGCCGTCCGGGATGGAGATGCCGTTGTCCGTCACGGCGCCGTTGATCACGGCCGCGGTGTTCACGTAGCTTCGCGTGCCCGTCGTGGCGCGCAGGATCCTGAAGTTCACCTCATTCGTGTCCAGACGTCCGGCCACGAGGTTGTGCAGCCGGTTGACCACCACGTAGAGATGTCCCTCCTCGTCGAAGCTCATGCCGTCTGTCCACTGGATGTAGAAAGGATCCCGTGCCACGATGCGCTGGTGGTCGGGCGTGAAGGGTGAGTAGGAATTCCACTGCGCGATGGCGTGATCCGCCAGCAGACCGAAGTACAGAGTACCCTCGTTGTCCATGATCATGCCGTCCGTCTGCGAGGCCTTCACGCCGTGATCCGTGACCGCGGCCATCACTTGTCTGGGCGACGCCGTCCGCGCGAAGTCTGGATTCCGCAGAACACTGGCGGGAATGGAGTAGAGATGGTAGCTGGACAGCGGGCAGTAGTACACGTTCCTCTCGAAGTTCTCATCGTAGTGCAGCGGCTGTCTGTTGAGACTGTCTCCCACGACATTGGGATTGAAGTAGGGCCCCAGGGCGATGCCATCGATGTGAATGGCAAATCCCAGCGCCGTTCCATTCACAGCGAACTGGACAGCATTCTGCGCTGCCCTCATTGAATTGCTCTCGCGCACTTTCCACGACGTGTTCAGCTTCCGCGAGAACACCACGATTCCCGGATCGGCGCCCGAGTTGTCCGTGATGTACGCGTAGCCGCCGAAAGCGTCATCCACCACGATCTTGTTGAGATAGTTGGAGCCTCGCGAGACAACCTCTTCGGGGAAGTCATAGCGATGCACCAGAGATCCATTTCGTCGCAAATCGAACATCCAGAGCTTCGGGCCGCAGATCACGGATCCGGGGCCAGGAGCCAGAGTCTCAGTGCGTCCAGAGTCCACTGCCCAGAGGATTCCGTAGGCGTCAATTGCGATTCCCTGGACAAATTGCAGGGCCGAGCAATTGGCGCGCTCGTTCATGGCCCACGAAGGGAAAGGCTCGATTTCTGGATCTGTCCGGCCGTTGTTGTCCGGCACAACGACCCATCTGCAAGCAAAGGAGGACAGCAATTACACACTGAAGACTTGGGAAACAGGATGAGTTGCTTAGAAGTAAAAATAAAGAGTTATTAGAATTAACTGAACAACTTCAGACTCATTGAAAATAGTGACATCGCTTATTCAATTAATCTGTTGACGAGCTTTTAGGCCTTCATATTTATCACTGATTTATTATGCAGACAGTGAGATCCTCGGAGAATATTGCCAATAAAATGTAATATCTTTGCAAAATATTGATGTACTTCAATAAAGCAGAAGACAGCTCATAAATTGCGTAAGTGTAGATTTTCCTACATGAAATTCACAAGACTACAAAGTGGTCTTAATTGATGGGGGCGGAACTGTTTAATGAGAATTTCAGATATTTTTCGGTCTAATGAAATTCCAAATGGAAGAAGGTGAAGCTGATTTTATATGCACCTCTTTCATGGACACCGAAAACAATAACTAAACGCTTTTATATCACAGCAAGATAACTAGAAAGATCTTTACTTTTTGTTGCTCCACATCTTCGATTGATTTTCAGCACTCGTCACAGTTTTGCGGCGTGGTAAAGGCAAAAATTGATCCATGGAGAATTGGCGAAGAGATCTCATGAATCAGATGATGGATAAATTGTGTGTTACTTCAGTGGCGAAAAATCCATAATGAATTGTGACCTCCGAGAAAACCACTCACGGTCATCTCAGGTTGTTGTTCATCTTGTTCGCGCGCTGTTCTTTCATCAACAACAATGTGCACTCTTGGCAATTAGGCAATTAAAGTGTTTTCCACGAAATTAAGCGTTGGAGATCAACGAGATTCCTAGACATTTCCCAAGTTTTCATGCCCAACATTGCGAAATGCGAGCAATATTTTTGTGATCACGCGCGCGCGCGCTTCCAGAATGCTTTAACAGTCGAGATTTTATTGCGCTTCCCAATCAATGAGACACTAAAAATGACTCGCAAAATGCCGACAAATATTGATTCATTGTAATATTTAACAAGGAATTGCGGATGGCGTGCAATTTGTATGGAAATTCAGGCACACCCTCTGGTAAAGATGGATTTTTCCAAGTCGCAAAAGACATTATTAATTTTGCACACGTCAATTAGCACGCGACATCGCGGATTAGAACAATGTTTGGCGTTCTGCTTAGCGACGAGATGAACATGTCCGGCTAAGTGGACAGGCACTCACCCCAGCGTGGCAGGGACTCCGGGCAGCATCCGTGGCATGGTGACGTACAGCCTGTTGGCGAAGGCCTTCACGTCCGAGATGAGGTTGTTCTGCGGGATGTAGTCGTGGTTGTAGATCGCCGTGAGTCGCAGCTGCTCCAGCGGGAAGGCGAAGTCGATCACGCGCCACTCGTACACCACCCTGAACTGCGCCTCCGTGGGCGGCACTCGCGTGCGCAGGTGATCGCCAGGGCCCGAGAATGGCGGAGGAAATGGGCTAGTCTGGCTGTGTGTACATTTCGCGAGCAACACTGTCGCTGCAAGTACTTTTAGCACGTTCAACATTGCGCGCGGCGCTGCAAGAGAGACGGATTTCATCATTTCCAGGCCTTTCTTCAGACCTCTAATCTCTTAATGTCTATTCCACACACTCTGCAGGTGACTTCTTGCCCAATTATCACTTCAGTGCTAACGAATTTCTCTATTTTACTTATCATTGGCAGATGCGCGAAAGAAATCATGACGCACTTGCTCTGACCAAAACAACTCCTGCGTAGTACACAAATTGCTCAATAATGCAATTGACAGACTAATTAGAACAATTACTTTGCTACAAATTAACAAAAATACCTGCAAAATGTAGCATTGAAGGTGTTTTATGACAATTTATGAAATCTGTCCATTCAATTAACATTGTAGAGCAATTGAAAATATATTTAATTGTACGATTTGAAAAAAACTGAAACCCACAAAAAGACTCGGAAGTAGAAAAACGCACCAGAGCAATTCAATTCATAAACTTTTAATGGAATTCTCCGCTGGTTAAAAGCGTTAAAAGTTTTACAAGTCGCGATAATATTTCGTACACGAATCTGTATCTGAGTTATCACTTTTTGACTAAAAATTTGAACGTCTGAGAGTCAAAATCAAGATCAAGCTCTTTTGTGGGACACAAAAGAGCCTTTTTGCAGTGCGTCTCATCACGAGAGAAAAAAAGGCACTTCATTGTCAAGTTAAATATTATGAACGCCAAAGTGTACTTAAAATCGTATTTGCGTAACATGCAAATATTATGGACACTGTGAGAATATGTAGTAATTAAGGTAAAGAAGCTCCACGATGAGTGGCTTTTGAGGACGTCACAGGAATTATTCATAAGCGCAATGATCAATTAACATGCAATAGTCGTGAGACATTTTCTCTCATGCCATCACACAGTATAAATGATACACTATCAATTATTAATTGCCAGTGTTTCACGTGCTTCAAAATGAGAAGCATAAACTGTGAAGAATCTCAATTCTGTTTGTTTAAAAAAGATCCATTGAGCTGCAATTAGACCAACCTTGGCAACTTTGGTGAATTTGAGCACTTTTTGCGTGGATATTCCTCTGAGTCTCTGCTGGCAAATAACGACAAATTATTCACTCTCAGCACCAAAATAAGGCACACAAGTCACAGGCTCAACGGCACACACTTCTCATTTGCTAAATGCGATGCTATCAGGAGGAGAATCCACACCTTACTGGATGTCCGCGCGCCAAGTGCAGGTCGCTTTATAAGCTGAGCACCTCAATGTGTGGCCGCTGAAAGTGTGCGAGAGCGACAAATTCAGCCGACACACAGTCAAGGAAATCAATTCAGAGGCAGAAGACTTGAGTAAATTGCTTGTGAACACAGCAAGTCATGATCAAGTGTCTTCTTGCGCGCCTTAAATCTGACCAAACACCCAACATATTGCAATTGAGCATTTTAGTGTAAATTGCCGCTTCAAAAACTAAAAATCTCACTATTATTATTCATGTATATTTGTTGTCAATCGACATCGAGTCATGAGTCAGATTTTGGCAACTTCAGAATCCACGTGAGCCAATTTTAGCACCTACGAAACTCTCCTTCCTCAAATAGCTCATCCGTTTCTTCAGTCAGAAAAAGTCATTTCTATCAATTGACTTTATCTCATTTCCCAACCCGAGATTGCACAATTAACTTCTTTTGCTCATCCCAAACAATAAAAGTCGAGGAGTTTATCGTTTGCAAATTAATAGGAATGCGACGTGCTCAAGAGAATTCATGTTGCGGCAAAGAGAAATGATGGAAAAAAAGGGAAAAAGTCGCACGCATTCGCGGAGCATCAATGACTTCAGTGCCACATGAAAGGTCCTCTTGTTTCGCGCCACAACAGAGAAACATGTCTTCAGAGAATTCCACCATTAGTCATGTAATATTGATTCTTCTGCGGTGTGGAAAAAATTAAGTAATTCTCCTCGATTGTTGAATTTACCATGCTAAAGTCGACGCGCGACGCATTGTGATGCATATCAGTTATCAAATATCATGACAATACGCCCACAAATTGAGGTTTTTCCTCTCTCTAGCGCGCGGCAAACATTGGCATTTCCCGTTCAGTGCGCTAATTTCTCTCTTGGCAGAAGATTCATCGGCATGGAAATGATAGTTTTCATCGATAAGGGCGAGTATTACGTGATAATTTTGCACTCAAGTCAAGACATTGTCTCATTGTGAATTATCACCTTCTTATCACCGCTATCAGTTGCTGTTCCTAAGCACCTGTCTGACTTCTCCTCAGTCTGTCATTTACCCTCAACGCACGAAGATCTGCGTGAAATCACTGCTCAAAGTCATTCTCACCTGCTTTGTTGTCGCGAAAATGTCCAATTATAACACTTTCCATCCCGATTCAGAGGGAGGAGTGACTGCAGCCATCAACGGCCAAGAAACCTCCACGCTGCTCGTAAATTCCCAGAATGGTAAGACACAATCATTCCCTCAAAAAGTGCAGAGACGATTTCAGAAAAACTACGCATGAGTTTTGCAATGAGTTTATCATTTAATTAAATGCACTCGAACGTGATGTCATAAAGGTTTCAGATTAAGATCTCAGCAATCGAGTCTCGCAATGACATAAATCTTTTTTTTAATTAAAGATATACGCAGAAAACTTACCAGATATTTTATAGAGTTCTTAGAATGAAATAAAGAGGATTCATTTGCGCTAAACATTTATCAAAATTTATCAATCAGAGTTTTCTTTTTCCGATCGAGATATTTAAGTGTTGTTCATAGTGAGCTTTTCTGATAAAAATCTATAAACTCCTCCCCTTTGGAAGCCCCGCCCCTATCGATTATATTCAATAAAACTCAAACGAATATTTGAAAATACAACACGAGATCGAGCCAACGAAGCAGGCGGTGTTATTCGAAACGCGCGCGTTTACATTTCACTTTCGCTCTCGATTGCGCCCGAGCGCGACTCCGGGAACTCTCGAGGCGGTCGATAACGAAGAGAGTCTCACCTGTTGCAGACGTCAGTGACACCAGAAAGATGAACACAAATCGCCAGGAGCAGCAGAGCCAGGCTTCTTGGGTGCAGATCGTGATGAATTTTGTGATACACTCGCTCCTGCTCGTCCTCACGGCTTACGTGGTGTACGTGAGCTTCTCGCAGGGCGTTTTCCTCTTCTCCTGGCATCCCGCCCTGATGACTGTGGGGGTGAGTTGATCAGCTGTCCGCACCGTGATCCCTCTGACCTTCTCTCCATCTTTCGTGACAGTACGTGATCTTCATGACGGAGGCGATCCTCTCGTTTGCGGAGAACAATCTCATGGCGCGCAACAGGAACTTCAAGTGGCGTGTGAAACTCCACTGGATTCTCCAGACCATTGGCGGCGTCAGCATCACAGTGGGCTTTGTGATAATCCTCACCAACAAATTCGTCAACGACAAGCCCCACTTTCACACCACTCACGCGATCGTGGGCCTCATAACTGTGATCCTCACCGTCCTGGTGGCTGCCGGTGGGATCTGGACCAAGTACAGCTACGATCTGCGGCAGTTCCTACGACCAGTGTACGCCAAGCTGATCCACGCCATCGGCGGCAGCGTTCTCTACATCCTGGCGGTGACAACTCTGATCCTGGGCATGAACTCAGACTTCTTCCAGCGCTACAGCTTCTCCTGTGCCGAGTGGGTGGGCGGCTTCATCCTCGTGCTCAGCGCAATCTACGTCCTCATCAAGCCCCTGACGACTTGCGTGGCCCGCTTCAAGACTGCCTTCATGCGAGCGAGCCTCTGAAGAGGTGTTTGCAATATTTTGCACAGTACTGTTTATGTTTGTTTTCCTTTGAGAGTGCAATGTTGGCACCCATGCGCGCTTTACATTCAGATCTTGGCGATCTTGGCTGATTTGAGATATTCATGAACTTCATGAAATATTGAAAATTTTGTATAATTTTATAGTTTTTGATAAATATAGAAAATGCAGGGATAACAATAGCAAATTGTACACTGATTGCTAATAAATTTTGATTGCTGAACCAATAAAAAATGAAAAATTTAGGCATAATTTTCAACAAATTTCTCTCTTACTTGGAAAAGTTGTGAATAAAAATTGTACTTCCTGACCAGAGTAGTCAGTATTCTGGAGAGCAGGTTTGAGGAGAATTTTCTGTCGTTCATAAGCTGGAAGGACAATCATGAGAGTCCAGCAATAAATAAATTAAAGAGACATTACTCTGTCTTGAAGATTCCTTCGCACAGCTTCAGCATTCTCCGCCAGTTACTTTAGGATCCTTTCCCATCTTCAGCTGTAATTTCAGCATGCAATCCATCCAATCAATTCGTCCACCTCGCGATGAGAAGAAAACATAAACATTCACATAGCCTCACTCTTGGCCATCATTCTATGTCCGCCCGCATGACAATGTTTCCCGCGCAAATCTGCGATGTTCCTGGCCATCACAGGATCAATGCAAATGACCACAAACTCAAGAAATTGCTGGATTTCTCCCGCAATTTGCCAAATTGGTTTGGTGGCAGAGGCAAAAAGAGTGCGTCAGCCGAGAATCGAACTCGGATCAACTGCTTGGAAGGCAACTATGCTAACCATTACACCACTGACGCCTCGAGAAGCAGTCGCGAAGACGCGCAGTGGGTCAAGTGAGTGGCAAAGCTCGCTCTTCGCGTAGACAAATCAATGCGCACATGCGAGAATCCATCATGTTTAAGGCTGCATGAAATGCAATTATGTGCAAAAAGCATCGCTCAATATCCTGAAAAACAATTTGTTAGTGATGCTCCCAAGGATGTTCCAAACAATTTCTCTCTCATCTGTATAAATTGGTCTAGAAAGATTCTCCAACCCTTCGATGTACTTTTAACTATTAAATTTACAGCCGGATTTAACATAATTGCTCATAATAGTAATAATAATTTGAATTTTAATTTCTCAGGAAATTTTTGGCTGTTCAACCTGTTAAATTATAGATTGGAAATTGACGAATTTGGGAGATTTTCAATTGGTAAAATGCAATTGAATTAAATTATGTTAATTACAGTAAATGGAATTGGAAATAATTTATGTGCACATTAACGATAATTCTAGTCTAGAGTTGGAAAATGATTTGGACCTATCCCAATAAATTAGATTTCCAGGGTTGAAATATACTTTGTTATCGACTTTACTTCATGACTATTTTTAGATGTGAAATTTTCCCGGGAGTTGCGAAATTGCATTTGAGGACTTTCCAGGCGCAACGCAGGAAGTGAATCAAGGCATGATTGCCTTGGTGATTGCACGCATTGATTGATTGCTCGGCGGTCCTGGCTGTGACGAAGTGTGATAAGCCTTTTCCTGGAAGTGCAGCCCCGGCCAATGTGTTGGTGCGCCTGGCGATAAGAGGCGCATGCCTTCCACGCAGCGCGTGTGGGTGGCAGAGAGAGCGAGAGCATCCCACGGGGCCTCAGTGCTCGTCAATCTAACAAGTGTGTACGCAAAAGCCCGTTTGCACCGAAACTCCGCCGCATCAGCGCCCGCGAGCGTGTCCAGGCGCGATCCTGGTCTCCAGAGTGTCGAATCCGGGCGTCTGCCGCCGATCCCTGCACGCCGTCGGCCTGGCAGATGGCAATCCTGGCCGCAAGGAGCCAGTGGGCGAGTGCCAGTGTGAGTGAGAGTGGAGAAATGGATTTTGTGTGTCCCTCATGGTGAGCGTGGAGTGGGAAGTCGCACAGCGGGGTGGAAGCGCCCGCCCGCGCGAGATGCAGCCTGTGGAAAGTAACGGAAGTCAGTGTACTGTGGACCGTCTCATGAACACATTGCTCAAATCAGTGCTCCTCCGTGGCCCCACCGGGAGCACGTGAAGTGCGGACTGAAGCAGTGCTCAGCAACAGGTCGGCAATGATATTGGGGCGTCTGTGCGGCCCAGCAGGGAATGCCATTTAGGAACTCTCGCGCGACTGCGACAGCCCAAACGGCCGCCCCAGTGCCCGTGGTCGCGCCCGCGGGGGCGCTCCTGGCTCCCGCCACCGCCCTCGTGGGCGTCCCCAGGCACCCGCAGGACTCGCTCACGGCGTGCCTGGACGCCAACGGTACGTACGTGTGCACGGCCTACAACTCCAGATGCCTCATCATACAGAAGGTGAGTGTCCTCGCGACATACCATATGTTGCACCACTGCATCCCAGCACCGCAGCTCCGCGCTGTGGCCGGAAAGTGGTCCACAGACACCCCACGAGCCCCCCGCCACGCACCCCGGGGCGTGTCATTGGGGCACGCGGCCGGAAATCGGCCGAGAAAAGCAGCTCCAACGCCAAATTGTTGCTCCAGCGGACAGCGATAAGCATTCACGCCATGTTGGATCAATAAAGTCTCTCATCTCGCTCTCTCCCGCACATTAGGCCCACCCCAGCCACCTCTCTTATGCACTTGGGCGTCAGGGCTGGGCAAAGCTCACCCACCCTCAATTTCTGATGCAATTCAGGGTGCAAATTGGGAAATGCCAGTCAGTGTTTATCACTCTCCCTTTGCAGGTCACCCCTCAATATATTGGATACGAGGGCGTCAGTCAGGAAGGTCACGCGGATTACGACAAAATCAACCCCAACTTGGCGCCACCCTACGATGGATATGTCTACGCCCTGCCCGAGTGCCCGCCAATGGACCCATCAGCGCCCCAGAATTTCGAATCCGCTGGTGAGTAGCCCAGAAGCAGTCGTTGAGTGTGCTATCAATTCAAAACTTCCCACCCAAACGGCAATGTCGCCCAAATCCGCGCGCCGCCATTGCCGCAGATGGCGCCACGCGCGAGTGAGGAGAACATCGAAAAAACCCGATGTCGGCCATGTTTTGGGTGGATTTGGTGCCAATTGATGTAGTCGGCCATTTTTGAAATTCAGTGAGTCAAATTGAAATTTGTGTTAAGTTTTTAGGCGATTATCATCGGTAAGCGCAATAGAATTAGCAGCTGAAAGCTATGGAAAAACATTCGTGAACATGTGCGCAATCGAGTGACAATCGAATTGGACGCAATAGTGATTGAGAAGTGTGTTTAATTGAACGTGGAAAAAAAGTCTGCACTCATCCAGCAAAATTTCTTGCTCGCGGACACACACACCGAGCACACCATAATTTCTGCCTTTTTCCGCCCCCCATGAGGGCGCGTTGGGGCGACGTGGGGGCCCCTGAGGGCGGCCGTTGGTGAGACGGTGGGCGCTGCTGGGGGGCTGTCGAGGAAATCCGGGAAATCGACCTCTGGAGGTGGGCTTTTTCGAGAAAGAGGCGACACATTTGACGAGAGCGTGCGAGAGAGAGGGACATTTTTGTTCATGTTATATGACTTGCCACTCCGCTTAGAGACATTTTGACTTTGCGGAGAATCTCTTGGCACATCGTGGCGGGTTTGGGGCGCCCCGGAGGGTGCGTGTGACAGCGGCTTTTGGGCGGCGGGAGGGTGGGAGAGAGGGGACTGACACATGAGATCCTTCGCCCCTCCCCAGCGGGCCAACCGACTGACCACACAGTCAGTACTCCACATTGCAGCAATTAGCACACACGAGACCGATGTGTGGCGACTCACCACGAAGACCACGTTCAGCGACAGAGGGGGCGCCCATGTCGAAATTTGGCATGCTGCGCGTGTGTGTGTGTGCCGAGCGAGTTGTACATGGATTTTTCTTGATTTTTTTCCAAAAAAACAGAGCATTTGAGTGCCGCACGACGTTGTGAGGACCTTCCTGTGACGTGATTGTGACGAAGGGATCTTTTAGCCGACTGACAGGGACGAGAAGAAGTGACGTGAGTGCGTGTGTGTGTGTGCAAAGGAACCATTGGAAGTCTCTTTGGATTAAGCCAGTGTGAAACAGTGGAAAATCAGGGCAATAAACCGAGTGACAGTTGAACTGGAGTGCGCGCGAGGCATTTGTTTTGAGCGGTGAGAAAAAGCGATTCATTTCTGGACACTTGTGATACCCCGAATATGATTGTGGGATTACCTTAGCAATAAGTGCACAAGGTATAAAGTGTGGAGAGATGCCAATGCAGTGGCAGAGACAAAAGCAAGAGGGAAATATATCAAATTTTGTAAGATATTGCGCGCTGAAAAGTGGTACAATTAGGAAGGTGTGAAGAATTTTTTTTTATTATTTGTTTCCTGTTACAAGAGAAGTGAGAAGAGTGAGAAAAACTGTAGAAAAATTGTACACATGTAACGCAGCGCCACTCCTTTTGGGTTCTCTTCTTCTTTTCTCAACTCAACGTGAAATACAATCAACATTGGTTCCATCACACACACCAGGAGAAGGAGAGAGAGAGAGAGCGAGAGAGCGAGAGGGAGAACGACAGAGATCAACATTACAAAATTATTATTTTATTTTAATTTTGTTTCGTTCTTTTGCGGGGCATGAATTCAACTGCTGCTGGTATGTCAATATTCTTCTTCTTTCGACACTCTCTAGTCTTATGTACAGTACACAAATATATATATATGGTTCTTTCTTTTATCATTTCATTATATTCCTCTCTAAATTGCCAATTAACCATAATGGTTTATTATTATGAATTTGTATAAAAATCATTCACTCTCATGTGCACATAAGAGAGAGAAAGAGAGAGAATTGAATTGTATTAATTTGTGCCATTGCATTTCAATTGCAATACTTTGATGATCTCTCAATGCGGACTTGTGTGACAGGGAAAAGAAAATTTATACGTAGACCAACAATGACATTTCCATTCTCCTTTTCCCTACATCGATGCGCCCTCATGGTGATAATACAAATTTTCTGCTATTCTCACACCACTTGGCACAATACATCTCACCATCTCACTCCCTCTCGTGGCGTCCAATGAGCATTTTACTGCCACTTTGACCGTTTCGTCTAATTCGCGATATTTAGTCATTAAAAATAGATGAGTTCGTTCGACATACGGTACATTTTTTGCACCAGTAAATACTTTTGCTTGCTACTGCTCTGCCACCATGGGTGTATTTTCATCTTTTTCACACATCAACGGCCACTGTTGGCCGCACATGTGCGAGCGAGAGGGCGAATGGCACAGGCCTTTCAGTCTCCTCTCGATACAGAATGCAAGAGAGCAAAGAGCGAGAGAGAGAGAGAGAGATAGAGGTTAAAAATGTATTTAGACAAATACAGATGAGAAGCGCACTCAAGTGATATTAAATAATATGAAATATAATTCCCTTTTTCCACATTTCATTCGAATTAATGACTAGAGAAGTCTTCTCATTGGAAAATACACACTCGAGGAGAGTCTCAGAATATGTAGTTAAGCTGCTAAGTCGATGGATTTGCTGCAGGAGAATTCCTGTGGTTGGATTGCGCTGAAATAAGTTTTGTGATAAGGGAAAAATGCCAAATTTCCTGTTGTAGAGTGAATATCTAATATTCATTTGTTTCCATCTATTTTTGGATCAAGGGGAGAAAGCACATGAATTCACAAGTTATACTGTAGATTCTTAATAATTTATCCACACAGTTCTTTGACTCCTTATGCAATATTCATATAAATATTGGGATATTCTCATTGAGTTCTTCGCTTGTGATTCTCAAACTTTTTGAAAGAGAGAATGGAGAAAATTCAAGAAGACGTTTGTAAAGCATAATTCGCAACAAACTTTATGAAATTATGAAATCAGAATAAGGAAAAACAGAAAAATTTCAAGATTAAAAAAAATCAAATAAAAAGCATCAATCTGAAGAAAAAAAAACTATTGAAAAAAACACCTTTGAATCAGATTTTGTGTGATAAAAATAAATCTTTGGAAGAAGCCTAAATTTTTATTAACGCCAGTGATTTACGAAAGTTTTCCTAATCAGGATTAGTAAAAGCATTTGTCCATTAGACCTAAGTTATTAATTAGTTCTGAATGACTAGACTTTGGTATTTCAAACCTTAAGTTTGGTTCAATTCCTGAAAATAGATTTCAGAATATCTTTGCTAGACTATAAAAGTAGCTCTAAATCTGCTGCATTTCTCCATTTAAGCTCTTCATGATGTTTCAATCAAATGGAATTGAATGCAGTTTTGTCAGTTTCACGACCTCAGGCAATCGCAAAAGACACACTAAGCTTGACTTTAGGACATCTAATATTACATGCGGTCAGACAGACTGTCCCTGAGGAAGGTGATAAACAGTCGTAAAACGTCTTTTAGGTAAATGAGAGAAACTTTGGTGTCGCAGTGGAGAAATTTCGTAAGAAGACGCCTGAAAAATGTGTCGAGCACGTGGCTTTTTGGCTTGGCGCTATTGATTGCTGACGTTTCCGTAGAATTATCTTATTTTCGGCCTGACTTTTCTTTGCACTTCCGCAGCGGAAGAGAGAGAGAGACATTTTCTGCGGTAGATCGAGAGGCATTTAGAGACTGAAGAAAAGAATATGTAGGAAAGTTAGTATTAGAAGATATTAATGAAAGATTAGAAGAAGTAGGTTTTATTGTGCTTGACCAATTGAAGTGTGTGCGTGTTTTATTGTGATATTTTCCTAGTCGCGGGGAACACACTAGCACGAATCTCTCTCGCATTCTTCTCCACCTTTTTTCGTTCTCCGCTCATCGTCTTCTTAAATACACTATCGTCCATTTATATTAACGTAAAAATACACATTTGTGTGCTGCCTTTCTTGCTGTCTTGTTCTCTTTTATCCACAATTAGTTGCACGGGTCTTTTTTTTTATATGAAAATGTATAAAAATTTTATGTGATATGAAGAAGAGGAAGGAGAAAATAGAAGGGAAAATCAATTGAGGCTTTTCCTTGGTTTTTTTTTTTGGCTTCGAAACTTGATGTTTGTGTGCGCGCGCGGGGAAGGAAAGGGAGTTAATTTTTTATTTCACCTCTGAAATTGGGTAATAACGACGAGTCGAGCTTATTCAGTCTTTGCAACAGTTTAATTAGTATTTCTCCCAAAAGACTCTGAACTGTGTGAAGTGGTGTATTAAAGCGCGCTTGGGTCAGAATTACCATGCAAGATGATGACCTTTCTGTGATGGTTTTTTTCTCTCCCTCCTGTTCGTGTGTGCATTTTTCTGGTGAGAAGTGTGATGGAGGAGAAGTAAAAAATATTGGTCAATCGGTTAATGTTGGACGCGCGAGAGATGTGGCAATTTGAGATTGAAGAGTTGGAAAGAGAGAATGGAAAAAGAGAAGCAAATGAGGCGCGAGTTGAAGAGATGAATGGATGAAAATCGATTTTATAATCAATTCTGTGCTATTGGATGATCTTTTTTTTTCTTCTTCTTCTTTTGAACACGTTTCTCTCTCTCTCTCTCTCTCTCTGTCTCTTCACATGTGTTTTGGGGCCGTTTTTGCCTAATCTGAACTGAAAATTTGTACTTTCCCTGTGCTAGTCAGTTCGCACTGATCACTTGAGGAGTGTGATTCATACAAAATTTAATTGAATATTTTGCACATATAACATCAGTAAATTATATTAGCTGAGGCTGTGGCTATTACATAAAAGTGAGCAACAGAGATAGACAGACAGAGAGAGGAGAATTGTGATGTGAGGAGAAGAAGAAAAAAAAGAAGTAATGTGGTGTATGAAAAGAAGTGAAGGAGGAGAAGAGAGAGAGAAAAAAATTAATCACGAAAGTGTATTTTAAAATTAGATAAATAAAAAGTCAACGAATGTAATCTTGCTGTATGGGTTTGGCGTACATTTGTGGTTTTATTGTGTGTGTGTGGAAAATGCTCTCTAAAAGAGTGATGAAACGGATTTTGATTAAGACACATACACAGTGGCATAGAAGCTCAAATAAAACTCACCGGCTATAAAGTAATGAAACTCTTTTCTCTCCTTCTCTATATATAAAATTAATTGTGGGTGGCATTTTCGAGACAGTGTTTCGCAGATAAAGAGACTTGAGGAATTGCTGAGATGAGGAGATAGTGCAAAGGAGCGAGAGCGAGAGAGAGAGAGGTATTTAAGGAATTCTAAAGTGCGGCAATGCCAGGATTGAAGCGACCACTGAAGAGTGTACGGAGAGTGGAGGTTCTTTTGTGGGAAAACAGAGCGCTATGCAATCGTGTGACCGAGAAAAGTATGTGACATACAGAGGGGAAAAGAAGTATTGGAGAATTAGCGAAAGTCCTTATCAATGAAATTCCATATTGATTCACTGGCCTTTTTCTCTCAACTTGGTGCGTGCTTAATAACAATGTGGAGTGCTTTGAGAAGGAGAAGAAGAAAATGACGAAGTGTGGTTGATAAAAGGGAATTTTCTATTGCAAAAATTCCTCTCATTCAATATTTCCAATCATTTTTACAATATATAATAATAATTCTGTCGCTCCCACTTGAGATTTGTGTGTGCAATTGTTGGAGTTTCTGTATTCGTACATTTTATGATTCATCTGCTATGTGCGCGCCTTTGACTAGTGAATTGACATTTCTCCTTGTATGACTTGTTGAAGAGGAATTGCTTAAAAAATTGCGACTGCAGACAAAATGGATGGAAGATGCCTGAAGTTTTCTCGTGTGACGTGACCGAATTATTTGTTCACACTGAGACAGTTTGTGCAATGAAATGATGCAATTTCCTATCAAGTGATGCATTAATTGCAATAAATGGTGTACCTTTTCCATAATAAAATCACTCATTTGTTGTATTACAAATGCATAAATTGAAAAATCTCTTTGGTAATCCACACAAATCCGCATCAGTTTTTTTTTCTTTTCCGTATTGCAAGTTGGAGTGAATAGAAATCTTGGTAACTGAAAAACCTGAATTTACAATAATAATAATAATAGTTTCATTCAGATCTTCTCGTTTTCTCCAGTGATTTAAGTAGTAAAACAGGAATTTGTACACTAAGCAAGGCTTAATTGAGAATCTGTGTCTATATGCCTTACGAAAACCATTCTGGAGAGTAATCCGGTTGATCGGAATATCTTACAGAGTCCTAACATGTCACTATACTTAGCCTTCGTAACTGAAAATGCAATTGAATTGATATGAATGAGAATTCATCCTAATCACTTTCTGTTTTTTTCCATTACAATTGCGTTGAAAGACAAACCGCAAATGACATGTGAGGAAACATGTCTCTTATGATGTTGATAAGAGTAAAATACAGGAACTTATTAGAGGCATTTTTAAGCTATGGCCAAAAAAAAGTGTGGACAAAATGGGAGAAAAGCAGCGCAATTTCGTTCAATTTCTTTAAGCACACACCATCGTCTCCTCGTTCCGCTCTAGTGAGATAACCTTTGTGTGGTGTGTTTGTCACTAAAAATTGTTCATTTTTGATACTTTTGTCGAAAATGTTTGTAAGAAAAAGTATTATTGTGAGTGGAAGACACAATGTGAAGGAGGAACAAAGAGAGTGTTGTTATCAGTTGTGGAATTCGCAATCGCATTGATGGAAAATCATATTATTAAATCAGTCTTGTTGATTTGCTGCTGATTTGCTAAAAAGATACGCTCATGTAATTGAAAATGTTGAGATAAATAAGGAATATATATATATAATATTTTCTACAGACACACATTTCCGGTAGAAGAATGAGAGAGTAGAATTCGCTTATGTATGCTATTTTGTGTGAATGAAAATGTAAGATTCGTGATTGCAAATGACTTTAAGTGGCAATTAATGCGGAGAGACCTCAGAAGTTTACTAATTGAGATTTTATACAACTCTCATTTAATAATTTTCCATAGTTTCGCACTGTGCATCTGGTGATGTTGCACAGTTGGCTCTATTGGGGCTCGTCAATTGGACTCTTGGAGTGGGAAAAATTGGTGAGACGACGGAGTCCAAGGAATGGAGGAATAATTTGAAGAATGCGTGCGTCTATTTTTGTCTTGGGTGAACTTTGGGGTGTTTGGACTGGTGATAAGGAGTGCCTCTGGTGTGTCCTCCTGTCGCTGGGCACTTTCGAATGATGTATTGTGGGTCAGTTTGGGAAAATGCTGTGAGTCAATGGTTGAGGAATGTCTTTCTGCTTGTGTTGTGCTGTGTTGTGTTGCCCCCCTTCTGGACACAATCGCACGCAGAGTGTGGAGAATGCGTGATAAAATAATTACATGATGTCATAATAGGCAAATGTGTGGCAAATACAATTGCCATTAAAATGTCCATCTGAAGCAAACATGCGAGAGTGACACTCTCTCTCTGTGTTGTTATCTCTTGGCGTGGAGGAGATTGCTGATTATATTTTTAAGTCAAATCCCATTATCAAACAATATATACATATATGTGGGTTTCCAAGAAGTGACTATCGACTGACTCAAGTGTTGTGTTGCATTTGCTCTGTTCGCAGGATTCGGTTATATGAATGGAGCGACGGGAAAGATGTCCACTGGCGCAGTGTTTTCCAGTATGCCTGAGTCAACGGCTGCCACAGCCATGATGGTGAGCGGCGGCATGGATCAGCCCCCGCCGGCGCCCATCGTCACGCCGGTGTCCGTGATGCCGGCCGCCGTCTCGGCTCCCGACTATGCCAACATGAATGGTGTCGTGCCCATTGCCACATTGACTGAACAGCCCGCCGCCGCCGCCACAGACTACTACTACGCCGTGGACGGCGCCGCGGCGAGCTACTCGAGCGCCGCCAATACAACGAGCGCCACGGCCACAACGAGCGACGGCGGCACGATGCCGCTGGAACAACTGAAGCAGATGCTCTCGTCGCAGCTGGACTACTATTTCTCGAGGTAAGTCACGCGCACGGAACAATGATTCGTCCCTTTTTTCACCCTCATTCTCTGCTGATTTTCTGCCTCGTGGCCAAAAGGCAGCATCCATCGCTGCCTCAAGTCTTCTTCGGCATTTTGGACAAAACTCTGGGGCATTCAGCAATTTATCGCCTTTTGTATCAATTCTGGAGAAAGGAAGCCTTCGTTTCATGCTGCAATTCCAAATCTCTGGCTGCATTAGAGATGATGATTGCAAAAAGAGCATTTTCAGCACTAATAGCGATGTGCTCTTGGAATTTATAGAATCTTAGGGCCAAAATACATTGAAGAAATGAATTTTCTCCTTGCTATTTCGAAACGATTACAAATTGAATGAATTATTAGTAGTTTTCAATGAATGGATTTCCTTGGTTGGGCGGGGCTTACGAGGGGGAGTGGCTTAGAAAACGTTTGTTTTATCAATTTATTTAGAATTATCTTTTCTTAAAACATATTCTGTCTCAACGAAAGCGAGAAACAAGAAGATTTGTATGAAAAATTGCCTACAAATTCCCTCTAAAGGGGCTAATAAATCATTGCTGATTTACAATATTTCAAGGCTCTGAAGTCAAGCAAGCGACAGTTTTCAATCTCGCATGATCAAACAATACTTATCACCGCCTTATCGCATACTTTTTCCATTCAAGTTTCTTCCAAGTTGGAATTTTTCTCAACGAGCGCAGTCAGATAAATTAGGCTGAAGTGATTATTTTGGCCTTTTTCTTTTTCGACTGTTGAGCTAGTTAAAGTGGATTTGGTGCAATTTCAGGTGTTGTGCATTTATCCATTTGAAATGATATGAAATTGTGAATGTTCAGAGTGAGAGAAGAGCAAGCATAAATATCATCTCGGGAGATTATGGTTGATGTGTTAACCCAGAAAATGGCATGAAATTCATGCTAGAGTCGAATTTTAATTGAATCATTAGTTTATTGCTGAGATGATGAAATGGTTTTTCACACACTTGATGTTGTCAAATATGAGAAATGGGTGGAAAAACAGGCACATTTGATGAATATTGATCAATATAATATGACGCTGCTGAATAATTCTTGTGGTGTTCGTTATTCTCGTGCTGTAGAAAAGTTGTTTGTTCTTTCGTTAAATTATAGAGTGAAATATAAGTGCAGGAAGTGGCAAAATTCTCCTTTGGATAGGTGCACGTTGTCCTTTTTCTCTCTTTCAACGTCTATTGGATTTTGTATCCTATAAAATATTCTCTTGAGTGCATGCAAATTTTGTCCTCTTTTCATGTTGGAATTCAAAGCATTATTTTTATAACTTTCTTCACATAATAAGATTAGGTGTGTCTCTCTGTCTGGCACTCTTCTGCCTTTGACAATGTGGTGAAATGACGGTGATGTCCAATAATTTGGGCCTTGTGAATGCACACACCGCCGCGTGATGCAATTTAGGAGAGGAAAAGATGGAAAAGAAAAGGTTTGTCTCTGTAAAAGGGTGAAAATTTTGAGTTTTTCTCAGCAAATTGTGAGTCTTTTTGGTCATTTTCTTGATCATTTGAGGCCACACCAGCAGAGTGTGTAATTGTAATCCGTGCAGTGTAGAAATTTTACTGGCATTCGGCCAGAAAGAGAATATCATTGTATTCCACACTGAAAAGAGGCATCACATCGTGTGTTTTGTCGCAAATGAACAGGGCTATGGTGACAATGTGCAAAGATTGTTGGTGCTCAATCAGGCGGAGTGAGTTGCAAATTTCACGAGAGTCGCTGTGAATTAATTAACTTGATAATTGTGGTCCTTTTGATGGGTAGAAGACAACAAAGGACATTTCTGTGGAAATGACCACACGAGGAGTGAAATGTGAGAAAGAGAGTGAGAGTTTTGATGATGAAAGGCACAATGAAAGGTCAAATGATGAAAATTGCCAAATTCAAGGAGAACTTTTAATACATTTTGCACTGAAACGCATTTGGTATTTATTTGTGAATGGATTAATGATTCAAATAATTCCAAATGCAAAATCAATAGTATTGCAAACCTTGAAAATATTCCATCTCAACACTAATTCTAATTGTGTTGGAAGTGTGCAAAAAGAAAAAAAAAGTATGCGGTGGATATAATTTATTTAAAAATAGACATCGAGTGAATAAGTTGGGAATGTATTATGAAAAAAAAAACAGAAAAAAACTTTTGTAATTGAGGAGGTTTTTCTGATAAAATCCCATTAGAAATACATTTACAGCATTCCTTCTTCCTCTTTTGTGAATTTATAATGCAACATCAACCACATAATTTTCATCAATCACTCTTCGCCAGTGTGTGAAAAATTTCCCAATTTCTTGAGGTTGTTTTGGTGAATTTGTCATCTTATTTTGAGTTTGGTGGAATTTTCCACACTATCACTGATGATCTTTTTCTTTTCACTTCTACACTTCCATCATTTCCTGCTGCAGGCGACAAATATTCCCACTGTTCGTTTGCTTTTATCTCTCTCTTTCTCTGGCGCTGAAAAATGTGTTTGAATTGCCCAAGTGTGTTTTTCACTTCAATTGGTTTACTGGGGATTCCCAATATTCATAATAATAATAATATAATTTTTCTCCTTGAACATATTTATGAGGTTATTTTCAAGCACACAAGTGGAAAAAGTTGTAAATGATTTTTCCTGCATTTTTCTTTTCGCATGATAATTTTGGGTGTTTAAAAATTCATTACAAATTATTTCTCAATGTAATATCAGACTTGTGGAAATTTTGGTGTTGTTTGTTCTGTTTTTGGTGGTTGTTGATAAGCGAAAACCCAACTAGATTATGTCCCACAAGTTGCGCCTGTCAGATTCTTCCTATTCTTGGTTATTTATTTCAGTTATTTCACTGCTTATTTCTCCATGTGCGGAATAATGAGCTGAAGACTTGGGTTTATCGCATTTTTTCACTCCTGAAAGTCACTGAAAGTGGGAGAAATAGGGGAAAGCGGACCTCTATTGATGTGAATTTGTTAGAAGGTTAAATAAGAATTAACAAAAAAGCAATTTAGAAGCTGAAGATTTCAATTTTTATAGGTTTTGGTTGGTGTTTTGGGGGTGGTTTTTTTGTTGGTGGTGTGGGTTCCAAGAAAATACTCAGAAGGAAAATCTTAAAATTCAAGACGCAAAAATTAATTCAAACAAACTCTAATCTTACTTTCTGAAGTCATGATTTTGTCTTTCTTATATTTATATTTCTCTTTTTCTCCAATACATTTGTATTAAAATCTTTATTATCTTCTCTATAATGAAAACAAGATTGAATTGCAAAATTGATACAAAATAACTTTGGTCTAAAATAAAATAACTTTATTTTCCCGAAGCCTTTCCCTTTTGTTGCAATGCGAGTCGCGATGCGGAGGAATGAAGGAGGAGATTAGAAGTAGAACGACTGGAATGAGGTGTTGTTACTAATTGTCTCGTGTGTGTGTTTTTTTTCTTCTCTTTTTGCAGAGAAAACCTTGCAAATGACACGTATCTAATCACACAGATGGATAATGATCAGTACGTTCCAATATGGACGGTGGCGAATTTCAATCAGGTGAAAAAGCTGACAAAAGACATCAAATTGATCACAGAAGTGCTGAGAGAGTCACCAAATGTTCAAGTGGACGATGAAGGTTTGAAAGTGCGTCCAAATCACAAGCGATGCATTGTTATTTTGAGGGAAATTTCCGATCATACACCTGTTGAAGATGTCAAGGTAAGAGACGCTTTTCTTATCAATATTCTCTAAGTTGTGATAAAGGCCTGCGAGATTGTCTTGCCAACACTAATAATGATATCTATTTCTTTCTCTCTTTGTGCGCTGCAGAATTTGTTCAACGGCGAAAATTGCCCTAAATTCATCTCGTGCGAATTTGCTCACAATAATTCCTGGTACATTACATTTGAGTCGGATGAGGATGCACAGCAAGCCTATAAGTATTTAAGGGAGGAAGTCAAGGAATTTCAGGTAAGGCGTGATTGAGATTGATAATGATTGCTGATGGTGAAAATGTGTGCGCTTGTGTTTCTTGCAGGGTAAACCAATAATGGCCCGGATTAAGGCCAAACCAATGTCACACAGAATGCCCATGACTCCTGTGCAGATGCCGATCAAGAATGGGTATCGGACTACACCGCCGCCGGGCGTTTACGATCCGGCGACAGCTTACACAACACAACAGCGATTTGTCTACTCAAATGGTGCTTCAATTCCTCAAGGGACAGTTCCATACACTGGTCAAGTTATGTTTGTGAGTATCAGAGAGAAATTTTTAGATTAGACATTCACTTTTTGGGCAGGAGAAGAAGAATTTGCCTGATCATCGTTTCTGACATTTTTTTTTTTCTTGAAATGCGCTGATGAAGTAAACAACACACTTTGTGCGCAAGTGTGAAGAGATCTTAATCGTGTTGATATTTGGTAGAAGAAGCTCGAGTTTTCGCTGAGATTGACTCTCGCGTGTGTGCTTTTGTTGTCTTTTGCAGCCATTCCAGCAACAGTTTTTTTCGGGCATAATGCAACCATGGCCTCACGGACCGCCGCCGCCGGGCCAGAACTTCGTCAACTATGAGCTGGGCAATGTGTTCTCGGCCAACGGCCTGACGCCGCAGGTGTCCTTCGCCACGACGACCAAGAGCCAGACGCCGCGCTACACCAGCCACCGCAGCAATGTGCGCAACAAGCGCTCCTCCAACAGCGACCACAGGTCGCAGGAGCAGCAGCAACACCAAGTGCCCAACCACCGGAACAGCTCCGCGAGTCACCAGATGTACCATCCCCTCGTGGGCGCCGCCGCCGCCGCGCAGCCGGTGGCCGCCCTGTCGCTGCCCAGCAAGGCGGCGCAGCCCGTGGCGGCCGTGAAAGTGCAATCCAGCGCCGGCGGGGAGATGTACCACCAGCCGGCCAAGTCCGGCACGGCCACCTACCTCAAGTCCGTCGTCACGAGTGTGGGCGACGAGAGAACGCTCATGTCTTCGCCAAATGTGCCACATCCGATCGCTGCCGTTGCCGTGAGCGCTGGCCAGCACCACTATCAGCACCACCACAGTGCCCAGCATCACCAGCCGAGTCACTATCACCAGGCGCACCACCACCAGGTGGCGCAGCCGCACCACATCCAGGTGGCCGCGGCGCACGTGGCGCCGCGCGAGGAGGGCGAGCCCATCGCGTTGGCGACCTACAAGGCGGCCGCCGTGAGCGCCGGCGGCGCGACGGGCATCCCGATTGTGTCCACTCTGCTGCCGCCGCTGCCCCAACATCACCACCATCACCAGCAGGTGAGAAGAGCGTTGAGCACCGTTCCCAGAGACTCCCAGACTGACGCGTTCTTCTGTCCCTTTGTAGGTGGCGTCGCAGCAGCAGTCGCTGCACGATATCGCTGGCGATGAGGCCCTCGGGCAGCAACACAAGGGCGTCCTGTCGGGCAGCAAGGAGCACTGGCCGCAGCGCTATCGTCGAAGGCGGAAGGACGAAGACGGTGGTTCCGTCGGTGGCGCCTATCGGAGTGGCGGTGGTGTGAGTTCCGGCTCGTCGAATGGAGGGGGATCCGCGGGCGGACAGCACAAGCAGTCGCCAGCCAGTCCCAATCCGTCGGCGTCACTCGTGCTGCGCGACTCGGGCGCCATTGCTGGCGCTTCCGGCCAGAGTGCCGGCAGTGTCTCGGCTGCACAGCAATCGCAGCGGACTCAGGCGCAATTCGACCTGGAAGCGTCCGCCTTTCCGCCTCTGCCTGGCTCGGACGCCGGTGGTCTCACGTCTGCGCACTTCTCGCACCAGCAGCATCACCAGTCGCACTTGCCGAGTCAGGGAGGCGCGGCGGCGTCGCGCGCAGCCGATCGTGGACTCGCTGCGGCTCAGAGTGCCACAACTGGGCAGAGTGTCCTGGCGAGTGGCGGCAGCGAGCCGGGCGGGGACGTGGCGCCGGCGGGGAACGCCTGGGGCGATCGCTTGGCGGATGTGGTGAAGGGAACTGCAAAGGCCAAAGTCAAGGTGGATGCCAGCAAAGACATGAGCACCAGCACAAGATCCAGTTCCGCCTCTCCGCCGCCATCACAACACAATCCGTCTCCCAATCAAGGTCAGTGTGGCGTCGAGACGCGCATATTAGAAGAGATGTCAAGCTGTGATTAGCAATTCCCTAAGTTTAGCAGAACTTAAGCTCATTCCTGATGATTAATGAGGATGATTTTGATACTTCAGTTCATCAAGAAGATTTTTTCTTAAGGTGCATGTGAAGTTGCATGTTAGCACTGAGAAGTCTAACAGAGCGTCTTGCGTCTCTTCCGCAGGTGTTGCATCAACGACAGTGGCGAACATAGTGACGACGACTTCAGGTAGCCAAAGTAATACTAATAATGTTAATAATATTTCTACAAATAACCATGAGCTTAGTGTAGAGCTGCAAGTGTCAGCGACAAATGCCACAGAAGCACAGAGTTGCAAGGGTGCGAATGTGGATGTGGCTGACGGTGGCGCGGTGGGTGGGGGTTGCAACAAGTCAGTGTCAACATCAACACCTCAGCACAGCGTGACGACGATAACGATGACGACGACGACGACGACAAATGAGAATAATCCTGTGATAAAAACGTGCACTGCTGATAAATCAACAAAGACTGACGAGTCTCTGCTCAATGGCGTGGAGACTTGTGCAACAACTCAACAAATTGACAATATCGGTGGCAGCAGTGAGACTCCTGTGACCAATCAGCAATCATCGTGCGCCGCTGCTCCACAATGTGCCACGCCGACCACCGCGAACGCCTCCACCATGACGTCGGCGAGCAAGCAACACACTAAGTCAACGTCAGCAGTGCCAAGCACGTCCGCGGTCGCTGGCTCGCTGCTGAGCAGCGGCTTCCCGCGCGTCTCCGCCACGGCCGCCTCGCCACCGCCCGCGTCCGCCCAGGCGGGCTTCAGCTTTGGCGCCGATCCGGTGCGCCTGAGCTATGCGCAGGTGGCGCAGCACAACAGGGAGCAGCGCCACCAGAAGCAGGACAGCCGCGACTCCGCCAGCGGCGACGCGGTGGGGCTGCAGGACAAGGAGAACAGGGAGGTGACCAAGGAGAACAGTGCCACCAACATGAACAGCCTGGGCGCAACGGGAGGCGGCGCGAGCGGCGGCGGCGGCCCGAAGACGAGCGCGAAGATTCAGTCACCGTCTAATGCAAAGATCTCCACGTTGCAACCATTTGCCGCTGGCGAGGCGAAAGACAGAAGTGAGTGTTGTGCTTTGCATGAGAGTTTGCAGGATTAGTGAATTTTACTCTTTGCCAAGAGATGGGAAACTTCAATTTTTTTTGGTCTTCAAATGCAATAAAATTCTGAATAATGTGGAGTTTACTAAAAGTGGGCGTGGCATTCACATGGGCGTGGCTTGCAAGAGTTCAATCACCATTTTTGCATGTTCTGATTCGATATTCCTTTTGCTTTCGTCAGGCGAAAATGTGCGCGAACAACGGAGAAAGGATCAACGAAGCGGCGGCTCCGGAGCGGCTGGCGTTCATCGGCGCGAGAGCGACTCCGGCGGCGCCGGGCGAAGCCGCCAGCGTCCGCATCAGATGAAGGACTACTTCCAGGCCGCCGCCGCGACGGCGAGTCCGCGCAGCCCCAAGTGATGACCGATGCTGTGCGCGACCCGCGACTTGAGGTGATGAAGAGTGCGCGCGCAAGAAAATTGTACAGGTTTGGATCTTGCTGAGGAATGAGAAGGACACGAGAGAGAGAGAGAGAAAGAGAGAGAAGGCGTAGTGTTAAGGGGAAAATTAATTTGTTGTATTGTATGTTAACTAAATGAAAAAAAACCTATTAATGTGTGTGTATAGAACATGATAAAGAAAAAGAACAAAAAAATTATGCGTGCGTCTGTCGTCTCTTCGTCATATTTAGAGAAAGAGAAAGAGAAAGAGGAGAGAAAGAGAGAAAGAAGGAATGTGTAATGAAGTAATATATTTATTAGATTTAACAAATTAGGATGAAAAGAAAGAGAGAAATTCATATATTCTTACGTGATTTCCCCTTTTGAATAAATTCGTTCAAAGGTAAAATAAAAGAAAAAGAACTATTTAGAGACAATTTTCAGAGTTGAGGATATTTTCTAAAACAAAAGAAAACCATATTTAATGCGTTTTTCTTATTTAGTTCTGAATGTTGAATATGCGCGTGACTCATTTTGAGATGTGAATATAGGAACAAAATTGCGATTTAATACTTTTTTCACTCGTATGCAAGCGATAATAATTTAATTTTAATTGAAGGAAAAAATATTAACTGAAATTTTCGGCTTGGGTGAGTGTTTGAGATGTGAAATCTTACAGGAATTTTTACAAAATTTCATCCACAACCACTGGATGTTCTTCTTCTTAGCAGAAGTAAAAAAAAAAGGAAAGATTGGCACTGAAGTATTTATTTAATGGAAATTGTAAATATGATTGAAGTCTTCATTTTTTTTTGCGTAATTCTTGAACCTATTGAAATTCTTTTTCCACGGTTACCGTTTTGTGTTTTGCTAGCCAAACGCAAAAAAAACTATGTTTTATCATATTTTCTTTTATTAGAATATTGACTTGGTTTTTTTTTTTTAATGAAAATCTGGGTAAATTTTAGAAACGATCAATTTTCTTCTCTTCAATTTTGGGTTCATTTTACAAACAACAAGAAAAAGAAATAGGAAAAAAGAGTGATTTTTGGACGAATGCAAAAATTTCTAAAATGCAATCAATCGTTTTTGCAATTGAATTTATTTCAAATTGAAATTACTTTTTTTAGGAGAAGAAGTTTAGAAAGAAAGAAAAAACACTGAGACTTGTATAAGGATGCAAAGGAAAATTTATACGTATTTGAAGGAAAAAAACCATTGATTGAGTGAAGAAAAGAGAGAGAGAAAGAAAGAGAAGGAAAATTACTTTATGTGTAAATAATTATTAAGGAGAGCAAAACAAGTAATAATACTATAAATGTAATATATAATCTACTGAAATATCTCTACAAATGAAGAAAAAAAAATGATACATTGAACAAAATTTAAGGAAATAAAAAAAACTATTATAGGAATTAATAACAAAATGAGAGGAAGATTATGATTGGAGATGATAAGAGAGAACTACAAAATATACATCTGATAAAAATAATGTATAAAATCATGTTATATATTATATATAAAAAAAAGAAGAAATCATATTTATAAAAGAATATTAATTGTAATGTTATTATCAATTTTTATTATTTTCGTTTTTATTATTTTTATTTTAGTAAAAAAAAAATATCGCTAAGTGTTTTCTTTTTTTCATATTTTTTTTTGACATTATAATAATATCGAACGTAATACAACTCATTTTTAATAATTCAAACATTTCTTATTATACATGAAGGAAGAAAAAAAAATACGTGAATGATGATAAAAATACGTTGTAATAATTTTTGTGCTATCGAAAGTCAATATTTTATTGTAATAGCGCTATAAATATTTAAGAGGAGGTGAATTAATATAATAGTGAAGAGAGACTAAGAAGAAGAAAAAAGAAGAGAACAACAGAAAATACACAAGGGAAATAATGATTTTGTGAAATTTGAACAACAATTGCTATACATCCAAAATATGATGAGTAGTTTAAAAAAAAAAGAAGAAGAAATCGATTAGAAAGACAAGAAAACACACAGAAATACACACAATATAAGAAATATTTCTTGAACTGCAGCATCAAGAGCAGTGTTGAAATGATTTTCCTTTAAAAAGAATGCTATTGAAAAATTTTCTTTTTCTATTTTCTATTAAATATTATTGTAATTATTAAAGAATAAAAAAAAAACAACCTAAGAACGTTAGTGAGAAGTGCTGATGAGAGAGAGAGAGAATATTGCGAATGATTGGCGAGCATTAAATACAAGTTGAAGAGGGAGAGAAAAAAAAATGTATTTAAGAAATCCTTAGAAATGTGAAATAATGAAGAGTAATTGATATATATAACTTTATTAATTTGTAGAATTTTTTTCAAAGAGCATGAAACAGTTAAGAGCAACTAAAGCGAGATTTGCAGCAGCAAAATAAAAAAAGTGCCTAACTCTCACATACATAAAAACCTGAGTTTCTTACAAGACGATGGAAGAAACTTTTTTCCTTTCCCAATTCTGTTGGTGGACATCTTTTGACACACACACACACATAAGCAAAAAGGACAAAAAAAAAGAACTTGCTTTTGTTGACAACATTTCATCAAGGAAGGAATTCTAGAATATTCTCACACTGCCATTTTTCAAAAAATTGACTGTTTGAAGATTTTGAAGAAATAAAAGGACTTCTCTTTACTTTTCAACCTTCCTTCTGTAGTTTATTCTATAAAACTTAAAGACAAACACTTTTTTTTTGTTGAATTTTTCCCAATATTGCGAAGGAAAACAAAGAAAAAAGCACTCTGAAGTGAATGAAAGAGACCCGTTTGGATTTTATGTGTGCAGAGAACTGTGATAAAAACTAAGAAAAAAGAATAAACAAAATGAATTATTTAAAATGAGAGATGGGGGGAAAAAAGCGGTGTAAGAAGAAATATAAGAAAAGTTATTTTCAAAAAATTGAGAATCAAAAAGAGAAATGATGCGAGATGGGAATAGGAAGAAAAGTTGAGATGATTTCGGGGGAGGGGGAGATTTTGACGAATTTACTGTGGCAGAATTGAATAAATGGAAGTTTTTTCTTTCTCATTTTTCTATTTGTTTGAAACATTGGAAGCAAAAATCGTGATGAAAATATCTCGTAAAATTCTCTTTTCTTTTATGATTTGACGGCTTTTTTCCCGGCTAAAGTGGAGAAAAGATGTGAAATTCGCGATCAGAATTCTTTGGATTAATTTCACAAATATTAACTGATTTTTTATGATGTTTTCGGTGTAAATTTGAATGTAAATGACTCAAAAACTCAAATCTCCCATTTATTCTTCACTTTCTGCCGGATTTTTGAATGTGTGGAAAGAAAATGGAGAGAAATGGCTTTTTTCGAGGAAGTGTTGGTGGGACCAAGAAAAACACAGAAATAAATGATTAGAGGAATTTTTTTGAAGTTTACTTTCAAATAGAAGAAACGGAAAAAACGTCCCTGAAATAGCGAAAAAATTGGATCTTTGCTGGGTGTAATTTTATGTTTTGATTGAAGGCGTTTCTTTGGTGACTTTCTTTTTTTTTTGAGGAAATTGAGGAGGAAAGAGAAAAGTTGAAAGAACGCAACAGAGAAAATTTCCCTAATTTTAATTTTCATTTCTTTTTATTTGAGACTGATAAAATATAGTTGATAAAAGCCGTGAGGAAATCAATATAAACTAATTCTATGTGTAAATGCAAGAAATTTAACCATAAATCAATCTTATATTAAAGAAGAAGAAAAGAAAAAAATAGATATAACAATGAAAGTGAAATGAGAGTAAAAAGAAAAATAGTAAACGAAGAAATATTTGTAATTTATGGCACTCGATGATGATTTTTTTTTCTTCTATTTTAGTTAAAAAATAAGGGAAAAGTAATACTTTCGAAAGCCCCTTTTCTTTCGTCGGAATGGTGAATAAAATGATTTATTGAAAGTGAGAGAGAGAGAGAAAGAGAGGAAAACACTCTTATACATATATATATATATATTGTATTTCATGTTAATAAGAGAGAAGGATGATCAAAGTAATATTTAATCATTAGGATTCGTGATAAAACATCTAAAATACTAAAATTCTTTTATAATAATTGTATTTTTGAGATGGTGTGAAGAAGAAAGAAAACTGACGATGAACAACAGTTAAATCCTTGTTTGCACATTTTTTTTTCATTTCAATCAATAAGAGGATATCAAAGAGGATAATTGAGGGCGAAGGACAACGATTTATCATGTTTCAAAGACACGTCATAAAAATATATCCTGTTGGATTGTTTTGCCTGGGAGGAAAATTGCGGGAAGGGAATTTTTTTTTCTTATTCTTTCGAGAGAGAGACAACAAAAAAAAACATTTACAAAAAATATGCCAAATAATGAAATGAAAACATATTCACAACTTCCACAAAGTTAAAAAAAAAAGAAAATAGCATGCATGAATTTGAAGGTATGAAAAAATGATGTAGGAATTTGTATGATAGAGTTGTAATTAATGAAAATTAATCCACAGAAAATAGAGAGAAAAAAAATCACGAGACAAATACAATTTCTTAACCACTATTCTTTAGGAAAAACAATGACTAAAAACGGTGTGAAGCAGAAAAGGACGTTAATGGAATCATTTTTAACCTGTTTGTATTAGAAATGCAAAGTCACAAATCAACTCTTAAGAATTTAGTCAAAGAAGCATCCAAAAATAAAGAAAAAAAACACAAACACTTTTGTGGGGAAGAAAACTGGGAAGACAGAGAGAGAGAGAGAGAGATGAATGAATACTTAAAATAATACAGTACTGATCAACTATAGAAAATCAACTGCAAAAGTTGCAGACAGAGAATTTTATTTATGCATTTTAGGAGCAAGAAAAGAGATGCTCAGAAATGAGTCTTTTTTTTCACAATGCTTGGCAAAAGGGCGAGAATTTGAGGAGAGAAAGAAAGAAAAAAAAGTGACGATTGAAGAAATCACGTGAAATGTAAGTGTAAAAGCGATTAAACCACAAAAGAAGATACACAAAATAAATGATACTGAAGAGGAATATATGAATATATATAAATAAAGAATCTATATGTAAATAATATACATAAAACAAATATTTATATGCAAAATGAGGACATGAGAGATGAATAGATTGACTTAGTTTGGGAGTCTAAAGAAAGCGCTGGGTTTCGAACTTTACAATGAGAGAGAGAGAAGAAGAAGGCAAAGAGAAGAGCACGGAAGTGAGATGAAGAAAAGCTGAGAACAAGTGAAGGAGAGCGGAAAATCGTATATACCAATTTTGGCGGGAATTGTGTTTGATGGCAAATCGAAGAAAAAAAAAAGGACACAAGAATGACTATTTATTTGTACATAGGCTTTATTATTTAACGACAGAGAAAAACGATTTACAAGTGCATTTCAACGTTTTTTTTTTCATTTCGTCAAATTCGGAACAAGAGAAAAACCTTTTTGGAGAGCAAAATTTTATCCGTCACACGACAAATTTCTTCCAACAACACACACAACAACAAAAAGTAAGAACAAGAAAGAACCTATCAAAGAGGAGTTGAACAAAAGAAGGAAAGAAATCTTTATAAACAACCTATAAATAGTAAATGATGAGAAGATGGTATAAATGAAGAGTATATATAAATATATAATTTCGTAAAGTGCTTTTACATAATATTTTTAATATGAAAATGAAATTATAAAGAAAAAAAACCCGAGAGGAGAGAAGACTGCACGGAGAGAGGAGGAGTGTGGGCCGGAAAAGAGAGAGAGGCGAACGTGCAGAGAAAACTCGTCACCTGAGCATAAGAAAGACGTCACTAGAATTACTCGATGCGCTGTAAAATGTATACAAGAAAAAAGAAAAGGGCGGACGAGCGAAGATGTGAAAAAAGCTACCTTCGATGACTAAGGAAAAAAAAGTGCAGCAAAGTATGCTAAAAAAAACACACACGGAGAATAATAATATTTATTATTAAATAAAAAAAAAACAAGTAAATTATAGAGTGAAAAAGGAGAATGTTGAAGCAGAAAAAAGCGGTAAATTATTTAGTGGAAGACGAAAAAGACGGAGGCAGAGGAAAAAAATACTATATATGAATTATTATATCGTATGGAAGGAAAGGAACAAGTGTAATTTTAAGGGATCTTCAGTGTCTCAATATTTGCGAAGACGAAGCCGCGATGAAGAGTGCGAAGGGAGAGAAAAGTTAGGTCCTAAGATACTTAGGTTGTTTTTTTCTGTTGAATTTGGTTGGAAATAAAAATCTGAAAACGAGAAAAATGCCGTCTTTTGCCCAACCGAAGAAGCACACACCTGAGATGAGAAGGAAAAGAAGACGTCCCCCAGAAGATGAGTCACTTTCTTGACCGGCAACTTTGAATCGCGCTTATCGTGGAGTTTCTTGTGATTCTCTTTTTTGCCTTCTTTGAACGTCTTTTTTGTGTGCGTTGAGCGCGCGCTTTTGCACGATGCAAGGGTGAAACAGCCGTGAAACTTCTCAACACTGAGAGGAAATATTGATATTGTTCGTTGAGCTTCTGTGAATTTTAAAGAATTTCAACCATCTACAAACGAATGGGAAAGAACTAGAGTAAATTCTGTAATACAATTAATAAATTGGGAATTATTGCTTGAAAAATTGAACGATGGTTTTTTAATTAAACTATCTTATCACTCTTGTGTTTATTATTCTGGGTGTTTTTCTTCCATTCTGGGCGTGGCAATCAAGTGGGCGGAGCTTCTGATACTTCTCCCCTCAAATGCTTCAAATACGCACAAAAACACTCCGGCTTAGTGCGTATTTCATGCCCCAAAATATTTGCTTCTCATCTTCAATTGTATTTCACTAATGTGAAGACATCTCGAGAATATTTTCCTCCGGAGGAAAATCTCGAGGAGTCATCGATTTCCAAGAAAAAGGTCAGAGGGTATGAGAATTTCGCAATAAGCGAAGAAATGCGTCGTCTGTTTTGCCGATGGAAATTCCGGGAAACCATCAATGTGTTCTCCCATCCCCAAAGAATCTCCCCAAGCGAGAGTGTTTCGTTCATTCACGAGTGCCAGAATTTTGGCGCGCATGAATTCTCTCCGCACTTCCATAAATGGGCAGAATGGGCAGAATTTAGATGAGGAGCGGAGACTCGGCTAATGCCAGAGGTCGTGACATTGGCGAGATGAATTGAATGGAACAGGTGATTTGTCACGATGCACGCACGTTGCGCGTAATGAGGATTGATGGAAGACAATGGGATTGCATTTTGGCCAAATTCGCAAGCAATTCGGAGTCTCTGGAGAGACTTTTGGGGGACTTTGCGGCAAGGGTGCCGAGCTTATCCATTAATCTTCCGCGTTGCAGCCCTTCTCCCATTTGTTTCTCTACATTTTTTCCTCTGTTTGCCGCCGTGTGTTTGCCGGAGAGAAGAGCAAAGCGAGGGGAAGCAGCCGAGTGTAAAATTTATGCGTGAGAATGTTGGTGGAGAAAAAAGTGTTCTGAGTCCAAAATGCAGGATGGCATTCAGGATGATCGCGTTGGTGGGAAGCCAGACAGCTCTGGAGGCTCCGTCTCGAGTCCGCAACTGCTGTTTACATAACATTCGCTTGACAGTGTAGCTTGAGGTAACTCTGACCATCTCTTTCCGGCCATGCGAGTTTCGAGCACATGGAATACTTGAGATGCTTTATCGATGACAATGCACGCGACGTCACGACTCAAGAGGCAGAATATTTAGAGATTAGGCAGGGAATCGACTCGGCGAGATGCTCAAAACTGTAAAATTGCGCTATGTTTAATTGAACAGAATTTCTTGCTAATTAGTCACTGATTTTTCTTGCCTCTTCACCGGTAATTTCTAGCGGGAAAATCCTTCGCAATAGGTGTATGTTTTGCTAACAGAATTTTATTGAACAATTCTTTCGATTCCTCCTGTCATGTCTGTCATAATTCCAATATGGCGGCGTTTCTAGTGGCGTCACAGGCTAAAACTGTGTAGCGCCTGATAAAGATGGTCATATTGCATTATTTGGCGCAAAGATGATTAAAATATGTTGATAAACCATCAGAAATCCATCTCAACTAATCAACTTGCAATAAATCCTTGAAATTGTAACAATATATAATTCCCATCCTCAGCGTAACTCCTTCAGTATTTCATAACTTCGGGAAGAAAACGAACAGCACTTGAGCCGCTCAGACACACACACATGAGTAAAGTGTGTGATCAAACAAAGAACTTAAGCTCGAACCTGCCTTTTTTCTGCCTTCAGCACAGGTTCTCGGGAGTCTCGCAAGAAAAGGTAGGAAATCAACCCCTGTTTCTCTCTCTCGCGCACCTCATCTCGCCTCCGGACGCACACAATGGAGCCGAGATGGTGTTGGTGGTGACTTCTTGGGCCGCAGCGCTCACCTTTCCGCTCGCTGGTGTGGATGAGGGCCGCTCAAAGAGCCCGAGACTCGCGTTCAAGGCGGACGACGTGCGCCATATTAAGTGGCGGGATTGTTTTGCCACAGTGTTTTCGCCAAAATATCACACCTTTCTGCCAATGAGACAACAACTTTAGTGCTCTGCAGTAGGACAAAAATCCCATCGACAGGTGAGTTTGTTGACCATCAATTCGACAGACAATAGCCGCATTGCGTCCGCGAATTCCAGTGCACAGTTCCCCCTAGTGAAAGTGCGTGTTGTGGCCCATAAAAAGGATCACAATTGAAGGCATTGCACTGCCTTTTGGTGCTCCAATTGATTGCTTTCTTCAATTGTTTCACACGTAAACCGTCCAATTTGAACATGTGCCTTTTTGTTTTGAGCATCATGAAAACTCACACAAGTTCGCGCGTGCGAATGAAAGAGATAAATTGCACAATTAGACTCTCTTCTGGCCAATTTACCTGGGCCTTTTCAATTGCCATGTCGCTCTCCAGGTGCGTGTATGTGTTCCTCGCCATTCGTGTCCACCCGCGAAGTGCGGCAACATTGCCACAATTCTCGCTACTATATGCTCTCTCTGTCCCCTTCGCACCGTGAATGAGAGCGAACACTGTACCTGATGTGTTTCTTCTTCTACCTGTTCTTAACAAAATAGTTTCTTTGCTCTCCATGCACTTCTTCTCCCTGTCTTTCTAGGTAGAAATCCGTCTTTTTACCTCTGACAACTATTCTCTCTCTTTCGTCCCGTTTTTTTTACGACCGAAGGTGCAAAAATAAAGTTTGAAGTTGTAAAGAAGACACTTTTGAATAGGTGTGTGTAGAAAAAAAACAACCTTTCCCCCTTTTTGCACGTTTCACGAGATAGAGATCTTCAGAACCTTTTGAACCCACAATTTCTGGGTTAGTGAAATAAACATGGCTTTCAAAGGGGTTTCCATGCTTAGGTAAATCTTTCAAAATATCATATTCAGCGGTGCCGATGAAGATTGTTACATTCAGAGGAAGATCTTCTGCACAGTATTGTGGCGTGAAAAGCAAGGCAAAAAGTAGCCAATAAATTGTTTTTATTTTTTTGGGAACTTTTGCCAAATTTGTAATCTTTGTGATCCAATATTTTAAACGTCTCAACATGGATTGATACATGAAATTAGAAGAAAATAAGAAAAATGATTAGAAATAAAACGTTTTGATCTTAAATTTCATTTCAATATTTCAATCATCTGGGGAAACTCTTCAAAAGCTCTTGCGTTGTCGAGTTTCCAAGAAAAGCGTTTTCCCGTTTCTATGAATCTCCGGAATAATCTCAAGAGTGCAGAAACATCTCAGGCAACTTTCCCAATGTAAGCCATTCCAATGCTACAATGCGAAAACACTGATAAAGCGTTGCCTGCTAATTTGGTTCCCTCTCAATAAATCATAGATAAAAGTTATCTGTGTGCAGGCAAAGAAATATTCCACAGCGTTTATCCGCACCGGAATTCATCCCCTGAAAAGCAGAAAGTGCGGCTGTTAAGGATGTCCATGGTAAATGCCTCTCTGTCTAACGATTCCTTGCAGGAGCGCGAGATGAGTGCGCATGCGGCCCGAAGCAGGCTCGTCATTGATTAAATTACTTATACCATCGCGTTTGCCAGCGAGGGAGGAAGCCTTCGTGCCTCTACGGCATTTTTCCGCGAACCACCCCAAAATGAGCACATTCGAGTCGAGAGGGTGGCACAAGTGCAAGTGAACAGTCTGTGTTTGTAGTGAAATATACCATTTTCTTCGCGCGAAGAAGAGCAAATTGGCCCAAGAAATATAGTGCAAAGAATGTCGCGAGAGTCGCAGAGTGTGATCACAAGTCATTGCGGTGCAATTGTGACGAGAGAGTGGTGAAAATGTGTGAATAATGCACCCGCTGACGGGCAGAATGACAGCGTCTTCGGAATCCTGCAACGGCGACTTCCCCAAAATGGAGGAGGCTCCCACAAAGGACAGCCTCAACATTCGTGAGGACACGCAGCGCCAGGAAAATCACTCGAGAAGGTCAGCTTTTCCTCCATTTCTCACCTCAAATCCACTGATTTTGAGCCCGAAATCACTTTTTTCTTCGCTTCACCCACGCAAAAACTTCCCTCCTGAAACCCCCATTTTCTCATCTCACCCGATGTTATCTGTGAAAGTGCAGGAATTGCAAGCATTTGCGAAGAGTAAACAGTGGAAAATATGAGAAGTTTCAGGTAGATTTCTGCCCAATGTTATGCTTTGGCACGACAAAAGGTTTCCCGTGTTGTAAAATATGACCCACAATATTTCTCTCAATTGGTCAGGAAGTGCGCTCAGCGACAATTAGACTAGAGAAATGTTATCTTTGTTTTCCCCGTAAGATAATTTCGGTTGCAGGAAAGAATCCGCATCAGAAAATACTTGTGTCAGAGTCTGACTGGGATTCTCATGAATCCTTAAAAGCATGAATTTATCAAATGCAGCGTGAGTTCAGTTAACAGATGCTTGGAAAAGCTTTAACAAGCGATTCTCTCATGTTCATTATCTGCTTTAAACATTGAGAGAGAAAAACTGAAATTAATTTATGAGGAAAACAACTTGAAACACAATTTAAACTTTGATTACAGATTCCCAGAAATGATAAAGATCTAATTAGGAATGTTTTGAATTAATAACCGTCTTTCTCGGAAAGATTCGAATTAAGTCAAAAATGCTCAAACTTTGTTTGAATTCTCATTTAATCACCTAAAATAAGTGTGATCTTGTGACCTGAGAAATTGCGATGTTTCTCAAGTCTTTGAAAGATTGACAATGTATTCAGATGTGCGGCAAATCTTATTCAATAACTAACAAGTGAATCGACCTACTGAAATTTAAGTTCGCTCGGTCTATTTAACTCTGAAAACAATTAAGTAATGTCACGTCCAGCGGCACAATTGTGAGGTATTTGCAAGACCCTTATCGCATTATTGCATCTCAGGTTATGCGATTATGTTTGCGAGACAAATTAAGGAGTTTCTCCGTGCCAATCTCAGTGCCTCGAGTCGTCGCCAAGTTGTATATTGGAGGTAAAGTGATTTCTGATTGCCCAAAAATTCTTTCAATTGAAGCCATTATTGTGGAATTATATGAAGAGAATGTTGTGCTATTGATAGAATTCGCGTGGAAATTCCCATGAAATATTGTTGAAGCTTCGCAAATGAGCGATAAATCTCATATTACTTTTTTTTATCTGGAAGCAATTGCAAGTTACGCAATCACGCGCGCCACACTGGAGATCATACGATTTGGCGTTGATCTGGCTCTGATGTGTCCAGGTTGTTGTGCAGGAATTTGGGCACAAGAGATCGAGAGAGATGTTTTGGCATTCTGATGGCTTTGATCATTCCCCCGAATGGAGGTGAAAAACCACACAAGATTGCCGTCGTTCTTCGCCGAAAACACATATTTTCCGCAATCGCTCGTGGAGCCCCCATATCTTGATCCCCCCACTCGCGTCTCGCATGCTTGCGTCCTCTTCTGACCGTGCTTCTGGCCCGCTCACTCGCACGGCAGGCAGTGTTGGAAGTAACTGGAAATTCCGACACACTCTCAGTCCACTTGTGTCCTCCAAAGCGCCAATGCATATGGCTCCGAAAGCTCGCCACTTTTCGTGTGTGCAAACCAGACTTTTCCCCCGTTTTCTTCTGGTGATCCTTCGTGATTTGAGTGCCCTAAAGTGCGCCTCGCGACACGGACTTTGAGCCTCAGTGGAGATTTGAGAGGAGGCAAGAAGAGCGCGGAGTTCAAAAATGGTTTTCTTCATCAACATCGTGAGTCGAGGTGAACCGCCTGATAAGGATAAAGTGAAAATGGATGCAGACGTGCAGAAAAGGTATGGCGGAAAAGCACCTTGAGGTCGTTAAGAAAGTGTTATATCGGCGGTGAGAAAAAGAGGCAGAAAATGAGTGGCAAAATGTGGGCGATCCGCCATTCTGTGTGTGACATACAAAAAGCTTCAGGGGCTCCGCAATGGATCGCCTTTTTCCCAATTCGCGTGGCCAAAATTCACCTCAAGATCGCCTAAAATCTCAATTAGAACACGGAAAAGCGCCTAAAATTCGCCAGATTTCACTGAATTGCATCATTTTCTAAGCAAAAGTCTTCGCGACGCGATAATGGAAAGCTCTTAAGAGCTTCGCCAAAGGCCAAATTGAACTTTGAAGCTCAATCGGGAGACAAAAACGATGTGAGAGAAAAAGACTTTAATTCTGGATGTGGATTTTCCATTTTGCACCTCTTCCAGTCCAATCATTGGGCGGAAGAGAGACGAACAGACTTTTCCATGGCTCGACAACAGGGTTCATCGGAAAACAATGACCTCTTCAAACGATCTTTCTTTGTGTGTGCACTTAAAATTCAATCTACGTCGTGAATTTTCTCTCTCAGTCACACAGATAATTCTCCTTTCGTCGCCATTTAATTTAGAACCCGGAAATGCACGTAATTTAGTCGGGAATTTTCAGGATCATTTTTGCGATCTTGTTTTCGATCGAAAGAGATCAAAGAAACTGTGCATTTTTAACTGTTATTTTCGTTCTAAATCAAAACGTCTGATGCTGGCAATTTCCATCGCTAATTAGAATGTGGAGAAAAGCGGCTTAATAGAATAATCGTGAATTTATTATAAAATCATACAATGAAATTAATTGACCTATTTGTTCAATAGACTTTCAATTTTTTCTCCTTCGCGTATTTCTTCTCACACCCAAAGTCTCAATACCACGCAGAAAGAAAAAGAAAAATATATCGAAACACCTTGCATTTATATCATTCACACGCTTTACATAAAGTATATGGCAGTATTTTTTTCATAAATATACTCTACGGAGAAGTATTACGTGGTGTGACGTCAATGCAACGCTTGGAATAGAGTCAGGTGATGCGTGAAGTTTTATTTTCTCAATTATTGTTACACTGGCCATGTTTTATTTTACTGTTTTGCCATGTGAGCTTTTACAAATCTGCACTGGAGGGCGATATGCTTCATGCTTTGGGATTTCCAAACCAAAATACGGGGTTTATTTAGCATGTAAGACAAAGAATTTAAAGCCATACTAGCTCTGATTTAGTAGATATTTTTAGTATATATTTTAGTCTTGATTTTGACACCACGCCCACCATAATGCCCCGCCCACTATCATACTCCCGTTGTTCGAGTCTGATATTTTACGCCACAAAGTCTTGTGGAATTTGTACAATATTCTGAACAAATAATCTCATTATTTATTACTCGTAATCTCAATCAGTTTTTCATGAATTCATGCGAGAGACAAGCGAGCACAATGGGAATTTTTTAGCTCTCTCTAAGTGATTTGATAAGGCGACCTAAACGGTACATTTCTTCCCTCCTGATATCTTCCTAACTGTTTACGAGGCACGGAATACAAGTTGAAGGGAAAAGTGAGGCAACACTGAATGATTTTGAGCTGTGCGACGGAGACAGGGCGAAAAACGTGGAGATAATTTGTCCTCGAGTGAGTGGCAATCAATATGGCTCAAAGTAGTAAGCATTGTACCAGGAAAAACCAATTTTCTCGCATTTCACAAGATTTATAGATTCTGTTCGTCGAATTCAGGACATTCTAATAAGAATGTTATCTTAGATTTTATCGATTTTATTGCATGGCTTAAAAAGTGTAATTTAACCACAGGCAAGCTAAGATAAAGAAATGTTATTTAAAGATGGAAGCAATTATTTCTAACCAGTCTACGGTGCATTGTGTTAAAATGATTGTTTTTCAAGTGATCTTGTGGACGAGTGTTCTTCTTTCTGCCTTCCTGAAGTCCTTAAGATGTACTTGAAGCACTTCTGGCTGTCCAAGAAGGTTTCTTACATCGCCAGACCGCCGCTGATTGGCGTGATCAAGGGTGTTTTGCTGACCAGAAAGACTTTCACTCAATTGTTCTAAGATCTGTACAATCATCCAGAGACAAAGGATAAGGCAATGATTGTATTTTACCTCCTTCACAAGACTTGTCTTCTGATCCGCCATCCGAAGGCTATTAAGAGGATTCTGGTAATGGATTTCTCTCATTTCACGGACAGAAATATATTATTTAACCGAAGATCGATTAAAATTTGATGCTAGGCTTCGATCTGAGGCTGCCCAGGATGAACACAGACAGAGATTTACATTTCAAATCTAAACTCACTGTCTTGTTCACTGCACTAGACCTTTGGAATTGAGCATTTGCGAGAAACGGGGGAAAATGCTGTATTTATTGTGGTAGAACTCTCTGGAAATTTGGCGCAGAATACAAGTTGAAGGGAAAAAGTGAGGCAACACTGAATGATTTTGAGCTGTGCGTAGAGATAATTTGCCCTCGAGTGAGTGTCAATCAATATGGCTCAAAGTATGTATATATTGTGAATGTATTTGAATATAATTTTTGTGTTACTTCTCTGGGCGATAACACATGAAATTCCATCTCGCGCCATTGAGGCGAAAATGTGCGCGATTCCGGGACAAATGCGACACCTAAAAACGCTAAAATACATACTTGTTCACTGTATTTTCAAGCTATTATGTTTGTTATCTCTTCGCTCTCTCTCTATAAATATATTTTTTCTCTCGCGCCTTATCTCTTATCACGGAGGTACGTTTAGTGTGTGCTAAATTCCCCTTCATCGCTCTTCGACGATTTGCTCCTCTATCGCGACGCTGGCTCGCTATCAAGTGGCTTTTCGGTGGAATTGCATCGAAACTATGGGCGCGAAGTGTTTATTTTCAACGTGCTGAGTATACACACGGGGAAAATGATTGACCTCGTGTGTTTGTCTCTGAAATCAATGGAGGGGAAATTTTTATCTCAAGGTTTCCTCACTATTTGCTCTTTTTTTCCATATTACTTTTTAATTTTGTTCGCAGCAAGAAGTTTCTCTTGACCCTTCACTTGCCATTACGCTTAATGTGCTTAACGATTCCCAGTGGAAAATGCAGAGAGACAGTGAGTGGGTGGAAAGTGTAGTTTTTCCCATTGAGAAGTGGCCATTTTTCACCATTTCTCAGACTGGATGAATTAATACAGTATCGATTTCGCATTATGGGGGAGTTTTATTGAGGAGCATTCGGAGTGCTAACGCACTTTGTGTTCTTGTTACAACAGACACAAGACCAAATAGCAGTGAATAATGCGCTCACGGGACCGCTGTGTCTGTCTTCCCTCGAATCTCCTCCTTATCACAAGTTTCTGGGCATTGTTTTGACAATTGTGTCTATTTCGGGCGACCGTGCTCATTCACACGCTGCCTCTGCTTGCAGGATGATGTGCATCCAGGAGGAGCTGGGCCAGATGGGCATCACGGACCAGAACGACCTGCCCTACAAGCCGGGCCTGGAGCACGACACGACTGTGGGCGGCTGTGGCGGCATGGGCGGCAGCAGGAGTCCCTGGATGCCGGGCGGGAGCGGCTTCGGCGGGAAGCCCATCGGCTGGATGGACGGCTTCCTGGGCTGCATGCGGCCGGTGCTGTCGCTCATCGGTAAGGCCACGGTGGACATGAAGGGCAAGCAGACGGAGGAGTGGGAAATCCCCTTCGAGGACATCAGCGACCTGGAGTTCCTGGGCTCCGGCGCCCAAGGATCCGTGTTCAGCGGCAAGTGGCGAAACGAGATTGTCGCCGTGAAGAAGGTGCACGACATCCTCGATACGGACATCAAGCATTTGAGAAAGCTCGACCATGAGAACATCATCAAATTCAAGTGAGTAGAACATTAAACTGCGCCGGGGAATTTGCACATTGGATTTATGTATGGTTTGGGACATTTGAGACAGGATTTGAGTTGATAATTAATTAATAATTGTTGGCTTTTTATAGAATTTAAAATCATTATATTTTGCATTGAAGAATAAGCAAAATTCTGAATGAATGTCCAGAGAACTATTTTTTTTTGTGTTTTAACGCTTTTACAGCACGCTAGAAAATTAAAAGATACTCTATTGTAGCAGCAAATTAATTTGATTGCCAACAATGTAGCGTGATAACACCTTAAGGTTTCGGTTTCTCTGGAATCTCTCCAGAAACAAGCGCAGTAAATTTACTCGAAATGCTCATTAGTGTGCGAATTCTCCAAGCGCCGAGTGTACTTTCGCTCGACACAGTCGTAACGACGTCTCTACGCTCTTTTTTCAGGGGAGTTTGCACGTCGGCGCCAGCGTACTGTATTATAATGGAGTTTTGCCCGTACGGAACGCTGCAGAACATACTGAAGGACGAGGAAGTCGTCCCGCCGGCCAGACTCGTTTCGTGGGCCAAGCAAATCGCGCTCGGCATGCAATATCTGCACTCGCACAAAATAATCCACAGAGACCTGAAGAGTCCCAAGTAAGTACTTTCCCCCACTCGATATGCAAATCTCTCCCTCCTGACGTCACGGATTGTTGAGCGACTACTTAACTGCGACGTCAGCGAGTTACGAGCTGAGTGGGTGGCGGGGAAAATCGATACGCCAGATAATATAAGAGGGAAAGAGTTGTTGTCTCATATATTGGGGCTTCTTGTGCGCTTCGCACTATTTTTGGACGGAGCTCTTTTTTTCCTATGAGGAATGAGGAAACTTATGTAATTCTCACCTACGCTGCGACCATTTCAAGAGAACGACCTTACATGAAACGTGACAGAGAGCTAAATAGAGAATTCTCCTCTCGGTTTTGGGGCGCTTAAAGCACGTCCAATTGAAGCAAATGGGTCAAAATCAGTGAGGAATGCAATTTGCAGAAATACTTTCGGTTATTACTTGCTAATGGTTGAGAGTTAAGTGCTTTTGCTCTGGCTCTGTCGATAAGATCTCTGGCATTTGAAGAGGGACATTTGTGCCCGAAGGGAGATGAAATTCTCAAAAATCCCCTCTTTTATGCATGAACTTTCAGCATTCTCATTGGTGACAACGAAGTGGTGAAGATCAGCGACTTCGGCACGTGTCGAGAGTGGAATGAGATCAGTACAAAGATGAGCTTCGCCGGAACGGTGGCCTGGATGGCGCCGGAGGTGATCAAGAGCGAGCCGTGCTCAGAGAAAGTGGACATCTGGTCGTACGGAATCGTGCTGTGGGAGCTGCTGACCTGCGAGATTCCCTACAAGGATGTGGACTCGTCGGCCATCATCTGGGGCGTCGGCAGCAACCAGCTGCACCTGCCCATTCCCGAGACCTGTCCGGAGGGCTTCGGCCTGCTGCTGAAGCAGTGCTGGTGCCTGAAGCCGCGCAATCGGCCCTCCTTCCGCATCATCCTCACACACCTCGAGATCGCCGGCAATGAACTGATGAAGCAGAGCGACGAGGAGTACTTCAAGTCGCAACAGAAGTGGCGCCAGGAGATCCAGACGCACATGATTGCCAACAGTGCGAACGCGCAGAAGTTCGAGCAGGACCTGATTAAGAAGCGTGAGGAGGAGCTGCGGCACATCCAGGCCATCCGGATGGTGTACGAGCGGCGGCTGGACAAGACCAACAGGATGTTCCAGGAGGTCAACATGATCATGCATAATCTGGCACATCGCGAGCGCCAACTGCACGAGCGCGAGAAGACGCTGAGTGGGTGCAAGAAGAAGGTCGGGAATCCACTAAGGAAGGTGCACGATAAGTTCTCGCGCAAGAAGTTCATGAGTCTTTGTCCCACGGATGCGCCCTATGATCACACGGTAAGTTGAACAAGGATTGAATTGAAGAGACAATTTTTAAAGAGGATTTTTGGCACTTCTTTTCCATGATTTAGTTTTTCGCAATTCAAATCGTAAAGAAAAATTCCCATTTCAACATTAATGTGAGCAAACGAGTGTTTATCCCATGTTTTATTCTCTTAATTTATGGTCCGCCAATTGTGCCACGCGCTCGTGAAGTTTCTTGATTGTTCTTATCAACAATGATAATGCATTTTCAAGAAATTTCTTCTCAGCTTATCTCCCCAACAATAATAAATTGAATTGTGCTCCATTATAATGTCTCGAAAAGACACCGACAGTTGGGAAATGATCAATCATGAAGTGATCCCTTGGCTAATTTTGGGTTTTATCTCCACTTTCTCGCCGCTGCAGAGTCCGGTGCGGGCGAATCTGTACACGCAGCTGGATGGCGCGAACCAGCCAAAGTCCGTGGCTGTGATGCCCAACAAGTCGCACAAGAAGATGCGCCACCGCCGCGTGGGATCCGGCACGATTGCGTCGCCCAAGTCCAGTCCCAACCGCGACCGGCGGTACCAGAGCGAGCCGGACACACGGTTCGTGCGCCTGGTGGACACGGAGACGCAGACAGACGCGATGGACATCAGCGAGACGGATGGCAGCCCCAGTCCCTTCTTGTCTATGCGCGAGGAGCTGCAGCGGCCGCGGCATGTGGCCGCCGTGGCTCCGCTGCAGGCGGCCAAGGGCGAGCTCACCAGTCCCAATGGGAACTCCATGAGCACAAGTGATATCACGTACCAGGACGCGTGCTCGAGTCCCGATCTCCTGGACGACGCGATGAACAGCAACGAGCGCCTGGAGATCCGCGAGTGCAGCGACGACGACCACCTGGAGATGCTGGGCAGGAAGGTGACGCAGCTGATCACGGGCGAGAACGGCAACCTGAATGCGTTCATCGAGAAGCGGGGCTTCATCAGCGTGTCCTCGGACAGCGGCGAGGTGACGGTGTTCAGGCCGAAGGCGGCCGGCGCCAAGGATCTCAACAACGGCGACTCACGCGACGAACGCAGCAACGACAGCTGGACTGATGAGGAGGGCGAGGAGCCGTCCGACTACAATTATTCACTGCGCAGGAAGAGGTGAGTCCAACGCAACGCCCTTCTCACCCACATTCGCGGCGCCAGGGTTGAAAAGGGGGGGCGCGCGCGGAGGGGTCGACGGCCCATCGCGGAAATTCCCAGTTTCATCGACCTCTTCGTCAATATGTTTACTCTTCACGTTCGATATTTGGCACTACTTTCTTTGCACATCTCGTGAGTTTTTTACGGTATTCTTTGGATGGGAAAGTTGACCCATATCTTGATATAATTCTATAGGCTCTATCATAAGATTGCACAGATGTTTAAGGCCTTGTTTGTTTGCATACAGTGAAAGAAAAGTTGAACTAAAATTAGGGCGCTTGTGATAAATAATAGTTTGTGGACAAATTAATTAGGGAGACAGAAAATGCGAATTAATTCCGAGCATTTCCTTATTAATTGCTGCAAAATAAAAGTCTGACAAAGTTTTCATTTCGTCCATTAATTTTTTCTTAGCATACAAAAGTCTAGTTGAATAGATAAAGATCACACGAAACAGAGATAACTCACGTAACGAAGGGTGATGAAACGAGAACCTTTGGCGTCAGCTGAACAATAACAGTTCAATTTACAAAAACACACGCGCAACAAAAAGCGTCAGTGGATTTTTATTTATTTAAACATTGCGGCTATAAATACGTTCTTCCCTTATCAAATTGGCACTACATAGTAATCAAGTGTAGATAATCAAAGTGTGGGAGTTCAAGGGCGCCCGCTCGACCTTGACTGCGAGAGTTCAATAGCTATATTCTGATGTGTGAAGACTTCAATTTGCAATGTACCTTCATTTTAATTTGGAATGCAAAGCACAAGAGCCTGAAGAACGACGGGGATTTTTTCCGGCGAATCACGTGTTCGGGAATGACGTCGACCTCTTAGTCACAGCGCCGCGTTTTGCTTCGCCGGTGGGAATTATTTGTCCGATTGTGGGTGATAATGTGGCTCGATGTGCACAGGAAGGAGTCACTTTCATTCAAGAGAGCCGAATTTGCCCAAATAACTCCCCCACTCAGGGCACAATCGATGTGCTTTCCAATATCTCTTATCAAAGTGATTCATTCCCGTGGCATTTGATGGGTTCCCATTGTATTTTTAATTGATGAAAATTATATTGTCGCTGTGCTATATATAGATAGGGGAGAGTGGGGTGATTTGTGGAGTTAACAACAAAGTGATGTAGATGATTTTGGCGCTAAAATTGATGTAAAAAGTGTTTTTACGTCCTTTTTTCTATTCAAAATTGCCTCATTTCATGAGCAAAAGAGTTCTTTTTCACCTGTTTGTTTCGTATTGATTTGCATTTGTAGGGAAAATATGTGTTCCATTTGGATAAATAATCTGTATGAGATAACCAAAGACTGAACATGAAAGAGAGACCTAAAAAGTCTGTTATCACAGAAGTTATCACATCTAGAATCGTCCATGAATGTGCCAGAAAAAGGAACCAAATGCCATGTTTTTATAAAATCTTTGAACTCACAGAATATGAATGAGAAAGTGAAGAGATTTCTGCAGTGCAGACAGAAGACTGCAAATGTAAACTGAGTGTTCGAAATTGCCCCGCTCTTCTCTGTGTTTGTGAACTATTTTATGAGGAAATGATTTAAATTTGAGAGCCAATTTAACTGCGATGATTTTCCCTCTTTCCGGCAGTGTGGCGCGTCTGCCGATAAGAATCGGGCTGAGATCTCGTCGCTACAAGTATCCCACGCTGAGTCCCACCGCCGCGGTGACGGTGAACCCCATCAGCGTCCCCACCGCCATCTCGGACGAGGGAAACACCTCCGAGTGCACGCCGCCGCCGTCGAGTCAGCACTCGACGCTGGACAGCAACGCTGAGGCGCCCAAGGCGGCGCCCCGGGGTGTCAAGCGCGAGCTCAAGGCGCGCAGCAGAAGCAGCAGCAGCAGCTCCTGCTCCTCCGACAGCGAATCCGACGCCGACGAGGCCGAGCGCGTGGTGAGGATCGCGCAGGCGACGCAAGTGTAGAGCGCTTCGCATGCTTCAGCAAAATCTTGTGTGTTCAGGCAACTCGCGAATGACTGATGAAAATCTCTCCCCTTATGGAAATATATAGCTAAACGGGTTTAGCTTCAATCTCCTCCACTAAAACTTTACAATATTGTCCTAACGCGAATGCTGTGCAATTTGACACTCTTTTCCCCTCCCCTTCTTTTGCACTCTTCATCCCGTGAGAAGGAATGACTTCTCTTCCCAAAAAAAATGTAAATTAATTTATAAATGTGCCCTTCTCCAGAACTCTGTCCCTTCTTCGTATCCCTCCAAGAAAAAGAAAAAAAGTGTATAGAACGAGTTTAGAAGAGAGTAACATAAGCGTAAATTTAAGATTACTAGAGTAAATATTATTCCTAACATAACAATTATAAAAATTCTCCAAAATGAAAAGAGATTCGTGTAAAGAAATTAAATTCCTAGTTTTTTTTCTCCTTTTTCTAAGAGAGGATAATCTTCTAATCTGTGCTTTCAGGAAACATTTAAGGATAACAAAAAAAAGTACCAGTGCCATGCAAAAATAAAGAAAATATAGATAAAATATGTTGAGGAAAAAAAAGAGAGAAAGATTTTGGGAAGAAATATGGTTTAGTGTAAATTATTTGGCCTATAAAAAATATTTAATTAAATTCGACACAGTAACAAATTGCAGAGAAACAAAAAAAAAGTATTCAGACAACAAAATAGTGAAGAAGAACTTTTGAAAAAAAACGGAACGTGCCTATAAAATATTTCAATTGACAAAAGAGACATAGCAAGATTTGTAACAATGGTAGAAAGAATGCCTCCTCTCTGTTGTACCTGTGTTAAAATAGATTTTTTCAGAAGGCAAGCATTAAGACAAGACGAGAGAAGAGAGTAAGAATAGGAAAAAAACACACACATAGAAATTACTAAAATATAAGACATAAAATGCAAATGTCCAATGAAATTATACATTTTTGTCGTCACTAACTCAATATTTAGTTGATAAGTAAAAGTGAGAAGAAGAAAAAAACAAACTACCTATAGTACTTAGATGTAATTTTAAGTAAAACCATGAAACTCTATTTAAGACGTAGCAAAAGAAAAGAGAGAGAGAGATGATTAAAGTGAGATACATAATAAATTTATGAGATTCTAATAATCTTGCAGTATTCTTTCAGGGCGCGAAGTGAGGGGAAAATGTCTGATGTTATTGCGTGGTTGTATTTTCTTTCCTTGAAAAGCAGACAATTGTGAGGGAAAACAATGTAAAATGATATTATTCTGCTATTTTTCACTGCTAAATTCTAAGAAGGTTTCAGGAATATGAGCAACAAAACCCGGTTGAGTGTGCAATTCGCAAATTTCATATACAAATTTATCCAGAAAATTAGACTGTCTTAACTAATCTTGTTCTAATAAAACAACTACTAATCACTAGACTACCAAAAAAGAAAAAAATACTTGAGAAAATACCTCTAATTCGGAGTGTTGCAAATTCAATATCTTTGCTTATTGCTGCGAATACGAGCAATAATGCGTGATTTTGGGCGACTCAAGAGAGCAAAATTGCTCGTTAAAATCGACATAATTGAATCTGACTGACTTTTCCACGCGTGTCTCCAAATTTTACACTTCAGTGCATATTTACTACTCAGAATATCATCTTTACAACTGGTTTTATGCCTCTCACGAGATCTGCCCTGAAGCCCCAGAAGTACGGATAAATGACACACAGAGTGAACAAAGCGAATTTGTATGAAAAGAAGCTCATTTTGTATTACAAAAGTCGATTGCAATTTTTACCTTTTGCATACTTTATTTGACTCACTTTCCAATTTTTTTTTCAGCAAAAGCAGAGTAATTGAGAGCTAATTATCATCTTTCACGATATGATTTATAGAAAGCTATTCTGAAAGTAACACAAATGTGATTTTCTGAATTTTCAATCTCAATTTGATTGCCATTATGATAATTTGGTTCCAAACTTATGGATTAATCTATGTAGAAGATAGAGAAGAAATCAGATAGAGAAAATAGTCTTCAGGGTTTTTTTTTAGGAGAACATTTGAGTAAACTTTAATAAATTATTGATTGCTCACAACATTCTCTATCTACAGTCGATTCTGGGATATGAAAAAAACAGCTTTAAAGGTGTGGGAAAACTATTCAATGGTGTTATTTTTCTCCCTCAAATTCTATTGTCTTGATTTTTAACACCATTCCAAACGATTCGCAGCAAAATCTGTAATTAGACTTATGCAAAATTCCAACACAAGGTTTCTATTGCCGTATTGAGAGCAACCTTTGCAAGTGTTGAATTTGGACAACACACAATTTACGAGGAAAAGTCAGGCAGGACATAAAGGAAAAGCAGCAGCAAATCGAAAGCGAGTATTGATTCAGCCGGGTTGCCTCATTTCTCCTCCTCAATTCAATCTAGGGCTCAATTTCAGTTGTGCTGAAAGAGTGTTTGAAAAGATCATTTTTTCAATTTATTCTTCCAACTTTATTTTCCATAGTTTCTAAATACATAAATTATTGGCTAGATATATTTTTCCACGTTGTGAAATAGAAAATAGACATGAAAGTGAATTGCATACAAGTAAAATGTAATTTTTAAAATAACACAATAAAAATTCTTGATGAAGAATTGCGGAAAAGAGATGAGAAAACGAAAACATTCTGCATTTTTTTTGTGTATGGCGAATGTCGGAGACAAAAATAATATTTACAACAAATCGTTCCAATGGATCCATGAAGAAATGTGTTTTATTTGCCAATTACTTTAGTTCCATACACGCAAAAATGAGTCCCACGAGCCCGTGGCCACGGCCATGCCGTTCTCAGTGACGCCCAGGCACGACACGCGGTTGTCGTGCCCGGCCAGGATGCCCGACCGCTCGGCCTTCATCGTGTCCCACACGTTGCAGTTGAAGTCATCGTAGCCGGCCAGCAGAAGGCGGCCGCTCCGGGAGAACGCCACGGACGTGATGCCGCAGATGATGTTGTCGTGGCTGTACATGGCCAGCTCCTGGTCGGCGCGGATGTCAAACAGCCGGCACGTGGCGTCGTCGGAGCCCGTGGCGAAGGCGTAGCCGTTGGGGAAGAACGTCACGGCGTTGATGTCGCTCTCGTGGCCCGGGAACGTCTGCTTGCACTGCCCGTCGCGGATGTCCCAGAGCTTGGCGCTGGCGTCGCACGCGCCGGACACGAAGGCGCGCCCGTGCGGGCTGAGGCTCAGCGCCATCACGTCGCCCGTGTGCCCCAGGAAGGACGCCACCTGCTGTCCCGTCTCCATGTCCCACAGGCCGCACGACATGTCCCCGGAGCTCGTGACGATCTGGTTGTCGTCCAGGAAGCGGCAGCACGACAAGTAGCCCGTGTGGCCGGGCAGCTCGCGGGACACGCGCACATTGCCCTCGCGGTTCTTCAGGCTGTAGATGCTGCAGATGTTGTCCAGCCCGCCGCAGGCCACGAAGCTGCCGCTCGGCGCGTACGCACAGGTCATGACCCAAGAGCTACGGAGCGGAATGGCGTGCACCTTGTTCGCCGTGTGGCTGTCCCACACAATCAGCTTACCGTCCTGCGACGCGCTCACGAGATTCCTGGAGTCGCTGCCCCAGTGCATGGCGTAGATCTTGGCCAGGTGGCCCCGCAGGGTGCGCCTGGTGCGCATCTGGATGCGGCCGATGGGCTCCAGATTGTTGGTGGCCTGCACAAGGCTCGTATCGCAGGCCGCCTTCCTAGCGTCCCTGATGGCATTCTTCAGCGTCTCCGCCTCCTGCCTCAGGCTATCCAGCTCGTTCATCTTCCTCTCCTCGGCTTTCACACACTATAAATCGCTTCACCTCAGTCTCTTCCAAAATCTTGCGAAAACACGATCGATTTTGACACCGCCGCCCTTTTTCACTCGACCCCACTGCGCAGCTTCCGCACTCTACGCGGAAGAGCTCACGTCCGCGGGACGCTTGCACGACACGTCCGCCGCGAGGAGACGTTCGTTGCATTTTGCCGAAACCTCCGTCTCACTTTGAATCACTTTCAGCATGCACTCTTTCGAGTTTTCAAGGTTTTTGAGGCAGAACAGAGCTAGAAAGATACTTTTTTCCTAGGAGAATCAAAGGAAATCATGTTTAATGTAAAATATTGGTACAATGTTCTTGGTTTGCATGGAAGAACGACACTTTTTGTGATTCCGAATCTCACAGAAATTTTTAATATTTGTAAAAGATAGAAAAGATACAAATTTTCATCAAGTTATAGTAATGAATATAGAACTTTTAATATTAATTGAAAGATTAGGATATTTATAGTGTATTTTTATGCGCAATTCTCTTGAATAATTGGTTAAAAAATTAAGCAATGCACAAAAGACTCCGAAATGACAAAAAATGCTGTAATTAGATAAGAAAACAAAAGTTATCTTCCTATCTTAATTTCAGATAATCAATCGATTAGGAATCTCTGCAGAATTTCCACGCTACTGTCCAGCGAAATCTTCACTGAGATGCGCGACGGGGATGCAAATGGATGCGCACTGGTTATCTATATTGGGGTGTCGCATGACTCTCCTCATCCCTCATCCCGCTCTTCCGTGAAAAATTTTATTGCCCTCAATTCATGCATTCTGAGATACAGCAAAGCCTCTCAAATCACCTCCAATATCATGATTACTCCTGAAAGTGGATGCCCAAATATGGGAGGAGTTGGAAAAATTAATTTTTTATGACACTTTTATGATTCGCGAAATTTGTGTCTTGGCTAAGTGCGAAAAAGGGCTCTCGCGCCTCTGGCGGAAACGGGAGGAAACTCAGTTTCCACGTCTCCATCGAGCATGACATTTTGGACTTCCTCATAGATTTTCTGTTCCACCGTCATTCCAGGAAGTTCCCATGCGAGTGGACTAGGGATCCTCTGAGGCTTTGCGAGAGCGTCCGAGAATGTGCTTCTTATAACATTAGTGGTGAAAGTGTGTGCAGAACTGCATTTTAGCTTGATTCCTTAGTCAATACCAGTGCGAAAGGCGTGAAAGTGGACGATGGCGAGTCCGCGGACAAGAAGGGTGCTCCAGGACCTCCGGCCGAACGATGGGAACACGGTGAGAAGGCTCTCTCCAGCGCCTGTGGCCGGAGATTGATGTTTCCCTCCTGCTTGCAGAAGTGCTTCGAGTGCGGCACGCACAATCCTCAATGGGTGTCCGTGACTTATGGCATCTGGATCTGCCTGGAGTGCTCAGGGAAGCACCGCGGTCTGGGTGTGCACCTGTCCTTCGTGCGCTCCGTCACTATGGACAAGTGGAAGGACGTGGAGCTGGAGAAGATGAAGGTGGGCGGCAACAGGAAGGCGCGAGAGTTCTTCGACACGCAGTCCGACTGGGATGAGACGATGCCCATCCAGCAGCGCTACAACAGCCAGGCGGCGTCGCTCTATCGCGACAAGATTAACACTCTGGCCCAGGGAAAACCATGGGATGAATCCAGCGCGGCCGCCAAGAGCACCACCACCACTTCTTCCCTATCCTATTCGCATAGCGAGGGCGCAATCTCAGCCAATTCCGGCTACGATTCCTACAGCTCGGGAGGCGGCTACCAGGACGGCGGCGGCGGCGGTGGGTATCAGAACTTCAACTCGCAGGAGTTCAGGGACCAGAAGGAGTCCTTCTTCAGCAAGAAGCAGCAGGAGAATGCCTCGAGACCAGAGTAAGAAGCTCTGAAATGCCCTCAAAACGATGCAAACTAAGCGAATTTTTTTGGAACTCTTTTCAGTCATTTGCCGCCCAATCAGGGTGGAAAGTATTCCGGATTTGGCTTCTCGCGAGATCCTCCGCCCAAGAGTCAATCGCAGGAGTTCTTCGACACGACCATGTCGTCGCTGGCCAGCGTGAGTTGCCCAGTGACTCATCAGCACCACTGCAATCACTCACTTTCCTCCTTATCTTCCAGGGCTGGAGCCTGTTGTCGCTGGGCGCCACGAAGGTCGCCTCCACGGCCAAGGAGAATGCGCTGAAGTATGGAAGCCTGGCGTCGCAAAAGGTAGCCGATGTGTCGAGTAGTGTGGGTGAAAAGGTCAATTTCGCGAGCGTTTTCTCTTCAGTTCATTAGCCCTGATTTGATTTGATTTTCTTTTCTTTTCGGTTTCGTTTGGCGATTTTTTTTTCTTTTAGATGAAAGACGGAACACTTTTGAATGATGTTGGCGGTCAAGTTTCCACACTTGCCAATAAGGTTTGAGTTTGTTTTGCATTCTTTTTTACTTTCCAAATCTCTTTGTTGCCATTGAAGCATCGAGAAATCTCACAATTTCTCTCACTCTTCTCGTGATTGCTCGACGTGGCGAAAATGTGAGGCATTTCACATTTTCAGCTAAGTCAACAATGTTGAGCAAAGCTGCAGAACTCAATGATTGATAAGTGGGCTGAATATGAGTAATTACGACTGAATATTAGAGGAATTTAGCAGTAAAAAACCACAGAAAACACTGAAAATCCATTGAAAAATAGCACAAATTTTGTATTAACTTCTCAAAAAAAACTTTTTACGAAAGCATTAATTAAATTACAAGGTAAATTTGTTAGGAAATTAGCTGAAATTTTAGAGCTATTCGTGATAATTTCATAAGCTTTATGTTGTACATCTTTTTAACATTTTAGGCAGTTTTTGTGCATTTTGTCACAAAATTATCATCAGTTGAAAATTGGCTGGAATTTTCAATTGGTCGATAAACTGAACATGTCTTTTTGGCAACAAAGATTTTTCTCATCAATTTTTCTTCTTTAATCTCTCAGTTATTCTCAATCATTGATGCATTCCAAATTTCGCTTTAAATCCTTAATGAAATCATCAATTTGTGTGTGTGTTGAAGGTTGGCGAGCTGGGCAAGAAGAGCTGGACGACCATCAGCAGCGGAGTGGCCTCGCCGCAGGACGGCTACACGTCGCCCGGCGAGGGCCAGAGTCGTCACGACGTCGACGGCTACCAGAGATCGTCTTCGGTGAATGGAAAGCAGGACAATTGGGAGGGAAACTGGACGGAGGATCGCTACAATTGCAGTGCTTCTTATCAGAACTCCGGCGACGCCGAAGAGTGGAATGGCTTCGAGTCCGCCAGCGAGGCGCCGGAAGTGGCAAAGCCGGTGAAGAAGAGCCTGAAACCGTCGAAGCAGAATCAATGTGATGACTTTTCTGCGCTGGACGTGAAGTCGATGAAGCCAAAAAGTGGCCAAGAGTCCAAGAAGAAGAGCGAAGATGATTTCTGGGACATGCTCAACAACTGAAGTCGCGCGCGCCCATGAATCGAGTAGAGGGAGAATTGAGAATTATAAATGAATTTTATTTAAATGTTTTTATCAAATGGCGAGGAGAGAAAATTATAGGAAAATATAACTTGTAAAGTCTTGAGAAAAAGAGGCGCATTTTATGGTGGCGGAGCGTCGATTCCAAGGCGCTTCAGCTCATTGTAGAGGAACACAACGTCGGCTTCCACTTCCTCCAATTGCTTCTCCTCCTCATCCTGCAGGTGATCCGCGTTGTCGCTGAAGTCCTGCAGGATCTGCTGCTGCTTCTGCGACTCCTGCGCGATCTCCGCTTCGGTCTTCGAGATCTGCTCGTGCAGCTTCTGCTCGCGAGTCTGCGCCGTCGCGACTTTTCCCCGCTCCACGGCCTCGTTGTGCTGGAATGTCGACGTGACGGAGCTGATCTTGTTTCTTTGATCGCCGACGGACTTCGTGAGTCTCTCCAGAGTCTTCTCCGAGCGCTCGATGTCCCTGCCAATGCGGTACTCGATGTCGCTCTTCAGGCGCTCCTGCGACTGCTGCTTCTCCACGATCTTCCTCTCCAGCACCGTCCGGATCTTGCTGAAGATGCGCTTTGTGTTCTCCATTGTGCGCGGATCAAACTGCTTCGGCTGCAGACTCACATTGGCCAGATTCTGACCTCGCACCTCCTCGGAATTCCTCTCCAGGACACTCTGAACTCTCAGATTGATGTCAATTGTTGTGTCGCCGATCTTCTTCAGCAGACGCGAGTTGTGCACTTGAGCCTCGAATTCCTTGGCCTGCAGAAGAGAGAAGAGATCTCAATTGAGTCCGGAAAGTGTGACGATTTGATCTTCCTACCTTCAACTTGTCGCAATATTCCGTGGAAGACTGTAGGCAGATCTTCTCGTTGTGGATCGTGTTCAGCAGCTGCATGTGCTTCGCCTCTCGACTCTCATGCTTCTGCTGCTTCCAATCCTTCTCCACAAAGTCCCGTTTTGCCTGGAGCTCCTCCACGCGTTCCTCCAGACTCGCGCTCTCTTCACTTTGCATCTCAACGCCCTGCGTCTTCAGCTCAATGGCGTCCTCAATAGCCAAAAGCTCGCTCTTACGGTCCTCCACTTGCGCGCGCAACTTCCTCGTCACCTGCTGCTTCGCCTCCAGAGACGCCACGTCCTTCGACAGCTTCTCGATCTGCGTGTCGAGACTCTCCAGCTCCTGATTGAGCGTCTGTTCGTCGGAGAGATTCACGCCCTCGCTGATGAACTCATTGGTGAGCTGTTGCTTCACCTCATTCACTTCCTGATCCTGGCCGTTGTTCCACATCTGGTAAGCCTCGTTCACGTTCTCCTTGAAGAACTGCATGAATGCCGTGGTGGGAAAATCCCCGCTGCTGCCGAAGTCCTCCTCCGACACGACGCTCTCGTCCGGCACGCCGTCCAGCAACCAGCAGAACATCACGATGACCTGGTTCAGCACGTGTGGCGCATTGGGCGTCTTCAGCCAGGACTTGGTGAAGGGATAGGGATAGCGAATCCTCGTGAGCATCTCGTGAATCTCATCCACATAATCACTGTTCATGCTCACTTTGGGCACCCAGAACTTTGCCAGGTGCCAGAAGATGCGCACGAAATCCCTGATAGTCATTTGCCTGATGTTCCGCGATGCCACCAAGTTCATCTCCAAGCCCTCGATTCTGCCGATATAGTTGAAAATCCGGTTCACGCCCTCGTCCAGCCACTTCTGGTCGTGCAACGGAACCTTCTTCTCCGTGCTGCGCGCGAAGGCCATCGGCGTCCTCGAGGGCGTCCTCATGGGCGTGTTGCTGGACGATCTGTAGCTGTACGGCACCGCCAGGGACTTCTTCAGCGATTGCGCCTTGTCCACGGACATGGAGCGTCGATCTGCGGAGGGGCGGAGTCCCACATTGCTCACGCTCTTCTTCCCGACCGCCACAGCGATCCTGCTCTGCCTGGAAACCGCGCATTTCTCAGTGAAAACCCTTCTGAGGAACCGGAGAAAGGAAGCTTACCTGTGAGACTTCCTGGTGGAGTCGTCAATTCGAGATTTCCTCATGGTTGCACCAGTGATGAAGCGGCAGGAATTGAGAACAACGACACTGGAAAATGCTGACTTCCTTAATGAGCGTCGTTGCGACTGAATTCAATTCTGATTGTCAAATTATTGCCGGTTTTTCGCCCTCTCGGAGGGTTTCTCAACGGAAATCCATGTGCACAAGAGCGAAACAAGGAATAGAAACGTCGATGAAACATGAGGGAAAAATGATGATTTTCTTAGGAATATTTAGGAAATATTGCTCTCTATCGCAATTTAGGAATGTAATTTCATCGTCTTTGATGGACCAAAAGTGAAAAATAATACGCACATATATCTATTAATTTTAATAATTTCAAGACGGCATTGAGTGTGTTTCTTGAAACGCTGGCGAAACACGAGAGTGTTGCTGAAAAGCGTTCGCTGGACGTCAAAGCATTCCAGTGCTCCGTAAATACAATCGCGATAGTTTGTCCAGGAAGGGGAGATAAAGTAAATTGGGAGATAAATGCGGGTGAACGAGGACAGAAAAGGCGGGGCAAGATGCGTAAGATATGGGTAAAGAAGGTGAGCATCCACAAGACGCCTCTCTACAAGCAAAAACTGCGAGTCGCATTCTTCACCGTGGCCGTGATTTCCTGCTACTACATCGTCTACCAGGTCTTCTTCATATCCGAACTGCTGGAGGAAAGCAGCAAGAGAGTCGTGCGGCCTAGTCAGAGCCCACCGGGTGTGTCTGGCTGGCTGCCCAGTCGCGACGTCCAGAAGACGGTCATTCGGTGAGTGACGAGAGACGGCATTTGTCGCATCCAAGCGCCTGATTCTCGTCTCTTTTCAGAGGAATTCGCTCAATGGACGCACACTTCTACCTGCCCAGCGAGCGCGGCACGTTCCGGTGCATCTCCAGTGGCCAGGAGATCTCCTTCGCTAAGGTCAACGATGACTACTGCGACTGCGAGTCGGATGGCAGCGACGAGCCTTCGACGAACGCCTGCTCGCGGGGCACGTTCTACTGCGAGACGCCGCAGGTGCACCTATCCGGGAAGGCCTACAACCACGTCATTCCCAGCAGCCGCATAAATGACGGCGTGTGCGACTGCTGCGACGGATCCGACGAGTGGGCGTCCGGACGACAGCTGCCCTGTCCGCTCTCCTGTTCCTGAGCTCTTCCGGGCCGTGGCAACTTCCGATGGTTCCATGCTCATCATGCACAGTGGTCTCTGAGAGCGCACAGGAAAGACACGGACGGGAGATTCCAAAGAAAATCTCGGCGGGACTTTGTCTCAAATATTAATAAGAAGATTGAAATTGTGAAGAAACTGATAAGATAGTCATATTGTTTATTAAACACAGTGATTTTTTCGGATCCACGAGTTTGCATCAGTCAGTGAATTATAGCCAGCGCAGAAATGATAAATCCAGGATTTCACGAGTCTGCTTCACTTTAAAACCCAATCATTAAGAAATTAAGATTTGCCTAACGAATGAGAATTTTTCATATTCCTACCTTAAGTTCCATGAGAGATTCTATTTCTAGAGTAAGATTCCTCTAAAAAAATCAATTTGAAAGAGATTCAATGATTAGTAAGGAGAAGGGTAAGGATTAGGAAATTTTAGACTTTTTGGCAGACCAGAGAGTAGAAAATAAAGACAGGTATTCGACTTGAAACTAGTTCTTTATTGCTATACTTAATATCCAATCTCAGGACAGAAGAAAAATGCTTGAACAGTCTGAACGACTAACAATGTTTTAACGATAATTTCTGCAGACTTTTAAACAGCTTTTAATGAGGGTAAAGTCGTTACAATGCAATCTTTTCATGCCTCACTCATTCCGATTAGATCTGGACAAGACTTCTAGCCAGAACTTGTGATCCTCTTCCATCAAGCGTTGATGCATAGCTTCGCGGCGATCCATCATCTCCCTTTTACAGTCAACTATCATTTGAGCCGCCTTTATTATCGCCGCTCCCACGGATGATCCGGCTTCAGCAGCTTCCGATCCGGACTCCGAGTAGTATGAATACTCCGATGAGGAGTCCTGTTCGGATATGTGTACCTCCGAAATGGACTCTGCGTCAGACAAAGAATCCTCCTTCGGGCAAGAATCGCAGGAACAGACCTCGCAGAAGTTCCCCCCGTTGCGCCCTCGGCTCTCCGATGAGGAGCCCACGATCGCCTCCATCTCAGCTTCTTCCAATTTCACGTTCACAACACCTTCGTTGCTCATTTTCCTTCTTTTTCTTTTATGCGATACAGCAATGTTCACTTTCAAGTCCTTCTTGCACCACAGCTCAGAGCAAAGTGAGGAGACTTGTTCTTTGACTAAACCTTATAAGCTCAAGTCTAAACTCCTTGGCTGAAGGCGCGCGGTGTGCGTGTGTGAGTGTGTAGGAATTTAGCAGCGCACGCAACGCACCATCATGGCGGACAAACAACGAAGTCGTTATAACTGAGTTATAACACAATCGGCTCTCGGCTAATAACATGGTGAGAGTCTGTGCTTTCCAATATCTCAAAACTCTCAAAACCACCCTTATTGAAAGCAATCGAAAGCCTCACAATTCTTCTTTACTGTTTTATTTATACATTTACATTATAGTTTCATAGTTTATAATAACTTTATACCACTCTCCTCCAATATAATCTTAAATATTCATAAATAGAGAGACATTCAAATACCAAATATGGACGCGCGGCTTTCAGAAGCGCCGCATCCTTTTCCTTTGGGTTGCCATAGTAATTGAGTGAGTTGTGCTAAGCCCGGCCAGCCTGGAGGGTCGCCTACTGGTACTCGTCGTCACTGCTGAGGAGCATCGTCTTCTCATTGTAGTTGTGGCTGATCGTGGCCACGCGCTGGCTGCCGGGCATGAACTTCCTCTGGTTGCCCAGCGTCTTGGACGCCACGTAGCTCTGGTGGGTGGCACTCGAGGGGGCGGCAGTGGGCTGATTGGCCGGATCGTCAGGATCGTACGAGGCCACCCGAATGCCACGCGAGTTTTTGCCACCTATCGGAGAGACAGCACATTATTTTTCAAAAGTTCGCGCGCCTGCGAGCGCACAGCGCACTCTATCGCCAGAAAGATCAATCAACAGCCCATTTGACTATGCTTAGATTTTATTTATTTAAAAAAAAAATAAAGAGATAATTTAATGGATAATCAATCTAAGAATAGAATTACATTAAACGAATGTTTCTCTGTTGGGCGCACTCGTGAACCCGCGTTCTCACGATGTGAATAGTAATAAAATTAAGTACAATGTATTTATTGCTGTCACTAACTCAATGAATGCATCATTCCATTTAAAATTATATTTCAAAATCACGAATGAATATCAAAATTTCCTTCTCTCTCTCAAAAACATAATAATAATAATATATCATTACAAAATATTAGGAAATCCATGCAAACATTAGCATTATATTTCTGAAACACTTAATAAAGAAGAAGAAAAAAAAAACACACTATAATATCCCTAGCGTATCTTACACACTATAAGAGAAAGAAGAACATACAGTTGTGTGTTTCTGCTATTTACATGAAATCAATAAAATTAAAATAATGGAAAGTGCATTCGTTGTTCTTCCTTTTTCCCCCCTTTTTTCTCACACATTACACCGCAATTCCATTGCCTTTTGATTGCCTGAATTCATCTGTTTGACACTTCATTCACTTCCCAATCAAACTCATTAATGCCAGTGAGAGAGAGAGAGAGAGAGGGAGAAGAGAAATTAACAGAAGAAGAGACATGCAGAAAATTGCGCCAATTATCAATTTTTCCTCACTTCTGCAAATGTTATTTTTTTTTATTCACTTTGCACGCAAATTTTTAAGTCACTTCACCATTTTTTTCATTTTTATTTCTTTCCAACAGCAAAAGTATTGTAAAGAAGCAAAGAAAAAAAACAACTCTATCACAAGTATTTTCAGTATAGAAAAAAAAATCTCTTGAAAAAGTTTTTTAGAAGCTCAATTTGTCACAGAGTGCAAAATACATTGAAGGAAAAGTCAGAGGCTTTTTTTCTTTTCTTTACAATTACAATCAAGAGGGGAAATTAAGAATACATCGGCTAAACAAACATATAAAATAATACGAATATAAAAAATACAATTAATTTTGTGTCTAATTTCACTTGTTTTCACAATCCAAAACATCGTCAATGTTTGTTAAGAAGTTATTTTTTTCAGGTAATATTGAGAAAATCACACAAGCGTGTTGTTTAGGGTGACAATTTCTTTGAATTAAAGCAATGTTTTCTTTTTCTTCCATTTGTTTGTTGTCTTGTCCCAAAATCATAAATTGAAGATTGAAAAGAATGTTTTCTCAATATATAGAAAGTGTTTTTTTTCACATTTTAGCAAATTATTTCTGTTTTTTTTACAGCTTCTCGTAGCGTTGCGTCGATGTCACTTCTGTAAATAGTAATTTTAAAGAAAAAAAATTCTTCTTTTAGAACCATGTGTGATCAAAGAACAATATAAACCGATTTCTCGACTCCAAAACCACCAAAATAAAGTGTGAAGTGTTAGACAAGAATTGCTTGAGGACAAGTACAGAAAAAAATATATCATTTTGTGCATAAGAAATCCTCTTCACCAAAATTACTCTTTTGAGATCATCTTTGCCAGTGTTTGTGTTATCATTCTATTTTCTTTTTGTTTTTGCACCCAAAATAATGTGTTGTTTATATGCCATAAAAAATCTGTGCGAGAAGACGGAAAAGTGAAAGAAAAGTAATGAAAAACACACACAAAGATGTAACATTATTTCAAAAAAAAAAAAACTTATAAACACTAAATTATCCATGAAGAACATTTCTTGGAAAAACAAATAAAGTGTGTTAAGAGCAATTTGAAAATATGTTTCTCTTCTCACTTTTACACCTTTTTTGCGCGCTCTTCTGCCTTCTCACAACGCCATTATTTACATACTTTTTACAAAGCAAGAAATGCAGGTGAAAAACAGTGCATCTTCAACTACATATTCTCTGACGGTTTCTCAACACTTTAACAGTGCTTCACGGCCCAAACACCGATGCATGAGAATTTACAAATGACCCCATAACAGATCCCACTAAAACTGTGTTTCCTCAGACTAATTCGCTGCTTCTTCTCGTAAAATGAAAATTACAGTAGATGGAAATATATGACAGGATTTTCTTTATTTCCCCACAGAGAGAGGGGCAAAGATAAATAGCATAAAATGACTCTCTTGAGAATTGTCTTATCACCACGAAAGCCCTCTCTACTCTGCACAAGGCACAGTCGTCGCCTCAGCATCTTTCACTCACCAAGCGGAAAAGCCCAGAAAATCCTTTTATTGCACGAGTAGCAAAACTGCTGATTGCTCGTCGCTCTTTATCTTTACAGCAACAGTCAATGGGAAGCTGTTACAATTGCACCAAGTGAAGGGTTACGCAAACATTGAACATTGTAGTAATTGAAATCAGTTTTTAATGGCCTCAAGATGCAGAGCTTTCTTCAAGACAATCAATCTTCAAATTTACATCGGATATCGTGACTTTTTATGTGGTAATCGCAAATATTTTAACAACAAGTTGATAATTGATCGAAGAAACAAGTCATGCAACTTTTTAACAGATCCGCAAAATGATCTCCGAGATAAAAAAAACGAAATTTTGAACACAAGTTACAACATTTGATATCCAAGAAAGATCATGGAATACCACTTTTTTTATCGATGAATTCTTATGTGACGATTGAAACTGACTTCAGTGTGTAAATTGAGACAATAAATTATGTTCTTTGGCAATTCCATCTTCGGATTCTTTCTTACTGTTGATGCACTGTTTTCCCCCCAAAAAAACTACATTAAACACAACATAGAACATGAAAGCACATGCAAAACTCATCACCGTGCATTGGATTTCTCATGCTTTTGTACAGAAAATCTTTACATTTCTTAAAAAATTTTGTGCAAAATTTCATCAAGAAGCCAGATTACCTGAGCTGTATTGAGTGTACTGCTGATACTGAGGATGGAAATTGTGAATGGCATCTGTCATGATGTCCTTGGGATTCATCGTCTCCTGCGGAGTGAAGGATGGGAGCGATCAGAGGCCGAAATTAGACTGTGGCTCATCGAAATCCTACCTTGAGACTGCTCGAAATGGACTGCATCGTGACGGATCTGCCGTGGGAGTCAGTCATGCATCCCTGCGCGTACACTTGATACGGGAAGGCGTACCGGAGCGCCACGGCGGCGAAGAGCATTTCAAGGCAGATGAAGAAGTTCTGGTAGCCCGCAGACACTGTACCGGCGGACGTCGTGGCGCCGTCGTTGTCCACAATGGGCGAGATTACCTCGGCCTTCTCGAGAATGGCCAGACCGACGCCCTGCCAGAAGGACAGGAAAATCACGGACTTGATGGTGCAGAACTTGAGCACGGGCTCAAAGGGCGTGAGTAAATCCTTCGTGGCGAAGTAGAATAAGTACAAGCCGTACAGCGCCAGAGACACGGAGATGTTGTAGATGATTGTGATGTAAATGTAGCCGCCATCAGCACTGAAAGGGAGTGAAAGAAGGTGTGAAAGGGTGTTAAAAAGCACCTCTAACCCACTCGTGTGTGCATACCTCCAATCGCCATCGTGATAGTGTCCAAAAGCCTGCAGAAAGATGATAATGAACGCCATGAGAGGCTTCACGAGGCAGAATTGAAGTGTTGCTTGCTTGCAGAAGCGCAAAAATCCAATTGTGTACGTTTTTCCTACAAGAAAACATCATGAAATTGTCAACAATTCCCAATCTTGCATATAAAGCATCAAAACATACCCGATAAACAGCAGGTTCCATAGAGACATGATGACTTTATTGGCTTCCCGCGGATCTCAGACATGATATTCCCTTCGCCGCCCAAATACTCATAACACAGCGAAAGGAAGTTGTAAATGACGAAAGCTGTGGGAGAAAAAACCACACAGAATTGCTATATCAATTCTCCTCCTTATTTGTGCTACTACCGCGTAATTGTCAATGCGTTAAGACAATTTCTCACTGAATAGCGTGTGTTGGTGTAATTTAAATTCAGTAACACATCACTGAATTACTTTTATTAATGGAAGCGGCAAATACTTAATTCATGCCCGAGCACAGGATTTACATTTTAAGGGTAACACAAATATAAATTCATTGCCGTGCTGAAAAGCGAGTGAATTTCATTTATTTAAGCAGAAAAGAAAAAAAGGGTCGATATATGCCATTAATATTTGATTGCAATCCCACTTTTTTCCCCCCATTTGCACCATCATCACTTTTTCTCGCGTGAAAGCAAGAAACGACTGCTCAATTTCATTCCACATCCCAAGAGATTTGAAGAACTGACCTTAACACAGCTTAGAAAGAATCATTCATTATTAATCAGCTGTAATTATAATTTAACAATTCCAATTGTTAATGCACTCAAGACTGAATAAATCAATCACTTAAGGATTAGTGTAATGATATGGACGTGTTAATTACTTTCATTCATAAGTAATCGTTCAATTACAATTTCAACAACAAAATCTTATTCTAAGCAGAATTTTAATGAAAACATTAATTTTCTGACATGAAATTTCTCTTTTGGGCTTTTCAGTGTGAGAAGCTCTAAACACAAAAACTCAAGCGGAAAAAAGGTCCTTTTCAGAACACAGAAACTCGCATTTTACCTTCATAGCAATCGCGCACCGTGAAGAAGTAAACATAAACACTCTCGGAATTGAAGAACAATAAACTTATCCAGGAGTATGTCGCATAAATTGGAACAATGAACAGAATTCTCACAATCCAGCGCTGCTCCTGAGGATTTGTGTACCACCGCAAGTGTTGGTAGATCTGTCGGGAGAGAGAGAGAGAGGAAGAAAAGCCAAGATATTATTACTGCCATTAAAGTTGACAAGTATATAAAGAAAAAGCAATCACATAAAATTGAGTGCGAGCGAGCGAGAGGGTGAGCATTAAAGAATCATCGGATAATTTTGACCTTTCAGCCCACACACATGAAAACATCGCGCCTGCAAAAGATGGACAGAGAAAAATCAATTTTCCGAGTGGCCCAACACACACAAATTTTCACCCCGAACTGTAATTTCACGGGGACTTTCGTGTTTGGTGAACATCATCATGCGGCCTTACGCCGAACCACAGTAAAATGCCCCAAAACGCGCTTTCCTTTGCTCCTCTCTTTTTCCACTGTCGCTCCTTCAAATTAAAAACCCTTTTTTTATTTGACCTGCAAATGACGAGCGAATTGAAAAGACACACACATTATTGTATGAGAATTCTTGGTGCTTTTGTGAAATTTTCCCTCTTTTTTTTTACCTTGAAATTAGTAGAACAACATATATAATCTAAATTTACACATTCTTTTCCACAAAAGCATTTCTATCGATTTTCCACCACAACTTCTTCTTCATGCCAACTCGACATAAAATAAAACACCAGAAAAATCACCCTTTAATTGATTTCTCAACGCATAATTTCATATAAATCATCTTCACATAAATTAAGAAAACCTTCTTTTTCCTGTACGAAATGAAAATTACAATTCCTACAAAACGAATGTAAATTCCGTTTTTGGTTAATATAGTGTTAAAATTGCCTTTTCGTCTCATTTGCTTCTCCTTCTGATGGCAAAAAGGCAAAGCGCGCAAGAGAGTCAAAAGTTAATTCACCATGAAAGATTTTCAAGTATGCAATAAAAGAGAGTTTCTCACACAAAATGAAATGGAGAAAAGGATTCAGAGCACATTTTCCATAAAGAGATCACTTCTTCTCCGCTAGTAATAATCAAATTCCTGAAGCTCTAGTGAATTTGCACAATGTCAATAAAAACTCTAAAATACACCTTTAACAAAGTGTCTGCAAAAGAAATAATTTTTTGTTCATCTTCTCACGTTTTATTGCATTCTTAATTAAGTGTAAACAACTTGATAAGCTGTAAAAAATTTCTTGTTCTATCAGAAAATTCAACACAAGAAGATTCACAACAGTCTGGAAAATCCATTCTTAAGCATTTCCTCTGAAATATCCATGAAAATGTTCAGCATAACAATCGGAATGGCACGACAAAGGCTCATGCATTTCATGAACAAATAGAGATAATGTGAAATATTGTTAAACTTTTTGTGTGTGCAAAGCAAATAATCTGATAAGAGAACTCTTTTCTGTTGATTCTGCATGATAAATCAGGTTCTTCTCAGAAGTAATAAGAATTCATAGAGCGCTGTTTGGCACTGACTTTTCCTCCACTGTGACCAAATGCTCGCGAGAGCAAAGAACACAACTCAACCTCATCTAAATAAACATAATATATCCAATCATTCTCAACTCGGCGAGACTAAGAATAACGGACTGATCATTAAGCGTTGAGAAATCTATGTCAATTTTACAATAATAAATCAAGAAGTACAGTGAACTGCGCGCAAAGATGCGCTCTTCTCTGATGGTAAATCATCTCGCGCACAGAGTGTAAATTTAGCATCAAATTCGATTGGGAAATAACTCAAACATACAATGATTTAGGGTCTTCACATGAGAATTCCCAGATATTGGAAAGTGCATCATAAGGAAGCCATCAAATGGCGAAGAGACCACAAAATCTCTCTGTTGGGGGAAAAAGCTGCAAAACCAATAATAATGTTGGAGAAATTAAAAAGATCAAATGAGGAACTAATTTATCAATAAAATTAATGCACGGAAACATCGAATGTGAACATTTCTTTATCGTTTTGTCCGCGTGAAAAGATTGTGTAACATTTCATTTGATTACAACCAAAAAAAACAGCGACTTTTCTTCGCTTGTTTCCACTGAAATTTTTCATGGGAAAGAGATGAAGACAACACGAATAAAATACAACAAGTTGGTATATAAAAATGAGAAAACGTGCTAAGATTGTTAATTTTTTTATAAACACTTTTCCTTCTTCAAATTAATAAAATACCATCAAGTTAATATACCAAAAAAGGTTTTTTTTTAAAATTATTATTATTGTTATTTCCACCAAATCAAAACACCGTCAAACACTTCATTCAATAAAAATCAATCATTTGCGAAGTGAAAAGTGTCCAAGTGAGTGAAAAAACACTAAATTGAAATTGATAACGATGGAAAGCGCGCACTGGAGAAAATATATAACATTCAGCCAAAAAGCATCGCATTTTAATCAGGAAAATGGCTGTGTTTTCACCAGACAAAGAGAGTCGCACACACCAAAGTCAACAAGAGGTATTTTTGGTATTTTTCCTCCTACTTTCTCAGTGATGTAAGGGGAAATGGAAGAATTTCTCAAATGCCACCGTTATATAATGTTGCGAAAAAATTTGCCAATTAATCACTTTCACTGGCAGATGCTTTTGTTCTCCTTTTTTCATTCGCAAAACAGACAAAAAAAAAACCCGTCACAATTGCTCTGTGGCCACAGCATTTTCCCAATGGACAATTGAGAATAGAGAGAGAGAGTGGCGATTTATTGATCAGAAATTTCCATCGCAACAGCAAAAAATATTGTTCATAACTTCTCTAAGTCAAAACATCATAAAATGCCACTGTATCTTCTCAGCAGAAGCTCAAGACAAACATTTCTGCTCGTCTTCTGAACACCGTTCAATCTCAGCACTTTTCCCACGATCGCAGCATTTTGTACATGAACGTGCATTGAGAGCTGACGGCGAATAACAAAAGTGAAGAAGAACATTGACCAAAAGCAAGTACAAGGAATGTAAAGTATGATTTTTGTGTGACGAAATGAAAAGTTTCCACTCCAAACCGAAGTTGAATAGAAAGGCAAAGAAATGATACAGAGCATTTCCATTTCTCAACTCTCTTTCTCTCTCTCTGTGATTCCTCACATCTCACTATGCCTTTCGAGCCTTTTGCCATTACAATTCTCATTAGAGTAATGATGTGTGATCAAGTGTGAAACACTCAAGAATATTGTGCATTTTAATTGAAATCCCCAACAAATTGTTCGTGGATTAATGAAAAAAAAAATTCACTTCTTCAATTGATTGACGAAAGATTTGCATCAATGAACAATTTCCTGCAAAATACACTCGTTCAAATATACATTGTATTTGTGTTTACTACTCAAATTTTCGTGCAGAAAAATGTCAGGAAACTTTGCGATTCAAGACAGTTTGTTGGTAGAAAACATGAAAAGGATTTTTGATTAAATAAAACCCCCTAAAGACGGTCAAAATAATAGATCAGTGAGCTGTCTAAAACTGCCCCACGCTTCGCTATTGTGTAAAACTAATTGCACAAAATATGCTTGAAGTGCTTCTTGACATGACAAAAAACCATTTAAAAACTGTTGCATATTTCATTGCAATACAATGTATCTGGAGTAAGACATGGATGAAGTGCCAAAAAATGATTTCACAGCAATTGCAAATCACAAAAGCCGCATTCATGGCGCAAAAGAGCCTCAGTTTGATTCAAATTATCCTCATTCACCAGGATTTTGAGTGAAGACTCAATTTCCCTCCGATAATCTGATAATGATGGAAAACTCAATAATCGCCGTGACACGGGAAAATTGCATGCACTGTTCGAGAGTTTTGGGTGAATTTTGTGTGTGTGTGTGCAAAATTGCAGCGACAGATTGAATTTGCGACAATCACTGGCAGTGACACGAGGTGAAAATTGGATTTTTCATCATAGTGACTCACCTGTTGACACGTGAGAAAGAGCGCCACCCACACGAAGGCGCCCGCGATTCCCTGGGCCGTCTTCGTCTGCAGGAAGATGCCGTCACCCACATGACTGAGCGGATCCATCGCCATGGCCGGCGCCGCGGACTCCGCCACGCGTGTCACGAAGTGATTCGTCCTCGATGATGCGTTCAGAATGCTCTCGGCAGCTTCAACAGATGGTGCTGCTGTCGAACTCATTCTCTGCAAAGCGAACAGAAGAAAAAATCATGCTTCAATTTACTCAACTTTTCCCATTATATTCGCGCCACACAATTTTTTTTTTCCTTTATCTCCACTTTACACGTTATTCTAAATCAATGCTCTCCTCAAGTGTGGGAAAATATGTATACATTTTCATTGTTTTCCACACCATGAGCTTCCCTCCTTCGCCAACACACACAGTAGCAACAATATATTATATTACCTTCAAACTGCTTGTCAATACAATTGATTGACGAGCAGAGCGGGAAATTGATCAAATTAATTACCCACAGGAAAATATAGCCAAAAGTGAGAAAGTTGAGAAACCCATCCGGAGAAGCCATTTGAAATCTCCAACTGTTCATCCGCGAGAAGCAAGAATGATTCTCTATTTGACCCTGAACTCGCGAGGTGAAATACCAAAACAGAAAGAGACAGACAACAACTTGAGGCATTCTTTCCTCCTTTGTGTCTTGCAGATTCTCTTCTTACATCAAGACACACATTCAATTGAGAATCCAATTTTACGGCGCTGCACATGCAAAAGACGCGCGCCAACCGAACACAAAACAAGGAAGTTTTTTCACGCGAGAAATCATGTGTATAAATCAAGAAAGAGTAAATTTTTGATGACCGAATAGATATTTCAGTGACTTTGCGTGTGACATTTTCCGTCTCACTTTCATTTTGAGCATTTATTATGAAATCAAAAAATCTACAATCACTCTTGTTCGACGTCTTTTCAGCTTCTTCTCTTCTCTTCTCATTTTTATATCTCATATCCACTCACTCTGCCCAACCGTTCGATTCCACAAGTCTCCAAGTCTGTGTCTCAATGTTTAAAAATAGATCGCAAAAGAACGCAGACATTTTATAAATCTCATCTATTAAATGCCTCAAATGCCTTTTTAAATACATATTTCCGTCTTTCTCCGAAGCAAACAAACATACATCAGCAGCATTTGACTTAGAAAATGCACAAACAAGTAATTTCACACAGTTGGAAAAACTCCAAATATACGTCTGAAAACGCTGCCATTGTGTACTTTGCCTCATGACTCCAAAACCATTGGACACAACACAAGGTTACGCGCCGTGTCATACAATATACACACTCTTGAGTGTGCAAAAACGAGATCCGAAAAAACACCTCTCTAAAGCTATTCATGAAATTACCTTTTTAGCCACAGGCAACTTGCCTATTTTTTCCCCCCAAAAAAATCTCTCATAATAATCTCTCGGTCTCGCGCGGACTTATCTCCGTGCTCTTGCGAAATATTCACTTTGCTGGATGTCTGATAGAGCTCTCTGATAAAGGTAGGGTATTCGCGAAAGCAGCCAATAAGGTGTTAGGCATGCAGAACAAGTGATAAGGAAAGTCAATTGACTTTTATGAGTACTCGTGTGTTCAGCAAAGTTGCTGTGCTTCACAAATATGTCCAAGTTCTCCTCCTAAATTTATTGCTTTCATTTATTATACAATCACTCAATGCGTGTCTGAGTCATCTGAGATTGAAAGCAATCAAGATCATGAAGAAAAAATTTAGATATCAATGAATTGTGTAGCTTCTCTCGTGATAACAAGCTTGAAAAATTGATATGTCGTATTGCGACTAACTTCACTCTGTTCTCATCTTGTTTCTTGGATTTTATGATCTTGATATTTTTGATAAGGAAATTCAAAACATAAATCCATAATTAAATTATTCTTACATTTGTCTTTATTAGCTGATCTTGTTTCAGCGTATGTTCAGTATTAATTGTTTGATTTCTATTAAAACTGTGGAATGCTTGCAATGTGTAACTTCAAAAGGCCGGGAAAATCGTGGACATCTCGTAAAATTAATGTGTTTGCACAAAAAAAAAATTGATAAAATTGCTTTAGTTACTCAGTAGATAAAGGAAATCCTCACATGTTACGCGATTTGCAGGATTAGACGGATTTGGCGATAGTAAACAGGTCAAGAACATCAAGAGTGATCAGAAAAAACAGTGTTATCTATCGGATCGCCGTATCGGACCCAAATCTAGATTTCACAGCTACTGAAATGCGACAGAAGTGTGACTCAGACATCCTAAAAACAAGGTAAATATTTTGGAATATCAATTTTCATTATTGACGCGCTGGCAAAAAGAGTTCATTGATTCAGCCAAGACTATCAACATTTGGCCTGAATATTGGATTTTCGCTTCTGTAAACTAGGAACAAGATGGTAAACAAATGCGCGCTGTCATATCGCTGTCTTCCGATTGGCTGTTCGAAAGTTCGAATGAACTTTTCAGCCGAATATTTTGCTCACTGAGAAATCCTCAATTTCCCAATCGGTGACGTAACTTTGCGACTGGTTTCATTAATAAAACATATTTTTATCACATCTCATTTCCACTTTTGAGGCTTCCAGATGTTCAGCCAATATTCACCATCTGAGGTGAATTGGCCTTTGGAAATCGATGACGATTTTCCATTGAATTCCTCACGGACGATTTCTGGGAATTTGCATAAAATCAATAAACTGCCATCTTCTGAGGCTCCACGGAGCAGCCCCCCAGAAAAAACAGCGTGGCGAAGCGAGCAGCTGGAAAGACTCACCTTTGCTGCAAGAAGTTATGCGAAGCACACAAAAGCCTCTCTTGTGCGTTGTCCAGAGAGAGAGATGGCGAGTGGTTGAGTAATTCGCCTTGAGATTGTGCCGTTTCTGCGCCTTTTTCTCTAACTCACGCACTCTCGAGACGCACTTTTGGGGCGCTCTCCAAGTCCACAAGCTCACTTTCTCGGGCCCCACAACGCCAAACTATCGCACCAGCATCCACATTGTGGGCTCGATTGAGGCAGAAGGGCGAGCTTTCGCAGAAAATATGGAACATGAAAATTCACAAGTGCTCCACATTCACCATTTGCCTTTTTTCTCCCCACTCGCGGAAGTTTCTTTTTTCCACCGCACAGAAAAACTGCTGCTTTTCTCGCCTAATCACCACTTCGAGCACTCACTCAAGCTCCGTCACTGTCTCTGCGATAAGAAATGGGGTTTTTTCGGATGAGAAACAGCAAGTTAGTGTTGTTGTCTTGAGGGAAAATACGGAGAAAATGGGGAACAGTCCGATTTTGCACAATTTCCACTCGCGACTGGAGATTTTGGAGACTCTTTTGGAGACTCTGCAACGGTGCGAAGTTGCCAGCAAGAGGCGCTGCAGCGCCGCCAATTGAGTCAACAGAGAGTTAAATTGCTGTCGATGAGTTAAATGGCGTTTCGTCTTTGTATTTTTCCTCTGTGATATTAAGCCCCAAATCTCCGATTTCTGCTGCAGAATTGCAACGGATTCCAGTGTGAAATACTTCGAAGGGATATAAGCTAGCTGAAAGTGCTGTTGAAGTGTAGCGACAATGTCTCTGGTTGATGTGGATTCATGGTGAGCAAATTGGGGAATCTTATCAGTTTTGACCCTAAATGACTAATATTCGCCCCGTTTCTCTTCAGGATCACTGAGTACGAGGCCTGCGAGCGCCTCAGTCGGGAAATTCAATCGCAGATTGTGCTGCGGAATCGGGAACAGCGTCTCTCGGATGAATACTCACGCCTGTCCGGGAGTGTTCGGGTGCGGCTCAAGCAGTTCTCCACGGAACTGGCTTCGCTGGAGACGAAGCTGGAGCAGGCGAGGCGCACAAGAAGTCTCACTACGGAGGAGGCGGAGCGCCGACAGCGCCAGCTGGAGACGCTGCAGTCGAAGCAGATCCACTTGCAGAGTCAATTCACGAGCGCCGGAGACAATTCCCGGAGCGCTCTTCTGCAACCGGGAACATCTCGATTGTGGGACGACGAGGAGGATGATCCGATGCTGGACACCAGCACCTACTCCACGGGAGATCTGCGCCGCCAGCAGACGCAAATGCTGGAGGATCAGGATCAGGGCCTCGAGGCGCTCTCGAAGGTCATCTCGCGCCAGAAAGACCTCGCCCTGAGGATTGGGGACGAGGTGGAGGCTCAGAATGATATCATAGACGACATCGCAGATCAGCTGGAGCACACGGACTCGCGTATCCACAGCGAGACGCGCCGAATCGAGGTGGTGAGCGCCAAAGATCGCACCTGGCCGTTCTGGAGTGTCATCATTGGGCTCTTCGTGGCCATCATAATCGTGGCGCTCGTATAGCAAAACACCAGCTCATCGATTAACAATAAATTTATTAACTATTCCCCACAACTGTCGCTGCTTAGAGCCTCTCCTCTTCAGTGGGCTCCTCACGTGAATTTATTAGTCATTCAATTAAATACGCGAGCGAAGAATTACAATTCATGTACGTGGGGCACAGTTGCAAGATTCCCGACGGCTCCCAGGGCCAGTTTAGCTGACGCCACCTTCTTCGCCGCCTGTAAAGAGAGGAGATCAATAAATGTATACTTTTTCACACACTGCAGTTGCCTGATCACTTACAGCATTCACATCAGAGGCAGAAACTGCGTCGATCTCAGCCACGATGGCGTCCGGCGAGAGCACGGCTCCGCACAGCGCAGCCTGGGCGCCCATGTCGGTGGCGAAGTTCTCGCCGTTCTCCACGTAGTACAGGAAGTCGTTCTTGAATTGCGTCTTGCCGCGCGCGATGTCCTCGGACGAGAGGCTTCCCGTGCGCAGAGTCTTCAGAGCTGCTTCAATAGCCTTGCCAGCATCCCTGGCCTCCGTGGAGAGGACGAAGCCGAAGAGTCCGTCATCGCTGTAGCTGGCATTGAAGGCGCCGAAGCCTAAAGGCTTGTCGCCCAGAGCGGCAGTTACTGCCTTGCCGATCACGCCGTTCACATTGCCGCGCTTCGTCCAGGAACCCACACCGGCGGCGTACTGGAGCACATGCAGAGCCAGAGCTTCCTTGGGAGTCGCCCAGCCGGCGCCTTGAGTGGCGATGGCCACATGAGCCAATCGACCGCCGCGATCGAGCCGAGCCTGCCAAGGAATCATCAGTCAAGAACACAGCGCACTAAAGATCTAAACGGACTCACCTCCTGTCCGCCCACGAAAGAGGACACGTTGTCCTTGCCAGCGCCGGAATCCAGGGGCAGATTCTGCGCATAGCCAACGAGAGTGTTGTGCTCCACTCCGACGCCCACGACGGCAGTCCTGTTGGTTGTGTAGTTCGACGCCACGTAGTGCTGCAGAGTCTCCGGGGAGATGCGTCCGATCTGGTGCTTGGGGCAGAACAGGGAATTGCCGAGGGCACTGCGATAAGCGGCGCGATGGAGCAAATCCACGGCGCGCGTCTGCAGACTGACACGAGCCAGATCTTCACGCAGTCGCGGCACAATTTCCTCGAGTTCCCACGGCTTGAACTCCTGTCCAGTGGCCACGTCCTGAAGGAACTTCAGCCCTGTATCCAAGTGATTCGGGGTCACTTCGAGGGTGTACGCGAGGGTTTCGCGATCGCCGGTCACACTGAGGCTGCCTCCGATTTGCTGGATATTGCGCGTGATGGCGAATGTGGTGGAGCCCTTTGTGGTCAGACCGGCGGCCACGCGGAGGACGTGGGCAGCGCCCAGGTTCTCGTACGTCTCATTGCGAGAACCAGCTCTGACGAGGATGGAGACTCGTGACAGCGGAAGGCCAGGTTTGGCTGAAGCTACCACGAGTTTGTTGGGCAGAGTGGTTGTCTGCACATCGCCAGAGCCACGGGCAGGCTTAGAGGCAGCCTGAGCGGCATATCCGCGAATCTGCAAAGGAGGAAAATAGTCACTTTTCCGTCGACGTTTGTGGGTTATATAACAATGGCCAAAACACCCAAAGTCTCCACTATTTCGCCCCATATTTCACCTTCTGCGCCTCTCTCGCGACAAATACTCACCGCAACTGATCGGAAGAGGGGCGCTTTAGAGGCGGAACTGGCCATTCTTCCTCAAATACTCGTGAGAAGATCGCAAAATACTTTTTCCAAGTGCTCTCAGCACACTTTCTCGACACCCAAATAGGGGATGAAAAAAGATGGCGCAACTCACAGCATCACTGACAGCACGATGGGAAATTTTCTGACAGCTGTCATGCGGTTTTGTTTTTATCGACGGCAGCGCCATCGCGAATTGCAAAGTTTTTCGTGGGCTGAAAAGTTCGAGGGTTTTTTTCTCTGGGCGATTTTCGCAGTGATTGAAAACAGCAAAGGGTGTGATTGTGAGTGACATGGCGTTCTTCAACGTTGGAGCACTGGGTGGAAATCCGTTTTCCACCCAAGTCGGCCAGAGAATCGGTAAATTGGGGGGCCAATGTTGGGGCCACACCATCTGTCACGAGTCTCTGATGGGGCGATGGAAGTGACTCAGCTGCAAATACCACGCAAATCCCTCCAATTTGCAACGTCTCTCGTGTGTTTACTCGCGAGAGTGTCTCTAATCCATCAGCTGATCCCGTCTCGCGGGCCAATTGCGAGCTGCAGAGGTGATGAATTGCGAGGCCCGGAAGGCGCTGATAAGCGGCGCCCCGTGGCCACCGCGCCCTGGATCTCTGATTATCTCTGTGACTCATCATCGGCTGGCGGAGCAGAAAAGAGCGCGCAATTGCTCTAGAAATCACCTTTGTGCGGTGAAGACGCACTTCTGAGGCGTTTTCCGGACGTGTGCGGAAAACATGTCGCAGCTGATTACTCTCGGCGTGTTGAGCACGGAAGGGAAAACATCGGCTGTGCGAGAGGCCCGAGGAGTGCGTGGGAAGCGCCCGGGCAGCCGCGGATGCGACTCAGAGTGGCCGAAGTATCGATTGGATGCATTGACGAGGTCAACGAACAGTGGGAGGCAAAAAGCGAGGGGCGCGCAAAGTGTCGCGAGAAGCCTTATCAATCCACTTCGCAGCCGCTCTTTATGTGCTTATTTGACACGGCGAGAGGTGGCAGGGAGCGATGAATAATGCAGAGCCACAGAGAGTGTCACCTTCAAAGCCAACCTGTTCGTCTAATCGCCTGCGCTATCACCTTATCGGAGCGCCTCTGCGCGCGAGCAGAAGTTCTCTTGCGGGGGGACAAAGGAGAGGGAGTAAAAAGGGCAATTAGCCGCGGTCAGAGGAGCAAAGCGTGGCCAGAGATGAAAGTTATTTCGCAATGCCACGGAAGAGTGATTTGAGCAGAGTGAGGAAATTGCAAGACAATTCTTCACGTTGACTGCCTTCCAGTGAAATGCAATTTGACGCTGTTTACAGCGAGTAATTGACGAGACAATTGATGGAAGACGGCGTGGGTGGATAAGAGACAAAGGAGCGAAAGCACTGAGACGCAGAAATGGGGGTGAAAAATGCTCAAAATAGAGGAGCAGCAAAGAGATAATCAATCGGAGGCTTTAATGTCCAAAGTTTAACTCTCATTCTGCAACCATGAACACATTGCTAATTGCTTTTTGGATTCCAATAGGAAGACTTTTGTGTTATGCGACTGACAATGGAAGAAGATTGAGAAAAATATCAATAGCACGAGACTGAATATTTTAGAATTTTTATCGATAAGTAATTTTCATATACACGCTAACAAAATAGAGGAGAAATATTGGAAAAATGCTCATGCATTAATTGACAGGACGGAAAGAAAATAGTTGATCACGTTTTGTTGCTTAATTACGAAAAAAAACACAGAGTTTCTCGCGTCATTTGTGAATATTTAGAGACTGGAAATTAGAGAAATAATGCTATTAGAATGTCGTTGGTTTCCTTTGTGCTATTTTGTCTTTCTTTATTTGATACTTTCAAAAGTACAATTCATTGTATTCTGAAGAATTTCCCAGTTTTCGAGTATTTACTAGGGAAATCTCTAAAGTTTTATGTGGCATATTTGTTCCAAATGTTAACAGTGGTTAAATTGCTTGAGATTCCATCTCAGTTCAGTATTTTCAGCCAAACAAACAGGTCAAAAAGGCCAATTTTTGATCTCATGATATCTAATTTGGAAGCTCTATGAATCTGGGTCGTTTTCTGATACCCTAAATGCTGATTTAACCAACGATGTGATGAGAAAAGAGTATCTATATAAGATAGAATTAAGTGAACCATTCCAAATGTAGCAATTTTGTACAAATGATTTACATTCTCTGACTTTTGAGGTCACACAATCTGTTCTTGTCTTTAGACACATTTTTTGTTCCTTGATGAAAATGAGACTTTACACCCAAATTGAGTCTTTTGTAGTCATTTACACACTGACAAAATGCCTTTTTTGCCCGTATAATTGCAGAACAAGCGACAGATTCGAGTTTGGCATCGGAGAATTGGGCTCTGAACATGGAAATTTGCGACATGATCAATGAATCCAGTGACGCTGCGCGCGATGCCATGAAAGCCATCCGGAAGCGGCTGCAGCAGAATGCCGGGAAGAACTACACGGTGATCATGTACACGTTGACCGTGCTGGAGACGTGCGTGAAGAACTGCGGGAAGGCTTTTCACGTGCTGGTGGCGAACAAGGAGTTCATTCAGGAGCTGGTGAAGCTGATCGGGCCGAAGAACGATCCGCCGGCGGTGGTGCAGGAAAAGGTGCTGAATCTCATTCAGATTTGGGCAGAGACTTTCCGCGCGCAGCCAGACCTCAACGGCGTGGTGCAGGTGTATCAGGAGCTGAAGAACAAGGGCATTGAGTTCCCGATGGCCGACATGGATGCCATGGCGCCAATCTACACGCCGCAGAGAGTGAGTTTGGGAACCTTTTAGGCCACATTATGCCATGCTAATGGAAGGTTTTCCCGCAGAGTGTTCCTGATGGAGTGTCACAAGCTGTGAATGTGACGAATTCGCCGCAGCACGCGACTGTGGCCGTGGCAGGAAGTGGCAATATGGTGAGAGCATGACATGATAGTCGATTGCTTGTCTGTTTCTACTGCTGATTCCTTGCAGATGACCACTCCGATGTCACTGTCGCCGGAACAGGTGTCGAAGCTGCAGTCGGAATTGGACATTGTGACGGTGAACATGTCGATTCTGGGTGAGATGCTGACGGAACTGAAGCCCGGCCAGGAGGATCCGTCCGACTACAAATTGCTCACAGACTTGGCGCACACTTGTCGCGAGATGCAGGGCCGGATTGTGGAGCTGATCGGGAAGGTGAATCACGATGAGATCACCGCCGAGTTGCTGCGCATCAATGATGAGCTGAACAATCTCTTCCTGCGGTATTCGCGCTTCGAGAAGAACCGTGACTCAAAGGCGGCCGCCACGCCGTCAGCCATTCTGGGAGCGGCCATGGGCGTGCCGGCGGACGGCGCGGCGGCCGCCAAGGACTCGCTGATCGACCTGAGCGACGAGGCGGCCGGCGGACTGTCGCGCGATCTGTCGCTGATGGGCATGGGCGAGACGAAGGTGTCGCAGATCAGCAGTGTGTCGGCGCAGTCCGGCAGTGTGGCGCAGCCGAAGGACGTGGATGAGTTCGACATGCTGGCACAGTCGCGCAATGTGAGCGATCAGGCGAAGGGAACGCCACAGAAGGACGTCGTGAGCACCAAAGGACCACAAGAGTTGGTGAGTAGAATCTCTGCATCTTACGCTTTTCTATCTCTGAAAATTCTCGGTGTCAGTGTGAAAATAGAAAGGGGAAGAATTATAATATCTTTTCCCGATGATTTTTTCTAACTGTTGTTTGGAGGCAAAGTGTTATTTTGCAGACGACAATAGTGTAGATTATTTGATCGAATTTCAGTTTATTTATTGACACAATGCATTTTTTCTTTTCATTTTTCGATGTCTCCCAACTATTTACGTTGTTTTGGTTGAAAATGTTTTTTTTAGAAAGAAACAGAGGTAAGATTGCACATTGAAATATTATACTTTTGAAATATTTCTTTTCTCCATGAAAGCTTGATTCTTTTGCTATCCGGTTTTGTCCACAACTTGCAATTCGATATTCTTCAATATTATTATTTTATTGCTCATGTCAGGCGGTACAATGGAAAATGGTGGAAAGTTTCATCGTATTTTCTCTTGAATAGTCACTGAATTATTGATCTTAAAGGTGGTCATTTAATATTTATTAGTAGAGTGACTAGAGAACTTGTTGAATATCCAACAAATAAAAGTAAAATTATGGGTTCTCAGGTCAAATTAAAGTGGAGAAAATTTAGAGAATGTAATTTGGATAGCAAATGTTTATAAATTGATTTAAATTGAAAAATGGTTTCAATTTTATCTGTTCGAGAGAAAGTGCGATGAACTGTGGAAAAAAAACACACAGAAACACTTTGAAAAATATGAGATAAACGTGCAAATCAATATAAAATCGTGTCATTTTTCCCGTAGATCCCAGTTTTATCTCTTCTTCATCCACTCTATGTTCATATCTTTATATGCTTTTGTTGTACACATTGTATAGGTGAATTGGGGTTGAATGTTTCGCTCTTTTTATTTTTTTTTTTTGGGTGACATTATAAAACCTGTGATAAGGATTTGGGAGAATTTTTCTTCCTCAAGACACATATTTATACGCAAACATACACACTGATGACTTTGCTGCAAATTTATGCTTTAGCGTCTTTTCTTTTTGGCAAAGATTATTTTTTCACTGTTGTGTGTCCCCACAGAATGCCAGAGAATCAGAATTTGACGAAATGGCAGCATGGTTAGAACACAATGTAAGTCTTTTTGGAACATTTTTGCATTCAATGTTGTATGTGTGCTGTTTTTTTTTTTATACATTTGGGTATTGTTTTGTGGAAAATTTCACACACGCACACGCGAGTTTTTAGTGGGCAAAAGAAAGTGGTGAGTCGATGAGTGAGAGAATGTTGACGCTTTTGCAGCCCACCGCGGCGGACAGCAAGCCCAGAATGACGAGTAAAGAGTTCGATCGCTTCTTGGCGGAGCGAGTTGCCGCCGCGGAGAATCTGCCCAGCATTCCTAGCCAGACAGGATCCGTTGGTGCCGCCGCGGCGGCGTCGACGAACGGTTCCTCGTCGAATCCCAGCGCGGCGCCGCGACACAATAAATCCCGCAAAGATGAGGATGGCTTGATTGCACTTTGAGGTGATGAAGAGGACTGAAGATGAGTCGGCAGAGCGAGAGACAAAGTGCTTGAATTTGTATAGAAGACAACGCTGAGGAGACATGAAAACATACCTTAATACTTTAGTGAAGGGAGAGAACGTTTTTTTCCAATAGGAAATCACTGCAGTTTAATCACTGTGAAAGTGCATAAAAAAAAAATCACTGATAACATAGGAGAGGAAAAAAGGAGAAAATTCCAATGATTTTTCTTAATAAATAGTGCAAAGGTAAAATTCTCAGTTAATCACACATGCTAAAAACAATCCAGTAACGACAGAGAAGAGAAAATTTAATAATAATTTGTGAAGACGAAATTTGATGTAAAGAAAGAGAGAATACTAAAAAAAAATAAAAATAACCAAAGATTTACAAGACGAAGGAAGAAATTAGTGAGAAAAACGGTAAAATAATGCTGTTGATGAGGTGAAAAGCATGATTTCTTTCTTATTTTGTTAATTGTTGTTGACTTTTATCTAGAGTTTTCTGAGCATTTCCTTCTCGCCGGAAATTTGTGTGGCACTTAAAAAAAACCACCTTTTGGCATTTCTTACATTTTGAAGCTGCGCTAAAAGTTATTCCAGAATTTTGCAGAAATAAATAGAAGGAGAAGAAAAAGAAAGAAAAAAAACAGATTGGAGATATTACATTTTTAGATTTTTGTACTTTTGCGGAGAAAGACGATGTCAGAGAAAAAAATATTGCTGTATTATTTTATACGGAGAAAAAGTATACATTTGTAAAAAAGAGAAAAAAAGGAGAATATCGTTAAACTTTACTGTCAAAGGAAGATTTTGCAGATGAGATGAAGGTAAAAAGGTTCGTAAATCTTCAGTGGGAGGGATTTTGGAGACAGTGACTGTAGGAAATATGAGAGAAGAGAGTATTTATTACTATTAAAAACTATATTCATAAACTTATGAATGTGTAATCCAGAGATAAAAATTGGTATAACAACTAAACTTGTATTATATCTGTATGATTATTTATATTGTGCACGAAAATAAAGAAAAGATCATAATTACAAGATTGTTGTTTGTGCTCAAGACTGTTTTTGGCCCGTTTTCACTTAGAAATGTCTAAGAAAATTGTGTCAGGAACATTGCAAGCTTGCAAATATCAATTTGGCAAACTATTCTTTCTACTTCTAAAGCTTTCTGGTTCAAATTCTTACCTTTGAATTGAGCTCTAATGGATTTGTTTGTTGGGGGAAAAGCAAGAATTTCAACTTCAAACAATCATGGAAAGTGAGTAATTTTTCTCATAGATTTCTTTTTATTAATAACATTGTAGGGCGACAAATGTTTTGTAGTTTTCCGATTTTCTTTAGCCATATACATTTGGATTTTGTGTTGAATTGTCACAATATTCTTTAGTTAATATTTCTTTTCACCATTATTGCAGAACAGCTTATTTTTCCACCCCTAATCATTTCTATGATTGTAAATATACATGTACAATATATCATGATGATTTCTACTTATTAATTCTACTCTTTTTTGTCTTAGTATTTTTTTCAATCCTTTTTGTGTGTTTTTTTTTCTTTTGAAATATGCAATGAATTGATAAAATTTACTTTTTTCTCTCTCTCTCTTCAAGTTTCCTCTCACTTTTATCATGGTTTAACCATTCTTGGTGGCCTCTTTTTCTCCTCAATGTGACCTTTTCCTCTGCTGTGCGATTTTCCGGGGCAGTGAAAATGTTGGGGGGAGGAATTCAAAGACATGCGAAGCAACTCCGGAGACTGAATGCACTTCAAGCCCGGAAAAGTGCACAGCAAAGGTAATTTCCACTGCCATTCGCTGGTTTTTTTCTTCATTGCATTGCAACCTCTCCCATTCCGATGCCCTTCTATGAGTTCTCAGCCGCACTAACGTATGAAGTTCAATGTCAAAATGTATATAATTTATAGTGTAAATGAGTGTTTTAGTGATATGTCTCTCATAATCAGACTTTGGCTGATCTCGTCCACTTCCTTGGCATTATTTTTTTTTCGCAGTATCCACTAGAGTTTTTCCGTTATATGCTATCGCTAATGCTAATTTAATATGAATGTGGTTCTTCCGCCCATGTTTCTCTGTGACCTGTGAGACTATTGGTATCAAAAAGGAAATCCGCGAAAAACTCCTCTGAAAATCAATATATTGATCAATTCTGCAAGTTTAGCAATATTCCACGATTAGTTTAATATATAATATATCCATCTCAAAATGTTTTTTTTTTGTTATATCTTGTCCTTGAAAATACTTTGCTAATAGATTTTGCATATTTGTCGCTTTGCCGTTTGAGAAGTATAGAAGGTAATTTCTCAATATATATATATATTTAAATATATTTTATAAAAACAAAGTTGTATATTATGTATATTTTTTTTCATTATTTACTCTAAGCAAAGGAATGGTTTTATCTTTTAAAAATTTCATCTATTTTATAATTGTTATATAAGTTTTTCTTTCTCGTTCAATTTATAGTCATTTCGAAATTACATTAAAATTTTACATACAAAGAAAAAAAAATATAAATATCTTTTTGTGCTTGACATTGAAAAAATAACCAACAGTAATTTATTCCATAAAGTAATAAAGAAAAAAAAAACAAAGTGAAACTAAAACTAAACGTTTATTTCTCTAGATTTGTGTAACTTTACGGTTATTTCGTATTATTTCTATTTGAAGAGATTTGTGTATAAATTGTGATGTTATTTCTTAAATTTGTTCGGCAGCATTTTTGTTTTTTAAATTTAAAAATGTATTTATATGAAGTTTTGCCTTATCGTGTTCGCTAGAAATGTTCGAGGTTTAATTTTTCATTGAGATAAAATTCTTATTTTTGATTTTCCCTTGCCGCAGTTTGAAAAAAGATGAAAATTTGAAAGAAAAGTGATTTTTTTTTTGGTGAGTTGTGATAAGAAAAAACCGCGCCTAGTAATATTCTTGAAGTATTTTCCTTGTATAACTGTTTCGTAGATTGTTTTTCTTCTTACCTTCTTTCCGAGTCGAGGAATATTTTGAAGCATAAAAAACATCTTTTTACGTCATGATATACCAATTTTCTCCTTCACTTTTTCTTGTTTTTGATATTTTTATACAACATTTTCAATTCGAATAATTTTGTGAATGTTTTTTCTCTCTCTTTCTCTCTTATTAGTTTGGCAGCGAATTTAGAGCGATGCCGAATTTAGGCAAATTTATATTTTGAAAAAACTTGATATTTAATTTATTGTTTTTCATCTTCATAATCACTATCCTAATGTAAATCTAATTGTTTTTATTCACTTTAGAGGTAAACTTTAAATCAAGTAATAATAATTATTATGCAGGATAACATAAAAACATCAAATAGTTTACATCCTTATGGGAGAGGATATATAAATTTTCATCTCACATCTCTCTAATTTTCTAATATTAGACTTTTCTATTATTCTGTGTTTTATATTTTCTTTAACTCTCTCTATATAATTATTTTTTGTTTTTTCTTCTTTTATAATATAATCACAGATAAAAGCCATCATTCACGTTAACATTTTCAATGTCTGTTCTTCTATGAATTTCTCTTTTGCTCACATTTTTTTTTTAATATTTTACTTCCGACTATTTTAGGTGCTTTTCTTAATGTTTTGTTTTTTGTTTTTGCCAAAGTATTGGTTGTTGTTCTTGCATAAATTGACAGTATTTCTGTGATCCAAAAAGAAAAGAGTCTTTTTTTTGTGTGTGGTGAAAGAATTTTTGTATGACAAAATATTGAGTCGGAACAGAAGTCATCCTTTGGATTTATGAGTATACGTAAAAATGTTCTTTCAATATATAGAAATTTTATTGCTTTCAACAGATAAAGTTTATATCCTTCGGGCGAGTGTCGCTCTTCAACAAACGCGTCCAAATGAAATAGATATCATTGCAAGTGACGATTTGTTGTTCGTCTTCGAGACACAATAAGATTAGTTTGCGACGCATCTTCTCTCTCTCTATTCTATTCGTCGTTTCACTTACTTATACACTTTATTTGGCGTAATTGATTTTCCGTCGCAAAGACAATCTGTGGAGTTAATCGTGATTCGCACACACTTTTCAATGCTACGAACTGGAATCGCGATTCTCCGTGGAATTTCCACGCAGCAGCGATCTGCTCTCGTCACCGGAATTGAATTCCTCATCTTTATCACCTTTCGCTCCCGACGCCGATGGAAACGCGGCGGTGAATGCCGTTTCGGATTCTGTAAAAATTCCAGCTGTAATTGACAATGTTGTGCAAATTAGTGTCTCATGTGCAGCCAATTTGTCTGTGTTGATATTGCTGTGAGTGGAAAGGTGAAAATTCCGAGATTCGTATCAATTGCATTTGCTGACAAAGCTGACAGTGTTAGCAAAAGAATGTGTATATAGCAGAAAAGTGGGAAAGAAATCCTGAAAAGAGTGTAGAGAATGTAGAATATTGGATTGTCAACAGTCCGTTTCAACTATTGAATGTCAATTAAATGTTTGAAAAAATACAGATTTTTTTTTGAACTACAAAATCAGAAATATTTCAGTGATTCTTCTGATTGCATTTGCGTATTCAACGTTATCACGTTAAGAGCGATGAAAGGTTTGTGGAAAAGTTTGGTAATTCTTTATGAGTGGCACAAGAAATGCTTTTAGTGCTTCTGCTTCTTGAGTGTTGAAGAGAACAGCCGAAACATTGTTAATGTAATGAAGATTGCGCTTGTGTCAGAGACTTTTCTTATTTTGTGCCGTTAATATCTATAATTAAAAATAAACAACGATAAAATAAAGAAAATGTAGTCAAAATGGGTACATTTTCAATGCATTCTATTATTTTTATCCCTTTTGTCCTGGAGGCTAGAAACGGTGCAAAGCCGACGGTGGACTTCAGGCTCAGTGTATTGTGCAAATATTTGTGTGTTATTTGAGTGAAAAAAGGTGCTAGAACCTACCTAGGCTACTGTCGCGCAGCACAGAGTCCGTCTTCGCGTCGCCGGAGAAGTTGTCGATGTACGAAGGGATTCCCATGCTGCGCTGGAGTGTGGACTTGCCCTGTCTCACCAGAAGTTCCTCCGGATATCGTGGCACCTGGAACTTGGTAGGCTTCGCCTGGGGCGACGACGTGCTGGGACACGTTGGCACGGAGCGCTGCTGCAGCAGCGGCCGATGTTTGGCCATGGGCAGCATTGAGGTCGAAGAGAGCGCAATGACGATGCGATTGGGCGAGTAGTCGGCTTCAATCTGTGGAGAATCGAAAGAGTTAGAGGCGAGGCTGGGATTCTACGCCGGCTTCTCACCGTTCCGTTGTCCGACACTCCCGATCCTGACATGTTGTCGGACAGGAGACGTTCGCTCTCCGGATCAGTCATCGCCTTCACGGCGTCCGTCTTGTTCTTGAGAATCGACTTGGAGCGCCGATGAGACTCCAGCTGAGGCGACGAGTCGATGGAGTCAATCGAGGACGACAGCTTGGCCTCACCCTTCGCTTTGGGGCTCGAACTCTGAATCCCGAAGAGATGCTGATTGATCAGCTTCGTCGCCGATGCGAGACTCTTGGCGGGCATAAAGGAAGCTCTGCGATTCTTCTTCCCCTTCTCATTCAGGCTCTCCTGCGATATCTTCGCATCCTCGAAGCGCGTCCTGGACTTGAGACTCTGCTGCTGGAAACGCGTCTTCCTGTGCTTCGGCACGCTCGGTGTTTCGCCCAAACTGGCTCTGCTTCCGCGCTCTGGCGCCTCGAAGGCCATCGGCTGCAGCGTCTGGAAATCCTCCTCGAGCGTGCCGGCGCCCAGATTCCTCAGCGCAGTGTCTCCGGACGTGGACTTCTTCACCTGCGAGCGCGCCTCCAGTGGGTTGATGTAGAGATTGTTGGTCTCCAGATCGAAGTCGCACACGGCGTCCAGCATGTCCGCCGTGAGATCGCCCTGAGAGTGGAACGGATGCGTCTGGCAGCTTGCGTACGTGTCTGAGCTGTCCACGCTGGCCAGATCGCCGTTCGCCGCGGCGCCCATCGACGTGGCCGTTGGCGTTCCGTAGGCGCGCAAGGGCGTCTCCAGCGGAAGCGTGACCGTGCTGAAGCACGACGCCGGCGGCGTCTGCAGAGCCAGCGACGCCCCGTTCTGGCGACTGCTGAGCGATTTCATCTCCAGCGACACTGGGAAGTTGAAGTCCGACGTGGGCAGTGGCATGAGACCCTCGGCATCGATGAAATCACGCAAGTCCTGTTGATGTACAACATGACCAACCATGCCATATTTCGCAAGAAGACAAAAACCAGAGAGGATAAAGTGAAATCTCCATGGATTTATAACTCTTTCGGCTAGACAGTAAACAGATAAAAAAAATAGGAAACCAAAACGGACGCAACGTATTTACATCATGCAAGGCTTATGGAATTTTTATTTCGCACATGCATTAATTCGAGAAGCGCAGAGAGAAAGAGTGAAAATTCATTTCGCTGTGCAGTGGATAAAGAGATAATGGCTTTTTTTTTAAAACAGCAAATGCATAAAAACCAAAGTTTTCTGCGCTGCTTTCGCTCTGGAAAAACAATTACTTGCATTTAGCTGAAGCCGAATGGCTCAATCTGCGGATTACTGCTAGAGAAACTATTCCAAATCAATATGCTATCAAGAGGATTAGCTAAAGTGGTGCAATGGAAGCGAAATCCTACATGTAAAGTTTATTTTATTCAATACACTTGAGTCAAGAGTTGTTCTACAAGATCTGGCATTTGACTATAATTTGTAGTTAAATTTAAATAAATTCTGAACTACGAAATAATTAGCAATGGAACATGCATCGATTATTAGCAATGTGGGATTAAAAATCTACATGTCATTAATTTAATCCCATAATATTGAAGCGAATGTAATTGAATTTAAGTGGTTTTTGGGTTTTATGCATTAAATTCAGTGGAATATTTTATTAATTTTGTAGAATGAGTTGTTTTGCCAACATTTTGCTATTCGATTATCCAGTTTATTGCCTATTTTATTACGCATTGATGAAAATATTAACTCAATATTCCTGCAGATAAATTTGGGGAATATGGGAAATTACTAGAATTGTTTTGATTGGAAGGAGATAAGAGAAAATCAAATATTTGCTAAGGTTATGGTCATTGATGACAAACTTATTGTACACAAATAACAACCATAGGATTAATGTTGATACAGTAACTGATATTATTAAAAGAAATAGATAAAGTTATAGAATAAATAATAGAATCAGAAGAAAGATCTCATGCTTAGAATTTCTTTAGCTTCAATGTTTTAAGTATTCACAAGAAATCTTGTTTAGATTGAGGCATTTAATTCTGCACCTTCTTACTCGAATCGACACCACTTTTTGCACTATAATGTGGAGAAAAAATCCAGGTTCATAAGTAAACGTCTTTGCAGAGCGAGAAAAAAGGCATAAATTGATGGGAAATTCCTGGAGGGCATTTCGGGGGCAGAAAAATGTATTTCCACTCGTTAGAGAAAATGAAGCACAAAAGTCCCTCAATGAGAAAAGCGTGTGTTAATGATTGATTAATCAATCACTTGAAAAGGTGTTTTTTTTCTTGGTCAGCATAATTTCGTGTGCTCGGGTGAGAGATGCAATAAAACATTCACATGAAAAGTGTGGAAAGGAGCTTTTTTTTCGGGGGCTCTTCGTGAGGGGAATTTTCTCTCTCTCGCACTCAATCACACTCTCTCTCTGGTGCTTCTTGCCGCAAACTTTACCGGCTTAATAACATTGAATTGGCAAGAGGTTCTCTCACAGTCATTCCTTCAGTTCACGCAAATAATTGGCATCAGTTGCTGCCGCAGAAATACATACACGCACAGAGGCTGTCGAGGGAGTGTATCGATTTTCCGCGCGAGGCGGCAATTGGGCTGGCCAGCGATGGGCCATTGTCTACATGCATTCTCTACGCGCAATTGTGGGAATCTCCAAGTGGAATTCCCTCTGCTCCAGTGCGTAAATCTCAGAGGCAAAAACCGAGTCCCATTTGTTTGCTGTACAAGAGGAAAATGCTTCGCTGGAATGGAAAATGTGATATGAGAATGGGGAGAAAATGCGCTCGAATAGCTTGAAAATTGCTGAAATTGGTTAAAGTTGTGGTTTTTGCATCCTCATACTGTGAAATTTGATTTCCTCCAGTTTCATTTTCCATTGTAAGCAACAATAGAATCTGGGCGAATTTCCCGAGTTACACACATTTGAAAATTGTGGTATAATTGCTATGAGAATTTGAAGTTTCAGTGTACGAAACAAGGTAAAATGGAAATAAAATGAGAATATAAATTGAGGATAATGTGGAAATTAGTGAAAATTTCACATAAAAGCACACAATTGTCACATTTGTGATTATTTCGAGAGTTAAACAAAAAAAAACAAAGTGACTGACGATAAATGCACAAAAACATCACGAAATTGAGAGAACGGAAAATTGATAAATCATTGGTGAAAAAAAAAGCAACATAACATAAAATTAAAAACTCACCTGATAATTTGAAATTAATTTTTGTGTCATAAGAATCTTGAAGCTAAATTTTTTCTGGTTATCAAAAGTGATACAATTGAGGAGGCATTTTGTGTGGTAAAGAAGAGAGAGTGAAATAAGGTTACAATGTGGGCTGTTTTCTCGGTTAGTGTGTGCGTGTCTCGTCTCTAGGCTAGAGCGAGACTAGAGGAGTGCGAAAGGATCGTCGTTCTGCCGCACTGTCACATCCTTTTGATGAGCTCTGACACTACTTTAACGGCTAAATTCGGAGCTTTCAGTGACAGGTCGAATGGGCATTTCGTCAGCTTTTTGTGACAACGACGATTACACACTCTTTTTCCTGAGTGGAATGCATTCACCGCGACAGTTTCCGGTTCCCTGCAAAGGGATTTCGATTGTCAGATGCAATAAATGAAAGAAGAGAAACTATAATAATAAAGATATAACTTTGCATTAAACACCAATTTAGTGAAACATAGTAGGGGGGAGAGACTTTGAGAAGTGGTCGGTGAAATATTCCCTGCCAACCTTTCACCATTGATTGGCATATTTAATTTCCATGGAGAAAGAAAACAATTTATTCTGCAAAAGGGGGAGAGGAAGTAAAGTGGTAATTAGCAGGTTTGAGCACAGTTTAACACATTGATTAAATGGTGAAAACGAAAATTGCACGATAAGCATTTCGATTTGTTCCACATTCACTTTGGTGTGTGTGTTTTTCATGTTACAACATCAATTTGTCATTTGATCTTTATATATGCTTGCTCCATTTAAATTTACCTGAAAAGTTCTTCTCTCACCGCGCAAAAATATAAAATCACCCAATGAAATATGCAAAATGAGAAAAAGAAAATAAATAAAACGGATATTCCAACTTGCACTTTATTTGGTTATTCTGGGTGTAAAAAAAAGGGAAGGAGGAAAAATCAATGGGGTGGAAAAAGGGTGGCAATTTGTGATTGCACGACAATTTGCACAGTGTGCGACACAGTAATTACATTAACTTTTTTTTATCGGTGTGTTAGTCTTGCGGTTAGAAGACGCTGAGCTTTAAGCTCTGTGGAGGTGTTTAGTCATGGGGAGGCAGAGAACAAAGTATTTCTCCATTTGATGCATTGTGAGAATTTTGCAGGAAGTCCAAGAATGCAAAGATTGCGTGTTTCTCTGTCTCCCCCCGCATTGCTTCAATCGCCGTCAGCATCTTGATAGCAAATGCATGGCAACAAGGAAGCAATCATGTTAGTATTATATGTACATACAACATTGCGCGCTTTTATAAAATTGCGCCAGCTGAGCATTTGCGTCCGAAAATCCCAAACATCCCACACAACCATCGAAAGAACAGACAACTCAGCAATAACTCCACACAATGTTAGCACGATGTGATGTTAATATATTTTATTTAGAGGAAATTTCAGGATTTTCTCTCTCTTGTACTCGTGAAAATGCATTTTCCGGCAGTGAAATTTTCCCTCATATTTGCCCTCCTATCTAAGCTGCTTTCTATATAAATCTCACCCCCAACACACACACACACACGCACACAGCAGAACAAACTTTCCGGCACTGGACAGAAACACGGAATTCCATACACTGGGCGCCTCCACTGGGAGTTCTTAATTATTTCTAGACGCAAAACCTGTGCAGGAATAATTTATGGGCACACACATTCCAGCAAGGATGTACAACCAAACAGGGCACAGTTAAACTTCCTGATAATTTATGTTATTTGTAATCGATGGCAGAGTTATGCGAGGAACTTTGAAATGAATTTCTGTACTCTCTCTGAATATGTGATACTGTTCGCATCGAGATGTTCACGCTTTACTTGTGATATCGCGTCTTCCTTTGATCCTGCGGAAATGCAGTATTGATTGCCTTTAAAGGCAAAGACAAAAGAGTGCATATAAAGTGTTTCCTCTGCCTCAAAGAGGATTCTCATTTAAATAAATTGATTTTCCTTATGTACATAAAGGGTTTATGATGATTTTGCTGATAGTGATAGTTTAATAGGGAAGAGCTTTTATAGCGATTTCTCGACAATAACACTTACTACACAATGTTTGAACGCGATATTTTGCAACTCACATTACCAATTTAAGTTCAAACCCCACGAATGTAGCGAGAAAGTTACTCAAAATCGATCTCAGACGCTTTCCACAAAACTCATCGGGAGCCCCTCCCTTGTAGATGCCACGCCCACTTTGACGCAGCACATAATAAAGCTATAAAAGTTCCACTGCAAACTCTGCATTTAATTGCATGGTAATAAAAAAAAGCCAACACAATCTCATTTGTTCCGGAACAATAATTTTGCCAAAAATTTGCCTCACTCAATTTTCCAATGAAAAGTTTGTCAATTCTGCCAAAAATAATTCAAACCGTCACGACCATCAGCAAATTAAAGTTGCCGTTGAAAATTAACAGTTGGCAGAAGGTATAGTTGAAGTTAAAACTGTCGGTATGTATCAATATTTGGGGAAAATCGGGTGAGCTGCATGCAAACATTTTGAGTCAATTTATTAGTTGGGTTACATTCGTGCCTCTGTCATGCAACATAGATAAGCATCAACATTAAGTAATTACGAGGCCACGTGGCGTAATTGCACATAAAGTCCTTAACAGAGAGACAATCAAATGCGGAAGTGCTACAAATTTTGTGGATGCAAGACGAAAAGTTTGCTTGTAATTAATTTCAGGAGGTGTGAATGTGTAAAATGTAGAGTCGGTCGAGAAATTAAGGAACAGAAACAACTGTTTAATGTTGCACTTTGGCGAAATAGAGTCGAAAGACAGTACCTTGGACGTACAAAAACAACACTCAAACTCTGTCGGTACTTCAGTCTCTGGTCTGTCTTTGTTCTTCGCATTGGGCGGCTGCTCCATGGCCACTTGACGCCGAAGCTCGGCCACCTCCTAAAACGGGTTGTTAGTTCAAAACCAAAACTACAGATCTACGTGGAATCCTACGCGTGGTCAAGGGCATTCGGGACAATAAACGGCGATAACAAGTTGGTTTCAGCGGGTTGGGAAAAGCTAGTAAAAAGGCGCCAAGCTGAAGCTCTTCCTTCAATCTCCAAACTTATTGGAAAATATAACGTTATATACTCTTCTTACATTGTGCGCATCTTGCAAAGGAATTACAGGACTTAGCGAAGCATTAGCAACATTCCGAGATATAATATTCTTTACAAATTGTCTTCTTTTCCTTAATATTTCTGTAATATTTTGATGGGCATTTTGTATATATTAAAATATAAAGCTTCATGCAAAAATTATTTCATCTTCTTAACTCCTCGATATTTACAGGATTGTTTGAATGTAAACTGTTGCCTTTTTTTTCAGGGACAATTTGAGAAAAAAATGTTCTTTACAAATTACCAGAAAGACTTCTCATTGTGCCAACAGTTTCATTCGTTTTAACCAAAAGCTATAACAAAGAGGCAAAAGTGTTATAGAATATTTTGAAAAGAAACTGATACTTATTACGTTACTATGTATTGAAAAATAAAGATTGTATTGCATTTTCTATCTGAGATACCTCTATTGTCCTCTGCTGAAAGTACTAAGCACAGTGTGAATAGAAAGAAGTATGATTTGCTTTTAACACATTTCCTAGTGAGTGGTTAAAATATCACATTGAAATTGGAGAAAAATCAAAGATTGCTTAATCCACCAAAGAAAGATCTACACTATAAGGAATCCAATTGGTCAAATGAATCATTCCGTAATTTCAGAAGACAACTAAGATAACACTAGACAAAGAGATCTATCCTTTTGCTTACGGTTGACAATATTTCATAATGGTATTCGATGGATCGTAATAGAAATAAAAGACGAAGAGCATTTTGTGGTGGAAAATGAGAAGTGACTTCACACTCACCGCTCTGGTTGCCATCATTTGCACGGGATTGTGAACCGGCGTGTCATTTTGCGTCAGCGGTTGGCTCTCATCCAGCTCATTATCCATCTCCTGGCGATCTCGCTCCATGAGACGACGCTGCAGCAGTGGACTGTACTGCGGCACGACATCCAGTGCCTGTCCAGCTCCAGTTCCCTGCGGAGAGAGCGCGATTCGTCAGTCTAGCCTTGGCTCCGCCCACTCTCAAGCCCCGCCCACTGACCTGAGACGAATTACTCCTCAGATGTGACGCCACGTGATCGTAATTGCGATAGCAGCCCGTTCCCGTGATTGCCGGGTTCCTTCCGGACGCAGATTCGCCCTCGGTACTGTTGCCATCAGTTTGCGAGAGGTTGTGTCCTGTGGGCGACCCCGGGGAGCGCGTCAGGCCAAAGAATTTGTTTCATTTCGATTGCATATGGAGGAATTATTAAGTATCCATGTTCAGTTCAGGTTAGGATTCATCAATTCTCACGTCTCGTACTTTAAAGTGGATAAAGTCTTCACATATACTTATGGGGCGCTTGTATACAGAACATGACAGAAGGAACAGAGACGACATAAAATACAGACGCATCACAAAAGCACAGAATTATATATGTAGGTGTAAATATTGCGAGATTTTTCTTAAGGCGGTCTTCAAGCCTTCAAAAGTACAGTTTGTCTTGGAACACTTTTCGAAACAAGATCAAGTTTAGGAGGAATTTTCAAGAAAATGGTTTTCCTGAAACCACAGATTTAGACTTGACATTCGATTTTACGGGGGAAAACTTAATCATGTTAGGAAATGACATTAGATAAAGCATTAGGAAAAGTGGCAAATTCTGTTGAATTAGAAAAAAAGCTCTGCCATCAAGTGCTCAAAATGATATTACAATTGGAAAATCTCAAGTTATATTTTCAGGTATGTCACCATTTATTTCATTTTTCTTTTCTCTTAAAATGTCTTAAGTTACGATTCGAAAAAGTCTGTTTTGCATTGTTCATTGTTGTTTAAATATAATGTTAGTTGTAATGTTTACTTTTAGTACACATTTAGTTAACAATAAGTTGCAAAGGAAAATTCTTCGACTAAGTTGAACTCTCTATACACATAAAAAGTCGACGATTCATCATATATATATAATTATTTATACACAGAGACAGATAGAAAAGAAAAGAGATGAAAAGGAAAAGAACACAGTGTCAGTAAATAGTGAACATTTTTGTCAAAGAACTCGCTAAACAGATGAGTATGTCTGCTTTTTTTTCTATATGTTTTCTTTAGCTGCTTCTTTCTAACTAATTCTTCTGACAGAACATAACGAGTCTAGAAAAAATTTGTTGCCTGTTTCTTTTCTGGAAAAAGTGTACAAGATTTCTTTTATACTTGAGAATTCGATAACATTGTTTCATATGTACAAAATATACTCTTATTTATACAAAAATTAGATCATATATTTAATAATCTTTCCTATAAAGTGCAGATTTGATAAATGTTACGATTTGACTCCAAGTTAGTATGACATTGTCACAATATTATCTACTTCAATCCACAGTTATTTACGCATAATCTCAAAATTCTGGTATATTTCATATTAATCCGTAAAAGGTTTCCTTCCGTTCTGATGTATAATTGATTTTCTTCAAAGTAAGAGCTTATTTACTTATGCTTACGATTCATTTTTTTTTATTTTGACTATCTAATCATTGTGATTGCTTCTTCTGCTTAAGTTGTATTTATACTAAATTTTTTTTTTTCAATATTTCCTTTTTGGTTAAAATATCTGTAAGGCAGGGAACACACAGCAATTTTATTTTCAGCGCAATTTTTTCTTTACTTTACACGTTCATATAACACGTTTTAAAGATCCTCGAATTCTTCGGGACTTTGGTTGTTTTTTTTCTGTGAAAAGCTTACGTCACAATATAAACGTTTACACAACTTTTTGAAAGTATGTTTGACGTATAAAATTGTCAACAAGATAGTATAAAAAGCTTTGCTATGGCTGTGGACGAATTCTTTCTTCGAGAGAGTAATTAATTGGCTTCTTACGATTGTGTTTATAAACCATCCCAGTTATGTTGGTAGTTTTGGATTTCTTACATTTTTCTTTTCGTGATTGTGGGGATTTTAGCCAATTGCTCTTACTCTATAAACAAACTCAACGACGTTAATTCGTCGTGGCGGACGAAAATATCGCCTTTTCCGCCCGGTTTTCCTTAACGATTTAACAAATGTTCTGTCATAAGATAAGCATATCTTTGAGTACTTTGTAACATTGCTCAGTGATGTAAAAAATTGGGGACTATCTAGTTGATGATGTGGCATCATAATCAGCGTCGGAATAGTTATTTTTATTAAGTTCTTGAACACGTGCTGAAAGGCGTTGTCTGCGTTGTGTTAGTGGTGTGTCGAAGGTCTCCTGGGGCGGTTCAAGGAGGACACATTGGTCACCTGTGGTGAGTCAAGAGAAATAATAACCGTCTTAACGTTGGTTAGGAAGTGGTCAACCTCTTGTTTTCATCTTGTATTGGGTCTGATGAGAGTTTTTGTGTATGTTTCAAGTGTGTTTTGTTGTGCAAATGATGTGTAAATGAATCATTTTCTGTACATTCACTAGAATGGGGGGAGGGAAAATGTCCTTATTGCATAATTTCTGTCACATGTACAATTTTGATGCCACGACAGACTTTCCACGACTTTCTTTCTCTCTATTTTATCTAGTCAGCGGCATTACTTGAGATTTTATAAATATACAAAAATTATATGTTTATCATAGAGAATGTGGAGCTACAGTTTATGCTGTATGTTATTCAATAATTCAAAAACTTTTGTCATAAAACTTTTCCGTATGCATTCTCCGCCTTTCAACCCATTTACTATTCCAGTTGTGACAACAATAAGAAAAAATACCTAGGAAAAGTATCTTATGGATTTACTTTCACAAGATGATACATTCCTTTCTTCAGCCACTCTTTCTGCGTCTCCAAACACCGTAAATATATATTATTGGAAAGTTGACAAAAAGCTCTGTAATAATTCAAGTGAAAAATACACATTTGTTTGTCTTCCTCACGTGGCTGGAGAAAAGTTTCCACATTCATTCTGTTTACTTAACAACATGCTTTAATCTTAATTAGATATTAATTGATGCTTAAGTAATTACGTTCTAAGAATAGACACGACTTCAAAATGTATTATTACACCTTTCTCCATTTGTTTTACACAACTCTTATCTCCTTTGTGTCCTCTCTTTGACATAATCTAATATTTATACTTCACTCTCGAGTGTGTGTTTCTCTACAGTATTTTCGGTATACAATTCTCTATATATATTGTCTAGATTTTTTTCATCTTCAGGGGAAAATATATCATCAACTTGGAGACATGCACTATTACACCTCTTTTCTTCTATCTGACAGTCGGCCGGTTTGCCCTAATGCATTTATATTTCATTAGCAAAAGAAGCCAATTATAGTCACTCAACATTTTCATTATATATATTTCTAAATCAATGAACTGCAAAAAATCCATCTCATATAAAGTCTAAGATAAATTTCTGCAGAAATAATGTTTACAATGTTGATGTGTTTAGCGAGTTGATTTATCTCAAGTATAAAGGAGACACACATAGATTACAGGGTGGATAGAAAGGTACACAATAAACAAAGAAACGGAAGAATGTCACAGTAAATCATAAAAGAGGATTTTACACACAAACAGCACAGACAGGGTCACAAATGAAAACGTTACTTTCAATCCTCTATCATGCCATCTATAGATTCACTAGTTAAGCTCTTTTACATTGTATAAATAGGGATTTTGGGATTGAGCTAATTGCCCTGGGGTAAGTCAGACTATCTTGTATGAGAAAGTGTTTACTTTCTGTTTGGGACTCTATATTACCTTTAATAACTTTGGCAAGAAACTCTGGCTATGCTTCAGTTCAGCGAGTTGCTGAATACGATTGTATTTCACCTCTTGAGAATGGTGGACGCAATGTGAGAGGGCGGGGCTAACAAAGGGGCGGGGCTACTGAATTATGCTATCAATAGTATGGCTTAAAATTGCATGCATTTTCCTTATAGTTGTCATCGTATTTAGTTCTGAATAGAAGGGGAGTTCTTGGAGGTTCTTCAAGAGGTGCAATACCATTTATCTCACAGCTAGAATGCATGTCGAACTGAAGCAACGCCAGGAGGACTTGGCGCGTGTATGATAAGTATAAATGGCTCACCTGTGTCAACGATGACGTCAATGAGATCCATGCTTTTGGCGAATGCGTCCCTTAGATTGATATGATGGAAGGAGACGATGCTGCCCTCGCGCTTGGCCCGATCCAATGCTTCCCTACGCTTAAGAGCTTTTTCTCTACGCATCTGATTCTTATAGAATTCGGCGAAATTATTAACGATGATGGGAATGGGCAAAGCAATTACCAGTACGCCGCATATACAACACACCGTGCCAATGACCTTTCCTAGCGGAGTGGTGGGATAGATGTCCCCGTACCCCACTGTGGTCATCGTGATCCCGGCCCACCAGAATGTTTCAGGAATGGATATGAATTTGGTTTGGGGCTCATCCTTTTCGGCAAAGTATGCCAAGGATGAGAATATGAGAACGCCCATTGCCAGGAACAACATGAGCAGACCGAGCTCCTTATATGAATTGCGCAACGTGAAGCCGAGCGACTGCAGGCCCGTGGAGTGGCGGGCCAGCTTGAGGATTCGCAGGATGCGCATGATGCGGAAAACCTGCACCACCCGGCGCACATCCTGGAACTGGTCCGTGGCGTTCTTGTTGGTTTCCAACAGGAACAGGGACACGAAGTATGGCATTATGGCGAGAAGATCTATCACATTGAGGCCGCCTTTGAAAAATTTCCACTTATCCGGAGATGCACTGAATCTCAATACATATTCAAGTGTAAACCATGAGATACAGACGGCCTCCACCATCGCCAGCTCGGGATTGTCCTGTGGCGTGCCATTGTGGTCGGCTTGGAGGGACGGTAGCGTATTCAGTGTCAATGCTACTGTCGACAGGACAATGAACAGGATGGATATCACTGCGATCACCTGCAAGGCGAGTCGATTCACAAATAGCTCAAGCACCATTTATACCATTTGATCACATTTACAAATTTATCTATATCTTTAACAAAAACATATTGCTCCATCAGTGTGAGATTGAAGGCAAAATAGTGTACGTTTCTCAATCAAACGGCATAAATGTATTGCAATTTGTTATTAAGATCTACGGGCTAATGGAGTTGGAACTGATCGCGTTCAAACGATCAAGTTAACATTGCGAATTCAAACTACTTTACTGCCGATCAGTTGCGATCCTCGATTAGCCCTTCTCTTGGCGTGATTGGAAGAGCGACTGGTGGCTCAAAAGTGGACTCAGCAATACTTTTCGTCAGTTAAAACATTTCTTTGAAAATGCCTTTATTACTAATTGGCACAGTCAAAACGGCGCTGAATGAAAAGACACACACACAGAACAGTGCGATACGTGAAACGTTGTCAACCGTCAAGAATGATAGCGTCGGGTCTGCAGTCGACATATATTCTCATCAAATTAAATCTGTCTCTCTGTCATATATAGCAAAATACAATTGAGAGCGTCTCTTAGATACAACTTGCTGCAGCGACATGTGTTACAACACAAAAGGGAAAAACATTTAATTTTATTACAACATGAAAGATATTAAAGTGATTCTCATATTCAGCTTTCAGTGCTTTGCTGATTAGATATTTTTTTTGTTCTTTATGCGACAATGGACGATCACAGAATATTTTATATTGTTCAATATTTAGTTTGTAGTTGTGAACTTAGTAAAAGTGTAAATTAAGAGTAAAGATTGAAATGAAAAGACAGATGAAAGATGTTGTGAAAAGAAGGGTGAAAAATTGTGTTATTAATAAGACAACTTTCAGAGAAAGATTTGTATAATATGTCAAATTTGTGAATATTTTAATTAATATCAGTTCTCAAATTTGAAAATTTTGCATTTGATATTCATTGCGCGGAGAAACACATATATTATTTTACAATAGTTGTTTGTTTTTTGACACAGAATAAAAGAAACAGAAGTGAAATCATAGTAGAAAGATTACATTTTTACATCCAATCAAAGCAGAATGCGTCAATTTTGTCTCATTACTGATGGCATGACTGATAGTAAAAGAAGGATAGTAACATAAATTCCATTAAAATATCTACACATTGACATTTAGCATAACAATTCAATATAGATAGAAGGACAAAATACATTTACTAAAATGAAAAGAGAAAGAATAATAGACGGTAAATGATAATCTAGAAAGATCTACACTTCTGTTGTGTGTTTGGGGAGAGATTTTGAGGGGTGGTTTTGTTGTGGTGTCGTGTGTTTTCTATGCATCTACAGGTTGCTTATCTTGTGTGATTCTGACAGAATTTTTGATCAAACTTCATCGTTATGACGTGGAATCAAATGGAAAAGCTTAAAACGTAACAAAAGAAGACATTTAATCGGGCTTTTTGTGTTATTTCACTACAAAGTTTCGTGTTGAACTGTTTTGGTCAGCGCTTTTTCTCACTTTGAAATCTACATTTTGTCATGTATTTATAAACTATATTCAACGCTGGTGATGTGCGTCGGAATGAATAGTTTATAAATGGTTTCTTTCTTTTTTGCTTCTTGTCATATGGATTAAATTTGTTAATGTTGAGTGCAGAATTCTAGATGAAAAATTGCTATGTATATTCTGTGTATAGTAGAAACAATAGTAGAAAAACATGCACATTATTATTTAGTTTACCAGGTGACAAATAGAAGCTCAAGCATTTGAAGCGGAAGCATTCAATGTGTCAAAGAAATGATAAGAAACTGATCAAGGGATTGACTGTGGAGGTGCCAAAACAATACAACAGTGATCATTCCCATTTCATAGAACAACCAAAGATGTGACACAAATCAATGAGAGGAATTTTTTTTTCTCGAAAAAGAAATGTGAGATAAATTTCAAATATATTTCACTAAGGGTGGACGTGCCTTTGGGGTGAGAGATTACAGGAAACATTACTCATCTAAGATTGCCTACATGTCAACTAAACACCACAAATCGAGCGACTCTTGCAAGTGGACGGAGTATAAACATTGAAAAATTCAACATTCAATATCAATGCAAATATCGGTTTCTGTATCTCTTAATTTCTTTCATTTTCTTTCAATTACTGAGGAACAAAAATTACTGCTTATTTCAATGCTTTGAGTATAATATGAAAGAAGATCTGGCATTACTCTGAGATGCCATAAAATCGGTAAAAAAACCGTTCTTGAGACACATTTGGTAGAAGTCATGACGGGTTTCTTAGCATATTTGGCAATGGTAAAAAGAAGAGCGATATAAAATGGAAAGATTTACTGTTCTTTGGAAACTTCATTTAGAGATTGGAAGATTTTTCAAAAATAGAAAATGATGTAGAAAATAAGGAAATCTCAAATTTGTCTTTGTGTTTCTTTGGTAATTGATTGATTTCTCTGTTTGTTTTTTTTTTGAAAATGTTTTCGGGCGGTAAAAAAAGGTCATAAACGCAAGAGAGAGAGAGAGAGAGAAAGTTAGAGAATGAACTGAATAAAAAAAATGTGATATTTTTGAAGTATATATAGTTTAGCATTTCAGCATTCGAAACAAAAAGGTTGGGTTTGCACGGAATAACTCACGAATGACTTTGATTGAACTCCGAGTGAATGTCCGCACCAGCATTTTGGCGGGAAATTCCGAGAGAAGCACCTCAGCAAATAGTCGTGATTCCAATATAGCCGTGAATATAGGAATTCAGGGGATCACGAGTTGTAGCTGCTTCTCCCCGGAGTTCACAGTTTTCAGCAATTGAAAAACTGTTCGAGGATTCTACAGCACCTGCCGCCTGGTCATATCGCTTCTGCCCATTCCCAACATTTTTCTCAATTACTCTTGAGGTGATTTAGCAAAGGAAATACATCATTATTCCCCCTGTTGATTCTACCAATCATTCCAATATTTGCTCAAACTGCAATTAAAAATCCTTTTGTCATTTTGGAGAGAAAAAAAAAAACAGGATTGAACGTTAGTTGGGAATGTTTGGGGGAGTTAGAAGAAAGTGGTATAGAAGGGGAAAAAAAAGAGAAAAAATAAAAATCAAAATCAAAAATTTCATATTGGTTTTGACTATAATTCCAATTATTTCTTTCTCACTATATATGTACAACATTTTATTTTCTAAGAAACTCAGAGATAAGAAAAGAAAATGAAAAAAACAGAAACCATACATAAAACATTAATTTTCTCACACACGACGATGATAAACAACGTCAAGTACTTTTTGATTGTAAGTCAAATTCTAGAAAGCATTTTCTCAATATCATTGATTTTTGCTTTCTATTCTCTGTGCCAATTCCACATACAAATTTTGTTACACAACAGAAAAAAATATATAAAGAGGATAGGGGGAGTGTTACTGGGGAGGATTTCTTTTGACAATGTGGGTTAGAATTTTCAGACAATTTTCACACGCCTAAGGAATTTGAATGCCATTTTCTTTGCCACTGAAACGAGTAACATCGATCTCTGTGGATTTATATATTGTTAATGTGACCACAGTTAGTGATGATGCCATCTATAAATATTAAACATTCCATTTAGTAAAAAATAACAAGGAATATTAAGTCTGGGAGACAATTGGCGAAAATTAATGTCTTTTCGCTCTCTCAACAATTGTCAAATGGTGATTTCACACTTGTTGAGTCATTCTTTGTAGCGCAAAACATTAATTTTTCCTTTGAGTAATTTCACTGTTGTTTTCTTTGTGTATCTTTTGTTGTGAGGAAAAATGTGTTTTAAAACTTTAAAATAAAATTCATTGTTTTAAAGTGTTTTAAAGAAGCGTAATGGTTTTTTTGTTTTGTTTCAAATATAAATTTCATTAAATGGGGGAAAGATAAAAATGAAGCTGTACATTTTTGCGTCAATATCAGTAAATTGTTGGTGTTGTGCCAATTGACAACTAAAAAAATTAAACTTGTGTTTAGTTGTTCAGCGAAACGTATTTACAAAGCGATTTGCTTTGCGTATTTTTTTTTTTTACCATATTTTCGATATTATATTTATATTCTGCAGAAGGAAGGGAGAAAAGAGCCAAAGTGTGTTTTTATGTACAATTTCAACTTCACCAAAGTTTCATCTATCGGACCATGACCACGTCATGGATGAAACAAAACCGCGGCGAGTCATTTAAATAATTCCTCCAGCAACCCTTCGTGATATCAATTCAGCGGATTTCTCTTTTCAGCCTTAATTATTATTGAGCCTTGATGAAAATTCTCAAAATGGCTCCCCTTTGCTCAAGCATAATTACGGAATAAAAGTCTAGCCGCACAGCGGCTCACAAATATTCCCCACACGCCTTATATCATCCCTTAAACACGCCGATTCACCCTCATTTCCCCGCCACACCATTAAAGCGTCATTTTGACAGAGATTTTATAGGGAAACTTTGTCGATACCACCACCTCGTGGTTGATTTAATGAGCGAAGAAAGTACTGAGCAAGAAAGTGAGGTGAAAGTTTTTAATTTCCGTACTTCTAATCATGAAATCCTTCTCTATTCACTGCATCAGTGTAAAATCGGGAAGACAGATAGGGCAGAGGAGAGCAATTGTGGTGGCAATTCAGTGTAAGCGAAGCATTCTTTCAAGAAATCCCATTAAAATTGTACGCATTGCGATGATTGTCTCACTGTAAATTATGCCAAAGCCTCATTCCTCTGACGAAAACCGCCGTGAAAAGGGTGTAGAATTTACCTCAAACCACCTTTAAGGAGGTTGTAAAGACATTCTCTTTAAAAATGCGGTTGAATTTGAGCTATATTCCTCTGTGGCCAAAACTGCCCCACCTTCTCTTGACAATTCAACCGCCCGCTGTTGTATTTCTCTGCGGTGGCGATGTAATTCAATATTTGCTGTATGTTTCGGATCCTGCTCAATGTACACATGAAGCTAATTCAGCGAGAGTGAGTATCGCTTCTTTTATCTGACGTGAATGAATATTTCCGCGTAACTCTGTCTTGAATGGTGGAGGGGGTGAAAGGAGCTCAACAGGATGTTGAAAACGGAAATTACACCCTCTAACCACTCGCTTTGTGTGTGTGTGTTTTTTATTAGTCTCTCAAGACGCCGGTTGAGGCTATATCCGGCGCCAAAATATTTCGTTTGTCCGACAAAACAATTTTCAAAATACGCCTATTCACTCTGCGCGCGTCCTGCACAGTAGCCTCGCACTATCGCAGCTCCGCGAGAGCCGCCGTGAGCGTCGTGACAAATGAATGCAATGAGAGAGTGCAGAGAAAAGTACCATGAATCAATGTGGGGGAAAATTGCAGGCGATTTATCAAATCGCACTCGTCGCGATGGTGTGAGGCTGTGGGCGTTGTGCATCCGAGGCTTCCCCATTTGGGGGCGACCATGAGACCATAAAAAGATTAGATCGAGTGCATTGGCTCCCGCGCCAAACCCCTTCTCGGGAGGGCATTAAAGCCACCTCTCGCCTGTGAGGCGCATTCTAAAGAGTCCATCAGCGTGATTGCACTGAACGGTTGCGAGGCGTAGTACTGAATGGGCTCTCGGGGTGTGGCAAACACCACTGAAATCCACCCGAAATATCTCCCAAGTGTGAGATTCCACCCCAACATAACCTCTTTATTTTTCCCGCGTCTCTCTTTCCGCCGCCTCTCGTGTGTGGCATTGATTTTTCCCTCCATACGCGACATGTGGTAGCAATTCTCACAAGAGTGGCGCCGAATGGAATTTTAATGATTCTAAAATAGTAATTTATGTGAAATCACAGGAATAAGGAGGACCTTCACAATTGCCCTAATTAGTGGTGAGAAGTGAAGGAGCCACAATATATGGAAAGTAAGTGCGTAAAATATAGCCACATATTTGATGCTCTGTTGCGTGCCCTTATCACCCCATTTCCTTCGATAAAACTTCATCTCATGAAAAATGCAACCAAATTGCTTCGGAAATGAGATTTCCCAAAAAATAAAAAAAAAAACGTGAAACTTTGGTGAACTTGCCGCTCTATTTCCCTTCCTCCTGAAATCCACAACGTCAATTGGAGCCTTCTTGACGCGGTGAAAAAAAGTGGATCTTACCAAAAAACAAATCGTAACGATTTTATGCACACACACTGTCGATGAATCGAAATGGGTCACGGAGAAATACTCACCCTCGCCGCCAGACTCGTGTTTGGCTTCTCCAGCAACTCCCACAAGTATTTCTGGTACTGGGCACACTTGCCGTCCCCGAACTCCTCCTCCTCGCGCTGCCGCAGGCTCTCGGCCTCCTTCCGCATCTCCTCGTGCACGTGCTCCTTGCGCTGGTGGTACTTGTGCTGGCAACACGACTCCAGGTACAGCTCGTCCACGCCCCAGTACTCTAGGTCATCGCTGAACGCCAGCACGCACATCTCGTCCACCAAGTGCAGTTTGCCGGTGCGGTAGAAGTTCAGGATGGAGCTGAAGCTCTTCGGGTGGCGATCGAAGAAGTACTCATTGTCCACGAGGGAGTAGTCGTCGCACAGTTCGGAGATCGCCTCGTGCGTCGTGCACTCCCGCAGGCGCCCCAGGCGCGTGTGGGGCAGCCGCTCGAGGGTTCGCCACAGCACTTCGTGCTTCACGCCGCCCACGTTTATCGACACGCGCCGATTCATCGCCTTGGATCGTTGTATCATGAAGGGCTCCGGTGGTATGGAGGACATCGACCTGCAAGACAGAGGATCGTCTCTGCACTCAGCTCTTTGCGGTTGCGGCGTGAAGGGCGTGAGACGGATTTCCCGAGACTTCTCCAAGAAACTGAGCGAGATCTTTTGACTCGTAAAATTCTAAGATCAATTGTTGTTTATTTAAATTAATATTACATTTTTGACTGCACATTTATAATTGGAATGTGCGAAAATGAGAAAAATCACTTCAAATTGATTAAAAAAAACCCCAATAAAGATTTACAATCAGCTCTAAAAAATTCAGCACATTGAACGACTTTTTCAGTGTATAATAGTTAAAATCAACATTGGCTGATAATTTTATCCATAACTGCGGGCGTAGTTTGATTCAATTTCCGGAATTGACTCAGATTTAATTGAAAACAAGCACAACTCGGGCCACATTTAATGAAGAATCGATGACAGAGTGTATGAATTATACGGAATGTCCGCTTATCGGCCGTGGAATGCCAATAGAGGTGCGTTTTCCGATCATTATGACCATCCGCAGTGGGAAAGCGATGGAGCAACAAAGATTCAATTAATGGCGCCCTCAAAGAGTGACGCTCATTCGATATTCCCGACGCACAAATTGGCGGTGTGTGTCAACAATGCAGTGTCAACATCTCATTTTAATATTTCAGCCGCCCTTTCGGCATGCTGGCCGGATTACGAGGGGCAATGTGGGGAGCAATTAGTGGGTTCGTCCCGCGGGGAAAGTCCGTGTCCGGACTTGGAGTGTCATTAGGGGAGGGTGGCGCTCACCTGGAATGTGCTCGCTGTAGCGGCGCCTGCTGGCAAGTTGTGGTCGGATTGGAGTGGGTGGGCGAGGAGACGGAGGGGAAGGGGGCATAGCGCACCTCCTTCCCCGCCGCCGCGCCCGCTGAGCCGCCGCCCTGCTGCGCCCCATGTGGGTAATTCGTTGCTCCGTCATCACAGATGCCTCCGCCGCTCTCGCCGTACACGAAGCCAATCGGCGGCGCTCCATTGTTGAAGGGGGGCGGCGTCGCGTCGCCCAGTTCCCAGCGCACCGCTTCCCGTTCCCTGTCGCGTTCGCCCACCATAGGGCCACTGCGCGAGGTGTCTGCACTGAGTCACTCCGCGTCCTCGCACGCCATCATCTTCCACTTACCGCTACATGAGTCCACTCATCCTCCGCTCACTGCACAGGCGGCCTCAGGACACTCCGCTCCCCGGATCCCCCGACCGCGGGCCCTCCCTGCGCCCCCGAAGCTCTCGTGTCACTGTTCAGCAGCTCACGCAGGCCTATTCTCATAGCGGGACTCACGACGCTCGCCACCCGTGAATCAGTCATCCCGCGTCTCGCTCGGCCGCCGATTCCATGTCATCCTGGAAAGACGAGAAGGACAGACTGTAAACTCCGATTCACCCATTTGGCGAAAGCGTGTGCGTCTATTTTAGTTTTTCTTCAATATTTCCTACACAACAGAACGAATTGGGGCAATAAAATTAATTGCCTCTCCAACAAGAGTTGTTTCTCACATGGTAATTTTATGATCCTCGAGTTACCATGCTAGTATTGCCACTACACGCACCCAAAATTGTTCATCATACGTCTCAATAATCTCAAACGTCTGATTCTTGTGTAGATCTTGACTTTATTGCACGTTGAATAAATTGATTAAACTTCCGCAGCGAGATTGACATTTAAGGCGAGAATGGGCGGGGCATTCGAATGGGCGGAGTCATTTTGAAGTGGAGAATTTTTCTCCACTTCAAGCGAAAGAAATGCAACCATAAAAAGTATAAAATGACATGTTTTACTTATTGATCCATCTTTGGGAAAGGAAACAAGTTTAGGTACTTTGCAGACTTTCTTTCACTCTCTCTCTCCCTTTCCGGGGAGACTTTTTATGAGGAAACATTCGGAAATTGACATGAATTTAGTCATAAATTGGCAGTCTCTCGGTTTCACCCGGTTTCAAAGTGAGGAAACTGAGTAATTTGTAAAAAGAGCGTAGAAAGATCGTAGAGGAAAAGTTAGGCAATAATGTTGAAATTAAAATATACGAACCATCAAACTGTATTAAGAGAACACATAAGTTTGAAAGTTTTCAGTGAAATGCATCCTGGAATTTTGACATAAAATTAATTGCGGAAGCAAGACGACAACATGAGCATATTGGTTGAATTCACCATACGAAGTGTGTAGGGAAATTTGGGCAATTCTCCTCGTGTACACTCCACTTTGTATGTATCTTGTTAGGGGAAATAAAATACACAAGGAGGACATGTGATTTCATGTCAATAGAATATTGAGCGACATGCAAATGTTTCTTTCAATTTATTTGTGCTTTCGAGTGGATTTTATATCGCACATTCTCTATACTCTTTTTTTCCTCTCCTTTTCCCCAAACTAAACTACACACACACACACTCGTGGGGAAAATTGCTGGGTAAACCATAAATATTTCTTTTCCCTCCGCACACACTTCAGCTCAAATTTGTGTAATTCATCCTCGTGAGCATGTGAATTGTGAGGACGCTGAATGGGAAAAGGAAGTGGCATAGCAATGCACTTGCCGAGTGCACAGGACAATGAAATTGTTTCCCCTTTGGAAATGAGAAAAAGTGTTGGAGTTGTCGCGCATTTTGTGTCACTTTTCACCACCATCCATCTTTTAGTGGTTTTGCCATTGCACGCCAGCTGCCCCGGGCAGTATGTTCGTGGCACGATCCGGGCAAAAGCCACAGAATTCACTTTGGCTTCCTGCACAGGGTGAAGAGAATGGCTCTGATGCGCCATAGAATGGGACAAGCGAGCGAGTGGAAGTAAGTCAACGTGTGTCTCGTTAGTAAAAAGTCTGTGTTTCATCCACGGTGGATTTTCTTGAATTTTCCATGATATCGTGACATGTCGAAATTAAAATGCCCTGCTGTTCTTTCACCCTGCCTTCCATGGAACATCATTCCAACCACCTCGTTGAGTCATTTACCATTCACTCTTCCATTCGTTGAAATTTCTGGGAAAAAAAACTATCTCCCCAGAAGCTAATAGCCAGCAATTTACTAATACAACTTTTTTACCTCTTTTCTCACAAAAAACTTCTGGATAAATGCAGTTTCACTCGTAGGGAAAAAGGCGCCACACTTTTTTTTCTGTCATGTGCGAAGAGGTGAAAACTTTGCCATTTGGTAGATAAAGAAATAAATGCACTCAGTGATCATTTGAAACAATTTTTCCGGATGAAGGGAAAAACCCGAAGCGCCATGTTCATTTCCCTTCGTCCTGAGAATTCTGCGGTGAGCGTCAAGGGGGAGAAAAACCAGGTAAAAGAGTGTTGCAAATATTCTCTCCGCACATTTTGTATTTCCGTTCATATCCACTTCTATCTAATTTCCTGAAAGCCGTTGAACCTGCCCGACCGAGAGGGTGGGTGAGAAGAGGGTGGTTTTGCGCGCGGAAAACAGAGCACGTGGCATTGGCGGAAAAGTCGTTTCTTGGGGCTCGCGATGGTAATTCGCGATAATTGGAGAAATTTAAGTACACTCTTTCTAGTTTAGACAAAACGCAGGTGAACACGCAATAGAAGTACATCCAATTATATGCAAAATCACACCTTCCCATCCTTCATCACTTCTCTTCGCTGAGCGCACATTGAAAATGTCGAGAGGGTGTGATTCTAATTAGAATTACAAATTCCCCAATGCAAATTGGCACATTTCTTCGAGCCCATTGCATGAGTCTTCCTCATCGGCAAAGTTTAAGGTCATATCAAATATATGTGTTTGAGTATAAAAAAAAAGGAAAGGGCGTTAAAGTATTAATTTACTTCTCTCTTTTTACGATTCACTTCATCCTGTTGTGTTTTTATTGCAGAGAAAATACACTAATGGTGCGCTTTTTGCTCTTCGACACTTCTTTTCCATTCCGCAGACGATGGCAATCCCGCCTTGATGGTGAATTGAGAGGAGGACACATAAACAGTGGGAAAGACATAAAAGTACAGAGTTTGTGTTCTTCGGATATCGAAGCAATCTCATAATGAGTTTAGCAACCATAAAGCTTTATGCTTTTGCCTATTGATGTGCATGAATGTTTTCAATGAGAGTCCATTTCACACTTTTCCACTTTATCTGGTTACCCACAATGCAAAAAAGCTCAGATGCCTGAGTCAGATAGAAAAATATAAATTTGATATCGCAAAGTGGCATTCAGCAGTGCAGAAGAGGAAGTTGAGAAAGCTTTTTCATACAGTCAGAGTAATGGTTGATCCTTGTTCACAAATCTCATCGATTTCAGAAATATATGAATAAATACATATAAAGAACAATTCAGTGCAAGTTTAAAACGTTGCTTTCAATACTTTGAAAAATTATTAGAAATTTAAATGCATTAGAGCACCAATATGCTTCTCTAATATTCCAAAATTGAATGAAATTGACACAGAAATCGTCTGCCTGAAATCAAATTCAGCTCGAGAAAGACAGTCAATAATTGAAAGTTCAAATTGATTTCCATTTGAGTGGAGATTGTTATTAAATTTCGCCAAACCACACGAGAGCTCTTTCGCCACCGCCATAAACTGCATTGGAACAGCATAATATGTTATGGAACATTGAGTGCGGATGTTAACTCCCCGATCCTGAGAAGTTCATGTCAGAGAAAGACCAAGTTCTTCCCATTTCCTTCAACCCATTGTGCTCTGTCACTTCCAACGTCGCATGATATAGCTTTTAATCAATTTCATGTAACTAAAACTTCCCCTTCTCTCGGCTCTTGTGTCTGATGGTGGCCCACAGCAAACCGACTGTGCGGTGAAGAGGCGTTCTCAAGATCCCTCGTGGCTTTTGCAGTTTCGGAGGTGACAAAGTGAGTGTGTTAGCAAAGGTCATAATGCTCATTTCCTCTGATTGAAGGCGCCCTTTTCCGTCCCTTCTGGCGGCAAATCGACACGCTGAAGTGAGATTTGATGAAGAATTCCATTCTGTCTGTCCTTGCACCTCGTGGGGCGCCCTCGTGCGCCCCCGCGCTCTACCCGCAGAGGTGAGAGATGGTGAGAAAGTTGGGAAATTGTGCGCGCATGAACAAAGCTTTTGGTGCTCTGTGTAGAAACTTTTTGAGAATCAATACACAAGTGGGAGAAAGAAGACGAAAGCGTATTTCCCGCCTTCGTTTTTTTCCCTCTGCTTCACTCTGTCTTTCCATCCCGAACCTGTGTGACTGCTCTTCCTTCCGGCTTTGCGGGCGTAAATCAAGGAGAGAGAGGCAGAAGTCGCACCGTGACAACAGAATTCTGCACTTCTTCTCTGCCAAGTGATTATCTCTTAGCCAAGAGCCAAAAGCTGTCGCATCTTCCCGAAAAAAGATCACTCTTTTCAATGTTTAATCGTCGGTCGACATACACCAGACGATGATGGGTGAAAAAGTGCGAGAGAAGCGCGTGAATCCCAAGAGAATCATTTCAATATAACACACAGTCGCAATGTACACTGTACATTGCCAGAGAGAGAGTGTGACACATTTTGGGCCCCAGAGGTGTCACTGGGCGACTAATTAATAATTTATGTTCCACGGAAGAGTGCCACCTAAATTGCTAAATATTGAATTTCCATCTTCAACCCATTCCACACTCCCTTTGCAAAATTCAAACTCAGCCCATAAAGCGATTCTCTCCCAAAATTACAGAACATCCGCCGATTCGCCTCAATACGCGCCTTATTGCAAAATTTATGGAAGAAAATCCCCAATGGAAGTTTTTCCGCCAACTCTCCCTTTGTGACTCGTTATCAGTTAGCGAGATAAAGTTTGCACGAGTCGAAGAAGAAGAAGTTGTAATTGGTAGGATTCTATGGTGATATATTTGATGGATTAAAATAAACTTAAACTATATGCTCAAAAGTTAATTAATTTTCGGTGAATCCCAACCATAAAATACCTAATCGTAAAACAACCAACCGTTTAATACAAATTACACCGAATGGAGCACTTTATTGCACTGACATTACACGATGTGATGGCTTTTTTCTCTCTCTCTCTAAAGGTGGAAAGTTTAATGAGAAAATGAAGAAAATGGCTTTTGCGGTGATATTTTCTGAAGTGGAAACGAAACATAAGATATGAAGTGAAGGGAAAACAGCCCCACAACAGATCGATAATTGTATTCATGTGTGTCTCAAGTACACATAAAGGACCAATAAAATATTAAGTGCTGTACATGGCATTAGAGAATCGACCGAAAGTGACCCCGTTGGGCAACTTATTTACTCTGGTATAATTTCCAATTATTTAATTTTAAACATACATAATTGATGGCGTGCTATAGCAACGAATTCCTACATTGAATTCACCAGTAATTCGCCGATAAATGCCTTTTCCCCATGTATGT